TTGCATGTGTAAGTATCTTCGTCTTGCAGCATTTAACATTCCTCTCTCGCGTGGCGGTCAGGGATGCCACGATACAAACCCAGCGCGCTGGAACGGACAGGTTGGGGTATGTAGGGGTGTATCAAAAAACAAAAACCTCGCGTACAATACGTACGTATTGATGTAGAGATGGAGTCATATTACAATACAATCATACCAAGATACCACCAGTACCATACGAGGGAGTAAACACCTCGCTTCTCCAGAGTTAATCACCCAGTTTCCCATGAGGATCACTGGATCCTAAATTTCGACCTCTTTACCGTTGAGCAGTCTGACCGCAACTCTAGCTTATGGAGAATTCTCCGTAAACAACCTAGCGGGCCTCAATTTTCGATTTGCCCGCCCACTTGATCGCAGCGATAACGGCTAGCGGCGGGATAAAGCGACAATGACTACTATTTCAATCTTGGCATGTTTGAATTGTGGTTCTCTTTCGTCTCAAGGCTTTTTTTCTGCGCCTATCGCTCCTCCCACGTTTTTGGGAGTTTTCATTAAGTTAACGCCAAGATTTCTTCTTTGCCCCTCGGTGCTTCAAAGTTCAGGGTCTCTTCTTGTGCCCCCCAGTTGTAAATCTGTGTATAATTTGCCGATATGGCTTATTAATAATGATAGTTGGGAGGGATCGCCTGCTGACGAGCCTCAGAATTTGGGGGCCGATCGGAGTCTTTCGGGTTGATTGGGTGATTGATTGGTTATCGCAGGGCTGAGGGCCTTGGCTTCTTGGCCTCCCCCTTATCCTCCTCTCACTGTGTAGTTGACAATCAGGGTATATTCCAGGAATCTATCTGCGACGTGACAGGTGTGATTGTCTTGGTATCTTGCTTGCTTTGTATCCAGGGGTGGGCTTTTTATTGTTTGGGCTGCAAGCCACTAGAGCTGTCTTCAACAAATCCATGTTTCTAATTCTAGCAGGATAAGGACCCATCGGCTAGGATGATATGACTTACATACATGGCTTGACTTCGGAACAGAAGTACTGTATGCACATGTTTACCCCAATCCACGTGGCAATGTCCTCTTTACATCACTACATACATACAATCGACACGCAATCGGGCCATCAACATCATCGATAGATCGCAGACATCGGTGACGCATCACATCACTTTTATCTCCGATCCGAGCTCAATTCCCCCCAGTCACGAAAGAGCTAACCCCCTGTCAGATCGACAACCCGCAATTTACCTTTAGGCACCACTGTCAGGACTAAGAATCATAGTAATCATGGTCATCGACGCCGATCATGGTCAAGCGCGATCGCCAACCAATCTACGCCGTGCCCCGGATCATGGCGGATAGGCTCGCACTGACTTTTGATTTGCGTGATCTGCCTATCGTCTCTCTTTTCTGTGTTTACAATATGAATTGTTATTTCGTGTGCACTGCCCCCAGGAGAACCCCGCGGCTGACTTTTGTCTGACAGAGCTCCTGATCGCACTGATTTCCTGACGGGGAAGTTGGACGTACTCGGTTCCAGTTTACTGGACCAGTGTCTCTGTGGTGGATTGCCTACGGAGGATTTGTGGAGTGACTGACGTGGTAGATAAGGGAGTCAGAAATACAATTCAACGGTCTGTTTTATTTTTGGTGCGGCTCAAAACGTTGGGAGGTTATCTTGCTGATAGATCGTGATGTTGTCTTTACCACTTGAAATACTTACCCGGGTAGTACAATTAGATATATATAATTGACTAGCTGTTCCTCAGCTACTTTGGACTATGGAATTAGCTGACCACGGTCCTCCTCCAAGATATATTAACGATCATTCATTCATGTCATGGCTTCTCCATAACCACGTAGAGCAAGGCTTTCCCCCAACCATTACTGATCCAAGTGGCGAGCTCGTATTCGGTCATTCCGTGATCTAACTAGAGAAGGGTCCTGTTGACCTGACAGCACAGTTCCTTCGGCCCCAAGTCTGTGCGCTGGCCAACAAGACACCGAATTAGCAATAGAAAAAGGCAACCAGGAAGGCCCACAGGTATACCGTCTCGTCTAGATGCAGGCTAGAAGGATCCCACCCGTTGTGGATATGAAACGACCTTTTGTTAGTTGTCAGACGGGCGCCCGTTGGCGGGTTAGCTGTCTCGGGTGCGAAGGAAAACCATGCCTGAAAAAGCATAACGCGGACAGCGCAAGAGGGCTAGCCCAGCCAAGCCTCATGACTACGGGCGGAGCGGGTAGAAAGAAGCGAGCGAGCCTCCTCCAAGTGGGACATCCTTTTGAGAAGTGTGCACGGGGCATAGATTACAGTTGCTGGGGGGCTGAGATTAATGTATCTTCTGTTGTTGTTGTGTGTGTATTCTATTTGTCTTGTTTAGTAAGAAGTACTCCATACGGAGGTTAGTGCTGTGAGTGAGGGACAGTGATAGGCCTGAGGCATACGCTCAGACCGCGACTCCACGTGTGTCCACGTGGACCACATGGGCTCGCGAGAAGAAGCCTAGAAAGGTTGTGGAAGGATTCCCGGGTCCTCAAGCCCGCTTAGCCAAGATTGGGCGGTCTCAGCCTGTTTCGAGCTCGAAACACTAGCTCCGAAGAGCGGAGAGGAAGAGACCAGCGAGAAGCACAGTAGTGTGGCGCTTACCTAGACTCCACTCCGATCGGTCTTTGCGAAATGTCCCGTGAAACATGTGATGTACCCTACCTCCCACTCCTCAGGCTAGCTGATAGGGTTTAATCGGTGGCGGTGAAAGAAGCCAGACAAGGAAGGTCTTTAGATCCTCTGTCGCTCTATGAGAGGCGACTGATCATAGCCACAAAGTAAACCGAGGATACGAATGAATAGAGAACCAAAGGATACGACGGGATCGAACTGAGATGGGTGGGAAAAAAGCATCATCTTGTTTTTCTTTTCTTTTCTTTTTTTTCCTTCGCCACGACCGATAAGGTTCCTGACGGGAAGGAAATCCAACAGAGAGCCAGAGGAGGGGTAGGGATTCCCACGTGGGAGCCCGTGGGTGAGGGCCAGCATTGCCTGTTCGGTCCAGGGGGCCGAGTAGTTTGATACGGTCTCCATAACCCTAGTCCCTAGGGTTACGGAATAGCGAAAGTATTGTACTCCGTATTGGAAAAGCACCAATATAAATCATTACCTGAGCCGATTATACAATGGATTGCTTTTCAAAATCACGCCGGTCCTCCAAATTGGAGGAAGTCCGGAGTAAGTGGAGATTGTACAACGGGAAATGAGCCAATTAAATGAACCGTCAGCCTGAAGATTCGGATCAGCCAGAGCCCACTCGTTGCTCCCACCAGTGATAGTGTGGTGACGATAGGGGGCAGTTACTACTTTAGGTAAGACTAAACTCAAGCCAGCAAGAGTTGAGCCGATTAGTTAGGACAAGAAGTCATTACGATGGAGGGGGTATTTCCGATGTGACTGACCTTGGCCGATCAGGGTATTCTAAGTATTGGGGTAAATCAAGTAATCTATACGCAGTATACTACGATATCTGTAGTAGTAAGTTCATAATTGTACTGTATAGGACACAGAACAATGCATGCTATTGTAGGAGACCAGTATAAATCTCGTATTATTCCAAACCAAAGATCATCATGGTCGACCTCGTATGGTTTCCTTGGGTCGATGGTCCGTTGGAGGTTGGAGCCCGGAGAACCTCGGTGGATGGTGAGATCATTGACTGTATTTTTCATATAGCACAATGAGCTAGTCGATGATGATGATACGGTAGAGGTTTTTGGGGGAATCCATTTCCGTGAACGAATCAGCGGGAGGAAGAGGAATGGATCTTCCGTTTGGATTTGGAATTTGTCAGTTGGGGTAGAAAGAGAGAGAGGTCTAGTTTACTATGGAGACTGGATAAGTTACCGACTATTTCTTGGACTATGGTAACTATGCTGAATGCCGGAGTTTCAGGAGAGTGAATGTATGGATTATGTATTCTGTTTTATGATAAGATCTCAAACTATATTCTTTGAAAGAGACATAGACCTACTTTAATAACAAAGGGAGAAAAGCAAAGAGACAATCGCCATATATCTCTCTATACGAGTTTACGGTCGGAAGCTCTCTATACCCGGTAATGAATTGCAGTTATGATCGGAATGTCCGTAACCCGTGTCTCTGTATGGTAATACTGGTAATACCAAGACCCCTGCCCGAATGGAACCCACCGAGCTTCACCATGAGGCAATCCCTTCCCTTGGCCCACGTTGTTTGGATGCAGCACACCAAACTCTTTCCGGCTGGCCTCACGCGTGGTCGGTGGGTCATGGATGACAGCCCGAATGGCTATGATTCTTCACAAGGGGCCTGGATATCACAGGGATTTTTTCTTTTCTCTTTTTTTTTTTTCTTACAGTCTTGTCTTATTTCTTCCTAGACCTAGCTATCTTATTTTGTTGTTCTGGACTATGGATAGGCTTCCCTATTTTGAATTTAAATTCTCTAGGTCGTATTTTAGATGGTTATTTGAGATGGTTCTAACTGTCGGGGAGGGGAAAAAGAATAAAAATGAAAATTCAAAAGTATATAGCGTATAATTCCTAATAATTTCACTTCCCAACCACCTGCAAGTTCCCCCCCCCCTTCTTACCTTCTTACACCTTTTTTTTCTTACGACTCATAGTAAACTTCCCAAACACTCTAAACACCCTAAACACCTACCTTTCCCCCTCCTTTCAACCCATTCTTCCCTTTTCCCTGGTAGATCTCAACTTGTATAGGAGTTCCCACCTTTTCCTTATTTTTTTATTTTTTACTTATTTTTTTTTACCACATTTTTTTTATTTCCTCTCTCCCCCCCCTCCCCTCTCCACCCTATCCGCTATTCCACTATTCCGCTATTTTCCAAGATTCCTATCCCCCCCCCCTTTCCAAGTTACTGTAGTGTACAGATCGTGGGTATCAGGTCTTATTTGACTTACCCACTTTTCACACTCTTCCCGAAGTCTGGTTCTTTCTGGTTCACCCACCCGGCCCAAAAACCCATTCAATGCCAGTGCCATCCGTGAACCATAACCGAGAAGAATCTCTTCCATACCCTGGCCCTTCAGTTCCTGACTCTACCACCTCTCTTTCCTCTACACGCTTTCGCGCTTCCTCTTCCACCACCAGCTTCCCCCCTACGACTGATCCGCCTACCTCCTCGACCACCACCACCACCACCTTCACTGGGTCAGTCGTCGGCTCGATCTCCCGCCGCAACCGTCGCTCTTTTGCTGCCTTGGCCCAGAAAACCTCCAGTGCCTTAGCAAGCCTGTCGACCATTTCCACTAGTTCACAGCCTCCAACGTACAACACCCCCGCCACTCTGCGATCCTCCAACTCTTCTGGGAGCCTTTCCAAACTCACCAAATCGAGCACCTCGACCCCCTTGACCCCGCCATTTGACGGAGATCCCTACGAGCAATTGCCTGCCTCGCGCTCGGTTTCCCCGGAATCCTCCTTGCAAAGACGGCGCTTGACGCTGCAGCGCGTCCCGACTCCCCCTCACGACCTTCGTCCCGTTCCTCCGGGCGCTGCGCCAACTGCGCCTCCCAAGATGCACCAGACTTCGTCCAGACTGTTGCGCATGACCGAAGATGAGCGCCCTTTCACCAAGGTAGGTTTTTTGGACCGCCCACGAGACTGGCAATACCCCGCGCCGGAGAGAGAGAGAGAGAGAACGAGCAGGCAGGAAAGAATGAGAGAGAAAGTTGGACTATGTCAAAGGAAAACATTTGTAATTGAACGCTGACATCTCATGTCTTGACTTTTTCTAGGATTTTATGGACTTGTTCTCCACCTTGATGGTGAGTTTGAAGTTGGATTCCCACCGGGTCCGCTTCACGAGATATGACCACACCTTTACCTCCGAAGAAGCGATCAACAACTTGGGATCCCTCAAATTCTCCCAGTCAAACCGTATGCCGGACCCTAAGGACCCTTCGCGCATCGTGACTACTACGACAACCACTACCTTCTCCATGGCCAAGGAAATGGCGCGCTCCGTCTGCCAGCGCTTTGTGGATGCCCGCTTTATCGAGGCCGTCGATGGCAAGGCTCTGCCGATCTTCCCGCTCAAGGGCGCCCTCTTCCAACTTACCCCCAAGGGTATCAACATTTTGCAGCGCTTTTGCCAGCGCAATGGAATCACCGCTCGTCACGTGATGGATGTCCTGGAGTCGCCGCGCAACACGATGCAATTGGTGAACTTGGAGCGAGACACGGATACCGATAAGTTGTCGCATGACCGCGCCACGATCGAGGTGATTTTCCGCCGGTTCGCAGGACAGGATGGCCCCAACATCAAGAGCAGCATTTCCACGTCAGACTCCGACTCGCTCAGTGACTATTCGAACGGCATTATTGGAGTGAAAATGGCACGCGAGCGCAAGTTGCAGGATGGCAAGATTTACACCAACACGTTTACTGGAAAGGGCGCGGTGGATTGGTTGATGGACTGCTCGACCACTATCGAGCGCCGGGAGACTTGCCTCATTGCCGAGCTTTTCCTCAAGTATGGCTTGATTACGATGATCCAGGACGACAAGTCCTTCCCCGACTCCAACGCCGTTTTCCAGCCTTCCAAGTACGCCATCTACTGCATCACCGAGCGTGGCCAGCGGGTGTGTGGATGGATTGCTCGCGACAAGCCTCGCGACAACTCCGGCACTTACGACAACCGCGGTATGCCCCGGGATTCCAACAACGCTCGTCTGACCCACATCCTGCAAGACCCCGCCCTTCGTCTCCTGTTCCGCGAATTCCTGCGCTACTCTCTGTGCGAAGAGAACCTGTCTTTCTACCTCGACGTGTCCGAGTTCACTGCCAACTACCACAAGGCCGAGAAGACTGGCACTTTTAACAAGGTGGATTCGGTTCGGGAAACATTGGCCGCTGCTTATGGTATGATCTCCAAAAACAGAGAAGGAAATGCCATTTTTTCGAGCTGGTTATACTAACTTGTTCCTTTCCCCTCTCCTCTCAGGTCTGTACAACGCGTTCCTGGCTCCTGGGTCACCTTGCGAGCTGAATATCGACCACGCCCTACGCAACAGCCTGGCCAGCCGTATGACCAAGGCTGTTGGTGACGACGAATCCATGTACAAGAGCCTTCAGGAGGTTGTGCATCTCTTTGAGCTTGCACAGACTTCCGTCTTCAAGCTGATGTCAAGTGTAAGCTTTGATTCCTCTCGATCGTAGTATATTCTTGAAATCTTGCATTCCATACTAACTTTCGATTTAAAGGACTCCGTCCCGAAGTTCCTTCGTGATCCCAAGTACTCCGTTGTCCTGCAGGAACACGACGTCGACATTTTCGGTGGCTCGCGCTCCTACTCTCCTACCCCGGGTGTCCCGGAACGAAGCATGAGCCGGTCTGCCCGTTCATGACAATCACGGCGAGCCAGCGTCGACGCTTTCACCCGATCAGCAAACAGCAACCGGTTCCCTCGTCGTGATTCAAATGCCGCAGTTCGTCCCACGCCTATTGCAAGCTCTTCCATCATTCCTCCGACCCCTGTTATCTTCTAAGTAAGAAGATGGGCGCCAAGCTTCAACGCCTTCAGGTCTCGAAAATCAGAGTTTCGCGGATGCGTGTCCCGCCAATTGTGGTCTGTCCGCTCCCGTTTCTTGTGCGACTGCAACGCGGGAATCCCACCGCGCCGGGGGGCCTGTTTCTTTGCGCCCGACGATGGGATTATGGGTATGAAGGAGGTCGCATGGCATGGATGTGTTGGAATTAAAGGGCCAAGGGTCTGGGCCTATTCATACGGGCCTGGACATGGACCCCCCCCCCCCCCCCCCCCCCCCCCCCTTTTTTTTTTTTCTCGAACATACACGATTTTCATACCAACCCTCGCCACGAATCGCTTCCGACCTTGGAAAAAAAGCCCTTTCTTTTCTCCCTTCACATGGCGTGCAGAGCCGGGCGTCTGCATTCTGCATCTGCATCTCGACTTGCGCCCCGTTCCATTCCCCGGACGGCCCTGTTCAATCTTTCTTCCCCGGGTTATCTCCTTTAATTTCCCTCCCTCGACACGCATTTCATTTTACGTCATCAGACGAAAGACGTTACGATCGATCGATGCCTCATGTTATAGAGAAGGCCGGAATTTTCTTTTTTTTGTTTGGGACCCCCTTGTAATATTTGCATGATGTCTTTGTCTTTTTTTATCCCTCTTTCCTCTCATTTCTCTCCCCCAATTGCATACAACATACCCCCTTCCACCGGCTTTTACTTTACCACCACACCTGGTACGAAATCCGGATTGATGAAAAGAAATCAAAGAAAAAAAATATGATCGCATACAAAAGACTGGTGGTTCTACTCGATCTACTACGCTTTAACTTTGCTTTGTGTTGTTCGAGCATCAGAGACGGCGTTTTTCACTCCCAAACCCCCCATGCATGCTTTATCTCACATCCCCATTTTGAATCTCATTGTCCCCTCTCATGCATGACCACTTCCTCTTCATTGAGCATCGGTTCCTGTTTTTCTCTCTTCTAGTTTATTCTTTTAAATCTCTTGTCTATGTTGATCTCCCCCCTTTGTGGTACTGCATTGTTTCCTTTCTGTGGGCACAGCGTGTGAGTTCTGGCTTTTTGCTTTCTTATTTGTATGTCATATTATTCGAACTTTCCCCTTTGGGAGGGCCAATGGACATGACTCGATCATTTAAATTATCTCTTTCTTTACTGTAGCTTGTTCGTGGGATTCGTTGGACAGGATAGATTGATATTGCTTTCGTTGGTCTGTTTGATCTTATCTGATAGATCCTGCGTTATGTTAGACAAGGCTTTCCAAAGTTTCCTCTTGCGTAGACTCTGGAAACTGCGGGACCTTTTAAATAATAGGTGATACTTTACCCAGTAGATTATCTCGGTGATCATCCAGCCTTGCTGGAAGGTCTTAATTTACGCTAGGCGTTCCCAATGCCACTTCTATGAAGATAGCTCACGCATCAGAATAACAATGTCTTCCAAGATATCTGGACAAGGTCTTTTTCTACATATATTACTTTGTAACCATAGTAGAGCGCTCTTGTTCACCTTATTCGATCTCATTTTCCCTCTCCGTTGCATAAGATCCTCCGACGCTGACCGTACTTTCACGTTACTATAGTAACCTTTCTCGCCTTTCCTGCTACTGTAGTTATGAAACATTTATGATCATGATGAATTGTACGTCTTATATAAGGCCGGTTGAAGTCTATGTCATAAATGCGCCTCAGCCGCAGCTTAAAGAGGAAGTTGAATAGCTCGACAAAGTGGGGTCGGCTCTTACCCCTATCTGTCAACGTCGCTCACCACCCACGAGGATCACAAGGGGATTTTTGTTCCTAGAATAAGCTGCAAACCACCTATACCACGTTATCATCATCCATAATGGGCTTCCTTCAGCTCTTCAAGCATCTTGGTTCACCCAAGTTTGCCGAAAAACCAACGATGGGCGTCCAGTCATTGCCGACTGAGCTCCTAGAAGCTATTCTCGCGCTACTGGATTTCCAAACGCTCCTCCTAGCCCAACGAGTCTGCCGGCAATGGGCTAACTGCATCCAAGAATCCCCCATAATTCAACAGGTGCTGGAAGCTACATCGGACTATAATTGGAATTTGACTGACTGACTGAAATTCAACAGATGCTTTTCTTCCAACCAGCATCTACAAACACATCCCGCCAACAAAACACATTCCTCGCATCAAAATTCCCCTACTGGTTCCCCGCCGATACACCTAAGTCTTGCAAGACTTCCTTCGGCGCAGACGATATACAAGATTTCCTCAACAACAGCGACGTATATAAACGGCCAGAGGCGAGTTGGCGTAGAATGCTAGTCCAGCAACCGCCAATTATGGTGCTGGGGTGGGTAGAGCGCAGTATCGCGCCCGACGATATGGTAGAGCTACACCGGTGGGAAATCCCGCTCCAAGCATTCGTCGGACTGCGAATGAACATGCTCTACGACCTTGTCGTCAAAAAGGCCGAGGTTGCGCAACCATATTTCTACTTCAGGGTGTTATGGTCCCAGTATGAGACTTTTGAAAATAATATGGTCTCCCTCAAGTCGGATCCGGATCCTTCAATTTATGGAGGGAGGATCGCGGCACCACTTAAGAGAGCTATGCGGGGTGCTGATATTGTTGTTGATATGTGGCATGCGAGTCACTTGCCCTCTCACATTTCGCATCAGCGGAGGGAAGATACGTGGACTTGGAGTCTGGTGCGAGGCCTTGCGGCAACGGGGGATTCGGAGGTTGAGCTGGTGCATGACATGAGAGAATTAAAGGAGGTTAATGGGTGGTGTTTGGCGAGTGATTTTCCTGCTGGAATCGAACGCTATATGATGGAATTACCAGAAGGGTGTAGTCGTGCCATGCCGTTGCCTGATGACGGTAACTCGGATCTATGATTTGGAATGTGAACGAGCGAAGAGAGAAACTGTTCTCTGTCACGGTGTCAGCCGCCCATAAAATAATGAAATTATATAATACTCATAATGATATCTAATAGATGGTCGAAATGAAGGTTGTAATCGATATACGCAGGTAAATAACTCTAAATCTGGTCTTTGATCTGACGTCACGTTGATGGACCAAGATAGCATCCGGCCTCGAGGTAGATCTAAATCAAACCCAGAGCTATTGATATTCGTCCCAGTCCAAAATTTCTGACATCATATCTGGCAGCTGGTACTTGCTATTTGCATGGAAAATGTGCGCGAGATGGATCGGAGCGATGGTTCTCAGACAACATGATGCGCTCAAGGGCGTGTCCCTCGATCACTTTGTGTGACCGAGGCCGAGGTAATCCAGGCGCCTGTCGATATTTCGAACATCATCAATATTAAATCCCTAATTATGCTTAGAGTGATAGTGTCATGACCATGAGTTTGGTCCTTGATGAGGCCGTCTACCCATGCAAACCTACACCAAATACCAGACAGATACATGGAAGGATACCAGATGGATGCCTCGAAGGGTGAAACTACCCAATTTCCAAGTTTACTTTGGTATTCCAACAGCTCTAGTCCACTATGCCATCACAAACGCTGGGCCATCCAGGAAAAAGTCACTATCGTGTAAGGGCATCGGTCTAGATGCTCCATGGTAGATACTAGCTAACTAGGTCTTGAAGCCCACAACCGAAGACCATGTATGAAAATGCATACCACTGCAAGCCTACATTTCTATATGATTAACATATTCAAATTCCCCAGGCACAAAAATAGCGATACCCCTGTCTATGGAAAGAAGGACTAGTAAGCAGGAGGTATAGAGGTTTTTGTGGACTTTATAAGCACTTAGGCACTATAAGGGACTATTTCTTATCTCTCTCGCCGTACATAGACCCTGCTACAGATCCAATCACCATATTAAGTTTGTCACGTGATAGAACATCGAGGAAGTAATTTAGCGCTGAGGACAGTTTGGAGCTTGACTTGGGAAGATTAAACCGCTATTCCTTTTTTTATTGCAAAGATGACATGCTAGATACAGTCCCAGGTCACGCGGCAGTGAAGTATCGCATTTGAGTGCAATAGGGGCTAAACCCTATTTGAAAATGTCCTTGGTCGCAACATGAACTCCGCCCAATGACAACCGCAACTATTTGACCTAACATTATGATATGCCTTGATATTAAGATAATTTCTAGTATTATAGAAGCAGAATTATTGCTATTTTTATATTCAAACCCCTATTCTACTAAAATAGCAAGAATATCCACAAAATTGAAGAAAATTCCACCCAAATTCCAAAAAATTCCGCAAAAACTTCAAAAAGTAACGAGCACCGAGGGCGATTTGAACGCCCGACCCTAGGATCTGCAATCCCATACTCTAACCCCTGAGCTACCGGTGCTTTGCTGTAGGATTGAAAAGAAAAGAAAAATATTAAGAAAAAGGTCATGATATGGTGAGGCATAATGAGGTTTTGTAGGGAGTTTTGGTACACTACCAGATTATGTAAGATTCTGCCGGGTAGATATTACTATAATAAAGCTAGATTGATGGGACTCTAGTTGCTAAACTCGTTAATAGGGTTAAAAACATGACTTAATGAGAAGGGCAATTTTCCGGATCCAAATCTGGAGATTTGGAGCTAAGTCCGACGCAACGCATATTCTGTGCTTATTATATGTAGTAGGAGCTAATAGCAGTAGGATAGGTAAGTCTGAAATGCGTTAAAAGCGTGTGGATCCCGATACCATGCTGGGTGAACTTGTCGCATATCGCTGGTTAGTCACTGCGAGAGTGATTCATCGTGGTAGGAATAGAGCGATAATGCGCGTCTAGAAGTAGGAAGAAACCAGGTTGCTGATAGCTAGTTAGAACTATATTTGACCCGTTCGTTGTATTACTATATACAACATCTCGTTAGGGTGAAGCATCTTGGGGTTTGTACCTGTGACTAAAGCCTTGCTGGTCAAGATTTCATGGCATTTAGCTTATATTTACGGATGATAAATCGAAGGTCGAGGGAAAATTGGCGTGAAAATCAACCAGCCTTTACTTGGTGCTTCCTCCGGCCTTGGAAGACCTTGTCCTATTCCCAAGTATTCAGGATAAGGAGGTATGCGTTCACCGGCCGTGGCTTGATTATGAATTATTCGAAATTGTGGATATTTATCACAATGGTAGTGGACTCGTGCTTGAAATAAAGACGGAACCTGTGTAATATATCAAGGTCGCGATTTCTTCTCCCATCTCTCTAAATGAAGATGACGAGGAAAGGCTGTAACAGAATTAGTTCGATACAAGCTAGAGACCAGTTTAATTTTTTTTCTACAAAAGTGTCGAGGAAAAGAAGAGAGCTCATCCCCTTCTGTGGGGAAATGGAATCGGATTATTTCTTCCGAAGGCAGTGTTCATCCATAGTCGTCTGCAGTGGGGATATACATGGCCATGGCTCATATTCTACTGCCGGGCTTTGGCTAGTAATAGATAAGACATGCCGATCCGCCCAATCATCACGCGAGCGTCGGTACGATACTTTTGATCTCTTGATTTCATTATTATGATATAGGACTATAGGTGGAGCGAATATGGCTGAATTGGCCTAAGATTAAGTTTACCCCCGTTTTCGCCCGAATTTACCAGCCTCTTACGAGTAATCTCCCTATCTGCTAGGGTTATTCTAGTCTCAAATCAGTTTCACTAGGCCTGATCAACCCCGCAATCGTGAAAACATCCATATTTTTAAGCTATAATTATGCATTTCCAGCGGTATTTCCGAGATGTATAGGTTATAGTCCGGCTAGCTGATTAGCGAGGAACCTTCAGGTCTGAACATAGTTTAGACTGCTTTCCTGCTCGGCTCATAGTAGATCGAGAAGCCGCAGGGGTTCGCGTTTGCTATATATTTCAATGTCAATGGAGCAAAGATTAAGATAGTAGCCTCTACTAGAGCGGAGTATCCAGTAATTTGCGTCAACTTAATTGACTGGTTACCTTTATAATGGTGCATCTTTTGTGTAAACTCTTGTTGCTGGCTTCAAATCCAGGCCAGAAATCCGGTATGAATGTGACCTATTTCCGTGAAACTCAAAGTCGGAATTCAAAAGTAACATTTACTTCCATTTACGTGACTAGCTATTTCAGGAGTGAAAATACGTTAATACATTCAATTATGCTAGATGAAACGTCAAAGTAGTGCGTTATATTACATACAGCGCCGCGAGGGGTAGCGTTGATGAAGCGCCAAGATACTTTTGCTATGATATCGGTTTCTTATCAACCCGAAAATTCACCGGCTTGATTTCACTTCTTATTTGCTAACCATTAAAATTGAACCATAGCTTTTGCCGTGATAAAGACTATATATGGGGTCCTTAATGCCAGGGAAATTGGATGAAATGGGCAAATCTATCCTGTCTTTTAATGAGCAGTCACATCCTAAGACTTTATATCATCATCTTCTTTCTCTCGTTACCAGCTGAAAGGGCTTTAGCCTCATGAACCAGAACATCTATACTTGGCTAAGATTTTGATATTTCAGCATCTCCGAGGCAAAATGCGCATCGATATTTGGATTTTCCGAATACTACCGCTGATACTCTCATTCTCTATACCAATTGCCTCTGCCCTCGCCCGCGCGGCTTGCCAAATCAGCCTACCGGAGTGAAAACTATCAGAACAGCTAATAATGTTACCATCCATTACAAAGAGCCTGGCAAGGAAGGTGTCTGCGAAACTACCCCTGGTGTCAAGTCTTATGCAGGATATGTTGACTCTTCTCCGCAATCACACACTTTCTTCTGGTTCTTCGAGGCACGCCACGATCCAATGAATGCGCCCATTACGCTATGGCTTAATGGCGGCCCTGGGAGTGATTCACTGATTGGGTTGTTTCCAGGTGAGGACCAGCGAAAAAAAAGAATCTAACAAGTTTTATATTACTAAATAACTGGAAACAGAGCTAGGTCCATGTGCTATTAACGACAAATTTGAAAGCTACCTGAACCAGTATTCTTGGAACGAGGTTTCGAATATGTTATTCTTGTCTCAGCCTGTCGGTGTTGGTATGAGAGCATATTTGTGTACGTCGGGCGAGCATATACTAAACGCTCATAGGATTTTCATATGCGGAGAAAAGCGCTGGCTCCCTGAATCCGTTGACGGGTGCCTTCGAGGGTGTAGATTTTGCGGGTGCTCAGGGTCGTTACCCCGTGACAAATGCGACGTCAATCGGTAAGTTGTCCATATAGAAACAATCACGACCCTATCATGCTTACCAAGAGATATAAAGATACAAGTACTCGCGCTGCGCAGGCAACCTGGGAAGTTCTACAGGGGTTTCTTGGAGGTCTCCCAAAATTAGACCCTAGGATCCATTCAAAGAGGTTCAATCTCTGGACAGAAAGCTATGGAGGGTAAGATTCAGCCCAAGCAAAATTAGAGAATGATGCTCACATCTACTAGACATTATGGCCCAGCCGTGAGTCTGCTACCGTAACTCTAATTCTGCCAGAAGATAACAATTGCAGTTTTTCGACTACTTTTCTGAACAGAACCAAAAAATCGCCAATGGTACCACTGGGGGCGTTCAACTAGAATTTCACACTCTCGGTATCATCAATGGGTTGATCGATGAAGCGATACAAGCCCCTTACTATCCAGAATTTGCACGCAACAACACCTATGGCATCAAAGCTGTAAGTTCGAGATATTCCACTACTGGGCTAAGCTAAAATATGTCTTAGGTCAATGAGACTATCTACAACTATATGAAGTTTGCAAATGGGATGAGAAATGGCTGCCAAAGTCAAATAGCAGCCTGCAAAGCCACCAATCGTTCCTCACTAATCGATTATGCACTCTGCTCAGAGGCAACAAACATGTGCCGTGATAACGTTGGTAAGTTACTCTTCCCTCTTTTGTTGGATCTACTAAGCTCATCTGCATAAAGAGTATCCCTACTACTATTATAGTGGGCGCGGTACCTACGATATTCGCCATCCATATAAGGATCCAACTCCCCCTCGAAATTATTTAGGCTATCTTGCAAAGGATTCTGTCCTGAATGCAATTGGTGTCGACATCAATTATACCAGTTCAAACAAAGAGGTATATTATGCCTTCCAACAGACAGGAGACTGGGTCTGGCCCAACTTTATAGAGAACCTGGAAGATGTACTTGCGCGTCCAGTCCGAGTGGCCTTGATTTACGGTGACGCAGACTACATTTGCAACTGGTTTGGCGGCGAGGCAATTTCACTCGCAACCAACTACTCCCACAGCAAGGAGTTTCGGACCACGAGCTATGCGCCTTTCCTGGTTGACGGGATCGAATATGGGATGACGAGAGAATACGGCAATCTCTCGTTCACTCGTATTTATGAAGCCGGCCACGAGGTTCCATATTATCAGCCCAAGGCCGCACTGCAGATCTTTAATCGAACCTTGAATGGGTGGGAGCTACCGGCAGGTGATAGAAAGCTGGACCTGGGCCAGTGATTGAGACTTCGATGACTTGACCTGAGTTCAGATAAACAATCACTGGCTCGACCAGATCACAATAATGGATCTGGATTATTTATCAACCCCATGAATTACATCATGTGAATGCAGTTGTTCTTCGCTTCCCTTACCAGTTCTGGCTCCACCTTCCCATTTGTTGCTGTCAAATATGCTTGCCAAATGTCGGCAATCCTGAGTTGATGGGGGTTTCCCGCTGTTTTCTCCAAGACCAGCGCATACTGTTTGCCCTTCTGGCTTCTAGAGCCTAATTGAGGGCCCCGTTATGTTATTTCTCCAATGAGTATCAAACTCGATCTAGTTTCTCCTTGAGTCAATACGCGTAAATAGGCGTCTACCCCAGGCGTTGCACACTGTCTTGCGAGCTAGAGCAATTGCAGTAGCATCCATAGCATTGTATAGGCTACTATGGCTCGAGCTTGGCCTCGCTTGCAGATTCACGCCTTGCCCGGTTAACTAACGAGAGTTTGATCTCTTGGTTACATCATTACGTTTTTCATCAGGTATATCCCAGAAGAGTTTATCTTCATTCGTATTTGTATGCTATTATTACATAGCCGTAGAAAATGTATCCAGTGATGTAGATTTAAACTCCCCAATTGAAACGCCGGAACCCACGTGGACCCTGCATGCACATTCATCAAGCTTAATTTCTGGGTCAGGTGGAAGGTGTAAGTTAAAAACGAAAAAGGAAGGCGCGGGGGAAGAGAGGAAGGGGAATCCGCATGACCAAGGTAATAAAACATGGGAAATTTACAAGAGAAACGGAGGTATGAGCAGCGACCAAAAGATTCTCTATTTCGATCCCCATCCTCGGATTCTCATGCCTTCCTCGATGGCGGTCCAGATACCCTCGACAACTTCGCGATCCCGCCAGCGGCCACCACCGTGAATGCCGCCCTTCTCATCCCAACGCTCAACAGCAAAGCTGTCTACTCCACGGCCCCAGCCCTTGACCGTAGAGGGGACGTCCTCGCCACGCCAGCCAACATAGATACCGGTAGCATGTTTAAAGAGTTCTGGTGGTGAAGACCACTTGTACGACTTAAACTGCCAGGTCTGTCCGGTAGTAAAGACAGCCACGAGACGTGACCAGTATTCCGGCTTGAAGTTGGTTGTGCCATCAACAAGGATGAACTTGGTAGGCTTGGGTCCACGACCGCCGGCGGCTGAGCCAGCACTGGCAGAAGGATTGGAGGGGTCGTTCTTTAGACGCAGTGGTCGCTTGAGTTCCATGAAGTTGGCCTCGGTAGACGTGCTCAGGGTTGGGTGATCTGGTGGAACGAAGACACCATCTTGTAGGAAAGACTTGATGTTCGACATGCGGATAAGAGAGGAGGCGGAGGGCGAGAGAAGAATGATGGGGTCGGGACGAGAGCTTGATTTGCGGGATGGCATGGATAGGCCGGCTGAGGGTGCGGGCACCATTGAGGAGGGTTTGACGCCCGGTTTGGCGCCAGGCTGGCCGGGACGGTCACGGCTGCGGTCGAAGAAGATAGCAGCACTTTTGCGGACGTGGGAGAATTCCTAGAAAGCAAAGCAAGAGTTAGTTTCTAATACAGCGTATCCATCTGCTTGATGCAAGTCAACTTACCGTTGGTTTGATTCCCCGAAGCAACGTATTCCGATCACCCGTCTTGCGCTCCCCATTGTAGATCTCCTGCAGCCGAGGATCAATCTGCTTCTGCGGGCGACCAGCTTGACCAGGAGCCGCAGCAGCTCCACTGGGCACCGTTGAAATACCTCCAGCAGCGCCGGAGGCCACACCGGCGGCGGCCTCTGCTTGAGCCTGGCCTGCAGCTGCTGCAGCGGCTTCGGCAGCGGCAGCTGCGCCCTCGAGTGGCTTGATGTGTTCGCTCTCATCGGAAGCACCCTCCAACCAAGTGATGAGGTCCAGACGCTCGACGAAAACAAGGTTTTGAATCACCTCTTCTTTCCCACCCTCCTGAGGCTCCTTCTGCTTGAGCGCCTCATTCAACTCTTGTGCAGAGGCGATGTACTCTGGAATCGCGACATCCTTCTTCTGCCACGCGAAAAAGATACTGCGCAGATCGACGGCGGTTTCTGTCGTGTTGGAGACAAAGCGCGTGGGCTCAGTCAATGGGAATGTGTGGGGTGATGGCTGGGAGAAGAACAGGTGTGTCGCCTGGGCTAGGTTGTCTGTCGCATGCTGGTCTGACAGCTCGGAGGAGGTCGTCGGTGTTGGGAGGTTACCTGCAGCAATGGCGCGCCGGAGCGAGAGGAGAGGGTCCTGGACAGCCGAATCGGTCGCTGCCATGTTTGTAATCGAGGACCACGGCGACTCGGAATGAAGCTGCAACGGCGGTGGTGGTTGGACTGAAGGGTGCGCCTGGAAAGTGTTCCGGTGGAATGGCTGGTGTTGAAGCTCGCGATGCACGTGACTCGATACGTAGAAACGGGTCTTCCTAGCTAGACCTTGCACTATTGCTTTCCATACTCGATACCTATTTATTCTTTCTCTTCATAAATTTCATCATTTCGAATTCCGCATTTAATTTTCGAAAAGATCTCTTCCATCGATTAATCGAAATCAACGTCACACCCTGTACATGATAATGCAGTCTACTCAACGACTGACGCAGTGTACCCCAGAACTGATATACCGCCACATCCAGCTCCATGCCCCGAAGACTGCCGTGATACCAGTAAATAGAATCAATGTCCCATACTGAGTGCTAAACCCAGTTTCACTATTTCCCTGTGAGCCACTCAGTGAACCCTGCTTGATCAGCGCTGTGCTCAGCGGACCACTGATAACATTGCCGATTCCTCGCCCTCCGGCAAGCAGACCAAAGACCAGCCCCGTCTCCAAAGAGGCTGAAGAGTCACGCTTAATCTGCTTAATGATGCCGGACCAGGTGGAACTGAAACCACCCGCAAAGAAGCCATAGAAGATGGAGAAGAGAGTGAGCAAGGCAATCGCCGTCTGAGGTGATTCAGATTCTGGAGATGATGCCATGCCCCAAAGAAGGAACACGGATAGTGCGGAGCCTACCGAGGAGAAAAGCAGAATATTCGATACTGCGAAGCGATCACACAGCATCCCCACGCAGATGCCACCGACAACGGAAGTCGCGTTGAAGAGCGAGACTAGCATTGTGCCTGTTGTTTCGGGTAGACCGACTGTGGCGGTCGAATAGGATGGTAGATATGTAGACGGCAAGAAGTATCCAAAGCTCTGGATGATATTACCTGCCTGGAGCATCCAGAATGTGGCCAACCTGAGGAAGCTCAGGTCCAGACGCCGGGCTGATGCGTACGGGGAGACTGGGATTCGAGGTTTCATGAACGGCAAGGATAGTAGGGTAGTAAGTAGCTGTAAGTTTATGTTAGAATTGAAAGCTTCCAACCACCGAGTAGAATCACTACATAGTCTCGCAACACTTGCGCAGTAGGGAATAAAATGGAAACGATGAAGCGGGAGACCATACCGTAGTGACAGTCCAAGCTCTAAAAGTTGTACTAGAACCGAATCTGTTCAAACAAGCATTCGCCACGAAGGGTAATGCAACACCAGTTATGCTTTTGGCTGCCCACATAATGCCGAGTGCAAGTCCCTTCTTCTGTATAAACCATTGGTCCATATACAGAGACGATGGACTGAACATGAGTGCATTGCCAATGGCGCACATAACGCCCTGCGTTGCAATAAGGTGCCAGACTTGCTGCGAGAAGGACGATAAAAGGGACCCGATCACGGTGATAGCTAAACCCGTCGGAATGCACCAGACCTGAAGGCGTGGGTATCGCGTCAGAAGGGTAAAGGTTACAGGCGATAAGAGGTATAGAAGACCCTAGATGATTGAGTTAGATCATATCACTACCAATGAAAAGTGTGCAAGGAGGTTTCCCATACAGTCGATGTAGTCCCCACGGTAGCCAGATCGCCTTTATCGCCCTGCAAGACATCGTGCGTGCTGTAGTACTCTTGGAAAATACCAAACACGGTCGAGAATCCTAGTCTCTTAGATTAGACATTGAAACACTCTTTCTATTCGCACTTAGTGCACACCCCAGACTGGTAGCTGGATGAGACAGCATGAAGCGAGCAATAGCCATGCAGCTTTGCCTCCATCTGCGGGGGACAGCGACGGCTGCTCGATCTCCGATGGAGTCACGTCATCAGAAGAGTGACGAGATGGTATCTCGCTCAAAGAGATGGTCTCGTGGGTAGTAGAGCTCATGATTGTTGATAATTCATGAATCCGTGTAACAGATTGCAGATACTGAAGGGGGTATAAAGTTTATGAAGTGAAATCTGAGATGATGTCGTGTGAGTAGTTGCCCCTCTCGGGTTGATCCTTGACTCATCGGAGCCTTGTCGGGGCCGTGATGCGTCCGGAAGTACTTCATGGGTTTCATCTATCCAATGACAACAGGGGCGTTGGAAGTAGACGAATGACTATTCAGGAAAAATGGGACTGCAGCTCGGGCACTTTTGGAGTCAGCATGAGTTTAAGGAACCTGTCAAAGCAGTTGTAACTTCATGATCTCGTTCAAATTCCTACTTGCCTCTCACAACACATCTTTGGAGAACCCTAGTTAGTTAAAAGCATTCAAAAATGTAACCAGAGAAGCCAAAAATTCGCAAAAAAGGGCCATAATGAAGGAGAGACAATATGATCACCCATCCTATTACTTTGTAACACCCAGTATATATCTCCTTTTCGACATCCTTCAACCACGAATTCATCGCTACATATACCATCGAGATAGATCATGCACGCTATACAAGGGTAGTCAGTTGTATATGCAAGGCCCAAGTGCTAGCCAAGGCAAGACTCAACAATACCAAACATAATAGCAGGCCAAGTTCCTAGATGACTTCCCCAGAATAACACCCTACAAGCTTACAGGTAATGGACCAGATACAGAGGTAAGAATAACATTGTTCATACAAGCAAGCCAATCCTGTTTCTGGCGTTGGATATCGATCCTTGAAGGAGAGAAAGGAAAAGGTCCGGTAGATCATTTCATAGACAATGAGATGATGAGTGATAGATCTCTCAGGCTTCACTGTTATGCATTCAACACCCAGACAGGGCGCTGAAGAAAAACATCCTCGGACCAAAGAGAAGAAAAGAACAGGAAAGAAGCATAATTGTCGAAAGACACGAACCATCCCAAACCGAACCCGACCGAACCGAACCCTGGTATTTCCGTAAACCGACCGTGACTGGTCGCGCCATGTACGCCTTTCAAGCAGAAAAACAAAAACAAACACAAGTCAAAAGACGTCACACAGCCAAAACCGAACAAAACGCCATTGGTTCACCACCCTGTGAAGGATTGCGAGCCAAGTCACACGAAAGAACATTTTTTGAGTCGTTAGAAACGTAAGTCCCCTGCGAAGGGTAGGTTTCGTCAACCGTCAACCGTCAACCATCAGTCAACCCAGGCCACAAATATTACTATCACATAGCAAAAAGGAAGAAAAAGGGGGTATTGAAGACAGATCACGAAGAAATGGAAGGGATGCGTGGCTGGGCTGACTCTGGTGCGTCTTTCATCGATACGTCGGGGGACCCAAGAGGCTCTGACTTGGCATCTGGAGATGGTTTAGTTGGAGTCTGGGCCTCATCCGCACTGGCAATAGGCCCTGGGCCCGGAGTCAAAGGTGATTTCTGCGTGGAAGGTACGGCATTGGCCTGAGCCGGAGATTGGGTCTTCTCGGAAGTTGGCGTTGCCATTGTACCTCGTCGGATTAGGTAGTCACCAAGACTGAGTTTCTTCTTAGCTGGGGTGGGAGTCGGTGCAACTGTGCTAGGTGGGGGAAGAATAGCGTGCGGAGATGTGTCGAGGGCATTAGGAGAGGCGAGGCTCGCAGCAGACATAGAGCTGGGGCTAACAGCAGAGGAGACATTGGGGATGCTAGGCGGTGGCATGGAGACGCGTAAATTGACGCGTTCTGGAGTAGTAGCGACCCCAGGAAGTCGCGTATTGTGTGCAGCGGTGGATGGCCATGGTGGTGGAATCACGGGCTTGCTTGCATCTGTTTGAACAATGTCGGACGAAAGGGCATGCGACGCATCCTGCATTTCTAAATCTCCTTGATGAGGTGGCTCAGAAGGAACTGAATCAGACATGACGACATCGGACTTTTCCTGCTTCGTAATTGGAGACTGAATGAGAGCTGGTGAGGAGGACCCAGCAGAGACGACGGAATCCGAACCAGCCGAGGATAACTGTTGTCGTGCAAGTTCCTGAGCTCGAAGGCGATCTGCTTTGAAACGTTGGAGGATCCGGACAGTTCTTGGGACAAAAGTAGTGCGAGGGTGAGGAGACGCGTCGCGTGCAGCTTGATACTCTACTTCATCCATATCACATTGAATACCCATATCGACATAGGTAGGACGGCTGAGAGGAGAATGAGCATAGGGTGTATTGGACCCCGAGGTCTTGCGGGGGGATCCGTGACGACCTGTAGCAGATAATCCTGGCGACATGGCGGTGGTGGGTGAGCGAGAGCGACCGGCAGTATCAAGGTGTAGTGATTTGGTTGAATTTCGGTGAGCCCCAAATGACCCCGCCTGAGTGGCAGTTGAGACCCCTGCAGATGTTTGTGTCAACGAACCACTCACTCGCTTCTTTTTGCGTTGAGTGGTTGGCCGATGGTCCTGTTGTTCCAACTGCTGGAATTGCTTTTCTGCGTCTGCAATCTTTCGCTTCTCTCGGGTGGAAAGTTCCGCTGGTCCAGTCGTGGCGGGGCTGAGGTCGCGACTTCGAGGTTGACCACGCACCGAGCCAGAGGTAGATCGGCTCTCCATAGCTCCATCATCCTCTTCCGGGTGTTTTGTAGTCTCACTCCCTGCCCGACTAGTGGATGCACGGCCCGTATCGTGGGGGGAGGCGACGGACTTTGTTTTCACCTTCTTGCGCTTGCCATTAGTCTGCTTGGATGACTCGAGCAACTTCGGGTTCCGTCGGCGGTCCAAGCTCGCAAGAAGGCAATTAGGCTGGTCGCATGCACAACCCCCAAAATTGGCGAGGGTATTGCTGATGCAGATAGCAGGGGCTTCTGTCGCACTGTCCTCTTGCTTGACCAGGCTGTTTGTCGATTCGAAGAAATGTGAATCCAGATACCACATGATCGTAATTTCGGAATTCGCAGGAATATCCTCCTTTGCAACAAAGCAAAAGTGATACTCCACATCATTGGTGATGAAGATCTTCATGGTCACATTAGGACGGCATGACCGGCGGGTGTAACGAAGGATACTGCCTTCATGGCGGCTGTCGATGTAGAGAGGAAGGTGAGAGCTGAAGAAAACGAAGGGCTCGGGGTGGTGGAGCTCGGGCCAGCGGTTATTAGGATCCCGACAATAGTCATGGAAATTGCCGACTTTGCCTATGATTTCCCCAACGACGTGGTCTTTTTGCACCGGATCTAGAGTCTTGACGAATTTCCAGGTGGGATGTTTCCCGCCAATGTCAACCGATGAATCCGTGATGGTATCGGTTGTCAGAGCGGGCCAGCGAGATTTGTCGAGAGCGGCATCGGACCGATTGAAAGTATTCTCGGCACCACCATGGGTCACTCTTGACAGGGCCTCCGGATCCTTAACCCAGGATGCAGTATCACTCAGGAGGTTGACGGTGTCGAAAAGGTTGCTCTCCATGTCGACACGTTTATCATCACGATCATATAGACGGAGGAATTCGTTAGAGTACAGGGGGATGAAAGGAGCGGGAGGTTTGGTAGGACTGGGGGCGACAGAGGTGGAGGAACGGCGTTTTCGGCTCTCGGCGGGAAGGGTCGGTGTACCCACAAGGGCACTGATGGATGCAGAGGATCGGTGACCAGTTTTGGTCTTCTTAGCTGGGGGTTGATCGCGAGCCCCGGACTCGCTGCGCTGATGTCCAAATCCATTCACGTCGCCATCGCGGACCTTTTTCCTTTGGGATTTGGTACCCGATCGCTTCTTCCGGTCACCGTCGTCACTCTGCTCTCGGATCCGCCGTTGGCGCTGACGCTCAGCAGCGCGCCGGGCATCCAACGTGCGAGGCTCGCAGTCGACGCAGTTGTGCACTTCCGGCACCCGCTTGTCCGGGTAATAGCAGATGATGTGCTGCCACGTCTCACACCCTTCGCAGAAAACCGTGTTACCATCATCATCATCAAAGGCGCAGATGCATTTGATGGTGTACGGCTCTTCCTCGTCGGGCGCGACCGAGTCTGAGATTGCCCCGTTGGCGATGGGGGATCCAAGAGAAGCAGGGACGGGGACCGGATACGGATCCGTGGTGGCGTGCGTGATGGCGAGGGAGGAGGTATCTGTCATAGTCTGACAGATTACCCCCCCTCAGATCACGACAAACTGAGATATGCTGAGAAACGATGGCGTGGCCGACCCGTCACTGTGCAACGAGCATGTCCACGATCGCTTCAAGGGAAAGTCTTCGTCAGTCTTGAAGAATCCCTTTTTTGTCAACGTAAGACGCGTTCTGGCCTATGTGGCGAGCGAAAGCCAGTGGGACGACGGCGTAGAGAGTGGAATCCCAAGAGGATACACCCTGGCCAATGCTGCTACAGCCTAGCCGATCTTCTTCGCAGGGTAATCGAGTCGATTATGATGGCCTTCGGACGGCTAGGGATGGCTTTCTGGAGAGAAAGAAAACCTTGGCCGAATGCGCCTATCCGGTGTGCTCAAGGGTGGAGCGACGAGGAATGGAGGAATCGACACGAGAAAAGTAGCAGCCAGGAATGAGGACCGAGGCGATTTGGGATAATGTGTTCAGAGAGGACGCGGATCGCGCAGGAGGTGTGGGTTCGGGTTGTTCGTCGAAGAGTAGGGTCCGTCAAAAGGGCGAGAAAGAAGGCGACGGGATTCGCGAGTAGGACGAGGAGGGAGAAAAGAAGGCGGAAGAGTCGAGACGGTTAGGATCGAGAAGAGTTGAGGCTGGAACAAACGAAATGGGGGGGGAAGGGGGGTGAAGGAGAATCGGAGGGAAGAGAAAGGACGCGCAGCAAGAAAAGGAGAGGGAAAAGAGGGTGATTCGAGAAGTGGTCGAAGGAGGAGGAGGAGGCTACGGAGGGCCTTAGGCAGAGAAAGCCCGAGTGCAGCGAAAGGGGAATAGCGCGGATTAGAGGAGTCGCGCAGGAAGGAAACCGGACTGCGAAGGAAGAGGGTGGCCGGGGGGAAAATGGGAGGGGGGACTCGACCCGAAAACGATTAGCGGGCCAAAGCTGGTGGTATTGGCATTCTGGCGTTTGGCAGGGGAGGGGGAAAGGTTAGTCAGGTGTATTGTATGGTTATGGCCGATACCAGGTGGTAATCAAAAGGGCCAAACAGGGGCGAGACCAGCGACTGCCGTTCTGGGGGAAGACGCTAAGTAGAACTCGGACTAGCGCCGGGAAGACCTAATCCGGTGGGGAGAGTCACGAGTCACAGGAATGCTGGACGAGTTGGCGCTGGCAGATGGGGTTAGCATCTAGGAAACAATGGTAGTATCATGTTAGTCAGTGCAACGGCCATAGCTCTCTGGCGAGTGAGTTAGTAGTAGTAGATAGATGGCCCTATCATTGTGACCCGAGTGGCAGGTTCAGCCGTAAGCACAGTCGGGATCCATGCAGCCCGGTAGTGACGGGAGAGGCCCATTTGATAAGGCTGCAACCCTGATCGAGTGCAGTCATGAAGCATCTCGATGGAAGGACCCCGAAAGGTACTGGCGACGGGTCCACGAGGAGAAAAGTGGACTGCCTCGGAAGAGAAAAAAAAGAAAGAAAAGAGGAACATAGAACAAAGAAGGACAAGAAGTATGTACGGAACAAGGCTCGTGAAAGGACTCGTGGGCTAAGCAAGGGAGAGAGGATCAGTAAAAGTAGAGGAGTGAAATCCCGCAATGCCAGCCGCAGCGAGCGTGACATGAGAAAAACCTCTGGAAGTCTTGTAGAAGTTTGTCTGGATGTTAGTATAGAGCGGAAGGAATAGTGTACAAGCTGGGCGAAACGTGGGTAAATGGAGAGTTGCGTCCATGGAAAGAGGAAGATCGGCCGGGAGACGGAAGGGTAAGATGGGGCAGGGGAGAGTGGCGCAGAAGTCGGGAGAAAAAGAGAGGGGAAAGGAGGGAAAAAAAGAAAGGATAGTAAGGTCAGTAGTAGAGTAGACTTGAGAGGCCCGTCTGTTGGTCATCGGGCCCAGAGTTGGGTTTGATCTCTGGGCGCTGGTGTTCGAGGAAGGCCCCCGAAGAGAAGGGGGGGGGGGGGAGGAAAATAAAAAGAGGGTCATCATATCGACAGGGCCAGTGTATCAGGTATGGAGTACTGGACGAAATCCCCATCAGAGGCTGCCCGAGGTGAAAATGGTGGGAGTAGAAGGGTGCCCAAAGGGTGGAAAGAGAAGACACTCACAGTGGTAAAAGGGGGCCGCTCAGTAGGCTTCCGATATTATTTCCAATCCGGTGATTTGGCGGCCCTTTTTTTGCCACTATAGAGGGACCGCCGTGCGCAAGGAACAGGAGCAAATCAAACCGTTAGTCGATCATCCAACTGGTTAAATTAAGGCGAAAACGTATTGAAACCGCCCGGTATGGTCCTCCGAACTCCGCAGTATACTCTGTATGGTGGTGCTCAACCGTCGCACCGGGACTGTGAGAACAGCGCGGTGAATCTTTGGTCCATCTTTTGATAGACAGCTGCTTGAGTATCATACCGATTTAAAATGATGAACGAAAGAGTGGATTCGAACGATAGATTGGACGCTCCAGAGTCGGCAGGTGTAACGCAGGTGTGGGCGTGGGCGTGGGGGTTCAGGGCTGTAGCCCCGGCAGCACGAGCCACCCGGGCCTGAATACCAGCCAGACAAGGTCTCTGCGGGATATCAGCTTTCAATTTTTAAATGCAGGAGCAAATCAATACGACTGGGATGAATCTCAGAACGTACATGGTTCAATGAGGTGGAGAAGGGAAACTGAATTGAAGAGGAGGAGGAAGAGGATGAGAAGGGAAGAAGTTGAATCACGTTGGCAGGGAAATAGAACGTGGTGGGCAACGACAAACAGGTGACTTCCAAGGTTCCAATCAAAACATGATGACTCGTGATATTTAGAGACCGGATGGTACTACTAATACAACAAAATTCAACCACTAAGAATAAAACTCCATGGCATTAAAAGCTGCACGAATCCACCACTCTCCAGAGATACCTGATTTAGTCTATGCGCGCCCACCCCAGTCTTCTCCGGGCTTTCATCCGAGCGTTTACATGTCCACGGCCGTTGACAGTACGGGATCCGACTAAACGATCTCGGGTGAACCGGGCTGCGCTGACCTTCCCTGTTGCGCTTCGGATGTTTGAGTGGCAGCTTTGTTCCGTTGTTCGTCCCGACAGTTGTGCACTCCCAAGTCGCTATGAGATGTCCGATAAGGAACCGTCGTTTGAAAACGATGAGCGAAATATAGACCTGCGAAGACGGGAATGCTCAAATAAGCGGCGAGAAGTCTGGCGACTTTTGGACCAGGACGAGGCCCCGGTATGCCTCCAACTAAGCCATTGGACATGAGCAAGATCGCGCTCATCAAGGCTCCAAAGTATGTCCCAAACGGCTGGATGGCAAATTGATAAGAGTTGGTATTGTGACGGAGGCCCGAATTATGTCGGAAGTAGTGGAATATCACGCACGAAACCAGCCAGGACAGGTAGCCGGAGCTGTTCACGAAGACGAGGAAATAGGTGGTCGTGGTTGAGCTCGACATTTTCACGGAGACGAAGGCTAACAAGGAGAAAAGCCCGGTGGTGCCGACGGCGATATAGGGAACGCCCCATTCGTTGCGTACTTTGAGGGCCCGATGAGCATGGCCGAGCTCAGACATTGCACACAGTGCTCGTGAAGCGAGGAATAGAAACGATCGAGCCGAAGCAACGGATGAAACCAGGATGGCAAGGGTTGCAGTGACGGGAACGATTCGAATGCGAGCAGTGTTCATCCCAATGATGAAGGGCGAAAGACCGGCTCCAGCTCCATTGTTGGTCAATAACGGATCGTTGTAGGGCGCCATGACACCCATCGCCAGGGAGCTCAGGATATAAGGCAATGTGGTAGTGGCCACATCGAAGGCAACCTTGCCCGGGAGGCTGTCTTGAATAGTCGGATCTAGCGCCTCGCCAATCTCGGTATGAACAGATTCAAACGTCTCAGCTCGGTGGACAATGATCTCGGGCGCGAAAGTGAACGCAATAGAGCTGTGCGAGACACACTGGAGCAAGCCCCAAAACTTGCCCAGAGAGCCATGGAATAAGTATTCGTGCATCGCCCCTGGCCTTTTCCAGTAATGGAACCCCCATTTCGTATGACCCGTGGCTCCTCCAAGCCCAATAGACAGCGACAAAACAAGTAGACATGCCATTGTACCGACTTTGATTCTGGTGAAGAGGCGCTCAGAGGTTCGAAAGTGTCTCTCCGGAATGAAGTTGGATCCCACAACAATAGTAATGACAATGATCAATCGCAAAGCAATCGTTACATCAGGGTTCCAAAGCCCGAGGTTTACCATTGCAGTTGTAATCTCGTAGGGGACAAACATCGCTAGCGTGTACCAGCGCAGAATTCCGGCCGCGAACCCCATACTGTCCGTCATGTATCGGAAGCCATTGGTGACCAATGTACCGTGACGAGCCGGGGCACGAGTGGCGACTTCGGCGACAGTCGTGGCCATGAAGTAGGTTAAGAGAGATAAGAATGCGTAGGAAATGAGTAGCGAGGCTGGACCACCGATTGCCAGCGCCTGCCCGGCGCCGATGAACAGCCCAGTACCAAGAGTCGGGCCCAATGCCATCGCGAATAGGTAATAGGTATAACGGGGGAGACAATCGAAAAGAATAGAGACGCTGATTCAGGGCAGAATTATCCTGGGCTCACTGGTGTATTCTCGATCCTGTAATACTGGTCGGGTTTGCGGATGTTGTCAGAGTCGCTCCTGCCATTGATGCGTGACAGGGCTTCATTCTGCGACTGTTAGGATTACGAAAAGCACACTATGACACCGCGGGAAATTTTTAGTCAAAAATCGAATCAGGGTATCATTTGCCTCGTATTGAGGCCCGGAAAATGCAAAACAAAACCATCGAGCCCCCCGCCTACCGGACGCATAAAGGAGCGATCACTGGCGTCACTACTTATGTATCATTCCTGGGCGTGTAATGCCAGAGTCCCACCATGCAATTAGGTAAGGCAGGGTTTTTCATCCATATGTAAGATCACTGAGTTGCCATACCAGTCTCAGCAAACTCAAGCCATTCTCCCGACAACGACTTTTTCCAGAACCGAACGGCGCCATCATCGCCTGAGGACATCAAGGAATCGCCTGTAGATTAATTTATGAGAAAGTTTATTCGACCATCAAAAGGAAAAATTGCTTACTTACCAGCAAAGGAGAAGTCCACCTGCCAGATATCAAGGTGCTTACTATCAAGACACGCCACCTGTTTGAACGAATGGCGGAACTGAGAGTCTCCGGTAGCCTGGCGGCTAGAGGTTGAATTGGGTGTGCGATTTGCGAGAGCACTTCCTATGCCAGACTGGGTCGTCGTTCGTGTCGAGGATGATTGCTGCTGGCGCCGTTCGGCTTTTCGAGAACTTGGAGCTTGAGATCCTTGATTGGTGGTGGTTGTGTAGACTTCAAAGATGCGGATCTGTCCATCTTTGCCGCCACTTGCGATGAGATCGTAGCCTCGTACTGAGCCACGTGCCCAAGAGATATCCCTGACGAGGCCATGGTGTCCGTTCAGCTCGATTGCGTGGTAGAAGCGCCGGTTTGAGTCAGTACGATAGATTTTGACCGTGTCCATGGCTGCCACCACAAGTGACAGACTCTTTCGATCTGAATCTGGAAGAATTGTGTGTGTAATATCGGCGGAGTCATGATGGAATTGAACCTTGAAGCTTGTCTCCTCGCCACGCTCGGGTGCTGCGCAGACCCGGAACTGGTCGATAGTCTGCCAGTCCGCCAGGCTATCTGGGCTGACGGGTTCCAAGATCATCAAGTAGCCATCACGCGTGATAACGGCGAGCCATGACTCCAGGTCAATGTTGCGGAAGTCCAGGGACACAAAGGGATGTCGATGAGGCGCTGTTAAGCGAAAGATCGATCTGAAACGCCGACCTGATCCAGGAGATTGCGTTACATCTTCCTGCCAGATCTTCAGTCTCATATCCTCTCCAATACTGGCGATATGTTGGCCTGTGAAGGGACCGTTCCATGTAGCCTGAAGCTGTTTGTTAGCTCATGAATGGAATGCGCGTAATCTCCGAATCCCTTACATCGCGAATCTCGGCATCGTGGGCAGTCCAGGTATCAACGAGCTGCCATTGACCATCTTTGAGGTCCCAGACTTTCATTCGGTGGTCCAAAGATGCTGTGAGGAGCCGATTTGCATAATAGTTGTACTTGGTCACAGCTACCAGATCTCGGTGACCTGCATCGAAGTCGGCAAACCCGCCTGTTGTCTCTGGGCGCTCTACTGCCCCCATCGCGACCTGATATTTTGTTTTGAATAGGAAGGGCAAGGAATATATGGGCGTGAGCCAATGATGCGCCTCATTCACACGTATGCATGCTGGGACATGAAACAGAGGTGTCTCAGCGTCGTGTGCGCGCGCGGGTTTCCCTTCTCGGCGGCGATCATCACGGGATGCGCCCTCACCGCCTTTAGGCGGTGAGCCATTATCCCGTAGTTCCGATAAGCTTATCGGGGGTAATTTCGGATGAAGCCAGCTTGCGTCAGCTATTTCTCCGTGTGAAGAGTTGTCCATTTCTTGTCATTCCTTTTGCTAGAGTAAGATCTTGAGACCCCGGTACTGGGGCCATTGCTCGCTATGCCAGTCCCAAATACCCTCTCACGATCAGAAACATGGCGCCTACTGCTCCTCGTGGGAGCCGGTCTCGGCATCCTGGTCAACACGTTCCAGGGCGATGGCGCGCCGGTGATAGCTTCAATTGCTCTGTCTTTCATTGCTTTTGCAGTCGCTTTCAGCATGATTCGCTGGCTTGGTCCTGTCTTTATCAAGGCAGGTCTCAAGGGAAAAGATATGGCTAAGCCCAGAAAGCCTGAAATGTAAGTGTTCAATACTTATTATCTGCTTATAAAATGAAGGCTCATGTTTGCATTCAGACCGGAAACAATGGGTGCGGTCTGTGCCGTGGTTTATCTGCTTTCCCTCATCATTTTCATTCCCTTTGCCTTTTACAAGGATATTGTCGCAGCCACGTCAGGTGGAGGCAATCGGGATGTTGTTATCGAAGATCAACACATCGAAACTGGGCGGTTCCTCCACAGATTCCCTCATGGGAGGGTAAGTCTTTATTGGAAGAGAATTAGCTGTTTACGGAAATACTAACTTTTTCTCGCGTCAGCTTGCCTCGTATCTCTCGGGTCTTTTGTCTTTGCAATGTATTATCATCCTAGGAATTGGAGACGACCTTCTCGACATTCGCTGGAGACACAAGGTCTTGATTCCAGCATTTGCAGCCATTCCCATGCTGGTTGTTTACTTTGTCGATTTTGGCGTGACACATGTCGTCGTACCCGTCCCCCTGCAACGGTACCTTGGTGATTTTATTGACCTCGGGTGGCTGTACTACATGTACATGGCAGCCGTTGCAATCTTCTGCCCCAATGCCATCAACATGCTGGCAGGCATTAACGGCATTGAAGTTGCTCAATCGCTGGTCATTGCAGTCCTTCTACTTTTGAATGATGCCATGTACCTGGCTCCCATTACCCCATACCCCCATCCGGCTACCGACTCTCACTTGTTCTCGATCTACTTCTTGCTGCCCTTCATTGGTGTTTCAACCGCGCTTTTGTGCCACAATTGGTATCCCTCCAAGGTGTTTGTGGGTGATACTTATTGTTATTTTGCGGGTATGGTGTTTGCTGTTGTGGGTATTCTGGGACACTTCAGCAAGACATTGCTGCTGCTGTTCGTACCGCAGATCTTCAACTTCCTTTACTCAACACCCCAGCTCTTCCACATCATTCCCTGCCCACGCCATCGACTTCCGAAGTTTAATGCCTCGACTGGGTTACTTGATGCTTCTGTCACGGAATGGATGGTTCCACCTTCCCCATTGATCGCCTTCGCTCTCGACACACTGCACACACTACGCTTGGTGCGTGTTCAGAAAGATGAAAAAGGACAAATTGTCGAATCGACGAATCTGACAATTTTGAATCTCTGGCTCGTGTGGATGGGCCCAATGAGGGAAGATCGACTTGCATGGCATATGGTTGCGGTCCAGACCGCGTGTGGATTTTTTGGTCTTTTCGTAAGACACCGTCTCGCTTTACTGGTCTTTAACCAAGATAACCGGACATTTCAGTCCGTTGTATAGTTAGTTCTTTGATGAAAGATGTCTCAATGCACCTACACGATTAATCTTATCATTGGAGGAGTGAGTATCCTAAAAACGCCCTAGAATTTCGAAGAGAAGAAAGAGACAGAAAATCCGGCAAAGTAGCCTCTAAGGTTGATTTTTATGGATGGCAAATAACGGTATCTATAACTAAACTAACACTGGGGAAAAGCAAACAAGGAATGTCCCATTTCATCAGCGTCACTTTACGAGAAACGGCTCATTCATTGTCAGACGAATCGCGCAATGCCCGGGTCTCTCGTTCCAACTTTTTATCTCCAAAGAGACCAATCTGACTGATAATGTACCAAGCAGAGGGGATGGCAACGGCCCACAAAGCGAAATTCAGATAGACACTTCCAATTGCGGCCATGATCGAAATACTGCTCAGCCCGTACTGCAAGTCAAGTGTCAACATCAAAGGACAGAAAAGACGGGAAAGGAATGAAGGAGGAACCTACACTAACACACTGAGCGGCTGACTCGGTACCACGCAACAACCCAGCAATTCGAATGACTTCCTCCTGGTCATCAGCCAGGTTGCCGACCACAAAGTATCTGTCTTGAGATTAGCATGTTGTTCAACGGAGCCCCCGTGGGCAGTCGTATCACTCACAGGTACATGTAGTTGATCTGGAATCCAGCAACCCAGAACAGGAAGAGAGCGAATGCTCTTCCAAAGCCCGGATCGGCCCAGTCGTATACCGGGTTTGTCTTGTGGAACTCGGTGGTCACCACAGTGGCCCAAATCCAACACAGGCCTTGCCAGCCTACAACAAAGAAGAAAGCATATCGGCTTCGCTTCTTCAACGAGATGGACTTATTGTCGAGGAATGCGCCGAGAAGATTGCCCATAATCAATGCAATGATGCCAGACAAGAATGAGCCGAGCGCTCTTGAACGCACGGAGAACCAGAGGCCTTCATATGAAAACATCACTGCCTCGGTGTAAACCGCTTGACAGATGAATGGAACGATGCAAAGGAACTTCTTGCTGATGAAAAGCTTGACCATCTTTCGGAGCTCGTAGCCAATGCTATTGTTCACCTGAAGCTGAACTGGAACTCCATCCTTTCGCTGAACTTGAGACGGATTATTGAGGAGTAAGCCAGCAAAGGGACCGAGTGCTTGGAGCGCAATAAAGATGAGATAGACAGTATAAGAGACACTGCCTTCAGTTGCACGACGAGCATTGATACCAAGGCTGATAGCGCCTCCTAGGATTTGCCCTCCGACGCGGAAGCTGAGCCAAAATCCCAGAAAGCGTCCTTGGTTGTATGGTTCGGGATACGCAAGGGCGATTGCGGCTTCAGCCATCCAGAAAATACCTGCCGAACTACCACACAGAGCGGCACCGAGGAGCACCAACCATTCGTCCCCAAATCGGTTGTTTGTGTATAGGCCCGCAGCATACGGCGCGTAGCCCATTGTTCCCACGATGAATGTCCACTTGATCCCAATGAATCGGACGATAACACTTCCAAAGAAGCAGGATACCACCATCAGGGCAAAGGTCAGTGCATTTGCTCTATAGTTTCATCAGTATATTAAAATGAGGATTGAGCCTGATCGGATGATCATACGCATTAACAAGATAGGGCTTCTCTTCGCCTCCTCCACCGAGAGAATTCATTGCGCCCCAAATGCCCGGCGCGAGGAAGTTGCAAAGTCCAAGGATGAGCGCATTGTAGAATGTCGACCGATACCATTTGACTGACCGATTAGCATACTTGGTTAAACTCTTTTGAATTTGCATTTCGTGAGATACCTTTGTGGATCGGAGTAGTCAGAGAGTTGCTCTGGACCTCCTCGTCTTTGGGCGAGGCGCTCTTCTCAGAACTTGACATTGCGATGAAGAGTCGTCTACACAATGAAGATCTCGACAATTCTGAACTGATGGAATTTCGGTAGGAGACGGACGGTCATCGAGTTTTATGCATCCCGTCTCGATGGTAGATCTATACCTACCTGCCGGAGCTTCACTGCAGAATTAAGACAATATGACATTACGTGCTATGGCAACATCGGAACCTTAATCACTTTTTGGCTGCCATTTCATTAGCCTAGACACCTATTATGAAATTGTTCGGCCAAAAATGCTTAATGAGCGACATTTTCAGCTTATACGGTTGTACGTGGAGTGGGGTCTTTTAACCTATCTTGGAAATGGCAGGCTCTCACCCCCGGCGGATGCTGTCGTTCTTAGCCAGGATTACGTGCTTGCCTAGATTACAGCCATGCGACACGCTTAACGGCCACGAGGCGTTTGGCCTAGAACCAGAAGGAAAGTGATTTTCCTAGGAGCAAGGAGTAATAACTCCTAGTCTGACTATTTTCTGTCAATTCTCTCGGGCGAGAGACAAAAACATATCGCTCCCACGATGTGAGACTTCATACTTGCTGGAACCCTCGCATGAGATGTTCCAAATGGAACGATCTTTCAAAATTCAAGATCCATAATTCTCGCTGGCTTAATGATTCTATTTCAGCATTTGAAGCCCATCGACTGCCAATTACGTTGATTTATTAAGACCACATGCAGAGAGCCATGATTTTTATTAGCGAGGAACAAACCGGCGATATAGAGGCAAATGGACAAAACAGGATCGGTATCTAGATGATGGTGGGAACACAGTCTTGATATAGTTTCAGAGATGCCATGTCTTCTCCGATCTCTTCCTCTTTATCTTATTTTTCATGAATTCCCTTGCGGGATCATGAATAACGGTATCGTATTCGCCCCGCCATCATGATCCTCATGGCATACCAGTCAGGCTACATACATACAGACTGAGATCGGCAATAATCAATACATTGTAGTAAATATTCAATCACTGAGATAGTATAGATCTATGATTGATTAACAGACGCATTCAACTTCAGCGCTACCGGCCTTGAAAATGCGGCTAGACAAGTTCCAGGGTTTCGTCATCAGAACCCCGGATCACATCAGTTTAGAACCTAAAGACACCTTCACGATCAACCATCGCAATCGCATTTGCGTGCCTCCTTTGGTCTACTAGCATTCTCTTCCCATCAATGCACTTGATCTCTTAATTAATATCCTATATCCTGTTTTGGTCGACTAATTAACTCGGGTTTCGGCCTTCTCTCGCGGTCTGTAAACTAGTCCAATGTGTATTTCGTTGGGGCGAGTAAACGATCATTGTACTAACAATAATCTGGATTGATTAGATGGAATCTGCTTTCACCTTCCCCGGGCCGCTGATTAGAGGCCTCCATCACGCCATTCAAACCCCGCCATGAGCAATGAGCAGCATCCCGATCCCCTCCAGGAGGTGCCACTGGATAGGCTGGAAAACGCAAATACAAGCCCAAACAGTTTCATTCAACAGTGGTATCCCCTCTCATGCAGTATTAAATAGCCAAGCACTGTGGGGGCTCCCTGGCCCTACGTGCTTTTGGCAAAGGCTGATATGTATCAATGCCCCCGCTCTCAAACGTGATGAGCGTGCTTTGCCCTATTTGTTTCTCGGGCGAGAAATATGTAATCAAGATTGAGAGTTTCAAATAGCATATAGGTAGAGTCCGATCTGGACTTTACGGCATTTTCTGACGGTTGATTTCTAATATGGCACTCTTGGCTCCTATTATCATGTCAACCACTACCTGCGTCCAGCTCGACGAGCTGCAAAAGAAGCCGACAAGCTTCCATCGTTGTATATTCTCTGGGCCTTCTTTAAATTCTACTGCTATTAAAGAAGAAAAAACCAGTCTAGTTTCACAAACCGAGGACGCACGGCAAAGCGTACTATTACTCAAGGGGGTCCGCGAACAATACACCCTGGTGAACGATCATACTATTCCCGCAATCCTGAATCCCGGGGAGATTCTTGTGAAGGTAAGATATAAAGACTTACTACTCGCTCATCTGCATGAGACGTAGTTTCTCATATTTCATTCGCAGGTCCTTGCAATCGGGCTTAATCCGATTGACTGGAAAGCACCGTATGTTAAACCTCACCATCATCTTATCTATATAACTTGGCTAACATGGCGTTAATGCAGGGCATTCAACTTTGGAATTCCAAGTTTACCTTGGATCAATGGACGTGATCTAGCGGGACTTGTGCTGCAAGTCCCTGGCGAGAATTCACGCGTTCGCGTGGGTGATATTGTCCTTGTGCCCTCAACAGATTATCGAGACATTCGGAAAGCCGCATTCCAAGAATATGCAATCGCGACCGACTTTAACGCAGCACGAATTCCATCGTCTACATCAATTCACGCCTCTGCCTCTCTTGGAGTGGCATTTGTGGCCTCTGTCCTAGCTCTCGGCGTCTCATTTGGACTAGACTTCTCCGTGCTTTCAAAATCGCCTGGTCCTAATCTACCTCAAATTATCAGTCAACTAGATAGAAACGATATTCCAGCCGATATACAAGATGAGTGCTTTGCGTCAGAATCAGAGCGCCCACAGCGCGGTGATTGGGTTGCAATCTGGGGTGGTAAGATTTTCAATTCAACCCCAAGGTGAAGAAGATATTGTTGCTAACAAAGCCCGTGCAGCCTCGACAACAACCGGACTGGTGACTTTGCAATTAGCCAAGCTGGCCGGACTACGTGTGATTTGCGTAGCAGATGTTGCACGACACGGAGCCAAGCTGCTCGAATCTGGCGCCGATCTCCTCGTGGACCGACACGATACCGAGCGCGCCGTGGAGATTATCCGCGGAGTCACTGGGGGTAAATTGCGATACGCCATTGATATTGTTGGTAAGGATACTGCGGCGCTGCTTGAGAAAACTCTCGATCCTTCTGGGCATTCGCATTTGCTGGGGCTCACAGGGCTGCCCAAAGAACGCAACCCAGGGATCCGTTACCACACCGTGCCCATCAAGCTATTCCATACTGCACCTACAGTTGGCGAGAGCATGGTTCGCTGGCTAGAAGACCTACTTGAGTCAAAAACCCTCACTCTTCCCGAGATTGTTCGCGCCGAGGGGGGGCTGGAAGGAATCAATGCAGCATTAGATTTACTTCGAAGTGGATCCGTTTCGGGGAAAAGAATTGTAGTCGGGCTTGATTCTTGAATCATGATGGACGATCAATTTTGGGTGGGAAGATGGGGATTTTGCATGGTTTTATTGGATAGCTTGGGTTTGGCGTTGTGGCATATTTAGACGATATTAGACATTTGAGTACTGGTTAGGCCACTATATGTACATGCTATTTCCTATGCCAGGTTGGGCTCCCCTATCTTAGCTGCCGTGACTTTTATGAGGGCACTCAGAGTCGGATTCACTGAGTAATAGAAGTTTCAAAACAAAAGGAACTCCGACTGCACTCATAGGCGTGGGAGCTCTTTAAATTGACAATAGTCTTCTTTGAATTCTATCGAGCCGATGTCACGAAGAAACCCATGAAAACTCTCTAAACTCGTCTCACGGTTGTAAGTGATGTACCTGTAAAGCGCTGCCTCCTTATCTCTCCAGATATGCGGCCATAGCAATAGTTGAACCTCTAAGCCATATAGGTCCCCCGTACGAGTAGCCTATAGCTTCACGGGAAGACGTGGTTGCAGTTTTTGGTTGGGTAGGAGGAGGTTTAATAGGCGGACGAATATCAACGCTTTTCCAACCCTTTGCTTTTGCTCTTGCGTTGCTAGGACTTTAAAGTAGACCTATAAGATATAGATAAAACGTTTGGGTAATATGAGTAACTAATCTCGCCCTTAGGAAGGGAACTTATGATATGCCTAGAATATAATCCTGTTAATTATAAGCTATTCCTGATAAAGCTGAGCTGACGGAGAGCTTTCAAAGTCCCTATATGCTGATCTAGTTGACCAATCTAGATATGAGAGCTACGTTAGTAAATTGATTTTACTTAGAATATTATCATGTATCGCTTCTGAAGGGAAGGAGATGACTTATATGCCTAGGATCACTTTCTCCGGGTTGAAGCGAAGCCGAGCCCATGTGGACTGTTTGTGGCCCGTAACATGTACTAAGGGTTGGAAATATCCGACCCATCGTTGTTCATCGGACGCATGTCCAAGGGGCACCTGAATCTCAGTCTAAACAACGGTCGAGTGGGATAGATTGTTCAGATCATGGAACGCTGATTGCATACTTCCTGAATGGGGTAGATCTATAAAGGTAGAGATTTTCGATTTCAAAGAGAGTGGGAAGCCCGGAGCGCCTAGGCAGGTGCTAGCCAAAAATGACCTGGACCTTATGCTATTAATTCGTATAAATTTGAGCAAGATAAGCGTCGAGTTTGAACGAGGGAAGCTCCAGGTTCCTGGAGAAGATTAAATTTTGCTACGTGAGTAGGTTAAATATATATCCAGGCATGACGGGGGGGGTTCCTCTAAAGCTACCTGAGACCAACACAAATGGATATCTAGCTCTCTAAAGGAGATTTTTTAAAATCCTGGAATTCAAATGTACGAACTGCCATGTATTGAGCGGGCCATCCATAGCTCGTTAATTAGAAATTGTGACTGCAGCAAATGAGACATTGCCAGGAAGGTTGCACGAAAGCCAATGCATAACACCCCGCCTCCTAAAATACCGACAGTCTTACACAGCCCGAGGCCCAGTCACGCAGAGGATGGGGCCCGATCGGACCCCCGGCGGTCATGGCCAATTAAAGGCCGATTATTGCTTGAGTCACCCTGGAGTTCGGTCGGCCTACGTCATGTATAGCGTCCCATACACCGTACTTCTGTGAGTCGGTAAAGTCCGAAAATCTGCATACTTCTTCTAATTGGTGAGACTTCAATGTAGAGAGTGATTTCTACAGTAGATCTAGAAGTTAGTCAAACAATTGCAATAACAGATGGTTCATAATTAACCCTGAACAAAAATCCAAGAATGGGAGACGCGCTGAGCCGCCATCAAGCGCCACTAGCCGCCGTCGCATTTTTCGGCCCACCCGATATCGGCCCCCCCTTGTTTCGCCACTGCAACCAATCAGAACCCAAATATTCAGCGCTGACCGACCGAAATCGGCGTTGCCCCTCGAGAAGCTCCCCAGCGACATCGCGCGCGCTGCAAAATATAAGTCCTGGCATCTGCTTTCCCCATACCTCTCCAACAAGGACTGCACGAGCTTTGTTAATTGCATACTTTATTCATACAATATGCCCTCCGCAGAGACGAAACCGAGGACCTTGTACGACAAGGTCTTCGATGACCACATTGTCAACCAGCAAGATGATGGCACATGCTTGCTCTATATCGGTATGCCGACCGGGTTCCCGCTAGCTGACATCAATCCGCTAACTTGCAAATATAGACCGGCATCTTGTCCACGAGGTGACCTCACCTCAGGCCTTCGAGGGCCTGAAGAACGCTAGCCGTAAGGTCCGCCGGCCGGACTGCACTCTGGTGACCGTTGACCACGTAAGTCTCAAGGCGCACAGCCTGGTTTTGTCTAGTAGGTGAACGCTCGCTAATATGCTTTTTGTCTATAGAACATCCCTACCAGCTCCCGGAAAAACTTCAAGAACGCCTCCGAATTCATCAAGGAGAACGACTCCCGCCTCCAATGCACAACCCTCGAGGAGAATGTCAAGGATTTCGGTCTCACCTACTTCGGTATGGGCGATAAGCGTCAGGGTATTGTCCACGTTATCGGCCCTGAGCAAGGCTTCACCCTGCCCGGAACGACCGTTGTCTGCGGTGACAGCCACACTTCCACCCACGGTGCCTTCGGTTCCCTGGCTTTCGGTATTGGAACCAGTGAAGTCGAGCACGTCCTCGCGACCCAGACTCTCTTGACTCGCCGAAGCAAGAACATGCGCGTCCAGGTCGATGGTGAGCTTGCCCCTGGTGTGACCTCAAAGGACGTTGTCCTCCACATCATTGGTGTCATTGGTACCGCTGGTGGTACTGGTGCTGTCATTGAGTTCTGCGGATCTGTCATCCGTGGACTCAGCATGGAAGCCCGCATGTCTATGTGCAACATGTCTATTGAGGGTGGTGCCCGCGCTGGTATGATTGCTCCCGATGAGATTACTTTCGAGTACCTTAAGGGTCGTCCCCTTGCTCCCAAGTACGGCAGCGCCGAGTGGAACAAGGCCGTCAGCTACTGGTCCTCTCTGAAGTCTGATGCCGACGCTAAGTACGACATTGATGTCTTCCTGAATGGCAAGGACATCATCCCTACTATCTCCTGGGGTACCTCCCCTCAGGATGTCGTCCCCATCACTGGTGTTGTCCCTGGCCCCGATGACTTTGAGGATGAGAACCGCAAGGCCTCTTGCAAGCGGGCTCTTGAGTACATGGGCCTCACTGCCGGTACTCCCATGAAGGACATCGTTGTGGACAAGGTCTTCATTGGATCTTGCACCAACTCTCGTATTGAGGATCTGCGCGCAGCCGCCAAGGTTGTCAACGGCAAGAAGATCGCGGAGAACATCAAGCGCGCTATGATTGTTCCTGGATCAGGCTTGGTCAAGGAGCAGGCCGAGGCTGAGGGTCTCGACAAGATCTTCACCGATGCTGGTTTCGAGTGGCGTGAGGCTGGTTGCTCCATGTGTCTTGGTATGAACCCTGACATTCTCTCCCCCAAGGAGCGCTGTGCCAGTACCTCCAACCGCAACTTCGAGGGTCGCCAGGGTGCACAGGGTCGTACTCACCTGATGTCCCCTGCCATGGCTGCCGCCGCTGCCATCGTCGGTAAGCTTGCTGATATTCGGGAGCATGTGGTCTCCAGCCCCGTTCTTGCCAAGGTCCAGCCTCAGTTCGATATTCAGCCCGAGGCTGAGACTCCCACGACTGAGGATGAGCTTGACCGTGTTCTGGACCTGCCCGCTGATAACGAGCCCCACACCAACACCTCGGCTGGTGGCAGCAGTGCTGGTCTTCCCAAGTTCACTGTTCTCAAGGGAACCGCCGCTCCTCTGGACCGTGCTAACGTCGACACCGATGCCATTATCCCCAAGCAGTTCCTGAAGACTATTAAGCGGACTGGTCTGGGCTCTGCTGCTTTCTATGAGCTCCGTTACAACCCCGATGGCCAGGAGAACCCCGACTTCATCCTGAACCAGGGCATCTACCGCAACTCCAAGATTCTGGTTGTGACTGGTCCCAACTTCGGCTGCGGTAGCTCCCGCGAGCACGCCCCCTGGGCTCTGCTGGACTTTGGCATTAAGTGCATCATTGCCCCGTCCTTCGCTGACATCTTCTTCAACAACACCTTCAAGAACGGCATGCTTCCTGTCGTTGTTTCTGACGAGGCTGCGCTGAAGAAGATTGCGGACGAGGCCCGCGCTGGTCGCGAGCTCGAGGTTGACCTTGTCAACCAGGAGATCAAGGATGCCGAGGGCAACAAGCTCTCCGCCTTCGATGTCGACGGCTTCCGCAAGCACTGCCTTGTCAACGGTCTGGATGACATTGGTCTGACCCTCCAGGTGGAGTCTAAGATCCGCACCTTCGAGGCTAAGCGTAGCCTGCAGACCCCCTGGTTGGATGGCAGCGGCTATCTCCGCCGTGGCAACGGCGGTCCTACTAAGATCGACGCTGCCCCTGTGCCTACTACCAACCGTGGTGATGTCAAGGGCGATCCCCTCAATTGGTAAAAGTTGATTGCGTATTGCCTGGTTTGGGCGCTCTGGAGGATCGCATTGGACACGGTAATTGGTGCTATAGTAGTCCATTTTGGTTTTTTCCTTGGTTTCAAAAAAAATATCCCCTCGTGTTATTTAACTTGTCGCTCTGCATCTTTCGGGGCTTGGTTATCTTTGGACTATTGGCTTGTTTCAGTAGCCTACGAATCTCAATGAGAATGAATTATGAATCTCAGAACAATAATCCTCTGAACACCTTTCTTTAGAACCTAGATGAATAATTTTTTTGACGAGAAGGAAGTCATTACATTAGATAATAGCGCCGCAATAGAGACTGACCAATGACCAAGAACTGAACTAAGAAACTGCAACAACAACACTAGCAAGCATAGAACTTCCTGTTCAACCACACTTAGTCTCGTCCGACGTTCTTTCAATTGTAGCTACGGTTTTGAAAGCTGCTCACGGCGGAAGAAGAGCAGGAAACCGCCACTATGGAACGTCATAATTAGCAAGCAGACCTTGAGTAGAGCGGTGTTGTATTCTCTAGAATGATCCCCACTTACCAGATCATCAATTGGAAGATGAGGGCAATCCAGAACCATGCATTCCCCAATGCGCCAGCTCCAGCCGTGATATCTGGTGATATAGGCCCTGGTCCAATCCTATTTGGAGAAAATGCTCTGGCACAAATGGTCGCCAGAGAACCGATGACCTGGGATACAAGTAGCGTGAAACAGATATGCATACGCGTGAGGGTCTGCAAGAGGATCATGCCAAATCCAAGGCCTTGTAAGGCATCCATAACACCGAGCCATAACCAGAGACCCCGCGAAACCAAAGCCCCAGAGACATAATTTCCCGCCCATGGGAGGAAAAGACCGGACCCTGATGTTCCCCACCATACCTGTGCCCATCGGGGAGCTCCAAGGCCACAAGCCACGATAGGAAGAATCCAGCTGTGTGATTTGGAAACCCAGGCAAGGAGCAAAAGGATCGCTATCCAAACAAATCCAAAGAAGGCGACACAAAGGCACAGGATCTGCCAGGGCTTGGCATGGTTGGAGATCCAAAGGACTAAAAATGAAGTTAGTAAAGGAATCTTGTATCAACGTGCGGTATAAACTCTTACAATTCCAATTTCGACCATATGGAGCACTCAAAAAGAAGTTCTGGAGAATGACTACAACCCAGTTCCAGAGCACGATTTTGCGCCTGAAGACCGATTTGTAGAATGAAGGGACCTTGCCAGGTGTCTGTCGGTAATAGTTCGGCAAGCCGAAGTAAACCAGGAGACCGATTCCCCAAAGGAAAGCAGTGATCGGTGTACAGATAGCCGTCATTCGCCACGTGTTCGTGATACTGCCCTGAGCACCCAAAACCCCAGCATTGGAAGCTTTCGTCAAAGTGGAGCCCCAGTACCAGAGAGCTATCACATAGGCCTGCTGCGTGCCCTGAATCAAACAGGCACGGAACACCCATTGCTTAACCGGTGCACCGCTTTCGTCGCCAAAGTTGAGTGCAAAAAAGATTGAACCACTTGATGAAGCGGCAGCGTAGATCCCACTACCGATATTTTGAATCCATCCCCGGGTGAAGGAGTTAGACTCAAAATGAGCAAGGCCAATGATCAGGAATGCCGTTCCATATAAGAACCAAGGGACCGTGAGAACCAGAATAGACTTGCAGAACCGGAAGAAAAGCCACCACAGGATAGATGTGATCAAGTAAACCGTTGCAATCCCATACAATTTTGCCTCACTCTGGCCAACTTCGCCTGTCAGCAGGGTAATCTGATATGAATTGGCAGCAATGATCTGGCCGAGACCGAGGAACAATGAGTAAACGGGCCAGTCGCCAATACGCATCTGCATCCACTTCTTCAACCCAGTTGGTGGCACATAGTCATCTCCAAGGAGGAATTCGTCGTTTGCCTTTCTCTCTTGCCCGCCGCTCTCATGAGACGCTGTATCATCATTGGTGATAGAACCTGGAGGAGACCCGCTTCCTCCTCCTTTGCCAGTTTGCATTGAAGGCGCTGGAGATTGATTTGGAGATTGATTGCGGCCAAGACGAGCATCTCGGAATCTGTCAAACCATTTCTTCTCGCTTTTCTCAAGGAACTGCTCGATGCAGAGTTGAGAGTCCGAGTTTGAGCCACTCAGGTCTTCCAGCTTCTTTTCGAAGACTTTGTAGTACTCTCCATTACTGTCTGTGAAGAATGGGTCGACCTTTTGCAGCTTATAGTCCTTTTTGTCTCCGACGACAGAGTCCACAGATAAAACCGAAGCATTACTGAGACGGTTTCCAGCCTCTGCCCAAGGTCTTGATGGAGGAACAAGAGTGTCTTCAGTTCCCACTGTACTGGGCGCAGTTGAGCTGGACGGACTACCAATGGGTCGGCCGAGAACGGAACCCTGGCTTGAATGCCGTGTTGAGAGGCTCTCCTTGGTAAGGGGAATTCCAGAAGACAGAAAAGGGCCTTGGGAGGAACTTTCCATTCGGCGTCCTCTTTCAGCAGAGTCACCTGCCATGGGATATTCCTCGTCCCCATAGCAAGTGGACATCATTTCGTCTTCACTTTCATCCTCAGTGTCTGGTGATCCTCCATTTTGCATTTCCTCTACCTCCATAACACTTCCTTTTCCAAGGTCTCTGCGTGCGCGACTTTCAAAAGCAGCCGAACCTGGTCGTGGAGCAACACTCATACCAAAGGAGAGATGACGACTGAGACCTGACTTGGGTCTTCCATCCCCAGGACTCGGGTCACGGCTGTAGACGATAGAGCTTCGCTGCAAAGAAGCCATCGTTCCCGGGCGGCTTGATGACCGTGGGGGCGGGGTCAGAGTACCACTTGAAGCACCAGATCTACCAGACGCAGCAGCTTGAGGTGTCATCATACCATAGATAGCGTTATATGAAGAGGCTGCAGCATTTGATTGTGCCTGAGACTTAGCTCGCTCCTTATTATGGACCCGAATCGCGGTGGATTGGAGAATTTCCAGGTCTTCAATCCATTGGGCGACAGGGAAGCGTTGTTTAGCAGACCTCGCACGCATCATGGCTCTGGTCTCAAGCTTGGAACTCAAAGCACTGTCAATCGCAAGCTTGAACTGTTTGAGAAGGTGCGAAGTTGTCGTTGACTCAACTGTATACCACCATCCGGGCATCTGTCCGAGACCACCCACTCGAGCACCAATACCAAGAGCACCTTTGCGACCGAATTCAACGGCAACGAGACCGAAAGGTTCGTCGCGCGAAGGAATCAATGCAAACTCTGCACCCGAAAAGATGAATGGAGGCAAGACCGTGAATTGTGGTTTTGAAAACACGCGGCCTGGGTAGAGCTTCATCATGCGGTCAAGCTTCAAGGCTGCAAACTTACCGTATAGATCGATGACTGGTCCCACACAAAGCAGCTGGACATTGGGTCGAGATTCGAGGACACCAGGCATGACATCTGCAATTAGATCAATACCCTTCTGCATGGACCATCTGCCAACAAACACCATGAGATCTGCATTAGGAATCTGTTGCAGACCAGCCCATTCCTGTGCTTGTCGCTTGAATTCAGCCCGTTGAACTTCGTAGCCGCCATCAACACTAATCTCACTTTCCTTGGGCAACTCTTTATTCCATTCTCCGGTGTCAGAGGGGTCAGGGTTTGGCAGATTACCAACTTTCCTTAGGCCCCAGAATATAGGATAGCGTGCGTAGGATCTCTTGCCATATTTCTTGGACACTCCAACAGCACCAAAACCTTGTTGATGAAGGCGTAGATAACTCGCACCAGCATGGAGTAGATTAAAGACCTCACCGAACTGTACGTAGCGCGCGGCAATCTCCATATCAAGATTGAAGACAGAGCACACCTCGCTCTTCTCCTTTTGTGTGCGCATCGGCCATAGGCCCTGATATTCTGCATTGTGAAGGGAAAGGCAGATTGGGATCGTCTCGGGTAACTGATACAGAGTCGCAATTGCACCATGATAGTCATTGATGTGGTATAAATCGACCGGGAACCGCTTGAGTGACTGAGCAATGCACTGATTCCAGGCCGAATAATAAATCGCGCTGTCGAGATCATCCATTCGAGCTGGATAAGGCTCCTTGGCAGACTGTTGACGGAATACTGGCGCATCGAGAAGAACATAGGTAATATTCCTCAGAACATGGTACTGAATCTTGACTTCGTAGGAGTTTCCGAGAATCATGACAGACATTGATCCAGCGGGCTTGTCTATTGGGTACTCTATCCCACCGACGCATGGTATGACCCATATAAGATCTAGGTGGCCAAGTTGCTTGCTCATGAGCTGAGCCATGACGCCCAAGCCACCAATTTTGATTCTGATCCCCCAGTCATCAATGTCGTACTCCATGGTTGCGACGAGCACCTTCCGCTTGTGTGAGGTACGATTGCCGAAGGCAGAGGCACTCTGAAGAAACCTCGACTTGTTTGCCAGTCGTGCGAGCAGACTTCGAGGCTCTCCATTTCCAGGGTTGTCGGCCTTGAATCTCTTGAGAATATCGAAAGAGATGAGGGTTTTCTTCTCGCTCACACCAACCTGGTTGAACTTTATCCGGTAAAATGTCTTCTTGAATATGTAGGCGCAAGTTGTAGCTGTGATCACCGGGACAATGCAGAGCAAGAAGAAGAGAGCCATTTGTACGTATTTTGAGCCTGAAGGAACCAATTTAAATCGTAACGTTGCATCGTCAATATGGATTCTCCAGGCCAAGTGTGGGTCGGGTGGATGTTCAGTAATGTTGATCGTCGTCGCGGTACGAGAAGAGGGTGGTAGACGATCGAGAACCGAGTCGCCATCAGCATCCCCAAGAAGGTAGCTCTGATCAGGTTTGCCGTCAGGATTGATGCCCCAAACATTGAGTTGGCCCTGAGCTGGCCACTCTGCCATGAAACGGAATTTCCAAAGACCATCGCTATCCTGTTTCACTACATTCGCGAGACCAGCATCGTACCCATATTCGTTGAAGGGACCATTGAAGAACATATGAGGGAATCGACGAGGAACATGAGAGTTCCAATCAGGACCATCGCCCTCTTGGAAATAGTCACTACTTCCCGTAAGGCGGCTCCAGTATTCGACCCGGATGTGTTTCCCTTTCCATCTCTGCTTCTTCATCCCCGACCAATGCTGTTCCTTGACAGACTGGTTTCCTCCATGATAGGGAAGCCATTTGCTGAATGAACTTCCCCAATTGGTCGAGTACCGATACATATCTGCTCCAGCTGCATGCTGCTGAACATAGAGAGAACCGTCTTTCCGTTCATGAAGGAGACTCGTCGAATAATTGGCAGAAGTGAAGATCATCGGGTTGTCATGTTGACCGATTCGAATCAAAAAGTGGTCTATGGCATTGGTAGTGCGGCCATCGATGCTTGTCGCGTTCCGAACTGTGAGTCGATGAATTCCATTTTCAACGCCTGTCAGAGTGGCTGTCCATGCCCAAGTTGCTGGAATCTGGCCAGAGTATGATACTTTGTCATTCACGATAGCTCCACAATCGACAGTGCTCAAGTCAATGGACGGAATAGCCCCTGTTTCGGTTGATGACTCGAGAGAGATTGCTTGTGAAACTATCGTGCAGTTCATCTCAGTTGAGAAGAACAAGCCAATATCAAGGGTCTCGTGCTGCCCAGGTGCAACCCTGGAAAGCACGGGAACATCATGCCCAGGAGTGAATTTTGTGATCATTGGACGGGGAGATACAAACTTCTCTTTCGGAACGTAGGCCCTAAACTCATAGGGTCGAAGCGTTATGCTATCAAGACAGCCATTTGCCTCCTCTGATCCATTCAGATGCAGCTTTATTGCACTGTCTTTGAGAGTCAGTTCGTCGTGTGGATAGAATAGATTCTTGACAGTCGTATTCGTGTCGAACGGAGCAACGAGGGCTGCGTTTGGGTTGGAGCAGTCGAAGTCGTAAGTCACAGTCTTGTTATCATTTTGATAGATAAACCAGATGGTTTGATTTCCAGATTCTCCAAGATCTTGTCCTTGATAGTATGGACTACGTAGGACAGACCACATCCCTGTCTCAGTCGGTAAACCGTTCGAGCCCGGGTAGTAGATATTGTGCGTCTGGTTTGAAAGCAACTGTATCCACCAGCCATCATTGAGTGCAGGGTAGTCCTCTCTCATTTGATACATGTGCTTGATAATATTTCTCATGAAATGGGAAGGATCGCGATGATCATACGTGGCGGTCTCATCATGACATCCTAATCGCCCCGATTTGATGGGCCAGTTGAAATATTGTTCTGAAATCAGCTCAAAGCAACCATGAGTCTTCCATGCCGTCGCTGGGGACATGGCTTGCCGACCGTAAATATAGTTTGAAGCTGTCGCATCAAGAATGTAGAATGCTTGCTCTTCCCCCCAGAGCAGTAATGGTATTCCAGGCAAATGCAGCGTTGTGATGAAAAGACCGAGGAGATGTCTCTCAATACCCATCTCAACAGTCGGCCAGCGGAAGACGTCTTGATTTGTCACACCATACAGATGACGCGGATCAAACTTTCCAGTATTTGCGTTGATAAGGTCATTAGTAAGGACCATCTCGTACCACGCTTCAGTCCAGTTGACTGGGATATCGTAGCCAGCTGCCAGGTTTCCATCCATGCCCAAAAATCGAGTGAGAGATCGGTAAATTGAATAATGAAATGCAGCGCCATCAATAGCTTGTTGATTCTCACCACGAATGAAGAAGGTTGAGTCCGACGAGTTTGTCAAATGAAATGCATCATCCAGCGTCCTTGGAAGCATATCAGGCTGACGGCCACGACCAAGAAAGACGGAGCCGAGGTTGTTTCCGACGGTTATTTCTCCAGGTAAGAAAAAGTTGGTCTTGCCAACTCGTCGCGCACATTCTCTATAGGCCCTTGAAATATCACCTAGCGCATCGACTGTGGCCTGTGTAGCTTTGTCGTATCGAAACCCATCAATGTCGAGAGAGGAAATAATGATACATGAGTGCCGGATGAGACGTTCCCTGACGCTTGGTACCCATTCTCGAAGACGGTCTTGGACAGAAGCAAATTTTGCTAGTTCACGTTGCCAGTCGGGGTAAACCCCAAAAGCTTCAATATCACCGTATTGATCGAAATCGCTGTTATAGCACCCCTTCAACTCTTCTTGAACGTATCCTTCCACAGGAAAACCGGTCTCATTCCAGAAGCGAGGATATTCACAGGTTTGGTTGTAATTGTTGCCAAAATGAAAATCAACATAGCGGCGATCTGATTTCCACTGTGCTTTGTGCTCCTTCGGGGTGAACGGAGTGGTCGTGTTGAGATACCCTTCAAACCCGATCAGGTCTCCCATACTAGATTGAAAGTTCAATAACCAGCACTCACATACAGATTTTAATGGAGGATATACTCACGTAGCAATGGTATTATCAAAAATCACATACATCCCTCGATTGTGAATCTCTGTGATCGCATCTCTCCAGGTCTGAATTGTGCCAAAGTGCTGGTCGAGTAGGGTAGTATCGAGGGCTGAATAGCCATCAGAGCCCCATGGTTGATTCATCAAGACTAAGCCGGCGAGGTAAATTCCCTGAAAAGAAGTTATTAGTGAGAAAGATGAAATTGAGAGAGCATATGTTAGGTTCATGCAGACCTTGATTCCCATTCCTTGCAAATAATCCAAGGTATCTACCAAACCAACCACGTCACCACCGTGACGCATCTGATTGGAATTCAAGTCATGCTCAAAGAGTGTACCGTTGCTGTTGTCGTTTGTTGGATCCCCATTAACGAATCGGTCCAGAAACAGAGTGTATATCGGAAAACGCCAGTTATCCGGCGATGGGAAGTATGTATGATTGGGCCATTCACCCCAATATTCGACAGGATTGGTTGCTTTTTTGTTCTCGTTCAGATTGTAGGGAGTAAGAGATTCATCGTACGGCCAACATAGTCCTGTCACCGCAAGATGGATCAAGACTATACCTCCATACTTCAAATGCATGATAACTCAGTCGTTAGAACTATCCCCCAAAGTTGGCAATCTTAGAACATGTGAGCCTCGAGGAAGAGTAATTTTAGCGGATGAAAGAAAGAGGTGGCGAATATTCACAATAAACTGACCCTGGTATCTGGTCAGTCTCTCCAAAGTACCAACATGCGTGAAAGGTCCGCCGAAGAGGCATGGGATGCAGGCGACGGCGAGAATGTAGCAAAATAATCACAACAATTCATGAAGAAGTGGCTCGAGCCATATCAAGAGGCTAAGTGCCATTCAAGAATATCATGGAAACTAACCTGGTCAATATGTATCAAAGATCTAAAGTGATCCCTTGGAAACTGTGCCTTTGAGGACCTAAGTATCAAGATTGAGATATACGAGTAGAAAGGAGGACCTTCAGCTGAGCAGGTTCTAGTCGAAGTGCTCAGCAGTCCACCCTGCTCGCTATATTAGAGAATAGAGAACCAAGAGAGTAGGAATGCCGAGGAAACTTTTGTAGAGAAATAAAAAAAAGTTGAGAGGAATCAATTGAGGACGAGAAATAGGAAAGGGATGAGACAGCAGGATTTTCACCACTTACTCTATCTCAAGTCTACAATACTTCGCAACTGTATACTAGGCGATTATTTTACATCCCTTTGAAAGTAGGAGTAACATGAGGGTAGAAGCACCTAGCTCTAGAACACACGATGAGCATCGAGTGAACTGTTTGTAGGAGGCTGATAACTTGGTACACATCAGGAACCTCCCGGGAGCCGATGGACAGTCGTGGTTGGAGGATGCTATTTTGGGGAACTGTGCGCTTAGATACAGAGCTCAGTGCTGTCCCACGATGCGACGGTATCCTCTGAAGGTTCCCAGCAATATCCATAACCATTTGCATTACCGGCGGCCTTGGTGGAAAGCCAGCGTCTCGATGATGGGAGTTGGGTATAGTATGCAGTGCATGTTTCACGGAGAACTGTAATACCTTGGTATTGCGTATCGAAGGATGAGGGGATTTAGATAGGCAGAACAGATAAGTGCAGTACATGCAGCGGAGATTTAAGATCGGTCGAATTTCAACATCGACGGTGAGAACACAAGGAATATCTTGCTAATAGAGTAAACGGGCCGTTCTTCAACTACCATATCGTGAATCGAATAATGTGTTGCCATAGCCTATCAACCCTGGAGCTTCTGCTCACCATTGAGGTGCATGGAGCGAGGCTCTAATAATTCTGCATTTCTTAGGATTGAATTCTTGTGGTATGGTCGAGGGGTATATTCGCTACTGCTCTAGCAACCTGCGCAATGGGTCTAAATTGCCATTCCAACTGCTTGTAGCATCAGCGCTCAAGGAAATGCGGAGTACAATGCAGAGTACAATGACTAGGATATTCGTCTTTCTATCTTCCTTTCGATGACTCCTACCGCATAGCAAGATTTATCGGCGATACTGTTGTCTGTTACTAACACAGTCGGTCGATAGATTGAATGGCAGGCTGGCGTGAAAAAATATACACCGAATTTCAGTTATGATGTCTTTCGGAGCTCTACTTATGGCAAATTCTGGGAATTAGCTTACCTTTCGCTATGTACGAACTCGGGAATTTGATAGCTTGATGACAATTATTTTCTCATGCGCCATGTTGGCTGATATGAGCTCCACCTTTCGTGCAACTGGTTAAGGAGTAAAGGGCGAGCTATACTCGCGAGGGACACCGATATACAGCTTGCAGATTACATTCCGATAACCGGTTGAAGAAGTCACCAACGGCCTGTTGAGTTTTAAACATGCTGGACTGATCTTACTTTCCCGACTTTGTTGCATTCTGTACCCGACAGGTTCAACACGATGCAAGCCGTTGACAAAACTGTTAAGTGGATAGACCTATGCCTAGCTAGTTCTGCCGTGCTCATGTACTGGTGACTACATAATACTACTCTACATATGGCGCCGCATATGCGCAATGCAGAAATATTTCCGGTCAGATTGGCGTCGTCAGTACGAATACAATATGCATACTTCTTCGCGTTTATAGGTCAGTTCTCGTAACCCCAACCAGCACGATTTATATCGTGGCCTTGTGTACCTAATTTTCTATTATCAATTAGATTATTTTAATTCCCCAGAGCTTGATGAATCAGTCAAATACCGCGCGTTGACGACTGGCCCGAATTCAAAGCTTGTCCTATACTAGACCCGCGTTGTGGCACGAAATCAGCCATTGGGAGATCTTCGGAAGCGGCGAACTTTAGATTCGTTGTCCTCCAATTAAATAACAACATATAACTCCACCAAGTAGTCCCAATGGGAGGGGAATTCCAGTCAGTGTCTCGCTCCATTGTATATTTGAAGTCTCCAAGTCGCCTCATATATCCTCCATGCCAAAGAACGGAACAACCCGTTGTCCTCCTTATAGTCGGGAGAGTATATAGGAAGAAGTTCTTTTTCGCCCATTACCACTGGAAAATGGAGGTTATGCATGTTTGACACGAGCCTATGTTGTTTGTAACGTCATTCTCCTAAAAAGTGCCCTTCACCATATGGTCTGAGCGCGATCAGATCTTCTTTTTCTACATGATAGGATAGGGTCTGTCCAAGCTCCTAGTGTACAGTGCCTGCCCTATCTCAAGAAATTGCCAAAGCGAGTTTTGCCAAAGCGAGTTTTACTGTCCTATGCTGTGTTTTGTGCGACCGGGGCCTGCTAGTATACCCGGATTGGCCGTGTTCCTGCTCACCGGAGTGGTCTATTTTGCCCGATACGATTGAATCAGATTTAGTATCGCCGGCGAGATCGACTTCGTCCGAGACATTAAGGGTGACTTCGGGGATTTTAGCTGACATGTACGACATGTTCTCCAGGGGTGCTTTAGATATCCAGGAGGATAGGAGCTTCATGGTGTGACTATCTACTCATCTTGGTGGAAGAGATGAATCAAGTTTCTCACACAGACCAAGACACTGGAAGAGGTGGCGGCCAAACGATAGAGTTCCCAACTCCCCGATTGGAGCGGGGTTTGGAACGTTGACGATGGAGGCGTGTCCTACCTGTTCGCGGGTAAGCTTTGCTACCAATTCACTTATCTCCAGATATCGCATATAGAAGGGCAGTTGACTTCAACCAAAGTAGCTTGAGAGAAAAGAACGGGACAGCATTGGACAATTAGTCTCTGTGAATATATAGATTGGAGTAACTCCGGGCTATCCTGGTATCATAGCTCCTGTTTTTAAGGTCTCATACATCGTTTCTCATTTCCGGCCCAATTTACTCGGCACCGTAGCGAGCCCGGTAGTCCTTCAGCCGCTGGATTTCAGCAGCGCCAATCTTGTCGCCCAGCTTCTCGATCAAGTCGTGCAGACCAATGACCGAGCGAATGGGGATGTTGCCGCCGAGGTCCCGCTGGGCAACTCCGATAGCGCTCTTGGGCTCAGAGTCGCTGACCCGCTCCTCACGGTCGAGGAGGACAACGACACCGGCGACAATACCACCCTCCTTTTCAATGATGCCGACGGCCTCGCGCAGCGCAGTACCGGCAGTGATCACGTCGTCGACGATAACAATTCGCTTGCCCTTGAGGGGAGCACCGACAATGTTTCCACCCTCGCCGTGTGCCTTAGCCTCCTTGCGGTTGAAGGAGTAACTGACGTTGTCCCAAGTACCCTTGGGCGAGCCGGAGAGCGAGTCACGGACAGCGAGCTCGTTGGTGACGGCAGCACAGATGGGGATTCCCTTGTAGGCGGGGCCGAAGATGATATCGAAGTTGGGCTTGGTGGTGCCGTCGGCGGCGGTGGTCACGAAAGGCTCAGCAGAGAGGACGCTCGCGTAAGCGGCAGAAGTGGCGCGCAGGAGAGGCGCAGTGTGCAGGAGCGAGGAGGTGAAGAAGTAAGGCGATTCGCGACCAGACTTCAGTACGTAAGTACCGAAAGAAAGGACATTGTTGGAGATCAGCAGCGGCAGGAGGGTAGACTTGTAGTCCTGGTCGGCGGAGGCAGGAGCAGCGGACATGATGGCGATTCTAACGCTTCGATGGTATCAAAAGAGGGCGAGAGGTCGTGGAAAAGAAGGAGTTGGGCTCGAATGTCGAGAAAGCAACGGACAATTGAAGATCAAAATGGGTCAAAAAATGTAGCGGGCGATAAGCGGCCGCAAAAGGAAAATTTGCCCCGGAACCCTTTTCGCCCAAGGAGGGGTAGGAGGGGCAGGCCATGATCTCCAAGTACCATCTTCATGATGCTTTCTACGGCATAATAAGAAGTTAGAAGGATCTATAAACTCGTATAGACTGTCAATTTGTAGTTTTATTGGCCATTATCGCTCTTCTGGTGCCAGCCATCCCCTTCTTGGTGGGCAGAACACGTGCCTCCGATCTCCGGCCTCCCCCGCCAAAAGTTCCAAAACGTTCCCAAAGTGTTCACCTTTCTTTTTTCCCCCAACTCCCCCCGGAGCCTCAACATCCCCCCTTTCTTTTTCACAATCCCGAGTTGGGCTGGATTTTTTTTGGGTGTTCATCTTTGAGAAGCTATCATTTTTGGGTGCTACAGCATACTGGTCAAGAATCCCGGTGATCGGAAGGCCCCGCTGCAAAATAGCCCCATAGTAGCACTCCCCTTAAGGTGCCACAGCCCTCGAGCAATTCCTTCGATCGTTGAGTCTTGGTAAGAATCCCCTCCTTTTCTTCGGATTTCTGATGCCAGTCAATACTTTTGTGCCTTCATCACTGGTTTCAATCAAGACACGACTGCTGACACAAACCGCGGGGTAGATTGACGCGACACGATGCATATTCGAGAAAAGCTCGCAAGCAAGGAGGCTGCGGGGGAGCCCAGCATCTCCTTCGAGTTTTTTCCTCCCAAGACTGCTCAGGGTGTGCAGAACCTTTATGACCGAATGGACCGCATGCATGGCTTGGGTCCCTCGTTCATCGATATCACATGGGGTGCCGGCGGTCATCTCTCTGACCTGACCTGTGAAATGGTCGGTGTGGCTCAATCGGTCTATGGATTGGAGACATGCATGCACCTGACCTGCACTGATATGCCCCTCGAAAAGGTGGATCAGGCTCTTCAGGCTGCCTACAAGGCTGGCTGCACCAACATCCTGGCCCTGCGAGGTGACCCGCCCCGTGACAAGGAGACTTGGGAGGCCACAGAGAACGGATTCCGATATGCGAAGGACCTGGTCAAATACATTCGCGAGAAGTATGGCAATCACTTCGACATTGGTGTGGGAGGCTACCCGGAAGGTGCCGATGACAACCCGGACGTGGATCTCCTGGTTGATCACTTGAAGGAGAAGGTGGATGCTGGCAGCTCTTTCGTCATTACACAGATGTTCTATGATGTGGACAACTTCATTGAATGGGTGAAGAAGTGCCGGGCCAAGGGTATCACCGTGCCCATCATCCCCGGTATCATGCCTATTCAACAATATGCTTCTTTCATTCGCCGATCCAACTGGACCAAGACTCGCGTACCGCCGGAGTGGATGGAGGCTCTGGAGCCCGTCAAGAACGACGATGCTGCCGTACGAGAAATTGGTAAGCGTCTGATTGCCGACATGTGTCGCAAGGTGATGGCCTCCGGCATCAACCATTTGCATTTGTAAGTGAACTTCTCACTCCGATTTGATTCCCAACCGTCCCCATTGGTCTGTGCTGACAAAATGGTGTTAGCTACACAATGAACTTGGCACAGGCAACAAAGCTCGTTTTGGAGGAGCTAGGTCTCGCTCCCTCCGAAGAAGCTCCTATTCAGCGGGCTCTGCCATGGCGGCCATCCCTTGCCTTGGGCCGGAGAAGCGAAGATGTGCGCCCGGTCTTCTGGCGCAACCGAAACTCATCATACGTTGCCCGCACACAGACATGGGACGAGTACCCCAACGGTCGCTGGACCGATTCTCGATCCCCTGCCTTTGGTGAGGTTGATGCATATGGAGTCCGGCTCAAGGGTACCAACGAGCAGAACATCAAGTTGTGGGGCGAGCCCAAGTCTATCAAAGATCTTTCCGAAATTTTCGTTCGTTTCTTGGAGGGCAAATTGGACCGACTTCCCTGGAGTGACAGTCCAATCAGCGCCGAGGCCAACGACATCAAGGATCTCTTGGTCGACCTGAATCGGAGAGGTTTCTTGACCATCAACTCCCAGCCCGCTGTCAACGGTGTGAAGTCTTCTCACCCGATCTACGGATGGGGTCCCAAGAACGGTTTCGTCTACCAGAAGGCATACCTGGAACTCCTAGTTCCACCTTCCTTGATTGATGAGCTCGTCGCTCGTATCGACAAGAACGATGACTTGACATACCACGCCATCCGCAAGAACGGGGAGCTGCGGACCAACACTCACGACAGCCCGAACGCTTTGACTTGGGGTATCTTCGCCGGACGAGAAATCATTCAACCCACCATCGTCGAAACGGTCAGTTTCTTGGCCTGGAAGGACGAAGCGTACCGGCTGGGTGAGGATTGGTCCAAGTGCCACGATTCCGCCAGTCCTAGTCGCAAGTTGATTCAGCAGGTCATGGATGACTGGTACCTGGTCAACATTGGTAAGTACACATCCTCTCGTCAAAGGAATCAGTTGACTAATGGATCTTTCTCTAGTCGACAACGACTTCCACCGAAACAACGCCGTCTTCGAACTGTTCACCGACCTCGAAGTCAAGGATCTCAACGTCGAGCTCCCTGGCAAGCCGGAGACCAACGGCTCCGGAGAACAAAACGGTGCTGCGACCAAAAACTAAAAACATATCACCATTTCATTCTCACTGAACCCGATCTTCTGGATTCATGATCGAAGTTCACCCTTTCAACCTTTGTCAACACTACACACTACGATTACTACCTAATTCAACATCACCTATCTCAACGATACTCAACGATTTTAGTCCCGAAATGAATCATCCAACACCAGATTCCGGGCCCCCCTGCAATGTGTCACGGCGTCACGATTGAAGACCTCTCAACGATTTCTTCCTGAGCGTTCACTTTTGTTTTCTCATTTCAACATCCGACATTCCCTGTACCGATACCCCGTCTCTTTAACACCGACGCTTCATCGCTCAGTCTTCTTCATTTCCTTGCTTCTCACCCACCCCCCACAAAGCCCGGTGCTTGTGTTCTCGGGCCAGCCTGATATTTACTCTTGTGATGATGGCTGAAAAAAGAGGAAAGAAGACATCCAAAAATTTCAACATAATTCAGCTCCCCTGTGAGCTATTTCCTTCATCTTCATTTTCTTGTTTCTGATATAGATCGTGTCGAGAACGAGACCCCATCGTTCTCGGCTACAACAAGTTCCGGTTTTCCTCAATCAGCGGTGTTCTCTTTCCATTTTTTTCCTTTCTCCTTTTTTGGCTCGATCTACCCCCAATGCTGGGAGCTTGCTTCCTGGCCTCGATGATGTTTTTCCGCTCCGCATGTTTTGGATAAAGGTTTCTTCAACACGAGGGTGGTGGAGTTTCCTTCTGGGCAAGAGCCTACCTGTCTTCCATAAGACTAAATTGATCAAAAGAAAGAGAATAAAAAGTCGAGTTGCCCCTACCTTCAACCCGGGGAACTTTAGCGCTTCTGTGCAACTTCTGGTGCCGGCTTGTAGATCTTCTGGTTACTGCCCCAGTAGTGTCTGTTAAATCTGATTTGGTGTGACAGCTTGGAAGCAACTAATGGCTTCTCTCATGATGGAAATCTCCAGGTCCATAGGGGGGTTTCCGGTACCAGGCCCTTTGCTGCTTGGGAGGTTTTCATAGGAGACTGCCTTCTCTCTCCCCAGAAAGAGATTTACTCATCAATCGCTCTATAAACTATATTTCCCTCGCCCCATTTAGTCATTATATGGTTGAAAAGGGTATTTTGGAATAAGCGCTTGGTGAAAGTTATATATGCCGTTGTTATAAAATTCCCATGGATGACAAAACATGAAGCCCCGGGCTTTTGGTTGTGGTCTTGTTTGATATATGTGCCAGGGCACATGTCCTGACACCTCGTGAGGGATTGACGTCCCTGATAATTACATTGATGTTATAGACGCGTCTATCGCGTCTTTGTTCTCCTTCTGCTGGGATCTATCAAACATATTACACCGCTTCTTACTGCCATTCCTAAGTGGATAGAATCTTCCCATATCCTCTTCCAGCTTCCTTGTACTTGATCCTTGGTCACCGGTCCACCATTTTTGCTGCAATGGTTTTCACACACTGCGTCGTTTGTACAGTACACTCCCGGTCGTTACTCGCTTGCAGGAGATATCTCCATATCGAAAACGTTTGTGATCATACGCATTCCCTAGAAGATTGTGATGTTGACTAGAGCAGTGCAATGGAAACAAGAAACAAATACTGTCGACCGTAAGGTCACCATGTCGGATGCCCTCACAGAACCTACAACTTTCAGCCGTGATACACCCTTCGCTTTTCTCTGGCACCATAGTTGTTGGGAACTCTTTAAAGAGCATTTTGAGAAGGGTGAGATAGAGCTCAACAAGCTTTTCAAAGCCTGTGAGGTGTTCGTGCCAAAGTCACACCTTTGAGGTATGAAATCTCAGTCCTAACATATCCCAGCTAGTGGCACCTGCTAATTAAATAACGGTACTGCTATAGGGCATGAAGTGCTCATGGAATATCAAAAGTCACCAGAGATAGACATGTCGTCGGTACTGGCATATTATCCTGTTCAACAAATGCACACTCTCCTGCCAGAGTGCCCCTATCCAGATGATGACCGCTTCAGTAATCTCCCCCTCGAGATACGGGGACATGTTGCAAACTATCTGTCAACAGAAGATTTCTTATCTTTGTGTAGAGCATCGCACTCTATTGTTCCTGTCTTTTACAGCCAACAGTTCTGGCGGTCCTGATTTTTGATCGGTAGGGAACGTGGGTACTTAAAAAACCTTCTCAAAGAACAGAATTCGGTGATAGACTGGCATATCCTTTATCTTCGATCACAATACTCTCGTGGCGTGGGCACAATTCCGAATCATTCCATGGCCCTGGGCTTGTGGACGAGGTCTGTTTTTCATGTCAACAGCGAACTTCTCAGGGATCAATGCTTGATGACAATGGCCCCTGGCATGCCACTGCAAAATAATCGTACCAAAAAACGCGGCAGCTTATTGTGTGATAAAGGCTTCGGCAGGGTTGGCTTTATTTTAGGCACTCGACAACATATCCCGACTGAAGAAACACGCACCGAGGAAGCGGGATTCTACAAACAGATAGCCCCGGTATCTTCCAGGTGGATCGGCCTTGGAATCTATCGTCAGGTTAATCCTATGGATACAGCCAAAAATCATGTTACAGGACTGGAACTGATCAATAGAGACCACGAGCAACCCAATGTTCCCATCGGATATGTGCTACCCGGGAGACTAGGACAACAAGAGATCATCGACATACACTTTTGCGGACTTTGAAGTTTTGGGAGAACTTGGAGAGATCCATGCGATTAGAGTTCTACATGATTGACCATCTCGTTGGGTCGGGAATGCTACGTCGGACGACCTCATCTCCCATGTTAAAGGAAATTCTCACGTCCGTTTCGTGAAAGGATACTTTCATGTAAGGTTCCTCTCCTCTGTGTCTTCGATCCAGAAATCCTTCGGTTGACCAATTGTATCCAAACAGCGACGTAAACTTATCGACATAGCCCTCGGCAGTGAGGATGAGCCGCATTGCTTGCCCCCAATACCCGCCCCTTCAGACTTGTGACAGAATTCGCATAGAAACTTTTGCACAACACTCCACGCCACATCTTAATATCAGGGGTCCGCTACCACCGGGCAAAGAGACATAGAAAAAAATTTCCAATGTTGCAGTGTAATTATTGAACTATTTCATTGCCTATGCGTATCCTTTTGGTCCATCGCCAACTATCACTAGATTGGAAAGCCTAATCCAACCCGCCAGAGACTCCCGTAGACTCCCTCAGACATCTAGACTTTGAATTGATCGCATCGGACTTATGTTTGGAACACGCCCATGTTTCTGAGTGACAAACCTACAAAGTTTCTTCGCGATCCGATACCAAAGCCGGAGAAAAGTCCAGCAGGCAGAAGCCATGAAATAGCATACGTTGAAGGCTAGTGTAGAAATAAGAGGATGCTAACGAGTGGAAACCCCCAATTCGAATTCCAATGATCGAGGGGATAAACACCATAAAGTCAAAAAAAGAAAAGGAAAGACGCCCCAGTCCCCAAAGCGCCGTGGAAAACGCAATCGATCTTAAATGCCAACCTTATTAGCAAGAACAATGAAAAACGCCAGCTCTCTTCACATGATGAGAGCACGAGTAGTACAATTAAAGACCCAAGTAAATGGCCTGGCAAGCCACAAGAACCAGCTTGCAACAAGCAAAGCGTAACTAGCGGCCCGGTAGACGATCATTGCGCTGAAGCCGAGAATCGCAAGATAAACAACAGCCTGGAGGAGCTCCACCAAAAAGCGGCTGATTGCTTTGTCGTCCTTCAACTTGGGCCAAGTCCCAGTGGCTTGATACTGTGCAACTGCATGAATGACCCGGGTGAAGACTTGGTAGCAGTGACGAACCATGCTCACAACGTTGCTCGCGACAAATTTGGCGTACGGGCTGTCGGTAACTTGCAGCGTAAGTCGGTGCATATTCGTAACGGCGACAACGACGATCTCGAAGATCATCGACAAAGCGACGGGGTTGATGTTCTCTCTCGAATAGTCGTCCTTTTCTCTCGCATTCAGCTCATGCAAATCTTCGCAGACGTCGTTTACGTCTGTGATATTAGATTGGAGTTTGTTCTTACGGCCAGTAACTTGGTGACCGTCTAACTCTGCGATCCCAACAATATCGACATCAACCACTTTCTCACTAGCCATCTTATTAGCCCGACGAATGCGAGCCTCTTCTTTGAATTTCTCCAGCCGCTCAGCACGGGACAGCTTCCCAGGCGGCGATTTCTCCACAGCTGGTGGGTTCTCCGTTGAAACTGCTTTGTTGACAACAGGTCTCGGAGGGGATTTCTCAAATGAAGGTTTCCTTTCAGCAGGAGGTCTTTCAGCCGACGACAACTTGGAAGTGGGAGAGTTTCTCTTTGGAGAGGGCCGCACAGACGGTGGTGGGGTTGCTCTCGGGGACTCTTTGGCTGACTTGAAAGACTTCTCCGAGCGGGACGAGTCTGAATTGTCTCGCGACGGAAGAGAAATGGGCGAGCCCTTGCGGCTATTGCGAAGGGACTCGGCACGATTTCGCAAAGACTCAGTGCCGTTTCGAAGAATGGTAGCTAGGCTGTCGGTGGGAGATCTGACGAGTCCGCCTGACCTTGCGAGCCCGGAGGTACGGATGAACCCACGGATAGAGCTGGACGCTGTGCTTCGATCGACTTCGTTTTTCTCCTTTCCGGGGGACGATTTTCTGGGAGGCGTGCCCTTGGATTCCTTGGCATATTTCGGCTCTTTCATGCCTTTCACTATGCTGGGTGCCTCCTTGGGTGTTGGAATGCCGCTGGGCTGTGTGACTTTTGATGACACCTCGGATGGCATGATCGAGCTCGGCTGCAACGGTCCTGCTGCGGGTCGAAGCCCTGAAGGTGAAGAGATGACCTGAGGTTTCGCGCGAATGGCCTTGACTGCCTCGCCGGTGCCGGATTGGCCAGTGTCCCCAGGTCGTCGCAGACCTTGTGGCTTTGGCGTTGAAGGCTTCTTCTCGGGTTGCCTCTTCTCGGCCATGGGAATCATAGTGCGTGTGATAGTGGGTATGATAATGAACACATCGTCGTCGCCACGAGTGTCTTCCAGCCTCTCTTTCGACCGAGATGGATTCTCGATAGGGCGGGAGTTCTCCTTCTCCGAGCCCTGAGAGCCTGTTCTCGGTATCTCGTGCTCCGAATAGCGAGGGTCCTGGCACAGTGTCACTACCGACCGCTTCGAGCATGGGACATGTTTCGAATTCCGAGAAACCTCTGCCCACTCTTCTTGAAACAGGCTCCTGTCTCCCGATCTGCGAGGAACCGAATGCCCGCCTGAACTCTTCTTCCTCTCCTCCTTCTGCCTCTTTCTCCCACCGACTGCGAGTGGCCGGGGGTGCAGGCTTCCGGAGTCTTCGCCAGATCCGAAGAGGAGAATCTCGTCTGGATTTTTGGTTCCTGGCCCGTTGATTTCCTTGCAACCTAAAAAAGAACCATCTGCGGCTTGAGAGGGACGTTTTTCTCGCTGCTTTGTTGGGGATTCCTCCCAGATTGTGCTGATCCGATTCTTTCCAATCTCGTCAGGACTGTAATAATCCTGCTGCGGCTTTAGAGACCGCTGCTGTTGAGATTGCTCAGCCGGGTTATCTTGCTGTGGCTGGGCCGAAGAATGATCTGTATCCGATAGAGGCTGTGTTGAACCGCCGTCGTATGCTCTAAAAGAGCCAATCGAATCGTCCCTTGGTGGGGAACGGCGTCGTGCTCCTGCAGGTGATCCAATTCGCGGACTCTGTCCTGCTGGTGGTTCTATGGTATGTCTGCCCTCGCGGCGAGCTTTCTCGATGCTTTTCTGATATTCGGCAATTTGCTGAGCAGTCATTGTGGGTGGATTGGGATCCTTTGCGCTCGGCATATTGACAACGAATCTATCCTCCCAGTCTGTCAGGCTTTCCTCAGCGGACACCGGAGAGATGGAAGAATTTGAATGGGAACTGGAGTCGGTTGCCGTGTCTGTTCGATCAGATCGGTGCGCAGTATTGTCGTTGAGCTCTAGGCTGACCCAGGAGTCTCCGTTCTTTCCAACTTTTCTCTGGCTCTCCGGATTGCGAGGTATCTCCTGACGAGAGCTTTGGACACCGCTAGTTTGATGGGAATTTGGGCTCGGAATGCCTGATCTGGGGCTGCTCCCGCGGCCAGTCGGTTGGTCCTGGGGGAAATGTTGGCTTTGAGGACGAGAGTGGCCATGACTCGGAGAGCTATTTTGATCACTCTTTCTGGATCGTACGTAAGAAGCTCGGTGTGATAATGGAGAGTCTCTCTCGGATCTGTCACAGAGCTTTGACCAGTACTGGTCCCGTCCCCCAGAATGCCCACCAGATCCCCCTGAAGAGAAGATGGCAGAGGATAGCTTGGGAATACCGGTAGGACTAGGAGTCTGATTGCGCTGATCCCGAGCTCGTTCAGTCAAGGTCTTGGAGGCCGGGAGTTTGGTTGCTTTTGATCGGTGGATCATGATTTCTGGTGGGCTTCGAGCACCTCCAGGCTCAGATGGCCGGGGTCGATGGGTGCTTTGTGAGGAGGGAGTTGCCGATAATTCTGTGACGGTATAGTTTGCTCGATATGCTTGGTATTGTTGTTGACATTGGCCTGTTTGACGATGGTTCCGTGGCGAGAGGTTGACAAGATGTCCATCTGGTAATTCGATACGGCTTTCGACGTCCATTTTGGCCCGCAGGGCTTTCCGGCGTTTAGTTCTGACTCTAGAGCCAGGTTTGAGCCGTGCCTATGCCCATTCCGTGAAGGAAACACTGAGACCCAGCGTGACTGTAGTTGTAGAAACAGGTCGTGCGGGATGTATGGCAAGAGCAGCGGTCGGATTAGGTGCTTGAATTTTGCGTGAACAAGACAATTCGGGTACGTCGCGGGGTTATCGAAATCAATTCAGAGAGTGAAATGAGTGAGGATTTCAACGCGTAAGAATACTATGGTCTCGTTGGCTGGAATGGTATGCGGTCGGTGATGAAGAATGCCAGCCCCCGCGCTGGAATGCTTCACAATCTCGCCCGCCGCCATCTGGCATGACAGTCCGATAGATCGCTCCTGACTGTCCTACCTTTGGAAAATTGTATCATCGACAGCACGGGAAAGCTCTGAATTGATCTTGGAGAAGTAGAAAGTGCGATATCTCAATCTGATGTGGAAACTGCGACCCGCCCTGAGACGATAACTTGGGGATTTTTCAACGAAGAATGACGGTCGGGTGATTTTCCGATCAATGAGGTATCGGTACAATGATGGGATGTCGCATTCTTAAGCGTGGCAGACCGAGGTAAAATGACCGAGTATCGAAACTCGACGCTGCATCGAGTAACTATCAGGCAGGTGCAATTAGGGCTAGGTATGTACTGGTTGCATCCAAGTTCTAAATCAGGATCATCTGGATGGACCTGCATAACGAGACAATGCAGGTGACGAACTAAATTCTCCGGAAAACGATATGATATCATGGTATCATGTAGGGCAAAAAGGGGAAAGAAGAGGGGAAAAAAAGCTTGTAATGATTCATTTCGTTTTAGAACCTGCCAGTTTCACGGCGGTTGGTGTTACCCAAGGTACTTGGTCTAAGTCCAGGTGCTGGACTACCCATTGGTCCGGCCAAGCTGCTTCGCTTGAGTGGGCTGGATGGCTTCCTCAAAGGGCTGGTCCCTCGCTCTTTGTAAAAGAAGTCCCCGTTATTTTGAACACGACGTTCAAAGGCAGTTGATGCTGATTTCCTCAAGGGGGAGTTGGCATGTGAGTAAACTCCGAGGCTACCACCGTCACCAGTGGTGCCTGAGCTTGGCCGAAACTGGGGCTGTCGCATAGATGTATTTACAGTTCGAACCAACGGGGAGCCATCACGCGACATAACCGGCGTATGCAAGGATGGCTGAGTTTGAAAGATCGACCTCGATGATGGTGTAGAGTCGACCGCACGGCGGGGAGATAACCCTTCAGGGTCAACATGACTGACATAGTTGGGGTTTGGACTGGTTTTGAATCCACGGTTGATGATAAAGGTGGGTGTATAGGTTTCGACCTTATTCTGGCCCTCAGATGCTGGGGTGAGGTCGGTGCCTTCTGAAAACTGGGTTCCAACGTCTCTCATCAAGGGCTGAGTGCGCGGGTGGACGTATTTTGTGTCGTATTCCTTCATGACTTCCCGGTGCACCAGCATGGAATCCTTTGCCTGTTGCTTGTAATATGAGGAGATAAAGGACATTTGAACCGAAAGGAGTACGGTCAAGAAAATGGTCGTCACGATTGTCACGCTGGGGCGAGGATCGGAGAGCTGAGTCGGCAAGAAAAGATAATAGACCAATACATGGCCCGGGCTGAACAAGGAGAATAGTCGAATACAGATCGGTAGAGGATCCCACATCGCCACCTCCCATACATCCCGATGCGCGTCAGGATGCGCTCGCGACTCGGCAGATTCAGAGGACATGGCATTAGCGAGGTAGCGTAAAGGGGAGGCGATCATCGGGCTCGAATCGACTCTAACTCGCGTGGCGGAAGAAGTCGCAGGCGCTCTGTCAATCGGAGATTCAAACAAGCGGTAGTGTCGCTTGCGATAGAAGGTGTAGAATGCATTTGCCCCAGAGACCAATACGAGTGTGTGAACGACGACCCATGCCTGTGGAAAGAAGAAAACAAAAGTCAGCTTCAAATCTCAGAAACAATATTAAGGATGTTCTCTGACGTACAATCCAGCTGAGCCAGGGGAGACCATCGTCATCTCCAAACACGTCGTCAATAGCTTCGCTGCCACTTGATCTGCTATTGGCTCGCGCAATGAGGAATATCAGATTTAGGGCGACACCAAGTGCGAGGCCCCATTCCTTCTCAAGTTGATCCCAGTCATATCCTTCGATTGACTCAGACAACCAGAGCAGAAAATCCCACGGGTTCAAGTAGGATTGGATGCGCTCCGCGAGCGGCTGGCGGCGCACGAGACGAGGCATCGTGTTGGAGGAGCGGTGAATTATTTGTAGAACAGAAGCTGATCCTCAGCAGCTTTGCCCTAGGTGATGACGGTCAAGATAGACATCCAGCGTGAAACCGAAGCTGTCAAAGTTGAAGGGAAGAACAATGAACCTTCTTCTCGAAAGGTAAACAAAATTGCATCAGCTTACGTAATGGCCAGCTTCTCCGCGATAACCACCTTGCGGCGATTAGCGGGCAACGAAGTCCTGAGCTTCGACTGACCTGGACCGAGCTTAGCTCCTGTTTTACCGCGGGGTGTATTCTTGTCGAAGTCTTGCGGTCTAATTCCTCACTTATCGTGTCATCATGGCGTCCGCCGCGACATACAAGGTACTTGACACCTGGTGTATTGAACTGTCTCCCCCTCCGATAGTGATCCTAACTCCTGCGACTGTAGGACCGACAACTACTCGCTGTCATTGGCGATGAAGAGTGAGCCAGCTCCTTTACACGCTTCTTGCCTTAATCCGTATTCCCCGAAGCTAACTTGAGCCTTAACCTAGCTCCGTTACCGGTCTTCTCCTCGCTGGCATTGGTGTACGTACCCCACACGAGGCCTACAGCATCAGGCTAAATCATACCCCCGACACGTACGAAACATATCGATCTAACAAGAAGTGTTGCATTGACAGCATGTCACCGAAGGCGCAGATGCGCAGCGTAACTTCCTAGTCGTCGATGCCAAGACCGAGACATCGCAGATTGAGCAAGCTTTCCAGAACTTCACACAGGAGCGAAAGGACATTGCCGTTCTCCTGATCAACCAACACGTTCGTTTCCCCTGAATATCTTGCGGAAATCTATTCTGATAGCATCCCTCTAACTTCAATCCCAACAGATCGCCGAGCGCATCCGTCATAGTGTCGACACTTTCGCCGACCCCTTCCCTGCTGTCCTCGAAATCCCTAGCAAAGACCACCTATATGATCCCGAGAAGGACAGTGTCTTGAAGCGTGTGCGACGACTATTTGGCGAGTGAACCAGCCACGGGGGCCCTTTCCGTCCTGACTTGGCTCACAAGGTGTCTGGTTACATCGTGTTTTCATATCGTCTGTTTCTTGCTAAGATATTCCGGTTTCATTTCGACCATTTCGGGGTCTGTCAGTCAGCTTGTAACTACAGCTGAGTGTTATACATAGGAAGGCGATAAGCAGCTTTAGAGGGAAGATACCCAACGTACCCGAAATATGCATATTTCTCCATACTACCGGCCAGAGAGGGCTCTAGGACCTCGGAAATTCTGGTTTCTTTTCTTCTTCCCAGTTAGAATTATCAGATCGGCCTTTTCTAATATGCAAGAATATCTACCATTGCGCAGCAACCGGAAGCCGGCTTTGTATGAACGATCGGAGATACTCGTCTATCTTAATCTCAGGATATAATCTTACCTGTAGTCTACCATTCCTGAATCTCGCCAGTATATAGAACGACCCTGCCACCATACTGCTGTTTGGTTCCTTCGGTGATCACGCGCACCATCCCATTAGTGGACTTCTCAATGGTATCCGGTGCCGATTCAATCCCCCAGTCATTGGCGGCAGAATTCCCCATCTCTGTCTGAACCCAGCCAGGATCCAAGACGAAAGTGTTAAGCCACTCGTCTTCGGCGTTAATCCGAACTCCATACCAGGGCAGAATTGACTTGGAAGCGCCATATGAGGCACTAGGAACGGGTGGCTGGCGGCTAAGAAGAGATTTAGTCTCGATGTCATCGATCTTATGATTAATCTTACCCCAAAGCCCCGGCTCCAGATCCCATGATGGCAAAAACGGGCTTAACTGTTGACTTCTGGAGCAGATTGCGCGTGGCCTGGTAGAGCGACACAACACTCAACACGTTTACCTCGATGTGCTCGAGGATATCAGCCCGCTTGACATCCTTGACGAAGGGATAACTCCTGGCGATACCGGCATTGGCAACGACATAATCGAGGTGATCTATACCCTGCTCGGCAGCCTCTTTGACGGCTTCAAAAGCAGACTCCTCGATGCTAGCATCATATTTGACCACGATAACACGGCTACCTTTGCCTGTGGGTAGTTTGGCGAGTTCTTGGGAGGTTTCGTGGGCGGGATCACGCACCGCAGCGACGACAATCTATGAGTGGTACTTCAGGTCAGCCTCTAGCTCGGATTGAGTGAAGTGGTAATTGAGAATGAGGAACCCACGTAGTCCGGCTTTGCGATAAAGCCTTTTACAAGCCCAAGGCCCAAACCACGGTTGGCGCCAGTCACGAGAACAATAGTTGGCGCCATGATGGATAATAGAAATGTTTAAAATTCAGGAGAGAAGAAGGCAATTGGAGGGTCCGTGTCGGGTCAATACGAGTTGATATAGCCGGCTGTTTACGGACAACCCTACAAAATAGCCAGAATCGGCGCTTATATAGTTACATGTCGAGGTGGAACATGGTCATTGATTAACAATCACATATCCATCTTGAGAGATTCTTCGTGATTACAAATACAACTATCAAGTCGGTGATGTATTATGCCGGAAACAAAGTACTACTTGGTCAATTCCGCACGGCTGGCCAAGGGCAGACGTTGGTCTTTGCAAATGTGTAGGGGCCTACTAGACCCTGGCCTACCCTCAGTGGGAATACGAGCGTGGCGTATTGAACCTAAGCTAGAATTGAAGCGTTAACTCCAGTCCTAGTGTAATTGGGCGCGCATACATTATATGGTCAATGTATCTTCTGGTGTCCAGCATTTCATACAATGGATCTTACGGCATCGATGCCAGTGTCTCGGGTTCCGGCCCAAAATTTTACAGGCTGTGCAAGTCCGAGCATAATGTCTATGGTGGAATCCGAAACAAGGACGATTCAATTCATAAAACAATAATATTCCATGTGTATAATCAGGACCACAACTAGAGCGCCTGACTTAATTCAAGTCTGAGGTAATCAAGCAGTGAGATGCAAATTCGAGCAGGAATGGCAGAAGCATGGTGATATCTCAACGGACTGCATGGCTTGTAAAAGGCAGGAAACTTGAGTAAAGAGGCAAGGATCAAACATGTACTAAGGTCGTGATAAGACGTAGGCAAAAGCGTTACTAGCATAGATGGGGCTCAATCAAGCAAAGGATGGGAAAGTGCAACGTGGAATGGACAGACGAGGCCACCCGGAGTGTGGATGCAAGTAGGGGAGATGGTTTCCCAGGTGCGAAGAGCGATTAGAACTTGATCTTGAACTCAATGTTATCGGCCTTGAGGCAGGTGACCTTCCTGTCATCCTCGGTGTAAACATCAGCGAGCACCGAGTAGCGACCCTATAAGAAAGAGAGTAAGTATCGTCAGGATGATAGGTGCTCACCGCCTGATCGTATGGAACTTACTGGAGGGATCTGCTTGGGCAGCTGGACTTGCTTCGTCAAGACCATCTTGCCCTTCTCCAGGGGGCACTTTAGATCGACATTTTCGATCTGCTCACACAAGTCCATAGTCTGCTTCACCAGGGTGATAACGCCCCATTTGACTTCCACATTCACGATAGCACCCTCGGTGATGGTCTCGTGGAAAGTACCCGATGCGGTAATGGTGAGGATCTCGCCACTATTGTAGAAGTAGAGTGTCAGTACAAGAAGACTTCAGGGACATTTAAACGCCCAATTTCTGCTTTGACTCACGGTTGAGGGGGGTTGGGCGACAGATCGACGGAATCGATGGTGAGGAGATGAGAGGAGGGAGATTCGCAGAATTCTAGAGGGTTGTCGCCCTTAACTGGGTTCTTGCGCTCATTGTCCCCCGCACGGATCGGGGCCTGCGAGGGGTCGAAGAGAGTTGGTAAGGAGGCCGCTGCAACGAGCGGAGAGGCGAGAAGCAGGGCAGTGGCTGATAAGAACTTCATGGTTGCAATAGTCGTAGCCTTTGGGTGAGTTGAGTATGTGCTGGCTTGAAAGGACCTAGATACTAGATCAAAGGTCCCGAAGTCTCAGTTTCACAGGGATAATCTCCAAAGGCCAAGGTTGGAGTTGAGGAAATGAGGCTGGTCCTGCAGATGGTGTCACTTGATGACGACGGGTCCACGTGATTGGCTTGGCCGCTTTAGGGTTGGATCGTCCGCTTCCCCTCACGGATTTGCGCTGCGTATCCCAGTCCCAGTACCTGCATCTTTCCATAGAGTGGCGTCTTGAACTTTGACAATCCTGTTTAAGTAGGGACTATGGTTTTTTTTCATCCAAGTTCATGCTGATGTATCTCTCCCTTGATGTACACATTCTCTTTCAACACAAGATTTCTTATCGTGACTGACCCACTTTACTCCAGGTCTTATCGGTCGGGTAATAGAGCCACGGCGATAAACCCCCGGCTAAAAGCCCTGAAGGCGTGATGACTGTGGCTATGCACAGTATCTTACAATGCACTATAGTGATGGGAAGTTTACTAGAGCTGAGTGGCATTACACGGAAATTACTATTGTGATTAATGTGAGACCTAATCCTCAACGTCGAGGGAGTTGATATCGCAATGGAGGCCTAGTACGGGTACAGTCATAACATACGGAAGTTGTTTTAACTTGCATATAGAGACGTGTCTTGGGTACAATATAGTACATTTGTAGGTAAAGCCAACTTCATCCATACGAAGAGAATTATATGATCGCGAGCTCAACTTCTACATAGTCCTACCAATCCCAACCAAGATGGCCTAGGTCGCGATATATGCCCAGGCATACTGGATTAGAAAACATCATGCGCAAACTCGGGAACCCAATGGAACTACATTTGCATTCCTCAAGGAATATCTGACCTTTTATATTGATAGGCTGGATTACATTTGACGTCAGACGAGTTCCCAGAATACATTCTCCACAACGGGATCCAGCACGATGACGAATTATCACTACAGTCTTCAAAACGGGCTCGAACTTAACATGGCGTATTCCATGCCGTACATAATGAACTCAACCACGGGTCTCGACTTCCTCAAATTGGACACGAACAGTGCAGCTGTTATTCTCAAGTTCACCGCTATAAGCTCAGCGGGCTCCGGAATCCCACCAGAACCTAGCGGGACCGAATGTTCCCTCTTCTGCGTTGATGGCTACGAAGCATTCGTGAGGGAAGATGTCTTCTCAGCGAACGTCATCTCCACAGATATATCATCCAATGCCACACTTTCAGGCACGAGAGCCACGGAAGACTTTCATTAACTCCGGAAAAGTGCTATTATAACGGAACTCGTGACGAAAACCCACATGAGCACAGCCACAAATGCACATAGAATGTAAATTGGCTAAGTCGGTTAGCGATGGCAAACTCTCTGAGCACATTTTTGACAGTACAAGGCTCGCTATTCGCTAGTTACCGACCCAACGGGTCCTCTGATACTATCGGGGCCCTGTACAGCGTCAACGGGAATTACACGGACATCAACTAGGTCTTTGAATCACTTGCCTCTTCTCTCACGATCAATGCCCGATCTCAGGTCTGCCAGGCCACCGTCAACGGTACTGCCTGGACAGTCACATCGTATGTGCACGTGTAATGGCCATGGCTGATTTCACCAGGGGCGTTGGTTGTTCTTAGTCTTGTTTTCTTGGTTGTTACGATTTTGCATACGAGGAATCAGTATATTTGGAAATCCTCGCCTTTGGCGTTGCTTTTTTCGGATTTATCAATTGATGCGTCTACGCCTTTCAGACAGGACCAGACCTTGAAAGGGATGGAGGACACTTCGAGGAATATGGAGGGTTGGTTGGAGACGACTCAAGAAGGCGTTCGGCTGAAAGCTGTTCCTACTTGATAGCTCGTGTATGGTGGACGTGAACGGGTACATGTTGACAAGTGGCGCGTGTTCATTAACTTTCAACTGTAGAGTTCCTAATTAGGCTAGAAGGAGTAGGCTACTTACAGCCCATAGCCAATAATTTCCGATTTGGCTAATGAGATGCCCGGATTTTGATAGCCTATAACGTAAGGGAGCATTGAAGACTCTACAGGAAGCGTTTACTGTATGGCCGGCAGCTTAGCAATAACTACGACAGGAAAGGATCTAACAGTAGATCGAGCGTATTCCTTGCTATATAAAGGATATTATAAAGCTTGAAAGAGGAAACGAATATAAAGACAGTAGGGAGAAGAAGTAGTAGGGTGATTGGGAAGATATGTAGGGGAATAGGAATATATTTAAGGGGTAGAGACCGAGGTGGGCTCTGATTCCGGGCTGCTGGGCACCGAAGTTGGAACAGAGGTGGGCTCGGAAGGCTTCGTGGGCTCGGAAGGCTTTGTTGGCTCAAACGGCTTCGTGGGCTCAAACGGCTTAGTGGGCTCAAATGGCTTCGTGGGCTCAAACGGCTTGGTGGGCTTGGATGTCGGTTCAGAAGTTGGTTCGCAGGGCTTGGTGGGCTGTGAGATGGTGCTTGCTACGGATGTCGGCACCGAGGTGGGCTGCGAAGGACTCTGTAGGCTAGTGGTCTGGGCTGCGCCGCATGCTTCCGAATCCGATGAAGAAGAAGACTCTTCAGATGACCCAGAGGAAGTATCAATGGAAAGATCGACGGAGGCCGAAACAGATGAAGACGACGAAGAATCCGAAGACGACGACGTCTCGGAGGAAGTGGAAATAGAGACGGAAGCAGAAGCAGAAGTCTCGGATTCGGACGTCGAAGAAGTCTCAGAGGAAACAGAAGCAGAAGCAGAAACCGAGGCGGAGGACTCGGACTCGGATGACGAGGACGTCTGAGAGGAAGTGGAAGCAGAAGCAGAAGCAGAAGCCGAGGCGGAGGACTCGGACTCGGATGAAGAGGACGCCTTAGAAGAGGTGGAAACAGAGACAGAAGCAGAAGTAGAAGCCTCGGATTCGGATGACGAAGAAGTCTCAGAGGAAGTGGAACTAGAGGCCGAAACGGATGAAGATGACGAAGAATCCGAAGACGAAGACGTCTCAGAGGAAGTAGAAAGAGACACGGAAGCCGAAGTGGAGGACTCGGACTCGGACGATGAAGTGGTCTCGGAGGATGAAGAGCTAGAGCTGGAGGAAGAGCTGGAGGAAGAGCTGGAGGAAGAGCTGGAGGAAGAGCTGGAGGAAGAGCTGGAGGAAGACGAAGTATACGCTTTGCCAACGCTGTTTGCCTCGCCATCTGTGAGCATATAGTCGTTGGCGCAATAGAAAAAGGCATATCGGGTAACTTCGTCCTTATCGTCAAGCCATTCGGCAGCTTCCTCCAGGAAAGTTGCGGTAGTAGACAGATCAGAAATACCACTCTCGTCAGAGTCGAGGCCGAACTCAGTGAGCCAAACTTCAGAGATACCGTAGTCCGAAGCAACATCGACAGCATCGTTAACAAAGCTCTTAAGATCGGAAACACTATTGCCATACCAGTGAACGGCGATCACAGAGATAGTGCAGTCGTCGCAGTCGCTCAAGAAAGACTTGAGCCAGTCCAAGCCTTCGCCGGAAGTGGTAGATGAGCTAACAGCCGGGCTAACCAGGGTCGCATCATCGGCGTAAGGAGTGATATACTCCTTATAGTATGTCGCGGCATCCGAGGTGCTCATATCGGCTTGGGAGGACATATCGGGTTCGTTGAAACCCAGAATATGGGTACTCCCATTATTCAGGGCCTTCTTGACAGCGGTTGTCCATCCATCAATCCAGTCAGTGCCCCAAAGCATCGGCACAAACTCGACTCCGTCTGGAATTTCGCCGTCAATAGAGGAGCCCCAGTTATAGGACCATGAGATGGTGCTAGAACTGTCACTCAGGGCGGAGACAAGAGATGCATCATTATAGGCAGCACCGCGCTTAGAGTCGCCCGAGGAAGACTTCTTGATCAGGGTTGACGGAACCACTTGGATAGGGGCAGCACTCGCAGAGGCTAGCAAGAGACTGAGGGCGGAGAACTTGAGAACAGAGCCCATTGTGATGGTCACGATACGAAAGGGCTGTAGAAAATGAAAGATTCTTTTCGAGTTTAGACAACGTCGTGTTCGAACACAAATGTGCAAAGGAGTGGCGGGTATAGATTTCCCAAAAAGAATGGATACTTTCGTGCGCAGCACGAAGGTGGTTTGAAGGAAGGGAGAAAGATTCGACAACTGGGTATTAGAATCTTGATACTAGGGGCATACATATAAATCTCCCGTGGGCACGGCCAGGCGATTATTGAGTTATTGCACATTAGGCGATAGTCCATACAATGGAGCTCACACTATTGTTGTTGTTCCTTCTTTTTTTATCCAACAAGGTTCATCTACCAACAGGAGGCAAGGGAGTGGGTACTCCGTATGGAGACATAATGCCAGCGTTAGCAGAGGGCGGGAGAAAATGAGCAGCAAGCCATGACCGTACACCGTCCACCAGGTCGAAGCCGCGCCTGCATACGTATGTACTTGGTACATAGTGCCGGGAGATACCGAGGGCATGTTGGCGCTAACTGGGGCGGGGCGGCAGCGATCGAGATAACGCTCGGCCCATAATTGTATACTTCACGCTTCCAAGCATGCAACCAGTGCGGAATTTTGGCTGAAGCATATATTTCGTCTTTCCAGAGGAATGAAAATTTAGGCATCCCCGAAAAGTTCATTCAGACCTCAACTTAAGCCAAGCTTTCCACTAAAACCTTTGAAAAGTTAGGCTTGGAAGGGGTGGGGCGTTCAATAAGCTGACGTATAGCTATGCGGTAGTATAACGCAATTCCTGGCCACCCTCCCCCATAAGAGTGTTTCAAAATCGATTATCTCCACTAAATTTTATTGATTCTTCTAATTATTACGAACAACTCTCACATCGATTGATCTTCTAGCTAATTTCCCCACACCCACAACACCTACATAGACAGGGCCCTAGTAGGTCGTGAAATTGCCTAACTAGGTAATTTAACACTACGTATTCCATTCTACCCCATCTTGTTCCACTGGCAAATCTAGTTGCGTAGCTAGTTATAAGGCCTCTTCTTAGGGTAGGTACTTAGTTAACCGACCACGCCGTTTCACGATCTTCTTACTCACCATACGGAGATTCGTATTATCCTGCGAAAATAATTTAGTGTTGTAGGGCTAGGTGGTAGTCCTCGATAACCTAAATTAATAGTATTTTCGATAGCCCTAGAGAGTACTTTAATAGATCTTTCAATATTGAAGCTTGAGTTACGAACTAAGTAACCGTTTCCAGGCACATTTTGTGTAATTTAGCTACTAGATCTACTACTTAGCCGGTTACTTGGCAGTAGTGGAGTATACAGAGAGATATTAATCTTATTAAGCACACACACACACACTCTCTCTCTCTCTCTATCTCCTGGCCCATTAGATATAAAGATATTTAAGATAGTCAAATTAACTGATGAGAAGGCTTCTGGTTATGCGGTACCCGCTAGTCACTGTGAGTAAGTACGGGAGCACACAGCTCAACGGGACCCAAGTCCCTAAATCATATACATAATATTCTTCAATAAACGGGGGTTTCTTTTGGGAATTTTTTAGATTTAACTTTAGTTATACCCTATATAGTTATGAAATAAATATAGGGGATTGATAAAATGACCCCCCCCTTGGATATAATGACCCCCCTGCCTTAAAATGCCTAAAAATTGAGGCACCAAGGCATCAAGGCTACCAACTTTTTTCTGCCAAAAGTTCTGCCACCACCCTCTCTCCGCCTAAATTCTGCCACTCTTTCTGCCACCTTTTCTGCCCATGACCCACCATCACCCTGCCACTTTGGTCTCTGCAGTCTACCTTTCTGGTTTACATAGTAAATCCACCATGTAATCTACCGTTAAATGCACGTTTTGACAGAGAAATCTACATTGAATTCCTACAAATCTAATCACCTTCCTTAGTAATACAACCAGTCCTGGTTGCCTTGCTGCGTAGGCCTGGTAGATCTGGCAGATCTCCTGGTTGCCCGGGTGATAGTGGATTCTTTATCCTCTGCAGAATCCTCTGCTAGAACCTCCGAATCCTCCGCATCTTCCGAATCCTCTCGCGAAGGGCTACTACACCCACCACGCCTACACGAAGAAAGAAAGATTGGTGGTGGTTGCGGAGGACTTAGTAGTGGTGGTGGATCTTGGGGGTGGGCGGTGAGGGCGGTGAGGAAGATGGTGAGCGAGTGGTGGAAAGCGGTGAGGGCGGTGAGAGTAAGAGTGTGGAAGAATATTATTCCGGAAGCAAACAAGACAAAAACTTTGCCTTGATGCCTTGGTGCCTCAATTTTCAGGCATTTTAAGGCAGGGGGGGGTCATTTTATCAATCCCCTAAATATATGAAAGTAAATATTATAACTTATTAAGACCTAAAATATTTTGGGTCCCGATGAGCTCTAGCACCTTAGCGGGACCAGAATCTATCAGTAAACTTTTGGGTCCCGTTGAGCTATAACCCGTAAGTATGGAAAGGCAACCAATAGTTATCCAGTGTCTGACGAGTGTTGATGGTTTACCTGATTGGGTGGCATGCTAGTCTTTTCTTTGGTCTTATCGGTCTCTTTAATTTTGCCCACCACTTTGCTGCCTTTCTGTTTAGTCTCTTTGCGCTGGTTGATGGATTTAATTTGTCGATCTGGACGGTTATGGCGAAAGGCTTCATGGAGATAGGAGGAGATGGGACATTGCACACACACACACACACACACACACACACACACATTTTTTCTCGGTTTATATACAATTTGCACGCACCTACCCAGATACCCAGCCTAGCCATCAATTCTAACATTGATAATGCAAAGCATATTAGTATCCCTACCGTACGATTAACCTTCCCTCCTAAAAGCCACCACCAACCTACCCGGTCTTGTAAACCCTTCAAATTCGGGTTACACTGTAGTCCATGCCTCCTGAAGGGGCCACACGAGCAAGACATTGAGTTCGGAAGAATAAGGGGGCACGATCCACCAACAATGGAGTTACTTCTTCCCTTGATAACGGCAAAGAAAAATGTCTCGCGTGGTAAGAATAAACACGAGAAGGTCTAGACTGCAGGATTCCGATTGGGCTCCAGCTGACGGGTTGTCAATGCGCTCTGGTGGGTCTAACTTTGGGTGGGTTGTTGTTTAATTAATGTCTTGGTAGCACCGTAGTACTGTGTGCATGAAAAGGGGTGAGATAAATATAGGTTTGTTGTGGATTTGAGAGTCCTGAAGAAATACTATTACTGTTATCCAGAGTTATAGGACGCTATAATAAAGTAATATGCTGCAGGGGGTTAGGGGTTGGACAGAAATAGTAGATCATTGGTCTGGTAATATTTTCTATGGCAGAGCACATTCTTCGAATCTGGGAGATTATACAGCGTGGAAGAACAGATGTAGAAAGACCAAATAAAGCCGGAGACATGTTTATTTCTATAACAAAATATACATATAATAAACGAGAGTGAGAAAGGAATATTCACAGTATAAATAACGATGCTCCGGGTATCGGTGCTATCCAGATTCGCCTAGCCAGTCACGCCTGATAGATCCACGAGAGAAGGTTGCGCTTAAACAGCAATGGCGAGGATCAGAGCAGCGGCGAGGGCAGTGAAAGCCGAGCCGGAGGAGCGGGCAGCAGAGTTGAAGCTGGTGGAGGAGGTGGCGGAGGCAGAGCTGGAGGAGCTAGAGCCGGAGCCGGAATCGGAGCTAGAGGAGCCCGAGGAAGAAGAGCCGGAAGAGGAGCTACCGGAGTTGGAGGAGGAAGAGGTGGAGGTACCAGAGCTAGAGCTGGCGGTCTGGGTGGCGGAGATCAGAGGGGTGGAGGTCTGGGAGGGGTGAGCACTGCTGCGGCCAACGCCAAAGCCAGCCTTGGAGGAGGTAGCGAAGCCACTGACGGAAGAAGAAGAGGCAGAGCCAGACTTGGAGCCAGTAGAGGACGAGGCGGAGGCCGAGCTGGAGGAGGTGGAGGTGGAGTTGCAAGACAGGTTGAACAGGGGGTTGACGCTGGAGGTGCTACCAGTGACACCGAAGCTGGGGCTGGAGCCAGCATCGGCGAGCATGTACCACCAGGTGTTGGTCTCGCCGAAGAGAGGGCAGCCAACCTGGTCCCAGTACTGCTTGGCGTTGGCGACGGAGGCAACGGCGTCACCCTCATCGGGACCGCTGACGGGCCAGCCGGTCTCGGTGATCCAGACCTCCTTGCCGTTGGCGACGGCCTTGGTCTTGGCGACGGCGTCGTCGAAGAGAGACTTGCCCTCGTCGATGCCGTTGGCCATGGTGGTCTGGTAGTAAGGGTAGCCGTCGAAGCCAAGCCAGTCGATCTCGTCGATCACAGCAGAGTTGGAGCTGTTGGTCCAGGCATCCCAAGTGTCAACGTGACCGATGGAAGCGCCGCTCAGGGTGGTGCCGGAGATGGCAGACTTGACCTCCTTGATGTAGGTGACCAGCAGGTCGGGGTTGATACCAACACCGGCGTCGTTCTCGGAGCCAGTGACCGAGTTACGGTAGAGATCCTCGCTACCGACGGAGATACCGACGACCAGCTTGGTGAAGGATTCGCCGTAGGTGCTGATAGCGGACTTGAGAGCGGCAATCTCGTTGTCGACGTTGCCGCCGGAGGTCCAGAGACCGAGCAGGAGGGAAGTGTCCTCGGCGATGGCGGCGGGAATGGCCTGGATGGGGTCGTTGGTGGTACCACCCTGGATCATGGTGTACAGACGGGCACTGGTGAAGCCGCCGGAGGTGTTGGCGAGCTTCTTGGCCGTCTGGAACTCGGTCTTGAAGTCGGCCTCGTAGTTGTAGCTGCCATCAACCTTGGTGGCACCGTAGTTGAAACCCTGGTGGGCGGCCTCAGCGGCCGCAATGGACAGCGCGAGGGCGATAGCCTGCTTGGAGAACATCTTGGATGTGCGATTGAACGAATGTGTCGTATGCGAGTCGAGTATATTCGAGTATATGGAGGGCTAAGCGAAAGTAAAAAAAAAAAAAAAGGCAGCGAGTGACGTGAAATATAGAATATAGATCACAGATCAAAAGATCTTGAAAAGAATGTATCAAGGAAACAGAAGAAGAAAAATCGTTGAAGAGAGAGAGATAGGAGAGAAGGAGAAAGGATAGAGGAATAATATGTACGAAGAATAAAAAGCCAGGTCCCCCCGAAGGCCCCAAAGGCCCCAAATTCCCCCCAAAGCGCAAGGAACAATGAGAGCATCAAAGTCTAGACTGCGCCACCGGAGAAACCGAGTGGATCTATTGTGGAGCGCGACACGTTTGCTTGTCTGCACCGACTGGCAGCCGATTGGTGAATGATGTTCCAAAAATACTCGGGCATCCAATAATCACCCAAACCTGCTTGGAAGTGGACTGCCCTGGCAGAACCGATGGACGGTTGGACGAAGAGGCTTGTAGTAGTCTTTCGTGCCTGTCGCAATCCCCCGGATATGACCTTTCGCTGGCCTGCATGTCCATGTCATTGCGGGTTTTTTTGGGATTTTGATTGGAATAAAGTTTGCACCCGTGGAGCATTGAAGGAGTGTAACCAGCTCGGAATTTCGAGTCCTTCTGATGGTCAAGTCTGGGTCAGCCCCTGCCAGTCCCTTACTTCTTGGATGAACCCTTTTGTGGGTGAGGGTTCGAGATTTTAGATGTCGCCGACTGGCCTGCGTTACTCCGGCCAGTCCGGACGGGAACCTCGGCTTTACCAAGTCCGATTCTGCAGGAACACATCGCAGTAGTGCGCACAGGGCTACGACTGGACAGACCCATGTATTTTGAGGTCCTGAATAATTGCGATTTGTCATGGAGTAAGGAATCTGTCTCCTCTGCAATATGATTAGGCACAACATACCGATTGACCCGTCGAAATCTCTTGTCTGCTGTCACAAAAATCGAGTTTGAAAAGTGTCGATCGGCCGTGATTTTCGTCGGGCGGATCCCGCTAGTCCCCTTTTGGGTGTGTGGACGTCCAGCATCTCTGCCTCATACCTCAGGCACTCACACTGTGGCAAAGTCGAGTCTTCGCCAAGATTCGCTTCTTATTCCTCCATGTTCTATTTATTCCAGATACCGTAGACCCGCAATGCGAATTGATGGTTCAGGATGACTTGAAAAAGGGACCTGCTATTTCCGGTGCTAATGAAGTCATACCCTATTATGCTAGTACAGTTATTGATATATGTATCTTGGAGCGCCAACCAATCATGCGAGTGTATAACCTGTCAACCTTAACCAATCAAAAACTCAATCTCTCACGAACGGACTCATCCACTGAAAGTGTATCATGCATCGCAATTTATCTGTAGGATATATACATAATTACAAAAGAAGGGATTTATCACAAAATTTCCCATGCTTTAGTGCTCGGAAACAAAGATACCGGCCATACCCATACCCTAGTACGAAAAAGAACAATATTAGCATCGGAGATCACAGTCAAGGAAGAAAAAATAAGAGGACTTCACATACAGTTCCAACACACATCGAGGTAACAGCGACCCGCTTATCCTGGCGACGCAGCTCAGCCAGGGCAGTGACAACCTGGCGGGCGCCAGTAGCACCCAAGGGGTGGCCGAAAGCACTGTTACCTGGTTAGTACAGAATGACAACTGACAAGGTATGTCTGGGTTCACTTACATAGCACCACCACGAGGGTTCACCTTGCTCTCATCCAGACCCAGCTTGCCGACACAGTAAACACCCTAGAAACCCAATGTTAGTCCACTGAGAATATCCAATACAATTTCGACGGTAAACGCACCATAGAAGCAAAAGCCTCGTTAATCTCAAAGATATCAATCTCATCCTTGCTCAGACCAAACTTGCCCAGAATCTTAGGAATAGCCAAGGAAGGGCCAATACCCATAATCCGAGGCTCCAGACCGGCAACGGTAGCACCACAGAACTTGCCAACGATAGGCTGACCCAGCTTCTGCGCCTGCGAACGCTTCATCAGAACGAGCGCCGCAGCACCGTCGGTAATCTGACTAGCGTTGCCACCGGTGGTAGCACTGGGCTGCCACTGGGGGAAAGCAGCGCGGATCTTGCCGAGAGACTCGGCAGTAGTGCCGTAGCGAATACCATCATCCCGATCCACGACGATATCCTTAACCTCACCCGTCTTGGGATCCTTGATCTGCGTCTTGATAGGCACGATCTCATCCTCGAACCAACCAGCCTTCTGCGCCCGCTCAGCCTTCTGGTAACTGCCAGCAGCGAACTTATCATGCTGCTCGCGGGTGATACCGAACTGCGAGGCGACGTTCTCGGAAGTGTGACCCATAGGCATGTAATTCTGCGAAGCGATGGGGTGCTCGTTGATACCCTCGGCCATCTTGGGGGCACCGCCGTCGGCGTTGGTGCTCATGCTCTCGGCGCCTACGGCAATACCGACATCGATGGAGCCGGCGATGATCTGGTTGGCGATGTTTTGGATGGCGAGGAGGCCGGAGGAGCAGAAGCGGTTGGATACGGAGGCGGCGGTGGACACTGGGAAACCGGCGGCCAGGACGGCGGAGCGGGCGATGTAGGCGGAGCCCTGGGCGAGACAGTTGCCGACGCAGACATCCTCGACGAGGTTGGGGTCGATATTGGAGTTTTCGCGGACAGCCTAGGATAGGGTTAGATGAGGTTGGTGGTGGAGTGGGCATTGAAAATGGATCGGGACCACCTACGGTGAGGAGGGAGATCAGGAGGTTATCGACAGTGGTGTCCTTGAAGCCACCCTTGCGCGCCTTGGTGAGCGGCGTACGGGCGAGATATGTGATGACCTGGGGTAAGTGGTGTTAATTGACTGATCGCGCCAGTAGTAGCAGCACCGAGCAACGACGTACCACATCGTCGGGGTTCTTTGCGAGAATCTTAGCCTTGGCCGCCGACACGCTCTCGGGGGACAGCTGCTTAGAGATAGAAGATAACCGTTGCTGCGGAGAAGACATGGCTGCTATGTTATGAAGATTTGAAGCTGGAATGAACCGACAAATCTGCAAAGGTAGGGGAAGAATATAACAAAGAAAAGTGAAAGAGAGCTACGGCGCCCCACGGCCGGAGCTGGACTTTTTTATCAGTCGCGGTGGCCGAAACGCGGGGAGAAAATGAGCCGCGGCTCATCAGACTTGTGATGAGAAAGCAATAGTTATGGCCGAGCGCCTTTCTAGACTACGAACCGAGCCGACCTTGGTTAATTCCAGTGGACTCGACTCTGGGAGTACAGTATGTTGGACAAGCTCCACAGTTAAGCCGAGTCGGTTGTTGCCAACCGAGTGGAAGTGCCGGGGTGCTCGCCGGGTTGCCCGTACGATACCGTCACGCTTGGTTACGCCAGCTCCCTCGGCTGTGAAATGGAGTTGATGATTGGTGAATAGGTCGTATTTTACAGACTGTAATTACCGTCATTTCAAGATAGTCGGAGCTCATGTTGATCATCTTGATCGGACAAAGGCCGATGTTAAGCATTTAGAGAAGGGCGAAATTGAATAAATGCGAATGGAAAGTTAAGATAGTAATAAGTATGCTTTTATACTCAAATTGGGGTTATTTCATCTTGATTTCCTGGAATTGCCCACATACCGGTCACACTCCCCCCAAAACCGGGGTAAACGGCCCGGTCACGAGTCGCGGGGAACGAAATCATTTTAGCTGCGCGATGGGGCAACTCCGTTGAAAATACGGGGATTTGCCGTATCGCCCCTCCACCTCGGCCCTCTTAACTATGACATTGGCGGTATCTATGTGTTTTTGGTGCCGTATGGCCGGACTGTGTAAGGTACGGCAGATCGAGCCTGGCCAGCTTCCGTCTTGAGCTCATCGATGGACCGTGGGGTATATTCTCTTATAACCGCACCGACCTCGCGATCCCCCAGTTTTTGCATTGATTTGAATCTGCGAAGCTCTGTCACAGAAGGATTGAGATCCGTGAATATTAACGCCATTGAAGTTCCAGCTTGATACCACCTCAAGTATCACCGACGACTTGCGACAGAACCCAGGCTGCTGCTAGCTGCACACCATGGATATTCTCTCAGAAGCTAGCATGCCCGCCGTGGCCATGGCTTCGGCGCTGGCAGTTGGCGCCGGCGCATACCTCAATGCGAAGCTTGCGATCTCAACGGATCTGACCGCTCTTTCCAATGACCGCGCCTTTGGCAAGCGTCTGGCCGAGCGCATCGGCAGTCTCGGCGAGTCGACTACTATCTACAAGCTCCTTGAGCGAGTCGTCGATGTGGAGGGACATGGCGCGGATGATGCGCTCTGGTTTGAACACAAGACTTGGTCATATAGCCAAATCAAGGATGGTTAGTTTCTCCTGTCTTATTACAGCTGAGTTTTGGAAACTAATCATTTTCTGTATAGGGGTCGATCGATTGGCTGCTCTGCTTCACGCTCGAGACATCAAGGCTGGTGATTTCGTGGGTGTCTTTACCACCAACTCTCCCGAGATGGTGATTATCCTTTATGCGCTGGCCAAGTTGGGTGCCGTGGCCGCCATGATCAACACCAATTTGCGGGGTAAGTCTTTTATTACGCCTGCATAACGATTGCGGTGCTACGATTGATCACTAACGAGTCTCTAGATGATACATTTATTCACTGCCTCAATGTCTCCGGCTCAAAGTTCATCATCTCAACGCCCGATCTTTCTCAATTCGTTTGCGCTGATTTACCACACCTCGCTTTCAACCTAACGTCTTTCAAGGGCGTCTCGACCGAACCAGTCGAACTCATCACAGCATCAGACCTGCAACAATACTCTCCATCAGGATTGTCACCCGCTAAGCGCACACCTAAGGATCTGACAGCCCTGATCTACACCTCCGGAACGACTGGAAAGCCCAAAGCCTGCGCTGTCCGGAACATGCTGGCCCTAGTCACATCCACTCCTCTTACGACGGATGCTAAGAACCCGTCTAAGTACTACCCCCTTCGCACATATTCATCTCTACCACTTTTCCACGGCACAGCCTTCTTCACCGGCTTGTGTTACTCAGTGGGTAACGCCGGTACGCTCTGCCTGAGACGCAAGTTCTCCGCCTCTCAGTTCTGGAAGGATGTCCATGATTCAAAGGCGACCCGGATTTTGTACATTGGCGAACTATGCCGGTACCTACTCTCCACACCCCCATCACCTTTCGACCGCAACCACAACTGCATCGCAGCATCGGGTAACGGCCTCCGTGGCGAGATCTGGGAGAAGTTCCGAGAGCGATTCGGTGTTCCCGAAGTGCGCGAGTTCTACCGTTCCACGGAGGGAATTGCCAAATTTGATAACCACGGTGTTGGGGCTTGGGGAGCCGGTAAGGTCGGCTTCTCAGGTCCGATTCGTCGCTTCCTCGAGGACGACACTTTTATCGTCAAGTATGATACTGAAACGGAGATGCCTTTCCGTGACCCGGTGACTGGATTCTGCGTTCGTGCTCGGCTGGGCGAGGAGGGTGAGGCGATTGGTCGTGTGCGGGATCGTGGGTTGTTGACTGAGTATCTGCGCAACGAGGAGGCTACCGAGGGCAAGTTGTTGCGTGATGTCTTCCAGAAGGGAGATATCTTCCAGCGCACGGGCGATCTGGTTGTCCAGGATCACTCTGGCTGGATTAAGTTCCAAGACCGCGTTGGCGATACCTTCCGTTGGAAGGGCGAGAACGTGAGCGCTGGTGAAATTCGGGATCATATCTGCCGTATCGAGGGCATTCATGATGCTGTGGTATATGGTGTCAAGCTTGCTGGGTAAGTACGCGAAGTATACGCAAAAGGATGCACATCGCTAACGTGTTTTCTCAGGTACGATGGTCAAGCCGGTGCTGCTGGAATCACATTGGAAGAGCACTCTCCCGCCTTTGAGATCGAATTCATCTCGAACTTGTATAAAGAGCTGAAGAAGAGGGGCGTCCCATCTTACGCACTTCCTCGTCTAGTTCGGATCACCGAGAAGTGAGTCATTTTTACCACCTCCGAATCTATACAGTATCTAACATTTCAACAGAGTTGCCACTGGTGTGACGTTCAAACAAGCAAAGGGCGATCTCGTGAAGAAGGGATGGGATCCCCGTAAGGACTGGGGCGGAGATACTTTGTACTGGTTGAATGGGACCAAGTACGAGAAACTGAATGACCAGAGTTGGTCACAGATCGAGGGAGGCAGAGCCAAGCTGTGAAGGTTGATAGACAAAAAGCTTTGGCAATAGACTTCCACTGTGTATATAGACTAGATTATGCATGTACAATCTTATTAGCTTGAAACAATATCTTCCGTGGGTCAAACTGGTTGATCCTGACTTCCACCGTATGTAGGTCAGGTGGGATTTATTCGGGTAGTTCTGTTTGTCGGTGTAATGTGAGACTGGAATAGTGGGAGGGTATCATTCAACCACGAGGTACAAGTACCTCGGTCCTTATCACTCACCGCTGACCAGTTATCCTTGTACTTTGCACTTACCCCGCGAGGGACTTGCTGGTGGGGCGGACTGAAGCATATACAAACATCTGGGAACAGCTCCTTGTGGGCAGCCTAGTTTGAAAAGTTTTCTCGTCTACCTCTTGTGTGAAAGATTATTTACTCCTTTAAACACTGACAGGTATACAAGAAACCTCTACCGGATATTGCAAACCATCTCACAGCTGGGAAAAAAAACATTTGCTGTGTTCGTTGTGATCAGTCTGCTTTACCGTCACGCCATAATTAGTAAGTGATCGCCTCTTATCTGTCGATCTCATCATTTACGAGTGACCTCTCGCCATCTTCAGCGCTGGCTCTCCTTGGAAGGTGTGTATCGACGAGTACCTCACGGTCGCACTGTTGATTGGGTCAAACGGCCAGTATACGACTTGGCGGTCTAGCGCGAATGGCGTATTGAAGGCCTATACTGGTATAATCATTCTCTCCGACGTCGAGTCAACATTTTGAGTCCGAGCTCACGCCCTACGAGAGCTTCCAAACCGTCCATAAAGCAGCTTCCCTCCCCACAGTGATTGTCAGGAATCGATTACTTCTGAAGAGGAAAGCGACAACACAAGATGGCCTCCCTTCGCACCAGGATTGCGATCTGGCTTTGGGGACCAGAACCCAAGGATCGTGAGCTGTTGGCGAAACTCGATGTGACTCTTCTTCCCTATTTTTCCTTGATCTGGTTCCTTTTCGGTGTGACTCGCGCCAGTTATTCCTCGGCCTATATCAGTGGCATGAAAGAGGCTCTCAATTTCCAAGGGAAAGAATACAACTATATGAGTACCGCGTACTTGGTCGTTTATGCAGTGTGCCAGATGCCGGGAACTAGTCTTTTGACTATCGTGCGACCTAAATATGTCTTCGTTACTGCCAATGTGACATGGAGTGTGTTGACCCTCATCACGTACAAGATGACTCGCGCGTGGCAGGTCATTCTATTGAATGCGATCGAGGGAGGGTTCTCGGCTATTGCATAGTAATATCCCCGCCTTACTTGATCTTGAATCCCCGTGCGAAAACGAATGTACTGACCAAGTGAACAGTGTCGGGGCCCAGTTTATTCTAGGCTCATGGTATAAAAAGTCCGAGCTCGGTATTCGGGCAGCGGTGTTCTGTGTGTTTGGGCACATTGGTAGCATGGCTGGTGGCTGGATCCAGGCAGGACTGCTGCAGGCGCTGGCAGGCAAGGGTGGTTTGCCCGCTTGGAAATGGATTTTCATTATCGTCTCGGTAATCACTGTCCCAGTGGCACTGTTCGGTAGGTTCATCAGTTGCTCATGAAGAGACGAAAAGCTGACTCGCAACAATTTAAGGCTGGGTTTTCATCCCTGATCTGCCAGCACACCGTGCTGCTTGGTACCTCAATGATGAGCAAAAGGAGCATGCTGTTACTCGGCTAGGTTCTCCACGCAAGGAGTCGTGGGATATGACTGTATTCAGACGTGTGCTTTTGAGCTGGCAGTTCTGGCTATTGCCATTCATTTTCATGCGTACGTCTCTGACCTCCACTTAGATATGGACCCCACCACTAATATCTGTACAGTCTATTCTCTCTCTGTTCAAATGCTACAGAACAATGTCATGGCCTATTGGATGGCCGGACAAGGCTACTCAACTATCCAGCAGAACAACTATCCCACAGGCATCTACGCAACCGCCATCGTCGGCACCGTCCTGTACGCAATCATATCCGACAAGCTCAAATCACGCTGGGAAGTGTCCATCGCCATCGGCCTGACCTTCGTCATCGGATCCGCCATTCTGGTATCAAATCCGCCCACGGATGCTGGCTACTTTGTAGCATTCTATCTGCTAGGAACCACTTTCGCACCCCAGGCAGTCTGGTATTCGTGGCTAGCCGACGTGACAAGCCATGATTTCCAGCTTCGTGCTATTTCAACTGGATTCATGAACTCGTTCGACTTTGCATTTGTGACATGGTGGCCATTGATATTCTATCCCGCGACTGATGCGCCGGATTTCCATAAGGGATATATCGCCAGTCTGATAACGGGGGCTTTGACCCTACCGCTCATCGGGGTAATTGCTTATTTGGAGAAAAGAGACACGGCTCGCGGTGTTATTGGGAGGGTTGCGGTGGATGACTCTGTTGATGATGATGGCGGTTCGAGGGATGACAACCCGAGCAAGCTGCTAAATCCGCCAGTCAACGTGCGGGCTAGAGAGGTTGATGTTTAATCACGGCGAGCAAGTCATCGAGAAGCTTGATATGAGCCGACGCAGTCGATATAAGCGCGCTATACCTTGTGAGAGTTGTGTTTTTCTGTTCCGGTCACACTAGATATACTTGGTTTCATCTTTTAGAAGGGTGTTCCACCGAGTGGACAACCTACGCACATTCGGTCGGAAGAGAGACAAAAGAATACATGCCTTGTATTCTCAATTCCGAAGACTTAGATATGTTTCATTGAACTCTCGTAACTTCACACCTTGCAGGGGATTATACTGCAATAAAAACAACTGTCAGGCCTTGCCATTGCGTTTCTTTTAATCCAAACCACGCGGTCTAATTAGCACATACAATCCTCCTGGCAGTTAGGATTAAGTCAAACCAGAATTAGAAATCAATGGCTTCTAAATTGACGGAAGCTTCAATTGACCCAAACCTCAAATTAGACTATATGATCCACCGATATCGTGATCCGAGGCTCGTGGATGGCACCATCAAGCTCGGCGGAATGACCGAAGATGACGGACCAAATACTACCCCTCTCCGCAATCTGCGACTCCTCATTCCCCCTCAGCGATCACATCGAGTCTCACAACAACAACAAAGCAATATGGGAGACGAGAAAATCACGTTCGAGCAGAATGGACTTAGCTTCTTTGGCCTTTTCAGGCGGGGTTCAAACGCAAAGGGACTGCCACTGATCGTCCTGATTCACGGCGGGGGAGCAACATCCGCATTCTTCGATAACCCGGTGGTCTCGTACGTCTGCCTCTACCACCACTACTACTGATCACATTGAACATCGAATGAAGACCTGATAAGTGTATAGAGTAGTTGATGAGTTCAACAAGCTTGGGAATAATGTTCTTAACATCTCCCGCCCTGGCTACCGGGGAACCCCCGCACCGACTAGCTTGACACCCCTACGAGACTCGATCTCGGTGTTTATCGACTTCATCAACTCCGTCTACAAGACACGAAGTGATACAGGCCATGATGGGATTATCTTAGTGGGCCATTCGCTTGGCGGAGCCCTGGCCCTGTCTATCACCTACGAAGCGCATGGTCGATTGCCTATCCTGGGAGTAAGTGCTATGGGGTGTTTGCCGACCTTGAAGCCGCTGGGAATACTCGGCGAGACAGACCCAGAGCCAGAGAACCCGAGATTCATCGTGGAAAGCAACCCGGAGAACATCAAACGGTTTATGGGTAGACCAGAGTGGCTGAATCCCGATGCATTGTCCGAGGATATCGTTGCGGCGGTTTTCGAACCCGGTAAGCTTCTCCACTCTAAAGATAAGAACTGTACTAAGTATATCAGGCATCAAGTCTGAAATCAGGGAGTATCAAACACCAGAGCTGTACCAGTACCTGCTTGATACCGTCTTCCCTGGTATCCAGGTACCAGTCCAGTATTTAGCGGCGGGAAACGAAATCCTGTGGGACGATGAAGACCCCTTGCAAGGGAAGACTATATTCGACGCTCTGGTATCGTATTTCAAATCAGCACCGAATATTGATGCTGCGATCCTCCCACGGGGTGGGCACAACTATGAATTTTCGCAGAATGTCAGCTTGCTTCTCACGCGCAGGAACCACTTTGTCCAGAAATTGGTACCAGGCTCCGATTACCAGAACACAGTAGCTGGGAATTGTGCTGACTATTTGGCAGATGACACGGCCCGGAGATGATGGAGACAAGGTAGCCTCTCAACTCCCTTTCACCAAAATCCCCATCTTGGATTATGCGCGAACAACCTCGCAAACCACGCGGTCCACATTTTTGGAAGCGCTAAGGGATGCCATTGTCAATGTGGGCTTCTTCTACCTCAAGAACACTGGTGTGCCGGATGAATTATATCAAGAATTATCGGAGCAGTCTTCTGCTCTCTTCAACCTACCATTGGATAAGAAACTGGAGATTGAAATGGTCAACAGCAAACATTTCCTCGGTTATTCCCGACTCGGCCAGGAAATTACAGCTCTGAAGAACGACTACCGGGAGCAATTTGATGTACGTGCATTCTCATTTGTCTCCGGTCACGATCAGTGGCAGTGGAACTAATAGGAACAGTTTGCGACGGAGCTACCTGCTCCCGGCCCTAAAGAGCCCCTGTATCGCAACATTCGGGGACCAAACCAGGTAAGCAAACTAGCCCGTTAGCCGTACTACTGTGAGATATCTAAACCCTTGAAGTGGCCAGATCCGAGTCTCCTGCCCAACTTCCGCCCAGTTATTGAGAGATATCTTGAAGCTATCGAAGTATTCTCAACCACGTTTAGATCTCTCGTTGCCGAGGCACTTGACCTACCCGCAAATGCTTTTGACGACTTCTTCGATGTTCCTCTGCAGAACAAGTTCAAACTGATCAAGTACCCGGAGCCCATCGACTCTCACCCCGGTGAAGAAACCCAAGGTGTCGGCCCACACAAGGACTCATGCTTCCTCACGTTTCTCCAACAAGCTACCCCCCATACAGGACTGGAGGTGCAAAATAAAGCCGGAACATGGCTTCCAGTTCATCCTATCCCTGGAACTCTTGTCATCAACATTGGCCGCTCCCTCGAAGCCATAACCGGTGGAGTATGTACTGCGACAACGCACCGAGTGAATTTGCGTCGAGAAAATTATCTAGATGTGAAAGGCCAGTCACTTGGCCCACGCTTCTCATTTGCTGTTTTTCAAGGCGTGAGTCTTGACTTGGGTGTTGAGAAAATCAACATCGAGATTCCGCAACATGTCAAAAACTTGGTGAAAGATGAGAAGGTACGATCGGATGCTGAGGCTACATTTAACGAGATGTTTAACGGGAGCATTGGCGAGGGCACTCTTATTGCACGTATCACGAGTCATCAGGATGTTGCGGAACGGTGGTATCCTGATCTTTTGAAGAAGGCCTTGAAAGCTCAGAGTGAGAAACGGTGATACTAGATGCTGACGAGGGCACGGCATCTTTTTGATATGTGAGCTAAATTTCATATCATTATACAAATAGATATTTCCCACTCAGGTTGGGTGACATGATTTAAATAACCGCGCTCAGATACAAGGATGGAACAACGGGCATCCTGTTAGATGAAGTATGGAAGAAGTACACAAAAGCTACAGAACTTGCCATTCAACTATGCATTCAAAAGACAAAAAAATATCTCAAATAGTCAAAACGTCAACATCTAACAGACAAACAGGCGACGCAGTATTGGAACATCCTAGGAAGACAAGTCACCGAGAATAGGACAATTCCGGTTTATCATCAACCAGACACCACATGAATAATCGGCAACTCCCTTCGAAAAGTCCTTCCTGTCCAGTCTTCAACAAAAATATACAAAACACCAAGGATACTCTTCCATCTTCTAGAATCCCTCCGTAAGTCTATTTGACATTGTTGGCTGGGCTCGAAACAGGGGTGAGGTTCATGCGAGTCACAACAGTATCGCAGGTGGGGTCGCGGACATAGCCATCGCCCTTAACCGCATTTTTGCATGGGTAAAGGAATCCCTCATTCATATTCTGGTTTGGCTTTCCGTATACGGCAATTCTCGATTCAGTAGGGAATACCCAGGCCCTGGCCTTAGCCGGATCCTCAAAGGCGGCGGGATTAAGAACCTCGAAATTGTAAATAGCACCATCTTCAGCATGCAGATCTCTCTGGGTGTTACGTCCAGATCCAGCCTGCCAATCCCAAGATGGTGCATTTGCCTTGTCAGAAAGTATCTTGGTAGCGGCCTGTTCACGGGGAATGGAAGAGAAGTAAATGCCCTTTTGAGGCACCCAGATTGAGGCCACGATGTTGTTTCCGCCTGCCTTGGTCTTTACCGGAAGCTCATCATACAGACGTTGGGTGACAGATCGCAGGTTTGCATTGAACTTCTCGGTGTCCTCAGTAGTTTTGGTCATCTCAGTAGCTTTGGTCTCCCATGGGATGAAGCCGTTCACAGTCAGACCATCATCTCCGAACTTCTGTACGACATGGGTAACAACAAAGTCTGGAGCATCAAGGGGACCTTTGGGTTCGCAACCATCAGCTCGCTTGCAAGGCTGATTGCCTGGCTTCGGCTCCGACTTTGGAACAGGAACAGGATCAGGTTTAATGGGAGGAATTCGTCCAGGAACGTTTCCTGGAACCTCTGGTACGACCGGCTTCGGGATAATTGGCTTTGGAATGGTAATTCCAGGAATCTCGATTCTTGGAAGCAGAGCAGCAAGATCACGCCTGTCAACTAGAAAGAAGTTAGTTATGTTACTCTATGGATTAGAGTCGGATCTACATACTTGCTCTGGCAGAGGTTTCCAAGGGATTGGCCAGGAAAATAGCCAGAAGCGCACAGTACTTCCAGTTAGGATGCATGATGGTGGGTTTTCAGTCTGTTCTATAAAACAGTGTGTAGAATGATGGTTGTAGTAAATGAAGTATGATTGACAATCTTGACCTTTAGGGGCAAATAAAGCGGTTTTTATACATCCAGACAGAGATTGAGCCCCCAAGTTGTAGGTATTCTTGACTTGATAATTCTTGAAGCCATTCGGACATAAAATCACTGGATATAGTCTCACTGGATGTCCGAAGGTGGATGCGGGTCAGCAACATGAAACACCAACACCAGCAGGTTTAATAATCGCAATTCCGGAGCCTCCATGAACTTGTTTGTCAAATCAGCGATGTCAAAAAGGCAATTTCATGAGAGAAAATCCTCCATGGGGCCGCGTTACATGTTGGCTCTAAAATCTAGTTTAAAAAAAGAACAATATGAGCGGTCGTTTAGAAATATAGAGCCAAGCAAGAGCTCGAAGGCGTCACTGTGAGATGATGCCAGTGATAATTTAGAAGTTGAAATTGGGGGCAGCTTTCTATGTACTTCGGGAATTTAAACTCAAGTAAACTAGGTTACATGCCCTGTAGCATGGGGGCTGCCGAGTCAGAATTTAGGCTAAGGGCCTTCGAGCCGTTTTGGTTAGCTTTATTTCATATTCGAGTTGGCCCCATTTTTTAAATGATTTTTCTAGTCCATACTGCTAATATTGTGTGACATTGAAGCAAATCGGGCCCCTCTTAGGCATGAATTTAAAAAGGTGAAGTTTCTGATTGAGTCGGATCTGAGCACTACCTCTGCTAGACTACCCAGGACTAAATGACCTAGCCGAGAGCTTTTGATCTTCGCAAATCAGTAAGAAATATTTCAAACGTAGAATCGATCCAATACGAAAAAGATATTCTAACGGGTTGATAGAGCATTCTCACGCGAATTTTATTACTTTATCCCCTTGTAGTTAAACCATCCATTAGTCGCGTAAGATTTTAGGTCTGATGGGCAGTGCAGGTGCAGCCTTGATGGCCTCAAATAATCGCTGACAGCGTTTGACCCCACATAAGATGGCGCAAACGGGCGAATCGATGGATTCCAAGGCTGCAGGGTCTTGCAGATAAACAGATATCGGCTTTTTTTTCCTTGTCCCTATCGGATTGTTCTTGATTGCCTGGCATTTGCTTGTCTCTCGCCTTGGCGCCTTGATTTTGCTTATGCGGCCGGCCCCTGTCACCAGAGGCCATTCCTTGAGGGATTTCTCTTATGGAACATTTCTTATTGGTGATTGCTAGTAATTTCCTTGCAGGAATTCTTTTCCGGGGTGTTTCACAACTCGAGCACAATATTTTCACACTCCCTGGCATATCACCTGCTTGGCCTTGGGACAATATGGAACATATTCTTGACTAGGAGTGTATTTCGGTTGTTAGCAGCCAAAAACAGCTTCGGGCTACGTCCGGCACTAAAGAGATATGCTGACGGACTCTTAATTCAAGTATTTTAGCATGAAGCGTGGCTGAATCCTTCGCTGTGCATGTGCCAAGATTCCTAAATTAGCCACACGATGCTGGATAGGCACGGGCCATTTCGGGTGTTGTTCCCCGAAGACCCTGAATACTGTTTGGCCCCCTGAACCCTGAGACCCTTAGGGGCCAGGATGCTCTTCTTCAGCAACTATAGCCTCACATATTCTGAATCTGGATATTCTTATTAACCGAGATTTGACATACACTAAAGAATCGAAACATTTAGCCCCCCTTCCTCCACAATCAAATGGAGTGCCGTGAGATTTGCCATAGCACGCCAGGAATATCTTGTGTTAGTTGGGGGCTTCATCTTTTCTGGTATACCAGGCTGCTGGTGAGTTTTCCAACATTTGTTGAGCAGGTCTTGAAGCTGAACGCCCCCACGAGGTTTGCTACAACGCCGAAGATGTTGCCGTGTGAGGTTACCTCGACATTGCATGGCCCCCGATGGGGATGAGCTCGCGGCGTCTCTAATACTGAACATGGCAGTGTCGAACATTCAGATGATTAAAAGATGAGATATAAAAGGTAGGATATTCCTAGAGATTCATTGCTATTCTAACACACTCAACTAGATCTCGATCACTTCAATCTCAAAGATTCACAGAAATTATTATCATTTCTGCTCTTTTGGTCTCCAATAGCAACTGAACAATGTCTATCAACACGATAATCAACGCTGCCACCCTAGCCATCACTGCCTGGTCCATTGCGGACTCGCTGGGCCACAAGTACGAGGACCCTGACAAGCAAGTCAGCGTCAGCATCTTCACTGGCATTGCACCAAACGCCGGAGGGAGCATTCCCCATCTTGCCGTCTGGGATGAAAGTGGTAACCGAATTGGCCAGTACAAAGGAGACGCAAATGGCCACATTGATGATAATGGTTCGAAGACCTTCACCATCTCTCCAACTGAGAATGGCGGACATCAAGCAACGCCAGAGTATCTCCTCATGGTCATGCAAGAGAGCGATGCAATTTGTCTTTCTGGACTGGTAGTTTCCGGTAATGGAAACCAGTGGACCTGGACTGGTGATATGGGCTACACCTGCGGCGCCCAATGGTACCCCAGCAAGCGTACTATCGGCACTTCCAACATCCCGATCAAGTGTGTCTGGATGGACAGTGACCATTCCAACGGAATTATCGCAAAGGGTCTGAGTCTGCATATGCGCAGTTTCGCCGGAGATCAAGGCTTGGTCGACCAGTACCAGGAAGACCAGCGACGTCTGTGCCAGAACACGGCTCGCATGACTTTCCAGCCTGAGCCTGTGGTTCCTGATTCAATCCCCCGATTCTTCAAGCATGCCCCCGAGTTCGATGACACCGGCGCTCTCAAGAAGCCCGACGACGGAATCGACCGAGGCACTCGTGCTTATCCTGACGGTACCAACTTCAACATTCACGATACCAAAAAGCGCCGCCATGCCCGTGACATGGATCCACACAGCTTCAATGTGACTGGTGTTAAGAATATCCTGCCTGGCCACATTGTCATCAGCAACCTGGACGGTCACAGTGCAAAGGAAGTTTGCGAGCACCCACAGTCCCTCGGGCCAGATTTTGTGCACAAGGGTGAAGGTATCTTCTGTGACATGAATACCGGAAAGTGGTGGCCCGTTTGTGACGAGACTACTGGCACTGACGAGGCTTGCTTTGATCTTGACACCAAGTCCATGAAGAACTACAAGCCTGGTAGTCTCCACACTCGCAATGACGGGCACCCAGTTCCTCAGAAGAACTACAATAGCCACGAGGAGTGGTAGATAGATACACCCCTGTACTTTAACCCAAGGCTTGTTATATTTTGAAGAGATTCTGGGTTTTTCGCCTGTGAAAGTTTAGTTTTGCTATTTCTTGTTCATTTTTTTGGGTCTTTCTGTCTATTTGGATATTTCCTGCGCGAGCTATTAGAGAATCTTCGCAGCGGCTTCACTTTGGGAGCCTCTTGAGTTTTGATACACTGTTGAATATACTTTCAAATTGCACCTTCTATCTCGTATAGCCGGGCAGCTGTCCTCTCAAAATCCCGATAACGTGTCTATAAGGTTGTTCCGGGAAGAGAAAAATATATACATGTGTGCCGAGCGGTTTCCACTCATACGTCCACACTGTACCATACGCCACATTCATGCTACGGGTACGTTCGTCGTCTTTTTCTTCCCAAGATGCAAACGGCGCTTCCACTTCATGCGGCTCTTCTTCATTGCTCGTTGAGTTCGCTCCAGAGGGTAGTTCACCGGGGATTCACCGCCAGTAAAGATCATGAAATCGTACAAGAACGCTCCCATAAAGGCCCCGGTTGTTGCACCGACCCAGGGCCCATAAAACCAGTACGGATTCAGGAAAAGATCGTTGCTATAACCAAGTGCGAGAAGCGCGAGGCGAGGACCAAAGTCACGACTGGGGTTAAAAGCAGCACCAGTCTGGTAAGCAAAGGTCATGCTCAGGCAAGTAATGACAAGTCCAATGATCAAAGAGTTCATGCCTGCACCTGGTGGAGCATTCTGGTCATCACCCAGAGCTAGGACTGTGACGGCGAGGAAGCAAGTTCCCAAAAATTCGGTGAAGAAAGCTGTTGCAGGGCCAATCCAAGATTCACGCTGGTTGGTGACGAAGCTGTTGATAATGGCCGAGTTGGCATTTGTGCTTATGTAGTACTCGATTGAGCGGTAGTAAAGTCCATAGGCCGTGAGACCGGCACAGAATGCGGCAATGAACTGGGCTGCAAAATACTCGGGCATCTTGCGCTTGGGGAAACCACGATAAAACCACAGCATTGTTGTGATGGCGGGATTAAGGTGGGCACCAGAGACACCACCAGAGATGTAAATTCCCATCATAGTAGCAAGGCCCCAGGCCCAGGCAGTGGTGTTAGGATTTCCAGCGTCTGCCACAGTCACTGAGAGGTCCGCGCAGAAGCCAATGGTGAGCTGAACATAGGCAGCGAGTGCCTCAGCCAGAGCCTCACGATGGTGCGTTCGAATGACTGACCATGTTGTATGGTTGTTGTGCACTTCGTCTTCGACCAGATCTTGTATCAGCGGGTGCAGGTCTTCCGGGCAGGTCGCTTCATCGAGGGCAGGGATCTCGAATTTGGCGTCTAGTTCTTCCTCCGGGTGTAGCTCGGGTTCTTCATGCACAGTTTGTAATGGATCATCACTCTGGTACTCGGGTTGTCTCCTTGGTGATTCATCTGTTGCCTGAGACCCGCCTTCATCGACGGTTGAGAGCTGTTCTTCCCAATTCGAGGGCCGTCTCATACGTGTTGAAGAAGTGCGAGACAAACGGGATCCTTGTCTGATTGACGCCGTCTCGCCACTCAGGATCTTGTTCATAAAAGCATTCTCACGCTGCAAACGCGCATCTTCTACTTGCGCTGCCATTTTCCGCGGATCGGCGGTCTTCTCGATCCTGCCCTGTTCGAGATCATTGGGGTCCACGTCCAAGCCAAGCCTCTGTGAGTTTTCGGCGGGTAACTGAGCATTGGCAAGATTCTGGAGCAATTCATCTTTGGTGGGCACCATGCCTGGTCTCACCACACGCGGCAGCGGTTTGGCCAAACTCCACACGGGTTTGGCGTTATTCGCTTGCTCATAGGATGGGTTTAGGTCGGCATATCCGGGCTGCACGAAAGGCTCATGAGAGAGCCTCATTTGAGGAGTCTCATCTGGGCCAGCCAAGGTGAACTTCCCCTGTGTTCGGTCTGCAAGAGTAGTTCGAGGGGCCAGGCTGGGCACTCCACTGCCACTACGCCTCGCTGCCGAGCTGCGTCGGCGGACACCAGAACTAGATGGGCCTTCTTCAACGGTCGAAAATCTTCTGGTAGGTGAAATTGCATCTTCTTCAACTCCCCTCGAGGCTCTAGTTGGCGAAGTAGGACCTTCGCTTCTGGCTCCAGACTAGTAACAGCATGATTAGAAGGTCATCGCTCTATCGATTGCAAGTATTGCTAAACTCACCACTGCTCTTGGTCTTCTTTGATTTTCTTCATCCATGATTGTTACCAAAAGCCTGGATCAGACTTTTGTTCCGCAACTCCAATTTCTATGGTCTATAACATAAATGCCAAGAAGAACGTCCGGGGGATCCGAGAGGATCAGCACGGCTCTAAAGACGCGATAATTCGTGATAGGAGAACGCAAAGAAAAGTGGAGATACAGCTTTGACCGAGAAGAAAAGAAAAAAGTCAATTGAAAACAGGACAAGCCAGGTGAGTAGCGATTTATAAACGGATCGTCTCCTTTCTCCTCGCCAAGGTGGAGAAGCAAAGCTCCCTCGAAGATAAAGGCAAATATGCCAACTTACGCAATGCCCGTTCGATCATCGCGACAACCCTGCTCATATCGTCAAATCTGCGGCGAGGGAGTCGGTTTCCAGGCAATAATAATTTGCCGCTGGATAGTTAGTTCCTGTCCTGACCCACCAGCTGCTCAACGCGTGCCACTGATTGAACCGTGGACGACGGTCGGAACCCATTGTGCTTCGCCCTAACCATGTGCTCGCAGCGGCTCGTCCAACAACAGAGACTCCGGTAGTGGGCCTCATATAACTGTCGAATATTCATCTTCCGTCCTATCCGAGATAAAAGGGATTGTGTAATACTGAAGTTGGAGAAAATGCACTACTGATTTTTATGATGTATGATTGCACACAGATAATGACGTCATATAACACTAGACCCCTTTCCCTGCTGCTAGCTCATTCTGATCCTTGACATGACGTTGACCTGATTTCTCAGTCGTGGGATATTATTGCTCCATCCACCTGCTTCACCTGGCTCTGCTAGTAAGCCGCTGAATCCTACCCGACCAGTTTTTCAGAGAGCACTTGCGTCTCCAGAGCATCTTGAGCGTCTTTCGGCGAAAGGTTCGCAACGTGAATATATTCCTCCTTTGTCTGAGGAATCGCAACATCGACCTTCTGGGTGCTCCCAGCCTCAATATTCGCCAGGGGGTGCCTATCAGCGGAGAAATCAATGATAGCTTGGAAAATGGCCATCGAATGGGCCGATTCCAGCGAATGCTGGGTAGGGCCATTCGTAACCTCATTTGATGTAGCCTCCAATACTTCGCTATCGTCATAACTCTCGGCTTCTTTAGCCCCATCTTTCGCATTTTTCTCTCCAATCTCGTCATCTGCCCCTGAGAGGTCTATCTGAGCGTGTGCTAGTCGATCGGAAAGGAAGCGAGTGTACTCGTCGCAGTCCCACGCGAGCTGTTTGTTCTTGGACTCGCCAACTTTTCGGGCTACAAGTCTTTCCATCTCGGCACAATCCTCGGCACTGAGCAGGACAAGCCTTTCCTTCCAGGCGGTCTCGTGGTCATTTGACGGCCCGAAGAACCGCGGGTCAATCTTTTGCCAGTATATGGCATCAAAAGCAAAGCTGTGCGTTACTGCATACGTGATCCAGAAATCTCCGCTTTCCCAGCTCTTCTTCATGTGACCAGAGAGCCGTTGTGCATCGCTCATCTCTCCTCTGTCGATCCTGGCATCTTCACATTTGATCATTGCCCCAAGAAAGGTCTTTAAGCGACGTTCATACACGCGTGTCCAGGCCTCGAGACCTTCGGGCCAGTACTCAGGCTTTTCAACAAGGAGCCACCACGGAGGAGCATAGGTAAACTCGACTGGGGCTGAGTAGCTAAACTCCCAATCCAGCACACTGACGATATGGTCGCCCAGGTCCATAATCACGTTGGCGGGTCTGAAGTCATCACACCATAGCTTGAAAGGGCCATTTGTAAGAGGATGGTTGGTTAATTTCTGCTCTCTTGCAAGTTTCTGGAACAGACGCCTGGCTACAAACTTTCGCCGACAATCATCTGCGGACTCGATGGAGTCGTTTCTCTGGTGATTGAGATGCTGGATGAAGGTCTCTGCGACGGACTCTAGGTATGAAGCGGACGTTTCAAAGGTAACATCTGGGCCTGGTAAATATTCTGGAGGCAAAGTTCCCATCACAACCATTTGTTCCATGTTAAGCGTGAGCGGTCGGTGGGCAACTTCCCACGTGGAGTCATCCTTTTGCTTGAGTGACCCTATCCGAGGGAAAGACGACATAGACATCTTCAAGAGAATGTCTGCGAGTTCACGGTACAATGTCTCCAGCCGGTCTTCTGAGATGTCTGGATTAAGGACTCCGCGTAGGTTTGCCGGGCGCTCAGGCGGGTTTAACAAGGCATACATCGTAGAGTTATGTGGAACATACTCCATGATGACAAAAGGTCCAAGACACAGTTGGCTTTCATCCGCGTTCCCTTGGTAGATTACCCGAGGAATCGGAATAGACGTGTGCTCTCGCACATAGCGCATAACAGCGGCCTCATTCCGAATCTTCTCATCAGGAAATCGCAGTGTCGCAGGCAAAGGGTAGCGTATCACCGCCGATGGAGCGTTTTCAAACTCCATCCGGAACGAGATGTTGTAACTCCCCTTTCCAATCAGGGTAAAATCAACAGGCTCGCCAGAATTGTGATAGTCCAACAGGGTTTGAGCAGCTGCAGCCCCGATCTCAGGCCTACAGAACTGGTAGATCCAGTTGTCGACAATTTGCTCGCTCTTGACCCACGCGGCATCATCAAAACTCATCACAGGATGCATGTTGTAGAGAGATTTCACATAAACCAAGAAGAGCTTTGCTCGGATGAAAATTTTTGATCAAATCATGGTTAGTGAGGCGTGCGGTTGACATGAAATAGGCGACGTTCTTTCTTTGACAGGAACTCTTGCTAGGATGGCATCTGATACCCTGGTCAAGGCCAATAACACGAAGTATTAGGGCCCCGTAAGCCTCATTCTATTGGTCGATCCTCGAGCTCGTATATTTTCGGTCGAGAGTTCATTGTTCGAAGGCTGCTCGCTGACGGCGAGCATGCATACCGACAGCTCCCACGAGTAATTATGATTGGACTCGTGAATTGTATTCGTCATGTCCAAATTGTGGACTGAAATCTGGAAGATCGAGAAGAGTCAGGCAGGATATAAGCCCCAAAAAACTAGCCAAGCTTGCTTAACACTGGCTTGGCCAGCTTGGCTTTACAAGACCGTGCCAATACAAGCCGGCAAGTGGACGAATGACCGGGGCCCAGTTGCCAGTTGACGCGCGAGGAGCTGCCACCACAGTTCCTGCAAATGAAATCCCAGCAAAGTGTGCAAACTGCGCGGTTTTCCCTGCTGAGATGAGTTCGGCGAGATTATCAAAGATCTTACCCGGTAACTGGTTAGATTCGAATGGATTTCTGCGCACGTTCCGGTTCGCTCGTGGCTATGATAGGTGACCCTCGGTCGCGCCGCTCCAACTAGGCCCGTCGCGGTCGTAGCGTGCAGAGAATCCAGATTGTTATCGCACGATCGCCACCTTCATTTCAATGCGACTGGCCTGTCTGTCTTCGAGGGGTTAGTACGCGGGGCAAAGACGGCTCAACCACGTCTCTCAAATGAAAACGGAAATTCTTCGGTAACGAGGGCTCCTTGAATCTCCTCTTCTTCGACAGACCTCCTTTTTGCACTCGTTCATGCGACCGGGAACGAGTCATGGAACATCTGAAGGACACCGAGCTCTCCACCGTGGAGGTGGATAATGGTCCACAGGGTGAAACACCCCAGGTCGAGGTCTTGGACAAGACTGAGCAGCCGATTGCCCCAGACCAGTTCGATGAAAATTATCGCACAACCCGGAATGAGATCTGGGCTTATTATGCGTGCGTGCGATCATTGAGCGAGATGCGACCTAAAATCCACTAAACACAAGGTCCTCTATAGCTATTACATCGGCAACAATGGGCTGTCACTCTTCAGTCAGTGATCTTTTCTCTTCGATTCTCATTAATCCAATCCCAAGACAATGGCTAACTCACGCAACCCAATTCGATAGACTTTGCGCCTACTGCATTCCAGAACCTGCTTTATCAAGCTGCCCCCTACGATGGTATCATGAAGTTCCTCGGGCGTCCGCGCTCAATCAACAGTATCGTGCTGCTCTCCAATGGCATTTCCTTTGCGATCCAAGTAGTCGTGTTCTTGGTTATCGGTAGCTTTGCTGATTTCGGTAACTGGCGACCGAACATTCTCATCGCGCTGTCTATTATCGCATGGGCTATCGGCTTTGGCTGGTTGGGGGTTCACACTTCGGATAAATGGCAGGTTGGCGTCGGACTCTACATTGTCGGCCTGATCGCCTACCAGACAACATTGACCTTCTGGACTGCCGCCTTCCCAGGTCTGGCACGCAATACAGTTGAGATGAAGGAAAAGGCCGATGCTTACGTCGCTGGGACAATCACGCGCGAGCAGTATGACTATGCCGATACGATGATGCGTAGCCGTTTGGCGAACATTGCCTTCTATATTCAATCAGTAGGCGAAATCTTCATCCTGGCTATTATAGTGGGAATCATGTTCGGATTGGACGTGAATGCCAGCCAGGCCAACAACAACTGGGGTCTCAGTGTCTTGATCGCGTTTGTTTCCGGAGTCTGGTTGCTTGTTTCCTTGCCATGGTTTTTCCTGGAGAAGCGTCGTCCAGGCCAGGATCCTGGCAAGCGGGGGATTCTCATTGCAGGTGTATGGCAACTTTGGGACGCCATGAAACAGATCTGGCAATTGAAACAGAGTCTGATTTATCTCATCGGTAAGACGGTCATAGACTGAACAACTGGAAGAAAAAGTGGGAGCATGTCTGACATTCCAATCATGAAACAGGCTATTTCTTACTTGGAGACTCCTTGAACACTACTGTTACCGTGATTTCAACTTTGCAGAATAGCATCGTTGCATACAACACTCTCCAGCTGACCTACCTTTTGATTGTCGGCATTGCGGCACAGGTCAGTCCTTCGCGCAGCAGACTCCTCGCTTGATTCTGTTTTACTGATCATACATGAATTCAGGCGGTCGGCATTTACGCATTCTGGTATATCCAGCAGCGCTTCCACTTGGGAACCAAGACCATGTTCAACACGATTGCCGTCGCCATCATTCTTCTCGATGGCTGGGGTATGATCGGTATCTGGACCGACAAGTTCGGCTTCCACAAGGCGTGGGAAGTTTGGGTGAGTATAATCTCCGAATTTCTACATAGCATGGCTGACCCTCCAATCTTTGTAGGCCTACCAAGCATTCTACGGACTTTTCATTTGCCCTTGGTACAGTTACTCCCAGATCATGATCTCTGAAGTCACTCCCCGCGGCCACGAGTTCTTGTTCTTCAGTCTATTCAGTATCATCGGCAAGACTTCATCATTCATTGGCCCCCTCGTCTCAAGCGCTATCATTGACGCCAGTCCGACCGGCGACAATTCAGCACCCTTCTACTTCCTTTTCGCCTTGAGCGTTGTCAGCTTTGGCATCATGGCCTTTGGTGTCGACCTTGGGAAGAGCCAAGTAGAGCAGGAGAAATTCCTACAAGATAAGAAGCGACGCCTTGAGGACTCGGCATCTTCGTCGACAGTGTGAAAGTGTGTAAATGAGATCATAACATACGGATTCGGGTTAGAATCGTATATAGCATTGTGCGCTTAGTATATGAACTGCGCCGCTTACTTAGGGGGTTGGTTCGGAGATACCAATTAAACAATTCATTCTTCAATAATCGTTAAACCTTTCTTCAATGGTTCAGGGCCGAGCCTAGCGGATGGACGAGAGAGCTTGGGTGCGATTGGGAGGTGGGCAACATTAGGCAAAGAGCGATTGGCTTATGAGAACGTGCATGAAGGTTGGCCGTCAGCGTTCCAACGCTCTTTCATTTTTGCACAACCCATTTTTTTTCCTTCGGTATTCTTCAAGGATGTAAGATTTCAAAAATAAGATATCAATATGTCTCCACGGTTTTCGGACCCTTTACTTCTATATGATGGCGTGAAATTGGACATTTTCAACCCCTAATCGTTCGGCGCCGAGAATTGGAAATACCTCGGTGCCGATCCAATTTCGACTTCTTCTATAAAAGTCTCGCCACAGACTTCCTCTTCGTCTCTAATTCTACCCACAATTCTCATAAATATTATCACTTCATGAATTCTGCATTCAGAAATCTCTCTGTAAGAATGTTTCCCACTACCGGTCAACCAGTTATCGTGGTTGGCGCCAGCTTAGTTGGTCTATCGGCCGCCCTATGTTTATCCTCCCATCGAGTTCCAACAATTGTTCTAGAGAAACACTCTGGAAAATCGCTGCATCCTCGTGCAATTGGCTTTACATCCCGCACTATGGAGATATATCGTTCTCTTGGAATTGATAATATCGAGCCTGCGCCTGAAGACTTCAAGCTTGAGCGTGCGCATGTCGAAAGTCTAACTGGGAAAAGGAATGACAACTCCTCTTGGTCCGACACGGAGAGAAAGACAAAGGGAGAAAAGCCACAAAACCAGGCTCCTAAGTCATCTGCTCCGAAGAAGGAGTACTCGGTTGAGCGTGCGTCGGCTATCCCACAAGACAAACTAGAGCCCATGCTCGAAGCATTGGCTTTGGAACGCGGCGCCGACATTCGTCGCAAACATAAATTGATATCCGTGGACCAGGACGAGGATGGAGTGGTCGCCACGGTTACTGATGCCGAGGGCAATGAGCAGAAGATCCATGGATCCTATCTCATCGCAGCAGACGGGAACCGCAGCACCGTCCGAGAACTTCTTCAAATCCCTCGACACGGCCGTGGATATATGCAGACATTGAGCAGCGTCTTGTTCCGTGCACCCCTCGAGCAATGGACCAAGGGGTTTGTGCAATTTGACATAGATCAACCAGATCTTAAAGCCTTCCTCGCCTCCTACAGCGACGGACGATGGGCCTTGATGTTCAAAGACGCAGTCGACCGCGACGAGCCAGCTCTTCGCGCTGCCATTTATCAAGCTGTCGGGAGGTCTGACTTTCCCTTGGAGATCATCACCACTGGTCGCTGGGAGCTCACTGCCCTTGTGGCCGACACTTTCCAATCTGGGCGTGTCTTTCTCGCTGGTGACGCCGCGCACACCTTGCCTCCTAACCGTGGAGGCTACGGCGCAAACACTGGGATCCACGATGTGCACAATCTTGCATGGAAGCTTGCGGCTGTGTTGTCTGGCAAGCTATCACCCGAGCTTCTGAACACTTATGATGCTGAGAGACGTCCTATTGCGCTTCTACGACATGATCAAATCTTTGTGCGTGCCGACTACAAGGTCCACCTTGACACTGCCACTCCGGCTGGGGAGAAGATCGACGACGATGCCATGGAGTTTGGTCAGATCTACCTGTCTGATGGTATTATCGGCGCTGATGAGAGTTTACCCCGTGCCAAGAAGCCAGACGAGTGGAATGGTCAGCCTGGCACACATATACCTCATTTCTGGGTGCTGAAGGACGGGGAGAAGGTTCCTACTCTTGATCTTCTGAGCCAGGGAGAATGGACCCTGTTTTCGGAGTCGGATGAGTGGAGTGAGGCAATCTCCTTTGTCAACGAGAACTCGCCAATTCCAGTCAGGTTTGTTCACCTTGGAGAAAGCGTACAGTTTGTTCACGGAGATGACTTCCAGAAATCTCTCGAAGTCTCACATTCTGGGGCTGTTCTCGTTCGACCTGACGGTTATATTGCCTGGAGAGTCAAGGATATTCCTGGGAATGCGTCAGAGACTCTGGGAAGTGCTATCTCAAAGGTTTCTTTCAGTTCCGGCGGACCTCAACTTTGATCGGGTCTGTTTGATTTTATCTGTTTTGCAACTGAGTGACTTTATGGGCCTGTGTGAATAGTACCATGTATAGTATTGGGAGGATTGTTTTTGTCTTTCTAAAGGTAGATATAGGATGTATATTAGTTGTTTTGTAAATCCGAATACTTGAACATAGATCTTCTTGAACCCTCTAACCCTTTCAGATCCTCCTCCATAGATGCCATTCCTCCAAGCCCCTGATCGGGAATATACTGTAGACAAGCCGTAGTTTTCTTTTCAGTCGCCGTTGTACAGTCCCAAACGTTACGCCCTTCCTTATATACCTGCCAATCATATGGATTGTATAACCATCAGGTTTCATTGCGGATCCAATCCTGTGCGACATGTTTGCTCGACCAGGTGGGATTTCTGTGGTTAGCCGTCGTAGTACTCGGAAGGCTTCAAGGGCTCGAATTGTTCGAGAAACAGATCTGTGAGAGTCTTGCCATGATGTTGAGGATGCTGTGCAATGAGATTGTTTTATGGAGCGCTATTTCACTTGCTGGATCATATCCGATCATCTGCAACGTGTTGAAAATTGGAAATAGGTCTCGAGACCCGTTATAGTTGTCATGTAGAGAGCGAATGAAGCCACATTTGACTATGTTCTAACAATAAGATAGCTCAGAATCTTTATTATTCATCTGCTAGCAGCGTAATTGTTGTACGAAACGGTTTATGTGAAGGCTCATCTCCGTTATCTGGCTTCCATAGCATATCCAGCCCTGTTTGTCCCACGCTCAAGGTGTGGCAGTAACGAGAGAGCTGCCAGGACTCGGCGTGTCACCGTTGCCTTCCCAAGTGATTTGCACGTTTGACGGCACCTTCCGATTTGGGCTACCACACGCCGTTTGTTTATCTGACTCGCTCCTTCTCCTTCCCCTCCTCTTCTTTTCTTCCTTTTCTCTTCTATCACCACTTCTTCTTTTCTTCCCTCCTCATCCTCTCCCCCTCTCTGCAACCTGCCACCATCGGCTGTTCAACACTTGCTCCAGCTTACGCCACCCTTCACTTAACTTGAAGTGTACTCCCTTTCAACATGGCCAGTCCCCAGCACCTCGTGGGCACTGCCGACCTCAACCTCATTGAGGCTCCAGTCACCTGGCGCGCCTACATGATCTGCGGTTTCGCCAGCTTTGGAGGTTTGTTCAACCAGCATCTCCCAAAGACGTCGAAGATTCCAACACTGACCCTTGTCTCACCTCGCAGGTATCCTTTACGGCTATGACTCCGGTTACATCTCTGGTGTCCTTGGCATGGACTACGTCAAGGAACACTTCGGTCATGCTGTGCCCAAGACTGATGAGACCCCCAGCGGCTTCATCATTGCCAGCTCCCGTAAGTCGCTCATCACTTCGATCCTGTCCGCCGGTACCTTCATCGGTGCTCTGCTTGGTGGCGCTGTCTCTGAGCGTATTGGTCGTCGTCTTACCATCATGCTTTCCTGCTTGATCTTCGCTATCGGTGTTGCCGTCCAGGTCGCTACTGTGACCGTTGGTGGCCTGGTTGGTGGCCGTTTGGTTGCCGGTCTGGGTGTCGGTGGTGTTTCTGCTACTGTCATTCTGTACGTCTCTGAGATTAGCCCTCGCAAGGTCCGTGGCCTGCTCGTGTCTGCGTACCAGTGGGCCATCACCATCGGCTTGCTTGTAGCATCTGGTGTCGATCAAGGCTGCAAAGACTTAGATTCGCGGTCTTCGTATCGAATTCCTATTGGTCTGCAATTCATTTGGGCGGCTATTCTCGCTGCGGGACTCTTCGTTCTTCCCGAGTCGCCTCGCTACTATGTTCGATGTGGCCGTATGGAGGATGCCCTCCGCTCCCTTGAGAGAGTCCGCGGTCAGCCACGCGCCAATCCAGCTGTCCAGGCCGAACTTGCCGAGATCAAGGCCAATTTCGAGTACGAGAAGCAGATTGCCAGTGACTCGTGGGCCGACTGTTTCAAGGGTGGACTTTCTCCTCGTGGCAACATGCGTCGAGTGATTGCCGGAACCTGTCTTCAGATGTTCCAGCAGTGGACTGGCATCAATTTCATCTGTAAGTGCACCCATCGAAAAAGGCAAATGTCGAGTCTTTGTGTCTAACACCTTCACTAGTCTACTACGGTACTACTTTCTTCCAGTCCGTAGGCATGAAGAATGCCTTCCTCATTTCGACCATTATGAACGTTGTCAATGTGGTCACCACTCCAGCCTCTTTCTGGATGATTGAGAAACTTGGTCGTCGCACTCTGCTTCTTTATGGTGCGGCCATCATGTGTGTTTGCGAGTTCCTTGTTGCAATCATCGGCGTTGCCAAGGAGGGAAGTCAAGCTGCGTAAGTCGAACACAGCCTTTGCCATCTATCAAATTACTAATTGGTTGTTTCTTTGGACCTGCAGGAGCACATGCCTCATTGTCTTCACTTGCTTCTACATCGCTGCTTTTGCGACTACCTGGGGTCCCGCGGCTTGGGTTGTTGTCGGTGAGATTTATCCTCTTCCAATTCGAGCCAAGGGCGTTGCTCTTGCCACTGCTTCCAATTGGTTCTGGAACTGTGTGATTGCCGTTATCACCCCATACATGGTCGACGAGAACGAAGGCAATCTGAAGGTCAAGGTCTTCTTCGTCTGGGGCAGTGCCCTCTTCCTGTGCCTGTTGTTCGCCTACTTCTTCATCCCCGAAACCAAGGGCCTCACTCTGGAGCAGGTTGACAAGATGCTGGAGGAGTCGACCCCGGCGACCAGTGCCAAGTGGAAGCCGCACGATACCTTCGCGCACGAGATGGGCATGGTTGACAAGATCGAGCCCACCGTTAGCATGGAGGAGCATCATGCCAAGACCATGGCTGACACTGACCATGTCCGCGTCGTCTAAGGGCGCAAGGATGTTGTCGTGTAACGATGTTTTCGTTTACGCCATTTTCACTGGTGTCTGTCTGCGCCTTCACCATTAAGGTGATCATGGACGAAATCCAGTCAGTATCGATATTTTCTCTCCAGTCGGAGCCAAGCCGATGGAGTGCTGTTCTGGGCGTGATTAGTTCTTGATCTTACAGATTTAGCTAATAGCCATAATGGAATAGTCACTACCCTATTATCACCTGTCGTGGCAAAGTTAAGTAAATGCTTGGTATTGGTCATTTTACAGTAAACAGGCCTTTTTTGAAGGCACAGGAAAAGGAAGGAAAGGTAAACGTAAAAAAGAGAAACGCCAGACCCATGCTCTGCCAGAAGCGCCGAAATCCAAACAACGTAAAAACCGGCGAGTATATTACTCCTCGTCGGAAGACACCTCCTTGGACTTGCTCTTCTTCTTTTTCTTCTTCTCTTTGCGCTCGGCAGCATCCTCTCCGTCGGCCTCGGCCTCGCGCTTGCGCTTGCTCTTTTCCTTCTTCTCCTTCTTCTCCTTCTTCTTTTTCTTCTCGTCCAGATCGGCGGGGGTCTGCTCCTCGGGCGCAATGAAATCCTTCTCCCGCTCGCGCATCTTCTCCTCGCGCTTGACGCGCTGGCGCTCGATAACCTCCTCCTTGTGGGCGCGGTCCTTGGCCTCCTTGGACAGGAAGTATTCGCCGGACTCGATCTGCAAGTCGACCTTGCTCTTCTCGGGGGCGGGCGGGAAGGGAGTGTACACCTTCTTCTCCTTGTCGGTGACCTTGAAGGGAACACGGCGCTTGGAGAGGGTGCGCTTCTTGAAGTTGGGCAGGAAACGATCCCACGATTCCGTAGCAAGTGTCGGGTCCTTGGCCAGCTCGCGCTTGATCATCAACTCCTTGATGTGATAGATCGGGTGGATGTTCGCCATGCAGTCGTCAATGATGCGTCGCACCTCCTTCAGACCCTTGAAGGGACCCATGACCGAGACCGTGTTACCCTGCACCAGGATGTATGTGCTGGTCAGGAGTTCCAGCGCCTTGAGGGTGGAGCCGTTGGGACCGAGGATACGCTGTCGGCGCTTCACGAACCGCTCCTTGTTCTGCACCTGGTTGCGGATCTTAATGATATCGCAAGCCACATCGTCCTGCAAGATCTTCAGGGCCTGGGTGACGGGAACACTTCGTGCGAGCAACTTGATCAGATCGCGGGCCTTCAGGATCGCGGCTGGGTCGAAGGTCTTGCGGGTTGTCTTGACGGTCATGCTTCCCTCTACCAAATCGAGTGTGCAGGCAATTCCCATCTTCTCCAGCGATCGGGTGACACCGGGCCATGCTTCCTTCAGGTATTGCTCACGGTATTTGGGGAAGAGGGTCATGAACGAGGACTCCTCGACGAAGTTTCCACCGGCATTGTGTTCGGGTTTGAATTCTTCGATCTGAATTGCGCAAAGCTCAAGTTAGCGATGGACAGGGAGATTTTTCTGGAAAAAGTGAAGAGTGTAGCATACCTTCCACTTGTCGATATCGTCCGTATCCCACGGCTTGTCTTTCTTGTAGGTGGACGGCATTTTGGGCAGGTGTTCGGCGTATTTGTTGGAGATGGACCGCAGCTCAATGAAAATCCGCGCCAACTTTTTTTTCTCCCCGCCTGCCGCCTTTCCTAATCTGGAAAATGTGTGCCTTACTTTCCAGGCATCACTATCTTTTTAGTCGCCCGTCGGATCGGGCGCTTGAATCGGTATCTTTGTTCTCTGTAATGCAGATAGAACTGTGACACTCACACAATGATTTGATCATTACCATTGTTTCAATAGACTGTTCAGTCAGTCTCCATGATTCAGTCGAACAATTGAACTTTCGTAAGATCCATTTTTCGTGAGAAAATCCTACTTCTCGTGGTTCATGACATGCTTTATGATTGATCAACGGAAGCATTCCCAACAATGGTCAGCATTAAAGAAGTTGCACCCTATTTAAAGTTCAATTCTAAGACGGATAGTTTTGAGCACAAGTACGGAGTATTCCGTAAGTAGAACTGCTATGCGATTAGGCCCCTTATACCTGGTCCCTCGCTCGCCCTCCTGAGCCCCTGGACGGGACGGACCCATCGCATTCGGGACCCAGGAATATTCTCGGGTAGGTCTAGGCCCAGTAAACGCCAGCTTCTACCGTGCGGTGGAAGCACTGGGTGAACTGAAATCCAGGCCTAACAGGCATTGACCCAGTTCGAGCACCATCGAGGTTATCCCATGTTTTGTCTGCCACGCGGATATCGGGCCTCTTTGTCCACGTCTCAATCTGGCTGGGGCGCCAAGTGCATTCCAGCGTGAACTCTAATAGGACACTTGACTTCGGGTCTTTGGAATGGGGATGTTTCTCCTGACTCGCGGGGAAAGTCAATGGCCCTGGTCGGGCCCCAAAATCGCTCTCCTCGCAATCCCGAGAAGCTGGGCGATTAGTCCGTCGCACCTGGCGATGAGTGTTTAGTGTCTGCTTTGTAATTGCGTATCGAGATCCTCATCTCGAGTTCTTGGGCGAGTTGTAATCTCCCAGTGAGTATTTGCTGTTCCAAAGTTAGTTTAGATTAGGCACGATATGGTAATGTCTAAGAGTGAGTTCCTACCATGAACACTCTGCATCTTAGACTTGGAATGAAAGTGCAGTCAGTAATTCAGAGAGAGGAAGGTACTGTCAATCCATAGCATGGACCGTCAAAGCTGGGCTTTCTTGGGAGTATTCGTTGACAGCTTCTCGGGCTCCTTGGGCAGCCACCGACAGGGATCAGAGGAGGAGTACTGTAGTTCCGGCGAGGAACATACCAACGGGGGATCTGATCTCATATGTAGGGCACTTTTGCTCCTGGACGACTGAAAAATGGACTGGGAGGACTTAAGGTTCCCCCGGTGCCTCCTTCCCGACAATCTGGGTCTGGACCCCTCTCTTTCTTTCCTCGCTCGCTTAGCCCAATCTTTCGATCCGTCGTGGGAACCCAGTTTGTCTGTTCTTGCTGCTTTTTCCGTATCTCTGGAGTGCGATGAGGCATGAAACATGGGTGAATTGGAGGGGGAGAGACCTCAGGCACATCTGGTAAGGTCGAGTTAAGGTACCGCGGGAGGCTTATTTCGACGACCATCTCCCCCGTCCACTACAGAGCTTCCCCCAGACAACCTGTTTCATTCGCTGTCTGCTCCAACCTGCAAGGCTATCTTGTGTAGCTTGCCCTGACAGTCTTAGCGTGGTTTCCAGATCCGATCTGCTTTGTGATCGATCCTTCCGATCCACACGGGGCCACGATCCGATCGATCTATCACCCGTGGCGTTCTTAACTGGAGCACACCACAGGACCACAACTGTCCCCTGAATCAAGTTATACCTGGATACATCAGCCTGCTCCATCAGCCTGCTTCTTGTGGCGCTCTCGGTGCAACATGAAGGATCTAGCACACATCAAACTCTAGAGTTCAAACTGTTCTCTCAAAGAGGTCCCAGTTGAACGGCTAGCGTTGCCTCGGAACCGAGACGCAGTACGGATCATCCGAAAAGGTACAGATATGATAAGAAATGTTTCTCTGACTAACCGGTTTTGGCTAATGCGATATGGCTATGCGACAGAAATGCGAAAGAAACATTGAAGCACAAGTCGATGGGTGTCTAAAAATGTGAAGGGCCATGGCGGATGGCCATTCACGAAGGAACCAATGTGTGTTCACTATACTGTGGTGGATTCCTTCGGCCTTGCAGAGTCCTCTAGGGAATATATTGGTTGACACTTCTCACTTATCTTGGCTTGCGCCCAATGCAAACGTATCTGTGCAAGTTAGTCACTGTCGCGGGGTCATTTTGTTGGGGCCATTCCTACAGTGGGAAGTATGCCTTCAGCGAGTGATTCCTGGCCTCATCCCGCGCTTGCTCCACCAATCTGTCAAAGCTTTCTGTCGACATGTGCAAACGCTGGGTGAGAGGGTATAATGCCAACGACCGCAGGAGTTGTTGGATATTTCCACTGTTATATCGGCCGATATCCCGCATCCTGGGATCTATATCGGCGTCAGCATTGATGTCCAAATCTCGATCAGCAATTCACCAAGAATTTACCACTTGACCATGCCGACAGAGGGAGAGGGATCATCTTCGTGTCAACCTCCACCAACCCTGCTTCATCGAAAAAGTTGCGTAGCCTGGATCCGATTCGAAGGTCTTTCCGGTCCTCTAATGCACGCATGTATTGAGTGCTCCATCTTCGCAAAGCATGTTGATCAGTGATGGAACCGTTGTCCGATTGCACATTGAAGTATATTTCAGTCATTTGGACCCATCCTCCTGGTCTCAGCACCCTTCGGAGTGGACGTTAGCCACTGGAACTGGGAATTCCTTCCTAAGGGGGTATGCTATTGGCGTGATCGGGGTTTTTGGGGAAACTCTCGCACCTGACGATGTCGCGGATGTATGATGGCCATCGTGAACGGTGAATACCGGTCGCAAGGAGTCGAGAATGAACGAGGTCGAAGTGGTTTGCTGGGAATGTGAACCGTCGGTTCAAGTCATCGACCTACAGAGTGCTATGTTAGCGACCGCTCGTCCAGCAACACGCGTCTCGGTGCCAGCGGCAATTTCGGCGACGGGCCTCATCGAAGAGATGATGGTGATGAAAAGCGTGACCTGCGTCGGGCGTTGGTCATACCCCTCTCAACGTGTTGTTGGAGAGTTTGAAAGGAGGAAAGAGATGGTTTACTCACCTGGAGCCACAAATTATTAGGCACATCGTCTGGGCTCATGTGCGGGGCAATATCTACGCCAATGACCTTGACCAACAACTGTTAGAAAACCATTGAATTTGGACAGGATGGCATCTCACCTCGCAACTCGGATGCTGCTCAGCAACCTCTATCGCCCACGATGCGGCCCCATGGCCACAGTCCAGTACCCGTCGCAGCCGATGAATGGGTGGGAAGATCAGTCGGTCATCAAAAATCCTTTGAAAAACTCGTTGCTGGTGGTCGAGACGCTGCGCCTCCTCCTAGTTTGGTCTGTGAGCAGTTATCTGAAATGATGAAGAGACTGGCTCTTCCCCTACCTCATCGATTGGGACGAAATATATGCGGTTGTCAATCGAGTATTTCTGGTACTCGCGGCCATGGACGATGACAGTATCGAGGAACTCCCGGTCTAGCTCTACCGTTTGCGAATCCGGGTTCCTTGAAGAGCAAAAAACGCCTAGTTAGCGATTTTGTACCTTTCCATGGTGAACAGCAAAAGGGATTAACATCTCAGTACATCATGGTCGCCTTGGCCCCTGTTTCAAATGTGGTGGACGAAAAAGGTAATCTCAGCTGGTATATCGGAATGCCTTTGGCCCGTTTTTTTTTGCAAAAGGCGGGGCTAAATTCTCCGGCTTAAGGGGTGTACATCAACTTATAGTACCAGACGGAGGGGAGGAGAAAATTCAAGTGGTTCAATTTTCATGGAAGCGATCGGGTGCTGTTAGAGGAAGGGAACAGGATTCTCGGCGGCAACAGCACTGTTTCGGATCTATGGCGGCTCGAGGACCATTCACTCTTCGTGGGCGCTCGTCAAGGGCTTGTATGAGGGACCCCGTTATACCAGGTGCGTACTAAACTGTACCCCAAAGGCTGGGCTGGGCAAGCCGGATCCGCCCCAGTTCGACCACACCAGGGTGACCAAACTCTTTGAAACAATGCTTTTCTTCAGATGTCAGGTACTTCTGTCGTATCACAGGATAGACTGAATACCAGGGCCTGTTCCTCGTGAATGGGTCCCTATCATGCACCGAAGAACGGATGGATACGATCAACACGGCCTTCTAGTCTCCTCCGAAACGGCCCTGTCTGTGGTCCCGAGCAATCTCGCCAATAGGGTCGGATCTTAACCTTGACGGGGGTGAACCATTACTCAGTTGGGACATGCATGAAGAATCTCCTTTTCCGCTACGACAAAGGGGGTTGTAATGTACATCCAACCAAGGATGTTAAGAGGGAAGCAAGAGCGGGTCGGTTCAGTAACCGAAGAATGGTTCACGAACACAATGGCAGCACGCCAAAATACCAAGTATCAGGATAGACTCGTTCCCGCTCTGTTGCTTAAGGCCAGTCTAGCAAACCTTGACTCCAGGCGGCGTTGCCATGAGCTAATGCACAGTTCGGGCTGTCGCATATGACCTACTACTTATGGCCCCCCGGGGTCCCAGAGCGCCCGACAGGGTGGATCGAGCGAAATTCAGCCTTTCCTTCCTGTGCCGCTACCTGTGGCTGCGATGACGTCCAGCGGCTGAAGCGCGAGTCTATGGAAAATCAAATCAATTCCGTTGATTCCATTCGCCTTCCATACAACGTGGATGCGTTGTACTACCATGGTTGATGCTCTAATCACCAAAAAAAGCGCCCATGAGTAAGACCATGACAGCCAAGAAGACGATGGAGACACTCATGAAAATCCACAAAGCCGAAACCCCATCAAAGAGTCACATGGACACAGGGAAATACTACAATTACTCCTAATATTCCATGGTACCTCTGCCTGGTCGGAGTCGCCGAGCCAGATTATTGGGCGAAACGAACAAGTTACAACACAAGGTGGACGGAGGCGTGGAACCAAAAAAAAAAAAAAGGGGAAAAGAAAAGGGAAGATTAGATATCCAGCAGAGTGACAATTGGAATTTAACCCGACCCTTGCGGCGACTCAAACCCCAGCCAAAAAAAAAGCCCTGCATTGCAGAATTCCAAGGGCGCGGAAATGGATCTTCGCCAGCTCCCGCTGTCAGTCAGCCGAAAAAAGCAGCAATTGGACCAGCGCCCCGGTGACAGATTTCCAATGCCATCATCGCACACGTCGGAGTGACTCCATCCCGCCCGGCCGCCAATATGCATCCAGTAATTCGGTGCCAAGGTGGCTTGTTCAGCTGGGTCCTGAGAGTCTGCTGGCCACGATGGCAGACTTGATCCCCCTCCAACCACAGCCGAGTGGGGTTGGATGGCCCTCAGACCCGGTCCACGATCAGCAGCATCCTCGTTGGGCTCCGTTCCCTCGGGACTCGGGATTCTCTGGTGGACTTGGTGTTATTTCACCTATTATTGAATCCTCTTCCTTTCGCCCTCTTCACCGCTTGTCTTGCGGGGCCTCTGGGGAGGACTCAGAATAGAATCAATACGGGATGGGCTAACTCGTTACTTTTGCAGATGTGCTACAGGGATACCTATCCAAATTGTGTCCTTCCGATCTGAGCAAGACAAAAGTACCCTCATAGATCATGCTTCCACGGAGTTCTTTTGGGATCATAGGACTAGTTATACTAAGAACACCATGGGAAAAAAAAGAGATGGCCCTGCTGAAACTCACACTAAGGACTGAGCGGAAAATGATTCCATACGAAATTCTTGCTGGCCGTCTTGAAAGTGTGGCTTGTGGATTGTGGATTCTTTTGCCTTCCTTCTGGGGTGGGCGGGTGTCCACCTCTACCCAGTCCCTCGGGAATTTACAAAACTCACGTTGTACTTTTCAGATGAGCTGATCAATTATCGTTTTCGCCTGTGTCCATGCGTGGCCTCTAGGGGATCAATGCACGAATAGATCCGGGCAATTCTCCGGATCCCCCAAACAATAAATGAAACAACACCTTGAAACCATCTCGGCGGAAAGACGAAGAAGGCCTTCGCCATGAATAACCGCCTAGTGGAAAAGACAGCCGTGATAGGAGTCAAAATTGTCAAGTATTACATCTAACGTTGCAACAGTAGATAGTCTTCCGTCTTTATGGAGAAAAATGATGATCTGGCCCTAGCCATGGGGCTTAAGGTTCAAAATGCTTCAAAGTCGTTACAACGTATAGTGTCTGTCATGTCAACGTAAAAAAGGGCCCCTAGCCCCCACGACTTGGCAAATCATGCCCTGTGGCCCTGTGGTGCGCTTTTTCGGGTCATACTAGCTGGATGCCTTGCAGTCGTAACCCATGTTCATGCACCATGGACCCAAAGAGGGACCGCGCCGCGTTCCCGAAGAACGAGCATCCAATGCACCGGGTCTCGCGGCGTACGACAGGGGGGGAAGAGGCAATCTCGCTGTTTTAGTCTCGTCTCGAGTATGTACCCTATACTTCGGACATGTCCATGCATGAAATGCAAGTAAGGATGTACTCTTAGTCCGTACAGTACCGAGGGGTTGAACAACCGTTGGTAAGGGAAATCCCAGAGCCATGGTTCAATTCTCGGGAAGACAGGCCTTTTTATCGGGGAGCGAGGGGGCGGCTGGGCCCGTTAGTGTCGTCGGCGCACGGTCTTTGGGACTATGCCAAAATGCGGATTAGCATGGGAGTAACTATTTACCAAGTAAGCAAGTGAGTTTTTTACTAACGATGAGCCTATGAGTGGCCCCATGGTGGTATTGATTATAGACTCTCTCGGATTCATTTATTAATGATGTCTATATGTGATTTCTTTCCTGGTGGTGGTCAAACAGGAGTAGTAAGTATCAGGAAATGATATCCTAGGGTAGCCACAAACAAGCCAAATGGCTCTTTAAGGAGGGAGAGCCACGGCTACAGATGGTTAGAGTCTAATGATCCGTTAACGCGAAAGATTTGGAATAATAACTCGGTCTCTATCTTAGCCTTCAGCCGCTAATAAGTAATCAAACCTATGCGTATGTTCGCCCTAGTAGACCACAGACTTCGGTGATTTCCTCAACCCAAAGTCCTGGGAATTAAGCAGGGGCAGAAACCGGAACGAACGAGACGATCGGCCCGTACAAACCTCCGCCAGCACTCAATAATCAACACATCGTCTCAACTTAAGAGACTCGCCCATTCAGCCACCATCTGGTCGTTTGCCTTGGCCTTTGCCTTTTCATTGCCCCCATCTAGCGACTCGGCCATGGCCCCTCAAGCGCTTCAAACTATAGAATTAACTCATTAGCGCCACTGATGGGCGAACTACCGGTATCAAGAAGAAGAAAAGCATGTTACAAGTTACATGATAATCAGAAAAACAAAAAATGAATAGCAAAATCTACTACCAGATAGGGAAAAAAAAAGAATAAAAAGGCCAAATGTATTTAGCGTACCATTCTGTCGGGTCGCCAGCCCCAAGCCCACTCACTTCCTTGCAAATCCGCTTTTAGCAGTTACTTCCCTCTCCGGACGGAGGGATGCCCCTCATCATTAAATGAATAATTCGTTCTCGGTAATATCGCCTGCGATAGAGCGCGGTCTGGTAGTCGAACTGATTTGTCAAGCATGAAGTGAGGCTGTCGCACTCTTGGTACATACTTATAACTAGCTATTCCGATGGTGGTTTTTCTCCCCTTGGTCGTGGTTACCTCACCAATTATGAATTCTGGAGGTTTACCCTAAGTACTATACATAATCTTAAGTTTAGCAATGGTGGATATCATTACGAAGGCTTTGTTAAAAAAGAAATTAGCCCGGCGGTCCGTGAGAGGCTGTTGTGTTACTTCGGCTGGGGCTAGACATGCCTTCCTCGTGTGGCTGGGATAAGGGTATTGGAGTTTGTATACATCAGGAAGTTGGTCGTAATTTGAGCTGATCGCACACGGAATAATTTTCTTGTCTTTCTTTGTATCTATCACTGATGGCTGGGAATACGAGTCGCGCGAGCTTGTTCTGTTAGAAACGATCCATTCCTGCGGGGGTTCCAGCCTTTTAAATATAGATCGAGCAATAGTTATACCTAGGCTCAAAGAAGCATTTACTTCTCAAACTGGATCCCGCTAAAGATATTCAATTCAGTGCTGGGCACTGCATTGGATAAATAACCCGCGTTATTGGCTTCAGGTTACTTAAGGGTGCTGACCTCAAGTTTTAAGCCTATAGCCAGCCACGTCTCTACTATTTCATTAGAAGGCAATGGGAACCCAAGCGCTTGGTCGAAATACTAGGTAATAGTCTATGGAATCTTCTCCCAGAGAGCCGCAGCGATTGAGTTGAACTAGTAGCATTACATCTTGATATTGAGATATATCTCAGTTGAAGGTCATATACAAGGTGACTTGACCTGAAAAACTGAGACCTCCAAAACAATTCGCCGTTTTATGCCCCCTTTGGTGGGAAAGAGCAGGAATTTATATAGCTCATTTCCATCAATTACGACACAACTCGGTATCTAGATAGGCCTTGAACACCTTCACGTCAACTTAGACATAGGCTTGATAGTGAATATATCTAATAATAATAGTTTTATCCAGAGTATATAAGCGGGAAACTTCTAATTACATCTAGTAGTCCTCCTGCGGGCCTAGTCCGATCATTCCACAAAGCCATTGCTATCGACATTTCTGGAAACTACTTGATCCCAACTTGATGCAAAATTCCAAGAAAATACATTGACTTAGCGGTGAGAATGTGCCATGTTGCATCCTATTTGCAATCTCCGGAGCCTCTCCAGAAATACAGCATTCCATTGCTTCAATCCTGACCTCCTCCATTAAACGAGTCCTTTCGAATATCAAAATCCACCATCCTACTAATACACCGTCTTTAGTTAAAGTTCATCATGTGACGCAGGCAAGGACCACTTCGTATATTGCTAGCGGGCAATTTCCGCAATCACTGTGGAGAGCCTCTCAAAAACCCTCAGCAAGTATACCCACACGCAGTAATAGGTTTAACACTGGTTAAGTCGAAAAAATCTTTCAGATAGGTAGCTTTAAGAATTGTGACTGTGTGATCTGTCGTTGCGTTTATAAGAGTGATTATCAATGGGAAGAGTTTATGCCTCATTTTTGGCATGACAAGATAGCTTGGAGTATTACAAGGCTTGGATATGCTCGACAGCTTGTGCCCATTTTGAATACAGATATTTATATACGGTGCAACTATCCCTGCTACTCGGGAGCATTTCGAACAATGGGCGACTAGGTCATGCGAGCAAGAAGAGAACGTTACTTACCAAAGACCAAAAACTGGCAGAGTGCAGACGGTACATAAGTTTTACTGCATAGCTAGCCAGGAGGGGTTGGAGCCTGTCGTTCTTCATGGTTCAGAAATAAAGGTAGTACATGGAAACTGGAGGTGGTGAAGGTAACAGGGTATCCTCCCAAGACAAAGTCCTTCTCACAAGTCAAGGACAGGGAGAAGCTAGATAGATTATCATGGCTGAATTGCCATGAATCTCCAAAAAATTATACATTTTAATAATCTCAAAACGTCGCATTCATCGAGCGGGGGGTATAAAATAAGCCGAGAAAGAAGACACCGCCAGAGCAAAGAACCAACACCATATCCCCGCGGAGACAGATATATACAGATTTTTTATATCAAAAAATCCCAGCTTACCGAACGTCCTCCCGTCCCGTCATAAACTTGACAGCGGCTGAAATAATCTCCATCACAATCTCGATTTCGGCATCGTTGCGCGGCGCATAGATCAGGAGATATTCAGAGGGAATGTCGGGTATAGTACCCAGACTGAGGAATGTCATGGCGGATGTACCGGAGAAAGCATGGCGCTGACCCCAGCCTGCATCAATGACTTTCTTGCCTGGTCAAGGTTAGTGGATGAGAAATAGAATAGGTGCTGCTAATAAAGCGTGGCGTGGTATAAGGGCCGTAGCTTTGCGACTTACAATCTGCCGGTGCCAAAACCACGTGAAGCGAGTAATCACTTCCACTGTGTATATGCGTAATTTCACCCTGCATCGTCGTCGCCAGATCCGTGATGGGGAGGTGATCGGCCAAGAACAGCGCATCTGCATGTCCTTCAAGATTGGACTGCTGGAATTTGACTAGATGGTGATTGCGCAAACCGAACGAGGTAAATTTTGAGTCGAATTTCTGCAAAGGGAGCCCAAGTTAGTATTCGCCGTGTTCCCATCGTCACGCGACACAGTCTCATCTAGACGAACCTCCATAACATCCTCGTCGGGAATCTGCGTCAACTGTCGCTGCGGCACAACATGTGGTCCAATCTCGGGTCTCCCCTCCTCCTTCCTCGATTCCAACCGTTCACTCGATAGTGTCAAATACCCCTCGTCACCCCTCCCATGACCCTCGGCCGCATCAATCCGGCGCAAATAGATCTCCGTGCTAAACATCTCGCTCCCAAACGGCTGAAACAGCGCGCGCACCGTCATCCACCCCAGCAAGTTATTCGGGACCCCGCCGGGACCATAGCTCTTGAAGATGCGGTAGTCGCGATACGCGGCAGGTAGGAGAATTGCGCTGCCTATTACGGCGGCCGTGCCGAGGGCGAGGTTTAGTCGTTCTTGTTGGGAGTGGGGGAGGCGGATGTGTCGTAGCGCGTTTGTGAGGGTTTCGAGTGACATTCTCGTGGATTTTGTCTGGGATGGGGGGGACCAGGGTCCTAGGGGGTTGAGAGGTGAAAGGGGAATTTGAGAGTCAAGTCAGGTTCATCAGATGGGGAAGTTAAATAAAAAAAAGAAGGCTCTCGGGGCCGACGGGGCTGAGGTGAGCGTCCAAGCTTCTGTTCCCCTCGGAAGAAACCCGCTAGTCTCTCCCGATTGGATCTTGGACATTCTACATTCTACAAGTATTTTTTTTCTGTAGACTTTGTGAAGCTCTTCTTGAATTCTCTGGTATCTTCACACGCAGACTGTGCACAACTATCTATACTTCATACAAAATCATTTCGGGACAGCGTTCTGCCCGCATCCAGCTTGAAGCTTCTCTCTATCTTATCGCTTCTCGATGTCTCTCCGAGATCCACCGTTGGCCCCACTCCAACAGAAAGTCCGATGGTGTGATGCTTGTGTGATGTGACGAGACCCTGGAATTCCTCGCGCAATCGTCGCAGTCGCTTAAGAGACTGTGTGCACTCCTTCCGTTTCGGAGATGAAGTCTTCTTCAGGGGTTGACTAGTATTTTGATCGGGAAAAGAACTTGGGCGTGCCAGGCTGATGATATTTGGCCCCTCCAGGAAGTGGATCAGCCCCATGGGGTGGCTGTGATGTCTGAGATGTCTGACACAATTGAGACAATGGCCATTGTCATTCTTCAGTCTTCTTTGCTGATGGAGCTAAGAGAGTGTGCTAATTTCAACAACACCACACTTTCAGTTGCGGCAAAGTAATTGAGACTAATTTCATGTTAGCATATTGTGCATTGTATACGAATGTAGGAAAACCACCAACCTGTCCATCAGAATCCGCAAATGGCGGTTGAAATGATCCTCATACCGCTTGAGAGTCTCTTCAAGCTTCACAATTCGGGATGGATCATAGGGGCGAGCGTCCAGTCCTCCAGCTTTGTCCCCTGCCAAATCAGGATCTGCTGAACTCAGAGCCCGCGAAAGCGACGAGGCTGTCCATTGGCCAAACATAGTACAACAAGTAATGAGCTTGGAATGGATCTGAGAAGGCGCGGGAGTCAGCATTGCTCTTGTTCAACACCTGGAGCTAATTCAATATACCTTCAATAACTTAGCCTGAGTCAGCATGCATTCCTTCAGGCAAGTATCTAAAAAGTCCACATGGTCCTGCATCAGCTCATCAACAGTCCGGTTGACTTGTTTTGACCCATTCACGGTCACCTCGGACCCATTGGCATCGGCGCCATTCACACGGTCCATCAATGCCACCCAGTTAGGTTCAATAACCTCCGCGGTACAGAAATACAACAGATGTTGAACAAATATAAGCATCTTGGCCCGCAAGTTCCATGCGCGTCGCTTCCACAGTTCAAGTCTTCGATCTGACGGCTTGTGTCGCCAACTGGCCACCTTGTTCTGATCTGCCCATGACGTGACTAGCAATGTCTCCACGTGTCGCAAGGACAGCAGATGGCGGAAGATTAATTGGTATCGCAGCACAGTCTTACGACTGATGACGAGGGAAAGTGGGAATGGCACCGAATAATCCAGCTCCAGTCCACTGAACCCAGTAATGCTGTTGTCGTCGTCGGTGCTCTGCGCAGAAGTCGCCTGCTTTTCAAATGCGGCTTCCGGATGGTCCTGATCAATGCCCGAGACACTGACCACTTGCATCAACCATTTTGTAAGGCCAACCTTGTTCATCCGAACCTTGACATCCTCCTTGAATGGATCCTGTGCAGCAATGCTGCCAGGCTGACGGAGTACAAGATCCAACAGTGACTGAAGCTTGCCCTCATTGACAACATTCACATTCTTGCGCAACTCAGATGCACCTAGTTCAAGGAAGTAGGAGAAGAAGTCGGATCGATCGAGGAAGAAGTAGTGCTTGAGCGAGCGGAATCGGGTTGTGAGAGAGTTTTTCGTGAGAAGTAGGTTCAAAAGAGAGGCGTTGGCGTAGGTATAAGCAGCATTGACGTTTTCCAGGAAACGCGGATCATCAAGCGTTTTGGGAACATCTTTGACAGCTTTGCTGACATCAACGCCACCACATTCTCGTACCACGTTAAGGTATTTGCCGGCTAGAAGAACTCTATCCTTGACACCCTCGAGCTGTGGGGGAACCTCATCGTCGCGAATTGTATAGCGCTTTTCCCAGTATTCATCCGTGTAGTCTTCCTCGAGCTTTTCCCGCTTGATCCACTTTTGCTCCTTGACGAGGAACTCTGCGTGGGGGTCTCTGATGCCACCGTGGTGTAACCATTCGTTCAACATGTTCATGTATGGTCGACTGGCGTCACGCAATAGAGTCTGAATAAGTGTCTTGGTCGTCGGGTCGCCCGAAAAGGTCGCAAGGCGCTCCGTTAGGAGTCTTAAGACATTGCCTCCTTTACAAACCTTCCTGCTGGAGCCCGGTACAAGATCGCCTCCTTCCTTGAGTTGTTCAAGAATATTATCAACGTCGTCAAAGTCGTCGATCGTTTCGTCAAGTTCATCTGAATCCAAAAGTCCGTTGCGTCGCAGGAGCTCTTGACCTATCGAATACAACTGAGTAAAACATTGACTGGTTGGCATCGTATGGAGGTGAAGTTGATGCAGGGTAAAGGAAGGGTTGTTCAGTTGTTGTCCTTCCAGCTGAGCGATAAGGATCAAGTAGTCCTTGAGGATCTTCCGAATGGATGCGCAGAGTGCATGGCATACGGCTCCATACTCGGCACGACTCTGGACTTCCACAAACGCCTCCATAGCGCTGTAATGCGTTGCCATCTTGAGCATAGACTGGGTGAGGTCGCGCAATGTCGGGTCTAAGCCTCCCGCCAGTTGGAATACGGGACCCGTCAAGCGGTCCTTTTCAACAGAGGGGTCATAGGTACTGTGGTAATGGATGTACTGGCCCTCGAAGCCCATAAACACGAACAAAAGGTCTTCCAAAATGGCAGCTTCCTGAGCATCGGGTGAAAGCTCTCGAAATGGTCGGGGAGCGAGCGATTGAGGAGCGGTCGACGCCAACGGAGGAACAGATACACGACAGGCGAGAGGAGCAGTCGAATGAGGAATCAGGGAGGCATGGGGATCCCATGGTGCTGTAGACCAGAGTAGTAAGTTAGTACACGGCAGTATCAAAACACGGACAGAATGCGCCATTAATGCGCATATTGGCGTTGGACACGAACCAGCAGGCGCATCCTGTTCCCTCCTATTCCCAACCGGGCTCATCCCATCGGCCGTCTTTGTCTTCTTGGTCCTTGACTTGTCCCATTCTCCGCGATTAGAAGCGCTGGACTCCTTGATAGGGTTCCTCCGCACCGCCTTTTCCCTTGTTGTGATCACAGTCCGCTCCGTACGTTTTTCGGTCATGTTTTTCTGATCTCGGGGCAATCTCTGCTTCTGACTCGATGTGCTTGTCCGTAAAGAATCCATGTTGTCTGGCTGCTGCGGCGATGCGGCGCCGCGACTGGGCCTATCGGCATCGACGCGATTGGAGACGACGCGGGGTCGCGGAGCGCTCATATAGCTAGCGCGGCGGTCATTGACGGACATAATCCCTGGTATAGCGGGGCAATGTCATGTAGCGCAGACGGAGGTGTCTGATATTGAGAAGTCGTGTTTCATAGAAAAAAGAACATCTACCGGAACGAGGCGCAATCGGAGTGTATCTAAACAAACCGTCAGAAACTCCACCCGTGCCTTTGGGCAGCATGGCAAGTGGCTGCCTCACCGCCTGAGGCCACCACGGCCAGGCACTCACGCAACTTGCGTAACTGAGAGCTTCCCGCCTTGAGAGCTCCCTATCCTCATCCTCCTGTCTCCGGTTCTATCCAGCTCCTCCGCCTCATCACCCCGGTCCTATACTTTCTTTCTAAGATCATTCTTTTCACCTTCTGAATCTCCAAGTTACCGCCTTGTTTCGGACCGCCCAACATGTTCATTGCTCGATCGGAATATGGTAAGCTCCCGTCACGTCTCACTACACGGCGGCATTGCTAACAGCTGCGGATAGACCGTGGAATCAAGTACGCATCCTCATCTTTAACGTGTTAGGCCCAAATTCAAGCGGTCTTGCTCACGATCATACTCCGATAGCACCTTCTCCCCGGAAGGTCGTCTGTTCCAGGTCGAATACTCTCTCGAAGCTATCAAGCTAGGCTCCACAGCGATCGGTGTATGTTCTGCCCTCTCCACGAAACCCCCGGGCAATCTATCACAATGGCCAGATGGAGAATTGTGGTCCAAACCGGGTTTCGCAACCTCCGTCCCGCGGCGAATGAATCCCAGGGCCCGCTCATCTAACATTGGATTATAGGTTGCTACATCGGAGGGTGTCATCCTCGGTGTCGAGAAGCGCGTCACATCTACCCTTCTGGAAGCGTCATCCGTCGAGAAGATCGTTGAAATTGATCAGCACATCGGTTGCGCCATGTCTGGCCTGCAAGCCGATGCCCGCAACTTGGTCGAGCACGCCCGTGTCGAATGCCAGAACCATGCCTTCCACTACGCCGAGCCCCTGCGCGTTGAGAGTACCACACAGGCTATTTGTGATTTGGCTCTCCGATTCGGAGAGAGCGGTGATGACGAGGAGAGCGTTATGAGCAGACCGTTTGGTGTTGCGTTGCTAATTGCCGGTTATGACGAGGATGGACCCCAGCTGTACGTGACATGTCTTCCAGGAGTTGCGTGATATGAGTTAAACTAACGTCTACCTCTTAATCTAGATATCACGCCGAGCCCTCAGGTACTTTCTACCGTTACGATGCCAAGGCTATTGGGTCCGGAAGCGAAGGCGCGCAGGCCGAGCTGCAGAACGAATACCACCGCTCCTTGACGCTGGCCGAGGCCGAGACGCTCGTTCTGAAGACACTGAAGCAGGTTATGGAGGAGAAACTGGATGCCAAGAATGTGCAGCTGGCTAGCGTGACGAAGGAGAAGGGCTTCCGCATCTACAATGACGAGGAGATGGGCCGTGCTGTGGCACAGCTGGGTGGGAACCAATGAAAGACTCGCTGATATGGCGGTAGACGATACAACCTTTCAGGGATAGGGAATCTTAATCTTTTCATCAAAAGCAAGGTACCCTGAAATATAAACCTCACGATTTTGTTCATCTTCTTGTCTATGGGCATACTACGCCTTCTATGATTCCAATCTGGGATATAGTACCAATCAGTATGTGGCAATCCCCCGAGACAGGTCCCAAGCCCGTTATATGGTTCCTTGCCTGAGATGAGGTGGCCGTAATGGATATCCATTCATAGGTAGGTTGGGCGTGAATCTATCGAAATAACCTGTTAATTTCTTCAATATGTTTGGAATTCCTAGCTTATAGCAGGACCCACTGACTTCCCTGGCATGTCTGAAATGATCGCCGCCTCTACCATGCAGCTTCGACATTCCCTCGTTATACTGGACAACATATACACATCTCATTCTTTGTTAGCAGCGCGTCTTCCATAATGATTGGCCAACCACGGAAGACCTAAGCGGATGTGCCGGGTGGAAAGGATAGTTAAACGAATAGAAGTCACCCCGACCGAATTATGAATACCACTTGGCATATGTTTATCCGAGGAAGAGTTGCACTAAACCTAAACGTTCGGTCCGGTTAATTCGGCTTCATGGTCTAGTGTGCGGGGTAGCCATGGGGATCATAACACTTGCAATTGGCGCGTCGAAAATCCGGGGCGAGAATGGGGCTGTCTCTGGGGATGGGAGAATAAGCTATCGACTACTGACAACAGATTTCCACAATTCTCTCTTACCTTCACTCGATCATTATTTGTAAGACACGTGGATACCAGCTTCGCTTCGCTCAATGGACATACGCGCGACGAGAAGACTAAATGGACAACCATCTCGGGCGCGGATCGCATGCCTCCACTGTCGATCACGTAAAGTGAGATGTACCCTTGCCATCAAAGGACCTCCATGTACGAACTGTCATTTGGATGGGCTGGAATGTGTTACTCGTCCCAAGCTTCGCAAGAAACTGCGAGGGTCGATTCATACTTCCCTGGCGGAGGAGGTCATTCCATCAACACCGTTACGAGAGATTGAACCACAACGGTATGAAGCTTGCGAGGTCGCAGAGGTCCAAGATGAGGCCCAGCGAATCTGTGATCTCAATGGTATGAACATTTTCGGACACCGAAGCACAGCCTCTGGCAGCCATGAAGCTCTTATTGAAGCCGCCCTCAGCGTGAACTCTTGTATGTGTCCCCGGAATCGCCTATCTCACTAGCAGATTGGGACTATGTGCAATGGTCCTGAGCTCATATCTAACATGTCACACTAGACTATGATCGCCCTGTACCCAATCGTGATGTCTCTTTCTCCTACTATCCCTATTTACGAGCGCCCAATCTCCAGCGCATACAACCAGCCGATCGATCCTTCCTGGAATCCCAGAAAAGTTTACACGTCCCTTCCGAGTCGATGATTGACGCCGTAATGTCGCGCTACTTCCTATACGTCCATCCATGTTTACCAGTCATAAATGAGGCGGAGTTCTGGCAGATGCTCAACCAAGAAGCGACGGGAAAGTTGTCTTTCTCACTACTCGTGTTTCAAGCAATGATGTTTGCTGCTTGCAGTGTATGTTCTCATATCCAAGTCATCGAATTACTTCGCTGTCGTTGGTCTGTTTGGGACTGAGGTTTTATCATCAGTATATCTCGTTGGACGATGCGAAGAAATGGGGTGCCGAGTCGATTTTGGAGATGCGCAATTCATTTTATCGCCGTGCCAAGGTATGGTTACGTTGAAATTGCCAGGTATGCGGCTCTTGGTTGCTGAATGATAGGCTAATTCGAGGGCAAGCTTCTTTACGATTTCGGCGTCGAGGATGATCACCTGTGCATCGCTCAAGCCTTGACCCTACTGACGTACCAAAGCTCGGCAACTGACCACCTGAGTAACAGCACTTGGCTTGGACTTGCTATTCAGCATGCTCATCTTGTAAACGCTCATCTCTACCATCGCTGTCCCACCGGAGCTAGATACAAGAGATCTGATCTTAAGCGTTTATGGTGGTGTCTTATCATCCGTGACAGGATCATCTCTCTAGGCATGCGAAGGCCGCTCCAGATTCTCCCAGCACATTTTGACGTCATGTCAAGAGATCCATTGCTAACGGAGGATTTATCTGATGAGATCAAAACGTCTCGCGTCTACGACCCTGAGACGAAAGAAACGCTTTGCAAGATTATGACTAGCTTGTGTCGACTTGCTGCCTCAATGACAAGTCTCATAATGACTCTTTATCCTCTGGATCCATTTCCAGATTGTCAGGGAATCCAGTCTACTGAAATAGCTTCAATCGATGACATTCAGTCACGAATTCAGTATTGGGCAGCTGCACACATGCTACGGCCGTCCTCCGAAGATTCTGACAGCCATTCGTCCGTTGCTTTCTTCAAGCAGCTAACAGCCTTGTACTTTGAGTAAGACCTCGGACTTTCTTTTGCGGTGTCTAGTTTAACCAGCTACTCACGCTATCATGGAACAGATCCGCTCGCTTGGCGCTCTATCAGTATATTTCCTTCCGAATACATCGAAATCAGCGGCCAGACGATTGGCCAGACCTAATGGATGCAGTCACAGCCATCCACGACGTGGTGAAACGTTTCGTGGTCGACGGCACAGCTAGTCATCTACCAATCAGCGCCGTTGCATACACAGCCCTACCACAGATGGTGCTGAACTTGAACCTTCGACTTTCCAGTGACACGACGACTCGTCGACGCCAAGAGAATGTTATGAGTATCTATATGGAATTAAATCGACAATATGTCTTGCGTTACGACGTCTCACACGTCAGCACCTGGGTGAACCGAATCGTCCGGCTTTTCGAATTATCTCTATCGCCCATCAAACCACAACTGGCCGACCTCACTCGACGGCAGAGGTTGTTCCCCGGGAAGGATTGCTTGTATTTACTTGAAATCGAGCCTGAGTTGTATTTCAAGATTTCTGGAATGATGGATGAATCGATGGCGACTGGTCAGTTGGCTTTTGAGTATTCGGGATCACAGTTGGGGTTTCCCTCCACGGACGTATCTTTGTCACTTTTGCGCAAAGAATATTCGGACTCTCATATGACAAATTCTCCGCAGTATCTTCAGTCCGGACAGATCTTGCCTCTTGATGAAGATACCATGGATGGGGAAGATCAGGAATCGTATACGGTGGATCTCACTTCGATTGAGCTTCTTTCACGGGGATTAGGGCTATTTGGAGAATAGGGAGGATAGTAGCAAATTACGAGTTCGTGCGAGATATGTAGTTAAGTGAACAATAATCAGCATTCATTTGATCAGCTAAATCGGTCTTCTCCTTGCTATCTGCTATTCCTACTCTAATTTGTCGTAAACATGATGTGCGTCCGTCGATTAAGACCTGCCAATCTGCCACCAAGCTACTTCCGGCCAATAGCTTTAGTAGTTACCTAGAAGTCATATTGTCAGCAAAATCTCAAAATTATCTAATTAGGAAGGAGACGGAGACACTCACCAAGGTACTTCCAACACACCCTCCGAAATCCTCAAAGCCCATATTATACGCGCCACAGGAACATATTTAGTCGGACCAAGCTCCAGCCGAAGCCGTTGTGACGATGTCACCAAAATCCCATCCAAAATATCATACGCTCTCTCGAGCTGTTGGGCAAAGAGAGGTCGGAGCGATACAGCTATCTCAGTCCGCTCTTGTCCAATAAGCATACCCCGGAAGATATCTTCGACCTGCCAGATTCGATGTTGAAGAATGTCCTGGCGAACCATACACTTGTTCGCTGGGATCTCAGCTGCCTTTTTGAAGACGGTTTCGTCTAGCTCGATTAGGTCTGCGAGGAGAAAATCTAATTCATCGGTAAACACTTCTCGATTCTCCACGTCTCGGAGGCTCTGGGCGAGTAATTGGCAGCCTGCCATGACGTGGGCTGAGGCTTGCCAGAATTGTTCAATCTCGGTGATAGCCATTATTGTAAGTTTGGATGGTCGTTTCCCGTATTAGTCGTTAGAATAATGGGGATGGCTTGGCGTTGAGATCGAGATGGTAGTGACTTTGTTGATGATAAGTTGGTGAGTCGGTGCTTTTATAGTCAATGATTTGAAGGGAAGTTCAATCTCCGAGAAGCTTTGGCAATCTGATATGCTTCCTGGTGAAAGTGCTGGTGACAATATCTTTGTTTAGATATCGTTGTTTTCGAGCAAGTGTTCGGCTCCCGTGAGACGATGCTTTGTTCCGGCTTCAAAGGTGGAAAGGGAAATATGGGAGCAAATCCAGTATTTGAGAAATAAACCCAAGTTGTAGACTTTTATCGAATTGTTGGGCGTGGTGTCGTTTGAGAGAATAGATGTTTCTTTCTTTGGTCTGGTTTTCTGAGCTAGTGGTCTGGTCTACAAGTTCCAGCCGTGCTAGGAGAAGATATCAAGGACATTAGACCCGATATCCGAGATGGTACTGTATTATGCCTCATTGGGAGCTACTAATCTATTTTGGGCCTCACATGGTGGCGACGGTATACCGAACACCATCCGCGCTCGATTTGGAAAGAAAAGGTTATCCCGAGGAAACTGATGTTGATATGCGGTCATTTTGTTTTGCCTATTCTAACCATGTAGAGACATAGTCCATAACTCCATATAGTACACCACCATTGCAATAATAAGACTACCGAATCTTATACACGCAAGGCTTCAGCACTTGGGCTTCCTGCTCAGAGTTCATGCCACTGTCAGCCGCCGGCTTGCGGTCTACGAACCGCTTCTTTCCACCAGGAGCCGTTGCACTCAATCCAGTAGCATGCTTGCCCTTGATTGGGGCGCCGCCCTGCTTCACAAACTCCATCTTGACAAACATCTTATTGGACTTGTCCACCGACTCCGGGCGCAACACGAAGCCACGAGTACGGAAGACCTCGACAAATGCCGAGATATCCGTCTCGTCATCATCGGCAGGAGGACGGGCATCTTCAGCAAAGATGTCCGCCTCGTCGATATCAGAGTCGTCATCCTTCTTGCTCTTCTTCTGCTTCTTCTGCTGAGTCTTGCTGAGCGGTTTCTGTGCGCCGATCATGGACTTCTTGCGGGTGACTTTGCCAAAGCGACTCTTCACTTCACTAACCCAGCACTCGCCCTTTCCGTCGCCGCGGAGCACGCGCCATGCCTCCTCAACGAAGGAGACCCAGTTGGTACCCATCAGACTGAGACAGAAGATGGCCACATCCATGGAACCGTCCTCCACGGGAAGTTTAGAGATGTCGGCCTTGGTGATGAGAGGGTCGGGGGACTGAAGGTCATAGCTGTTCAGCTTCAGGTTGAGCTTCTTGGCAGATGGTGTCAGGTTGCGAGCAAGTGCGGCGTCACCACAGCCCAGATCGGCAATGCTGCAGACTCCATTGGGTCTACGGGGCAGAGGCAGAGCCTTGTTAGGGAGAGGCTTGCCTCTTTTGGGCACAGGCACAGCCCCACGACGACGGACGGCCTGGATATAGCCATCGACGGGGTTAGAGGGCCATGATTCCTTGACCTGGCGGGAGAAACCAGCGTGGTACTCGTCGAACAACTCGGGATTCGCGTTGAACAGCTCGACGGCTTTGGAGGAGTCGGTGGTGTACAGAGTTTCGTTCAGGTGGCGGAATCGAGAGGAAATCAGCTTCTGGCGCATAGCCTGCTGGAGAGGGGTAAGGGTTGCGTTTGTCGTTGGCGGGGCCGCAAGGGCGCTCGCCGCAGAGGTGGTCGATTGAGCAGGTGCGGCACCGTCTGCCTTGTCCTCTTGGGTATCGTTGTCCTTGTTCTTCTTGTTCTTCCTCTGCTTCTTCTTCTTGCCCTGACCCTCCTCTTGAACAGAATCAGCGGCGACCTTGTTCACCTCCTCTTTGTCGGTCTTGGGAGAAGCAGCAGCCGCAGCAGCCGCAGCAGCAGATGCCTGCTTTTCCTGCTTCTTTTTCTTCCAGGGCTTTTCAGATTCGCCCTCGATGTGCTTGCGGTACATCTCGTTGACATTGCCAGAGGTGACATGATCACGCTTGCGCTTCTTGTCCTTGTTCTTGCCATTGGGCGTTGCGCCATCGTTGGTCGGCTGGGACTCGGTTTGGGCTTGCGCTGGTTGAGACTGCTGCTTGAGCGCAGAGCTCTCCAGCGACCATCCTGGAACGGCGAACATGATGGGTGGTCGGTGAAGCTTCAAAGGCTTCTTCTTTTTGCTTTGCCTGTTGACCACCGACTGCTATGCGGGGAGGAATCGTTGGAAGCGTGGCGTTGTGCAGCGATAGTCAAAAGCTCCGTCCAAAAAAAAAAGTTATCCGCAAAATTTCCAATCTCCGCATTGTTACCGCTGGTAATTTTAGTCTAATCGTTACGAGTATTTACCACTTTATTGCCTTATATTCCAGGCATCCAGCCCTAACGTGGTCGGTAAGCGAGTGGGCCATGTAAGCGAGCGGGCCACCTAACCGCTTTTTCGCGTCCTACCACGTTCATCTATCTTCTATCCACCACCATGCCTCCAATTCGCGCCGGGTTAAGCCAGGATGCTATGCAACAAGAGGGCCGCATCTTATTAGCTGTACAAGCTATAAACAACAAGGAAATCGGCTCTATTCGGAAGGCTGCAGACCAGTTTCAAGTTCCCCGGAATACGCTCACGCGTCGACTACGCGGTACTACAAACCGTGCTGAATCTCGCGCAAATTCTCATAAATTAACAGAGATCGAAGAGGAACTACTTCAGCAGCGGATACTATCGCTAGATCGACGTGGAGCAGCCCCTACACAAGCTCATGTACGAGAAATGGCTAATTTGCTACTCGCGAAGCGTGGTTCTATCTCTATCCAAACCGTCGGCGAAAAATGGGCATATAACTTTATCCAACGCCATCCGGACCTTAAATCTCGCTTTTCACGACGATACGACTACCAGCGAGCACTACAAGAGGATCCAAAGATTATTCAAGAGTGGTTTAACCTCGTACAAACCACGATTCAGCAATACGGTATCCTCGCGGACGATATCTATAACTTTGACGAGACTGGGTTCGCGATGGGCCTTTGTGCGCATCAAAAAGTGATTACTCGAGCGGAATACTACGGTCGGAGATCGGTTTTACAGCCAGGGAACCGCGAGTGGGTAACCGCAATCGAGTCAATTAACGCTTCGGGGTGGGCACTTCCACCGACGCTTATTTTTAAGGGCAAGCAATATAATCAAGCCTGGTTCAAAGATCTTCCGTACGACTGGCGCTTCGAAGTTAGTACGAACGGGTGGACGTCTGACGAAATAGGCCTTCGCTGGCTTCAAAAGCAATTTATTCCGTCGACAAATAGTCGTACGCGCGGAAGATATCGACTTTTAGTCCTCGACGGACACGGAAGCCATCTAACAGCAGAATTCGACCAAATCTGCGCGGATCACGATATTATACCGATCTGTATGCCAGCACATTCCTCGCATCTTTTACAACCGCTTGATATCGGATGTTTCGCGGTTTTAAAGCGCGCATACGGTGGTTTAGTCGGCCAGAAAATGCGGCTCGGGATTAGCCATATCGACAAGCTTGATTTCCTCACAGCTTATCCACAAGCTCGTACCGACGCATTTAAATCAGAGACGATTCAAAATAGCTTCCGAGCAGCAGGATTAGTACCTTTTAATCCCGAACCAGTGCTATCAAAGCTCAATATTCAACTTCGGACGCCTACGCCGCCCTCAAGCCGCGGTAGTCAAGCAAGCGCTTTTTGCCCCCATACGCCCGCGAACGTGGACGAGCTTTATAAGCAAGCAGCTTCAATTAAAGCTTTCCTAAAACGACGCTCGAAAAGTCCCCCATCGCCGTCGCAGGCCGCGCTAAACCAGCTTATTAAAGGCTGTCAAATCGCGATGCAAAACGGTATCTTTCTCGAGCAAGAAAATAAGCAGCTACGCGAGGAAAATACTACACAGAAGAAAAAGCGTGCTCGTACAACTAGATGGATAGCTCACGATGACGGTCTGAGTGTACGAGAAGCAATGGAGCTCGAGGAAGCTCATAATGCCTTTTTTCAGGCCATACCAGGTCCACGAGTGCCACCAGCGCAGGGTATACCGGCACCGAAGCCGAGGGCCTTACCTAAATGCGGCAATTGCAGTGAAATAGGGCATAAGAAGAATTCTTGTCCAAATAGAGAATAATGAATATAAAGGAGTTGTGGTTGATATATATCGATAAATGTGTAGAAATTCTGGTTGGGTGGCCCGCTCGCTTACATGGCCCACTCGCTTACCGACCACGTTACTGGATGCTGCAGAAAATCAATGGATCACTCAAGCTTCGCCCCATTCTCGTTTCTCCTAAAATTGCTTATACTACTGTATATTAATTATTCAACTGGTGGCGTCACATCTGCACTTGAGATGCATCACTACCCTTCTGTCGTCTGATAGGGCCCTAGGTCGGCCCAGTTGGCGCCAGTCTGGGGAGACTTGTCAGCTGTGACAGGGCACAAAACTTTGTTCCAAACTGGCGCCCATGGCCAGCCTCGGTGGTTCGTATAAGCCTTTGGACCCTGTCCAAACAAGCCGGTGGTGATTATCGTCACGATCTCGTATGGTTCTGCATGTCAGATCGTGTTACCCGGCCTGGGTTGAGAGCGCCGATATAGTCCGATGTGGTGACCCGTGGAATGCCGGGATCCTCCAGAGCCAAGCGCTTAACCAGAAGGTATACTCCGTACAAACCACAAAAAGGAGAAAAAGTCAAAACTAGCATGCGACAAAAGGGTCGCACGACAAGGATCTCGGGTGATCTGCGAGGCTCGGCAGCTTTGCCCAACTTGTGGAGTCGAGTTGGCCATCGATTCCAGACCGGCCTCCTGTTCCCTTTTAATTCCACCTTAAGTTCCTGAATCATCGCGGCCCCTCCCGGTCCTTTTCTTCCTCTCAGCCCCACCATGTCTGTGGACATAAACATCTCCCAATTGCCGTGATCTGTTTTCCAACTAGGGTCATCATGAAGCAGGATCTCGAGGATGAACCTGGGTCGTCGGCGATCGCTTCTGTCGACCTCGGCCACTCGACAGAACCCACAGTCAAACACTCCGGGCCCCGCAGAGCCCCAAAGAGACGAGTTAAAACCGGTTGTTTGAGTAGGCAGTGAAAGAGAAGACATTTCTATCCTGGGAGATGCAAATGATTGACGAAGGTCCATAGCATGTCGAAAACGTCGAATCAAGTGTGGAGAAGAGAAGCCCATATGCAGCAACTGCGTCAAGTCCAAGCGCATCTGCGAGGGTTATGCTCGACAAGTGGTCTTCAAGAACCCTCTGGGGCTCTTCGGATCATACGGCCCACCACCGGGACCAGATCAGATGCAAAAACAGCATATGAGAGTCCCGCTATACAACGACTTGGGTGCTCTGCCGGCCCAGCACGCTGCCGCCGCGGCACAGCATCCCATGTTAGCCCCACGGCCTATTGACCCCGCGACGATGGGGTATCATTCTTTCCAAACATACGAGACAACTCAGCCAGTCGAGGGGCAGGAACCAGCGACTGCTCCTCAGTTCTATTATCCGGCACCGCCGACGCAGATACCTCCTCAAACATGGTCTGTTCAGCCCCCACTGCGACATCCGGAAGGGCCTTCGTCCTCGGAAACATCCAATTATGCACAAGTACAGTCTCAACAAAGTAGCTCTCCCGAAGAACCCGTGCAATATCAGGAGTCAACATCACACCATCCGCAACCCATCATTTATTGGTCGAATGTTCAGCAGGGACAGGAGTTCGTACCAGGTACTGGCCCGCTGCCTCCAGGGGGAGCTCAAGCAGAAGAAGGCCCAGAGAACCCATTATTCCCTCAGGTATGCTCTGTATTCATGGTAGGATGCGTACTGGTAGGGCTTTCTTTGCTGACAGTATCTATCCCAAGCCCCTCTATTCAACAGAGGCCGTGTTCCAGTATCAGGCGCAGCCTGGCCAAGTACCTCAATTGGATCCTTCCGGACAATACGTTCAGCAATACCAACCACAGATTGCATATGTTGAGGATGGAGATGACGACTACTATGACGTGGAATCCGATGAAGAGATGGTGGTTCAGACTCAGGCGGAAGGCTTCAACCAGTTGAGCCTGATTATGGCCTCGGCAAACCACGACGATCGTCAACTTCGTTCGTTCACGACCCATCTGAACGAGCCTAATATCCTTGCCTCCTATAATCCCAGCCTCGGATCCAGTCCTCTCAATAATCCCAAGACAGCTCGCATCTTTGCTCACTTCATCCACTCGACCGGGCCATCATTGTCCATCTTTGAACGCCATCCGACAGACTCTTCTATTGTCCTGGGAGTCCCGGTTCCACCTGCCCAGCAAGGACTTTGGACATATACCTTGCCACTAAAGGCCTTGGAGAACCCAGCATTGCTTCAGGCTATTCTCGCTATCAGCAGTTTGCACATTGCATACTTGCAGGGTGCGCCCACCACAGTTTCTCTAAAACATTATCACTATGCACTGAAACGCATCGGCCGAGCTGTCGGCCTGCCACAACGCCGCAAACAGATTGGCACACTGGCAGCCACCGAACTCCTGGCATACTACGAAGTCATATCCGCGGATCATTCCAAATGGAACAGCCACGTTGCTGGTGCTGCCCAGCTAATCAAGGAGATTGACTTTGCCGGCACGACTCGAGATCTTCGTGCCTACCGGCGCATAATCAACGAACAGCGTCGCCAGATGGGGTGGTCCAACTCGATGATGTATCATCATGGGTTTGGTCCCGATCCCAATGAAGATGACCCCTTTGCTGAGAAAGAGGGAAGCATCGACCAGGATCTCATCGGATCACTCTTGGGGCGCGCAGTCAACTTTGATGAGTTTGGACGCGTGGAGGATGATCATGGGTATAGCCCAAGGAAACATTTCTCACGCAAGGATATTGAGAATTTCCGAATCCAGTGCGATCTCTACTGGTGGTTTACGAAACAAGATGTATTCCACAGTTTGATCAGTGGAGATAAGTTATTGTAGGTTACGTCCTCGTCCAGGTTTGTCTATGCTCTCACCTTACTGATTTCATCCTCTAGCATGCCCTACTATATGCAGTGTCAGAGTCCACCACGAGCAGGCATCGGCCGGATCGATGCCATCTATGGATCAGCCGACCATCTTTGGCTGTTGCTTGCGCGGGTGACAGACTTTGGCTATCGCGACCGAAAACGCAAGTTGCGCGCCATCCGAGCCTCTGGCACGGATTGGAAGCCTACGCCAGGGATGTTTAAGTTTATGGGCCGGTTCTCTCGTGGCGATCCTAGCAAGATGAAGGGGCCGCCAGGAGGTCCTCCTGGTGGGCCTCCTGGGCCTCCTGGAGGGCCACCTTCAGCAGGCGCAGCTCCTCCTAGAGGATCTGGCCCTCCGTCAAATTCATCGGGAGGATCACCTGGCCAGCGCGCCGGTCCGTCTGTGCCAGATGGTCCTCCCATGTATGGAATGGTCCCACCGCAGGGCCCAACGCGCCTTCCATCTGGATTCGCTGATGGTCGTCGCGACCAACGAGAGTCCCCCGAGGAGGACGAGGTAAGTGATGATTTCACATACACGGAAGCAGAACGCGAATGGGAGGAGATCTTGGTAGCCATGGACACCTTTGCCAAAGCCCTCGGGCGTGACTTTGAGCCACTTCCTGCAGACGTCACGCAGTCTATTTCAACGCCATTTGGACCGGCACTCCAATACCGCACGCACACGATCGCGGTCATCTGGGGTTTCTACTATGCTGGCTGTATTCTACTCAAACGACTCCACCCTTCTATGCCCCCGGCCATGATGATGGCCGCCGGGGTGGCCGCTCCCACTACCACCGAATATGCACAGATCATAGGTCGAATCACCGGTGGCATATATTACCCACAACGCTACAACCTTGAAGCAGGCAGCCTCAGCCCAACGCTAGGCTCGTCACTAACGGAGATGACGATGCCGATCTTCTTCGCCGCCGTGCAGTACATGGACCCCGCACAGCGTGGCTGGACCATTGCCAAACTGCGGGACGTCTCGCGGCTGACGGGCTGGAAGACGTCGGACGCCATCGCCAGTGGCTGTGAAAAGGCGTGGATCGTGGCCGCTAAACATGGCCGCGGACCGCCATATGAGCGATCCTTCGACTCGGGCCGCGATCGTGCCGCTCATGTAAGTGTCGACTCGACTTGGAGTCGAGTTTTGAATCGGACCGACCACGTTGTACGTAGCATGCTGACCCTTTTTTTTTTTGAACAGCCGTTGGATATCCTTGAGCGCGACCGCAAGAGCACCACGGAGTATAGTGATGACCGGCGGTTTGTGACGATTAAGCCACCCGATCGAGCTTATTTGGCAATGGGCCTGTTGAGTTTGGAGGGGGATATGCAGAACTTGGAGTTGTAGGCAGTGCAGATGTGCTGGCACCGTAGGATTGGATGGGAGAAATGTGTACCTACATTAGGCAGAGTTAATGGCTGATGAAGGATGTCACTAGCAGTGTCACTAGTCAAAGTACTGTACAGACTCAGCTGAAGTCGTGGAACTTCCCCCCTCCCCCACTTGGTTTCTCCTCCCAAACGTCATCGGCGGCGCTTCTGCCTGAACCCTCTTTGTCTTTGACAGGCCTACACACTAGTAAGGCTGAATCTCCGATCGACTCTTTTCCCTCCTGCAACTTTTTCTATCCCCTCACTTTTTCGTCCTAACCTCTTTTCCACTTGAGCCTCTTTCTCATCCTTCTCTCTTCTCTCATCCGTGGTTCCTCTCACCCCCCACCTCCCATCGGCCCGCAAGTCAGCCGCTCTCGTCATTTCCACGGTTCACACCTCCCTCAGCAGTTCCCCTAAACAAAACAATCTATACAAACCCCCCGGTCAAGCCATGTCGCGCTATGACGACTATCGCTCGTCCACCGCGACCCTCGAGTCCCGAGACCGTTACGACCGTCGTTCCTCTCGAGGACCCCCAGTAGCTGACCGACCCCGCCAAGTCGAGGACGAGCGCTTCGAGTTCCGCCTGCGCGAGGAAGACCGATATGGCCCTCCTGCCCGTGCTCCAGGCCGACACTACGAGGATGAGCACCTGTCTCATACATCTGGCCCCCTGGTGGCGCATGACCGACGCCGTCGCCGCGACGAAAGTCCCTCGTTCACTCGGCCCCGTTTACTTAGGCGGCAGTCGTCCCTCGACACTTTTGATCGCATCCCCCGTCGTAAGATGGAGTCTCTCGAAGCTCGCGATCGTCCCCGAGGTATGCCTCGTGTGCCTCATCCGCCACCCCTGCCGCGGGGCTCGCCGGGTCGTTACCGCGAGCGCGAAGTATATGAGGATATTCGCATCGCCGAGCCAGACTTGTACGGCGATGAGGAGTATCGTGAGTTCCGGGAGCGCACGAGTATGGATCACCGTCGACGCCGCTCTAGTAGTACTACGCGTTCTCGTCGTGAGGAGAAACCATACCCGCGCAAAGGAAAGACTCGCATTCCCCGTAAGTGGGTGCATGTCCATGCTATCCTGGACTTGGGGTATCCGTTCAAAGAGGAGGTATGTATACATCTACGTCGACCATGGGATTCTGCGATATGCAGCGACTCACATTGCTAATTACTCTCTTTGTTCTAGGATGATGTCATTGTCATCCAGAAAGCACTATCCAAAGACCAGATCGACGAGGTCATCAGCCTGAGCAAAGAGTTCCGCCGGCCCGCTGAGCACGTGGAAAGTAAGTTGCTTCGTCGAGGGCCCCCGAGCAGAGCCCGAAACCCCAGAGCCCAGGACCTTCATGTTAACCTCTGCGTAATTAGCTGATTACCTGCGTGTTCCACGATCCCCGGTTCGATCCATTCCTCGCGAGCGGGTTACTACGGAGCATCTGTTCGTCGATGCCCGCGCGCATCGTCATGATACGTATCTGGTTGAAGCATCACCACGCCGCCGTTCAGATTACGAAGAGATTGAGTATGATGAGTATGACGAGTACATTCAAAGACCACGACATGGGGTTATTACTCGTCCTAGGTCAGTCTCTGTTCATACGCATGGCCGACACTCGTCGCCCCTGCGACTCGTTGAGCCCCGGGGCTACGCCGAGGAGCGTATTGAAGCGCGGCCTCGTAACTCTGGCCAGCTAGTTTTGGTACGTCCACGGAGCAGCCATCATGAAGTTGATGATGAGGTTCGGAAACTGGAGGAGGAGGTTAGGCTGCTGCGGTTGGAGCGGCAGGGAGGATTTGAAGTTACGCGGGATCGCGAGACCGATATCATTGACAGCAAGGGCAACGAGGCGGAGATTCACGAAATTAGACGAACTGAGCGCAAAGGTATGTCTACGCAAGATGATATCATAGTATAGATAGTAACTGTGGCTGACACTTTTTTAGAACCGAGCTCTGGAGTGATGCGGGCGATGCTGGCCACCCTGACCTGAGTGAGGCTGAGAGAGCAGGGGGGTCAGGAAGATGACTATCATGATTTTCACGGGCTATGATGATTTTTTTGCAGATATTTTTTTCATTCTCGAGTGTATTTTTTCCGACAATTTTACTCTGGTTTTTTTTCCTTGTATACAAATGCAAAGCCATATCTTTGTGGATGCCTGATGAAACTGTGGCGGTGCGCGTGGGGCGGTGCAAGCGGGATGGTACCCTCGTAGCTGGCCATCCTATCATCACGACTCACTTTCCTTTCCTTGTATTCTCCCAACTTTTCAATCCTTCACATTTCACAATCATGGATCGAGTGCAGGCATTCGGTAAGACTTTCAGGTAAGCATAGCCCCCTTCTTCCCACCACGCGTGGCCTTATCGCGAAAAGGTCCCCCTCCCCTCCGCAGAAAACATCCCCCCGTTCTGGACCGTTGTCGAACGTTAACTGACATCCTCTTGCCCGTCGCTTGTACGAATAGCGCGAGCTTCACGCCATTTGCGCAGCGCACCCAGCAGATGATCAAGGAGCAACTGGGTCAGGTTGAAGATAAGACCCAGCTCCCCGATGAATACATCGAGCTCGAGAAGCGCGTCGATGCGCTCAAGCTTGTTCACCAGAAGCTGCTCCAGGTGACGTGAGTTCTTCCGTAGCTGACGGATATCCCCGTGTCAATCTCCGGCTTTCGCACGCACCACTAACATCAGTGGCTTGCTCCTAAATCAGTTCGCAATACTCCAACGAGGCCTACGACTACCCGCCCAACATTCGCGAATCCTTCAACGACCTCGGTCGCACTATCAACGAGAAGGTCACCCTCCTCTCGCAGGCCAGCTCCCCCGCTGAAGCCCAAGCCGCCCTGGTTGCGCCGCCCGCCGCCAAGCCCCAGCCCAAGACCTTCAACCACGCGATTGCGCGCGCTTCGCTCGCCAGTTCCCAGACCCTTGCGCAGAGCAGTCACGTCGAGGACCCGCTTGCCACCGCGCTGGAGAAGTATGCTCTCGCCGAGGAGAAGGTTGGCGAGGCCCGTCTCGGCCAAGATGCGCAGATCCAGTCCCGTTTCTTGGCTGGTTGGAACACTACGCTGAACACCAACTTGATGTTCGCTGCCAAGGCGCGCAAGAACGTTGAGAACGCTCGTCTCACCTTGGATTCCATCAAGGCTAGCAAGAAGGCTGCTGCCCACGGTGACCTGGATAACCTCAGCGAGGATGCTCGCCAGGAGATTGAGCAGGCTGAGGATGAGTTTGTTGGCCAGACCGAGGAGGCTGTTAGCGTGATGAAGAACGTATGTCTATTATCAGTCTCGGTTTTGGTTGTTATTTGCCGCCGTACTAATAACCCCTTGCTCAACTAGGTCCTTGATACCCCCGAGCCCCTTCGCAACCTGGCCGATCTGATCGCTGCCCAGCTGGAGTTCCACAAGAAGGCCTACGAGATTCTGAGTGAGCTCGCTCCCACCGTGGACGCGCTCCAGGTCGAGCAGGAGGTAAGCCAGATGACCCAGTGGTCCATGAATTAAGCCAGTTACTAACGCTGATTCTCCACAGGCCAGCTACCGCAAGAACCGTGAAGGCGCCTAAGCATAGTTTCTGTCTTCTTTGTTCCTAGCCTGTCCTCTTTTATTTCTAAGTTTCGGTCGTTGTCTTGGCCGTTTTGTATCTCCAGTTCTCCACCAACACCCATTTTTTTCTGCTTCGCTGCTATGCCAAAGGATCGCACTTGGTTTGCGATGTATTCCTTCAGCCTTGAGGCTTGCAATGAATAGATTGGAAAGTCCCACACTTCAAACCACCGTAAATATCTAAATTATCAAGTCCTAGGGAGATCTGTATTTCTCCAAGCTCCCGCGAGTAAATGACACCACATGCACGACACCGCCCTGGTGCCTGAGGCAGAACCCCGCTAGCTCCAGGAGCTCCGACATCCAACACCGACGCAACTTGTCAAGTCACTGTTCCTATCTACGTTTCGAGTGCTGCGCTCGGTAGAGGAAATCACCCCGGCTGGATCACCGAAATCCCCTCCAAGCCTCTTTTCCAATTCTATTCCAGCGTCTACCCGCCTAAGCAACCCCTCGATCAACACCCACCTGTCCGCTGTCCGTTACCCGCACCGATAACGTTACGAGTCTCCGGGCTAGAAACGAGCTCTTTGGAAATCGAGAAAGGATAGATAGATCCTGATATACCAACATGGCGAGCGGGTATGTCACAAACCTCCAGGGTTGAAAGAATCATGGGTCAAACTGCGGGATGCAGTCTACGTCTCGGCTGGACTCCGTCGTTCCTCTCGCGATGCCCTGCGCCGGCTACACCTCGTGAGATTGAACAGATTGCTAACTTCGTATCCTATGTAGATGGAGTCTTTTCGTCGGCCTGATTGTCATCGTGGCTCTCTGTCTAGCTGCGTGGTTCTTTAGCCCCAAGGGCGAAAACCAGACGTATGTTTTCCCGTCCCCGTCCCGTTGAACATTCAAAATTCCCCCTCGGCGATGGCAATTACTTGGCAATGGAAGCTAATTTCTTCATAGTGTCTGGCGCAGCACACTTATCCTCTCTATCGTATCTTGTTATTTGATGTGGGGTACGTTCATCCCCCCCAATCCTCAATTCCGTACCCGATGTCTTGTCTTGGATGCAACACAAAACCATGGCAATGGCAATCAAAGTGCAGACACTAACCTAACACTTGCAAAACAGCAATCGTCTTCATGGCCCAGCTACACCCCCTTATCGCGCCCAAGAGAGCGGATATGCGGCCTGACCGGGTACCAGAGTAAATCCTCGTTGCGTTGAGGTTTTGCTTGGACTTGTTCTCTTTCTCGCTTGTTTCGGGCCGGGTCTTCTTTCTGTGAAATAGGATTTTTGATCGTTGAGGATGATTAGAGAGATTGATTCTCTCTTTGAGGGGTGGATTTGTAGAAGGGTGGTGCGTGATGAATATCGAATATCTTTGGAATTGTATGCACTTGGGTTGCGGGTGTTTTTGTATAGTTTTTCTTTCCCATACGTGTCGTGTTAGATTTATCGATTCTTTTAAGATTTCTGTGTTTTGTGTAGAGGGTCGGTCTCTAGGTAGCCTGTTATAGAGCAGTGTATGTCTAGCTTATCCGAATCGCCCGGCAAGTTGATGTATAGTTTCATATATTGGCTTCGCTATCCATTCCAGGAGTAAACATTAACACGGGTTTCCCCGTTGATTATCACTTATGCGTATCTATACAAAATCACATTTATATCAGCTCTATCTCCAACAGTCCAGTCCCCATTTATCCAACTCCAACAGCCCCCAATATAACCCTCTGAACCGCCCACCTAGCAACCTGCCCCGCAACCGCAACAACCACAGACCTCAAATACCCGCAGCCCAGCAAGATATAAAGCGCCTCGATATTACTCAACAGCACCAGATGCGCATCAACAACACCCAACGACAACAACGACGCCAACAAATCAAATAACCCCGTCACATACTGCGTCGGCAGATACGGGCGCAACGAGACCTCCGCCGCAGCGAGATACGACTCCAACAATGACGGCGAAGACGCCGCGTCGCGCGCTGACGAGGACAGTGCGGCTTTCGAGGCTCCGAGGACCTTGCGGAAGGGACTGCTTTCTGAGCCGGTGAGGCTGGTTATCGCGCTGCCACTTCCGCTGCCGTCGGCGCCCCAGATTACCAGGAGGATGGGGAAGAGCTTTGCGCAGCTGCTGACGAGTAGTGCGGTGCTGATTGCTGTTGGGCTTGCGGCTGTTGGTGGGGGGAGGGGTTGGATGTTTTGGATTGGGGCTGTGGATGTACGACGGAGTGGGGGAGGGGGACGTTGTGGGATTGTTGGTTGGGGTTGGGCTGTGGATGAGGGATCTGGAGGGGGGGTTGTGTCGTTGAGGAAGATGGGGGTTGATGTGAGTTTTGCGGCTGGTAGACCGAGTGAACTCAATTGCTGTGCTGCGTGGTTTGCTTGGGAGGATGGTGAGGGACGGATTGTTGGTGTTGGAGGGCCTGAGGGGAACGGGGTTGTATCGCCCGTTGTGGCTGTTGTGCTGGCTTGGGAGGTTGTGGATGTTTCTTGCGCGCCGTAGCGGTGGGATTGTGGGACTAGCATTGAGGCTAGGAGACGGACTGTGAGATGGTGCGCCAGCGTTGCGGCCGCGTTAAGCGTTAGGAAGAAGAGGTATTGGACGACGATTGGGGCGCGCGCGATGAAGGTTGTTGCGAGGGAGGGGTCTTTCTCGAGACGCGCCCAGGTTAAGTAGACATCGAAGAGGAGGAGGAGAATTCCGAGACGAACGATTGATCGCTAGGATTCGTGTAGTGTTAGTTCTATCGCGACTTCATGCTGTGATGGTCCTTGTTGCTGCTAGCTCACATCGAATCGATTATCATCGCGCCCAAGCCGATTGAACAGAAGATGTCGGTACACCTATAGTACTCGTTAGCATCTAGCTCCAATATCCTCGCTCCTGTTAGTCTTACCTGCGGCTTTATGAGCACGAGGTCGATAAAGATCACGACAAAGTCGTACTCGACATATTTGTCGGCGAATCGCTGGCAGCGTGGACACTGCGTCAGTCGGACGCCTTTGCCTTGGGATCGATCATCGGCACGACTGTAGGCGCTGTACAGGTGCGAGACCGGGTATGAGCATTCGATGCAGATGGGCATCGTGTCATGGCGCCATTGAGGAGAGCAAAAGAGAAGGAGAGATGTTGGTTTTGGTGGGCGGTCAACCTTGACGTCGCGACGATCGGCCAGGGGCCCAGAGCCAATGGAGGTGGGCCGGTGGGACACGATCTCAACCATGGAGAGACTAGTTATGGGGAAAACTACCTAGCATTTTTGAAGAGCACATACTAAACGGGGAAATAGCGAATTCAATCTAATGAAAGGAGTTTAGAGGATGCTTTTATTTGCCTGTCCCATCCACGACAGAACTATATACACGGGGATCATCATTCTATATGCAATCTGGTCGCCTCGCTCAATCAACGACGCTTTTATTATCAGCCCAACTGGGCTGAATATTCCGACAAACAGCCTCGTAATCCCGGAATCGCTGAGTATCCTCCACCAGTCCAGGCGTTGTCCAAAACATCGTCCAGTTACTATCAGACAATTTCCACGTCCCACTCGACCGTTCGAAGTACCACTTGTTCACAGGATTATCCTTGCGACTGCGCCAGCAAACCCCATTGGGGAAACACGTACGCACCATCGCATTGAAGACCACGTCTGCCACGCCGCCCGCGCCCTGGCTACGCTTCAGCACCGCGAATTTGTCCAGGTACGGTACCATTCGCGCGGCGCTGGCTTCGCTGCCGTCGTCGACTACGCCCGGTGGTGCTTCCCAGGTGAGGATTGCACCACCTTCGTACTCGCCTGCGATGATCAGACCGGCAATGCGGTCATTCACCCGCTCGAGGTAGTTTTTCACGTCGAGCTTGCGGTCAAAGGAATCTTCGATTAGGTGCACCAGTCGGGGGAGATCAATGGAGGGGTCGTTAAGTTGTAGGCGCGACTGGCCTGAAGCTGTCCACATCTGTACGCTTGGGTTTGGGAGGATTGTGAGAGGCATGCCGCGCTTGACAAAGGTAGAGTGCGAGGGGAGAGCGCTGATTGCGCTGGCACATCCGTTGATCGACGCTCGGCGGCCAGGAGGAAGAGATGATGACAGGAGTGGTTTGTCGGTAAGGAGGTTGTGGATGAGGGGATTGCGCTGGCGCCGCGTTCCTACGGCAGACATGTCTGGGACCGCCTCTTGGGGTGCGCGGGCGGAGTTGGCGACTTCTTGTGGGGAGGTGATGATGCCCGAGGAGGCAGATGGGAGCATGGCGAGGGCTTGTTGCGAGAGGCGGAGATTCTCCAGGTGGCCATCAAGAACATAGCCCATTGCCTTGGAGCCAGGGATCTTGATAGTCTTTCCAGGGAGAGGGGAGACTACCTCTTGGTCCACAAATTTGGAGAAGGGGTTGCTTTCCAAGAAAGCAGCCGCCGGTCCTTCATCTTTGCTGCGTGTGATTTTTCCTTCGCCGACGAGATCGCGCCGTGTATCGAGCAGCTCTTCCTCGATCTCGTCAAATTCTTGCTCCATATTAATAAAGACATGAGATGCCTGCGGGCCTTTGAAAGCCGGGATTCCTCCAAGTGGGTGTAGCAGAATCACCCGATCCAGAGAGACCTCCTTCTGTAGCTCACCAATCTTTTCTGCAGTCACAGCCGGGTCCTCGTCCGGGTCAGGGATAGTGGACAACCCGGCAAATTCCTTGGTGAGCGTCATAACGGCATCATTCGCCGATACCGATACAGCTCTGGGATTTTCATCCACGTAGGCAATTGGCGTGACGATCACGACATGTCCGTTCCGGAGCGGACGTAGTAGCCTTTGCCGAGACGTGACCGTTGGATGGCTCGGATCGCTTTCAGAGATCGATAGAGTCGAGTCGAGGCGGAACGATTTTGAATCCGGTTGCGCATCTACTGCATTTGCGATCCGGGTGGCCTGCTCAATAGCAACTTGTCGAATTGTGGCGGGATCTTCCAAGTTGCCCGGGTCGACTACCACACAGCACGCCATTCCCAGGCGTACGAGTTGTGAGAACGTCTTTGCCACACCGTTGAGAGTCTCATCATCAAGGGACTGCGGCGCGGTGACTTTGATCAAGGCCAAGTGTATTCTTTCCCATGATTCCTGTTCTCGGGGGACGGGCGTGGTGTTCTGCCGGAACACCGGAGTTTCATACACTGCTCGAGAGGCGCCATAGAAAGAGCCGAGGTTCACACCGGATGGTAATGATTCTTCTTGTACAGACTCCTTTGGAGGTTCGGGGGTGGGCTTAGGGTTTTCCTTTGGAGGATTGGCTTTGAAGCGAGATAAATATGATTTTGCTTCTCGTTTAGTCGACGCCGAGCTCAATAGACTGAGAAAGAACTCCTAGAAGGTTGAAATCCAACTGTTTAGCATATAGTTAAGCCATATCATCGATGCTGCACACCTTATCCAGCATTTTCTCCTTCGCACGACGCCCCAGACGGTCATAGTTCCGGCTCGAAGTCGAGAACTCGGTAATATGTTGGGCCCGCGCATCGATATGCAGCAATTGTGCCGGGCGCATCAGGGTAGGATCATTTGTCCGAGCGACATGTTGCTGTGGAACAACTCTCAGTTAGCTTTTCATGCAGCCCGATAGTGTGCATATATTTCTTATTCTCGCCGGGGGGGATTGCATACTAGCGAGGACTGAGCGGCCCGAGGCCAGTGCAGTGCTCGGGAGCCCATTGTCAGCCAGCAAGGGCTCTCACGGTCGAGGAAGAGCAGCCGAAGCTCGAGGGGGATGAATGAGCCAGCTCACCAGAGAGAACAAAAAAGAAGAGGAGGAATTTAAGTTGAGGCCCACGAAAATAACGGCGCATGACGCACCCGCGGTTAATGATTCACCGCCTGAACCTTCGGGTCGAGGGATTAACCATCTCCGCTCGTCTCTCGGCGACGTGAATTACTTAGTTCCCGGTCATCCCGGGGTTGGCTGATCTGATTAATCTAGGATGGAGAGATAGGATTTGTTATAAAATCCGCTCAGTTGTATTTTTGGTTAGTCAGTTTATCCATAGGTACTCCTATAGCTCTATGAAAGCACTCTACCAAACCGAGGAATCGAGCTTGGGCGGGGCAGCCCTATATTTCTCTGCTGATTTCGATTCGGCGCTAATTCCCGCTTTGGACCGTCTGGCCGGGGAACTATGGGTGTAAGTCTTAGTCTGCACTTATCAATCTCTACCGGGCGAACTAGTGTTAGGAACCTCAGTTTCGATAATTGTAGTATTATATATACACCAGCATCTACAGTACTTGCAATAGTATCGTATAGTTCCTCCCCAGCGGGGCAATCCTGCTGGTCGTGTGACCTGCAGCAGCTTGGACTTCCCCAAAACTCCTAAATCCTACTAAAGTGCCTTACCGCTTCTTCCACCATCCTGAACGCTCTACCCGAATATCCTAAAATCCTCTTACCTAGGTAGGTAGGTACGTCTAACTATGTAGCTTATATCATAAATCATATAGCTCGTTACTAAAGCGTTATCTATAGCCCTATTTACTAGTCTTATATATACTAACGTGGGTGATTTAGGAGATTGGCTATAAGATTCTATCTAGGTTTTGAGATTAGTCTTGAGATTAGCTATGAGACTTTGGATTATATTTAAATTTCAGCTTAAGTAATCTTATTAGTTGGTTGATCAAAATCTATTTTAATCGGTTGCCTATAGTAAAATCGCTTTTCTATAGGGGATAGAGGAAATGTATAGATTATATGAGGCAAAGAATAGCCGAAACCGCTAAGAGCTATGGAGAAGTGCCCTCTATCGTCCGCCGTAGATAGCATAGGGTAGCCATGTATATATTCGACATTTTTTTACGAGACTATGAAGGCTGGATGTGGAAGTACAGAAGTTGGACATCATGCCTTATATAATGACTAGCCTTGCCCAAATACTTTGGTTCTTTTTCTCCCTCTTAATAATCTTAACAATCATCAGGTAACACCCCACTAGCTTCGACTTTTTGCTTTAGAGTGGCTGGTGTTGCATGGCAGAGAATACCCCAGTGGAAATGCATATCCACTTTGCGCGGTAGGATCTAAAGACCCGGTCTCTTTAGATCTTTCAAAAATAATACCAGAACTTGTAAGGTGAATATAGTGTCGCAACTCCGGAGTAAAATATATAGAACATTTCCTGCCATCTACAGACAGACACATCACTACTGGCTTCGTTAAATCCACATGTTCACTACTAAACAGTGTAGGTTCCACAGGAAAACACAGCATGGAAAATGGCAGAAGCAAGGTAGTATCTATGCATTAGACTTACGAATACAATAATGGACATAGAGTGAGTATCAACCTTGGATAGCCCACTTAAAAAGTATCATTGCCTAGAATGGAGTACGTCACGTCAATGAGCATTACTCTTTGAATGTCTTACAGAACCAGTCTAAGCGTGAGCCTGCAGGTACATATAGCCAAGAGGTATGCTGACCGTGGCAGTCGATGGTAGGACAAAACGATCCCTAAAGCACTGCCTGCAGCCAATAGTCACAACCTGCAACCAGGGAGGAGATTCTAGAAGGCCAAGGGATCGACACCGACTCACTGGATCGGATCGAAAGAAATCCCCCGCTTATCCGCTCTAAGGCAGGCGGTGACATGGATCGTTTTGAGTGACTTTGGGGGTACTTGGGTGGTACTTGCAAGTTGGGCGGTTCCTAGTGGGAGAAAGATAGGAAGAACTCGGGCGGCTGCGGTACTTCCAGAGTCGCTCCCCATTCTCACCTCCCCGCCACTCACTCTACCCTATTTTTCGCTCTTCCTTTTTTCCCCTTCTCCCACAACTAGAACAGCAACAGGGCCTTGGTCAGAAAAATATACCCTTTCTGGTAAGTTTATGATTGATCCAGCTCGCCTCATCTCCTCTCCTTGCTTTCATTCCCCAGCCTCGTCCGGGCGCCGGTCAACCGGCCGCTACCCCTCCTTGCGTACCCGCACATTGCCCGTGTCGCAAATTCTTATCGCCCTGCCAGAACTTCCCCTAGTCCAATCGCAAAGACAAAGGGAACTGCAGACGAAAGGAACTGCCCTACGTGGAGGCTTTCTCGTCCGACCTTTTTCCCTTGTACTACTACCGTTTCGTCCGAAGTTCACTTGCATATCAACTAATCCCCACTGGTCTAGATTGCATCCCCCCCTCCAGTCTCCATCGACGCCACCTCGCCGGGTCCCCTTGCAAAAAAAAAATAATACAAGACGACTGTGCAAGTGCCGTTGGTCAAGCACGCGAATTCCTTTTCAACTTGCGACTACTACGATCCTTGTTGTGATCCACATCCCAACTCGCCCGTTTTCACCATGTCGGATCTCAACGAGCAACCATCGGAGTCGATGACCGGCTCGGATACCTCTGGCCTGAAGCCGTTGTCTAATGCCAACGATGACCTCCAGTCCATTTCCAACCCCAGCAATATTGACCTGGCCCGGGTTATGAATCGCGCCGGTATTGCGATGACAAATGGCGGATTCCCGCTCGACGATCTCGAGGATGAGGATGAGGTGGACGAGGATTACGTTGCAGTCGACCAGGAAGATGCGAACGACTACCCCTACTGGTTCCGCCGGCCCCCAACCCACCAGCGCACCAAGCTCGACGAGTTGCACCCGTTCGTCCAATTGCTCTCCGCATCCAACGTGGAGGACTGTGTTCAGGTGGAGAATGCGTTCCCCGAGCCGGAGCGCTGCTCGCGTGACAAGTTCATTTACCGCCTCACTCGCTGCCCGGAGCTGAGCTTGGGTATCTTCACACTGCCTGTCATCGATGAAAGCAAGCCCAAGCCTCGCGCAACTCTTGTTGGACACATCATCGCCACCCGGACATCGGAGCCCTTGGTGACCGACCGGGCTATGCGACTGCCTCAAGACTGGCAATCTAAGCGGTGGACGTTTGAGGATAACCAGGCCGTTGGCCACGAAGAGGGTGGCAGCACCATTGCTATTCACTCGCTGGCCGTGCTCCCCGAGCACCAAGGCAAGCAGGTCGGAAGCACCCTGCTGAAGTCATATATCCACCGTATCCGGGAGGCCCAGATTGCGGATCGGATTGCGATCATTGCGCATGACCACTTGGTTCCTTTCTATGAGTCGTTCGGTTTTGAGTCTCGTGGCCCTAGCAAGTGCCAATTCGGCGGAGGTGGTTGGGTGGATTTGGTATGTTGATAATCCCCTTGCACTGGCTGATATACATACATTTTGCTAACATGACTTACGTGCAGGTCCTGGAGTTTGGTAATGAGGAGATGAGCCAGTGATCCAGGCGGCCTTTTGTTTTGCATCTTTTTTTTTGGCGTGGACCGTGTGTGGCCTTTTTGCCGGTCTGCTGTTTCTTGACTGTTCTTCTGTTCTCATATCTACGTTTTTCTTCCCTTTTGGGGTTCTCTCTCTCATGTCCTCGTTACGCACGCTACGTCCGGTCATCGGTTTTGGTCTTCGGGTTTGAAAGAAACTGGAGTTTGTTTTGTCTTCTGGGATCGGGGATGGCCAGTCTGACGGATTATTCTCACGGAAAAGAGGCCTGGGCTTTCTCAAAAACTTGGGCCCATGGCGCTTATGTACCATAGTGGAAATGCGATGTACATGAGCATGCCTAGTCTCTCTTTCAACCATACAACATAATACAGAAAAAAAATTAGACTGACGAAAGACTAAACTACCGTAATAATCATTATAGTTCATCGTATCACATTATAATCCAATCTTCTTGCTTGTCTCGACTTATCAGGAACGAAGAAAAAGTGGCTCGGTTACCGCATCCAATCCTGGTCCCCGCATTTGCTGGCCGCCCGGCAGAAAAATGTCCGACAAACAATTTTTTCGTGGAGAAACTCAACTGGACCCCCCCCCCAACAACCTCCCACTTTAAGAGTCAATACACTTCTCAGTTTGACTCCTGTGGCCCATCATGAAGACGACGTGGAAGGATGTGCGTATCTTGAACCCTGCCATCCGGCGCCTCGACTCGAGAATTCCCAACTAATCAAGTTTTCACCGCTAGATTGCGCCTGTGCCTACCAGCCAGGAATTCCTGGACATTGTCCTGAGTCGCACTCAGAGACAACTGCCCACCCAGATTCGTGCTGGTTTCAAGATCAGCCGTATCAGAGGTATGATTCCTACCTATTCATTCCCAGTCGATCCAATCGGTTTTTGCAAGGAACGGGCGAAGGCAAAAAAAAACGTGGTCGGGGTTATCGATAAAGAAAAGTATCGCTGATCAAGTTTTTTTTTCGACGGCAGGTTTCTACACCCGTAAGGTCAAGTACACCCAGGAGACCTTCTGTGAAAAGTTCCAGGCCATCCTCGATGGATTCCCCCGTCTGCAGGATATTCATCCGTTCCGTAAGTTTTTCCTCCGACTCGATTGCCTCGCGACGTGGGGCCTAACATTCGACCAGACAAGGATTTGATGAACACTCTCTACGATGCCGACCACTTCCGCATTGCCCTTGGTCAGGTCTCGACCGCCAAGCACCTGATCGAATCCGTTTCCCGCGACTACGTCCGTCTGATCAAGTATGCGCAATCGCTTTTCCAGTGCAAGCAACTCAAGCGCGCTGCGCTCGGTCGCATGGCCACTATCTGCCGTCGCCTGAAGGATCCCCTGGTCTACCTGGAGCAGGTCCGCCAGCACTTGGGTCGTCTGCCCTCGATTGACCCCAACACCCGTACTCTCTTGATCTGCGGTTACCCCAATGTCGGCAAGTCCAGCTTCTTGCGTAGCATCACCCGCGCCGATGTCGATGTTCAGCCTTACGCCTTCACCACCAAGTCGCTGTTCGTCGGTCACTTCGACTACAAGTACCTGCGTTTCCAGGCTATCGATACCCCCGGTATTCTCGACCACCCTCTGGAGGAGATGAACACCATTGAAATGCAGTCGATCACTGCAGTTGCTCACTTGCGTTCTGCTATTCTGTACTTCATGGATCTGTCTGAGCAGTGTGGTTACTCTGTCACCGATCAGATCAAGCTTTTCCACAGCATCAAGCCCCTCTTTGCCAACAAGATTGTCTATATCGTTGTCAACAAGATTGATGTTCGCCGCCCCGAAGATCTGGACCCTGAGCAGCAGGCTGAACTGCAGGATATCCTCAAGTCCGGTGAGGTCGAGATGCTTCAGGTCTCTTGCACCACCACCGAGGGTGTCACTGCCGTCAAGAACGCTGCTTGCGACAAGCTGCTCGCCGAGCGTGTCTCTCAGAAGCTGAAGTCTGGCTCCAACTCTGCCGGTACCCCCGGTGGCCGCCTGGGCGATGTCCTTGCCCGTATTCACGTCGCTCAGCCCATGGGTGGTGTCCAGCGTGAGACCTTCATCCCCGAGGCTGTCAAGAACCTCCAGAAGTACGACAAGAATGACCCCAACCGCCGGAAGCTCGAACGCGATTTGGAGGAGGAGAACGGTGGTGCTGGTGTTTACAGCTTCGATATGCAGCGCGACTACACTCTGGCCGACTCCGACTGGAACCACGACAAGATTCCCGAGGTCTGGAACGGCAAGAACATCTACGACTTTGTGGACCCCGATATCGAGTCCAAGCTGGCTGCTCTGGAGGAAGAGGAGGAGAAGCTGGAGGCCGAGGGTTACTACGATTCGGACGAGAGCGTCGAGGATGCCGAGGACGCCGATACCCGCATGAAGGCAGACCTGATCCGCGAGAAGCGCACGCTCATGCGCAACGAGGCCAAGATGCGCAAGTCGCTCAAGAACCGTGCTCAGATCCCCCGTTCCGCCAAGGCCAAGAAGCTCTCAGAGATGGAGCGCGGTCTCGACGCTGCTGGTTACGATGTCGATGCTGCTGGCGACCGTGCCCGCTCTCAGAGCCAAGTCCGTGGTCGCACTCTTACCCGTGGCGATCGTGATGATGATGATGCCATGGACTTGGATGATCCTCACAAGGCCCTTGCCCGTGCCAAGAGCCGTGCCCGCAGCCAGGCCGCTACTGACCGTCGTAACGACGGTGTCGTTGATGAGACTGCTCGTTCCAAGGCTGACCGCCTGCACAAGTTGGGCCAGAAGAAGATGAACCGTATGGCCCGACAGGGTGAGGCTGATCGTCACACTACCGTTTCCCTGGCCAAGCACTTGGTATGTACACCCAACATGAGTTTTGACTTGATCATATCAATTATTTTGAAACATTTTGCTAATACATTCAATAGGTCGCCGGAAAGCGTGGTATTGGCAAGAACCAGCGCCGTTAAGGCATCCCCGCGTAATCATTGTCAAATTGGTTCCAGGTTCCATTTCTCCATACCGGGTGCACAATGGTGTTGGGCGTTGTTTTCTCTTTATTTCCCTTTTCTCTTTCTTTCCTTTGTCTCGTTGATTTGACACGAGGGGGGTTTTCCACACATTCCATACACTACTCGGTATCCACATGCTCGGTTGAATCGGGGCGTGGATCAGATGCAGGGTTTACCAGCTTATACGATTTGTGGGGGATTAGATTTTTGTTTGATTTATCTTTTCTTCCAGTCATTAGGACCAAAAGTTTTGGACTTGACATGATGAATGTTGCATATACCAATACAGATGAGATTTTTTGGTTATGATGGAACTACCTAGTCCTTGTCTTCGTAAGTCAGACTTAGGATGTGGGCCTGTAAGCTCATATTGCTTTCAGCCTTGTTTGCCCTGCTATTGTAGTTGGTATTCTTTGAGTACTTTCCTTCCTAAAGAGACATTGTTCGATTCCATCAATGTCGGAACAAAGGACAAAGGGAAGAATGCCTTTGAACTCATACAATGGAAATCATTCAATGGCACCGATACTTACTACTCGAATCCATGACCTTTCCAATTAATTATAGTATCGTCAAGAGCAACCTTGACAGCGAGGTATCTATAAAACACAGGTAAATTCCTACAATCACATCATCACAAACCACAGTGGTGAACTCCCAGTCCTACCTAAAAAGTAAAAAATCCCTACATCTAAAGATCTATATACCTAACCTCTCAAAATGCCCATCGACCGAACCCACTACGAACTCTGGCTGGCACAATGCACAACAAAAGCCCCAACCCAACCAACCCACTGGATAATCCTAATGGTGCACCCCGGCAACGACCGGTGTATCTGGTGCCACTCTGTAAACGAGTCCGGCCACGAAGGAGGCTACGAAATGCTAATCGAACCAAACAAGCGCGTTGACAGCTGGAGCTTTGAACACAAGTTCTTCCTTGGCGTGTTCCCTACCGCGCTAGGTGCCGTGGTGAGTCGGGAGGCATGCAAGGTTCCGCCGCAGAATTGTCAGTACTGGGTAGCGTATGTTGTTATGAGGCTTGGGAGGGTGGGGTTGGTTTCTGGGGATTTGTATGGGTGGTTGATTGGGGAGGTTAGGGAGAGATGGGGGGATGAGGGGCCGGGGGATTTGCGGTATTAACACAAGGACTTAGTGAGGGATTTATGTATATCCTTGTTGATTTTGGGTTTTGTTTGTGCTTTTTTCCGTGGGGGCGGGATTTGGCTAGGTTTGGTAGAAAGAGTCCGATTTCATTATCATTCTGAGTTTGGGGAGTTGCCGAATTTGATGCTGGAGATGGTAATCTTTGCCGCTTGAGATGGGACCCTTGCTATTTGTAGATTTGGATACCTTTTTGATGACGAGAAGCCACTTGGTGTCTGGAGACCTAAGTAGATTACGTTTTGAGTTCTGGTGATAGAGATTTTCAGGGGTTGGTTAGTCTTGCAGTTGACTGGATTTCGTATTAGAATCTCTCTTGCTCTATGGAGGTCTTGCTCTATGGAGGTCCAAGTGCATTGACGAGAAATAATGAATATCAAGCTGGTCGAAATATCCAACAGTCGTCTCGATTTAGCAAGACCAAAAGCCGCAGGGAGTGAAACATGGAAACCGTAGGGACAAATCGGACTGTCGGAGTATCTGTGACCGCTCGAAGAGTTTCCCCTAGTGGTTGCACAGACTGAATTTCCTGGTCCGGTGGGGGCATCGCACCCCGGATTCGCTCGACTACCCATCCAATCAAATCACTCGACACATAGTAAAGTTAGCTCGAACTTCTCCTCATTCCTCTCCGCTGCACTCGATTGGCTCGACTGCACAAGGCTGGGGTGGCGGTTACGAGTAACTTCGCCTAGCATGGATCCTTCGAACCGAGATCGCAGTGTTCGGGCCCATCGTGACCCCGAGTTTCCCATTCACCTCGTACTTATTCCCTTGGTCTGCTGTTTTCTCGGCCATCTAACCCTTCGCCGTTGCACGATGCGCCGCCCTGCGCGACAGAGATGGGCGTCTCCGCATATTTCGAGCTAAGCTGGTCGATTCTGAGCACCATCGGCTTGTTCCTGACCGTCATCGGGGTTTGGGCTATCCTCATTACTCGCGTGTCACCACTACATCTCGTGCCAATCGTCGTGTCTATCGCATGCGCTGTCGCAAATGGCCTCTGCTACTATGCTTTTTACGCCGAGTATCCGACAAGGCAGCGAGTCGTTGCCAGCGTCTTTGCCGATATATTCTGGCTGGTCGGTCCTCCCAATAACCACTAGTAGTTATGAAGCTACTTACTAACGCTCATGAACTAGATCCAAGAAGCCGGCCTCTCCTTCTATAGTTACCAAATCCTCGTCCACACCCTCAAAGACCGGGCCATCATCATTTTCCGCACTATCTTCTGGTCATTAATGACCTGCATCGTTGCAATCCGCATAGCCATCGCCGCCACACGCGCCGTCGAAATCGCCACAGGCGATCCCCTCCAACACCGCGTCGACTACCTCCACGTCGGCTACTTTACCGCCATCGCCCTAGTCGAAACCAGCAGCGCCGCATTCCTAATTCGCCTCCTCCGCGACGCCTACGGCATGTCACCCTGGAGCTCGCCAACTCAAGATCTCTTCCGACACTTACTACAATCAACCGAGATCCGACTTGCAAGCTTGTGCTGCATCGGTATCCTGCGTGCGGTTACGTTCTCGTTGCGTACTACGGCGCAGAGCGCTACGACTGTCGCGGGCGAGTTTGATCGGTTCGCGTATACGCTTGAGTGTCTTTTCCCGGTTATTTTTATTATTGATATTCTCGCGTCGAAGAGGTTCCGCTTTGATAATCATAGTCTTGTCTATTGTAGTGATCCGCCGGATGGGCATCCGGGTTGGGTTGGACATCGGACGAGGCGGCATTCGCGGTGGGCGGCTATGTCACCGGGGCATTCTTAGTTAAGTATTCGAATAGCCAGTTGTACGATATTGATGGATCAAAATGCAAAATAAAACTGTGTATAGCTAGCTCACTTTCATTCCATATGGGTTTGAGGAAATCGTCGTGATGACTCGACCCTATTGACCTCGACTACTCGGTCGTTTGGTCATGCGTCCTCCCGTTTACACCTGCATGGATTGCTTTGCAGGTTTGATGGCTCTTTCCAGGACCGACGCTTTGTTCTTTGTCTTGTAGACCTATTTAGGTCTGTCTCTTCTTCTTTTCCTTCTTCTTCTCTAGATCCATCTTCATTATAGTCTAGATAGAGACATTGATTCAGATTCCCCTTCTTTTCTGCTTCCTTTGCGCAGGTGTCGATGACACCATCACGTCGGTTCCGTTTCTGTGGTAGTTGTTTAGCCTGATCCCTGCATCCTATCCGGTATGTAGCATGGTAATTCTAAGCGCGAAGTCTAGGCTCCTCATCTAGAACCGAGCAGAAGCCGTAAATAGGAACGCATTTGGTCTTGTAATATTGGGACCTGTGATTTACTACATCCGGTTAGTTTTGCCGTTCCCGGACTAGCGCCCTAATACACCGTCATGTAAGCTCTCCCTCCATCGCTCCGACATAAAAGATAAGGCCTGCCCTCTCGACCTCAATTTCCTTCCCTCTCCTTCCCTTCAACTCCTCTATCTTACACTCATCGCCGCCCCTTTCTTCCATTCCGGCCCCCACCGACTATTACGCCTTGGCTTTCAGCCCGACGCACTGCCCCTTTCATTTAAACGGAGATACCGCTCGATCTAACGCCCAGCTCGTTCTGGCTCTTGAGCTAGAATGGTATTCGCACAGGAGCAGAACCACTGGGATAATCTAGCCCGCAGTCGCACCGTGTGATTTCGTATTAATACTCTTAATTATCCCCAGCGAGTGATTGTGTATAATGCTGCGAACATATCTAGGTCTCCCTCTGCCTATACGCCTTACTCGTCTCTAATTCCACAAGCCTTCTTCACATCTACAAAGTGCTAGCACACCATTAAGGCCGTATACCCCGCTCCGTCCGCCCTATCTAAGGTTACACTACACCGCCCCGGCATCACGGAATTACGCTCGGTTACCTAACCATAAATGCCTTCACGCCGAGGTTATCGTAATCCTCAGTCTCTCCGGTTCATCTACACCTAGTCGATAAATATTCGAAAGCATAGCCCGGTAATATAGGCTAATAGCAAAAATGCCATACACGCCCCTAACTTTAGTCGATGTTACGTCATGCGACTAATTCTAGACGGCGACTGCGAAAACCATACTACGATTATACTATAACCTCGCTAATAGAGAAACGGCCAAGAACAGGCTAATAAATTATATTAGTATGTATCGCAAAGGCATTAGCGAGGCGTATAGAGAATTATCGCTAGTGAACTATAGCCCGTGGTTGTGGACTATAAAACTAGCATAGTCTCGCGTCTATAGATACAATCACCTCTTATAGGATCTGGCCGAGATAGTCTACACTTAGTACACAATCGCCCGTGTATAGTAGGGCTTTAACTCTGCCTTAGGGGCGTATCCGTATCGTTTCGGAACCGAGGAAGACCGGACTATCTTAGCCGCTATTCGTGCTAGCCAGTTAGTGGTAGATAACGAGAGTTAACGAAGTGATAATAGTAACACTCCGTCATTTCACGATAATCATAAGACTTCACGGCGCCTATATCGAAACTCGGGAACGATCTCTAAACCTAACCTAAGGCATCCCCGGCGACTACGCTAGTACGCGCGCCAGCGTCCCTTTTTTTCGACCTACACGGTTTTTTCTACCGTCGTTCGTATTCCGGAGCTTTCATAGCCACTTTCGCCGAGTACGTATCGCCGCCGAAACCCCGTTGCCTTTATGATCGATTAGCAGAGAGATTAAGATAGACGGATAAGAAAACAGGGCTATATACCTAGAGTAGGAGGGATACACTGACTCGAGAAGATGGGGAAGCCTTTATCTACCCGTTAGTGCGTCCTGCCGTTTCGTCTTCAGCCCTATACTATAGAACGACTAGCAAGCAGAGCTCAATCGACTTAGTGGTGATAACTAGGTATAGACGATACGCAGACAGGTCGTTCCCTAGAAATAGCAACAGCACTTTACGGCGTGGCTATTAGATTAAGTGGATAAGCGCGCGGGTCATTCGCGCCGTAGTACCCTACACGGTACATTAGTCACAGAATCGACTAGTAGGTAGGTCTCATCCGATTACTATTATACCGGAGCAGCTTAAGGCTCCTCCGAGCGAGTCCACCTCAGCTTAGAAGTTAAACAAGACATGATTAGTCTAACGAGAGGTAAAAAGCCATCTATCTCGCACGCCGTCTTCGTGAAAAAAAAAATCCAATTTAGTCATTCTATCTCAACCAAGTACTTAGTTTTCCCTACATCATCCAAACGTAGTTATTTCTATCTTCTACTAGTTCTAGTCACTATGACCTCTTCTACAGAAAAAGCACACGAAACCTTATATAAGGGATCTCTTACAACCATAATTGATTTCGCTAACTTAATATTGTGAAGCTTTAATCCCCACTGGGTTATGCGAATGGCCTAAAGTGGTCATACGCGATTCCATCATTTCCCCCGAGTTAGGCACGCAGGCCAATCCTATCGTCATCGGCGATGATCTTGCTCCATTAGGCTCGGCTTCCAATCCCATCGTGATCTATGTTGGCGAGTGTTCGTGCCGTAATGGGACAGACCAGGTTGGTTTTGATGCCGACACTGAGATCATGACTACACTGGAATTCTGGGAGACGTTGATCGGCGGAGACTTCACCGTCCCTGCAGACGAAGGTGAAGCTGTTGTCCATCCGCCAATCAGATCGCTAGTCCGTGAGGACCCAGAAGACCTTCAATCGAAGAGCTATATGAAATAATTGTTTGATTTCTTATTTAATAGCTTCATTCAATCCGAAATTACACCTAGTTAGCGTGGCAGGTTACAGGACCACAAGCACTACTGGAAAACCAGCTTTTCACTACTACGTCGCCAAGATAATCCACAAAAACACCTAGGATAGATAAGAAAGTCTCCGTAGTATCATTCCGCCTAGCTAGTTACTTGTATTGGATTCTAATGTCATCATGGTTTTCTTGCCTGAGAAAAAGCCTATTTTAATGGAAGACTTGGCAGTAGAAAGGTACATAAAATAGTAATACTGACAAAGGGAACACACGGGAACGGTAACGATCATATAACATCGTGTAACGTGATGTGTGGAAATTACTAGCGCCCTTGGAACAGCCGCGCCACGCGACCTCCGTAAAGAGGGGATTGGCTGCTTTAAAGAAACATGACTTTCCTAGAAGTATTTCGGGGCCGCGTCGAACTAAGAATGTATATAGTACTTCGGGGAAAACGAGTAAGTATAGATATTATATCTCCACGTAGGCTGCCTCGACGTTAATTGCTATAGATAATGTTGTAGTGTAAAGGAAGCTTGATTTATTTTTTTTGATGGAATACATAAGGGTATATATACAACGTGAAGTCTAAGTTGATTTTTAATCAACTTAGTTCTTCTCATATATAGAGTAGGAATTATTTCCGATGTTGCGGCTTTATTCCTGAACAGTAAGTGCCTAGTGCGATAATAGATATAGGTCTAGGATTATAAAGCCTCTTGACGCTTCCTATAGGCTATATTATTCTAGGAAATTATGTCTCCGTAGGACTATACCGAATATAATTACGCTTAAGTTATCTATCTATAGAGAAAATACTTTACCGCTATTTATAGTGCTACTCTATCTGTGCTCTCTAAATCTATGTCTGATAAAAGTATATTATTATAACTTTAACTGAATGGCTTAGCACTCCTAAATACACGTTATGCTCTGATATCATGAGTCGCTATTTTAAACTAATCAAGCTTGGTTTAGCTCGGGGCCTAGCCACTTTGGAAATAGCTCTAGTGAGAAGAAAGTGTTTACGTAAGCCAGCCTCTAAGGCCATTCGTATTGCCGAACTCATCCGATCACTGGCTGTTGCCGCTTCGGCAGTCGGCACTTGGCACATGTGGGTATGGCAAGCACCAACGACGGACTCGGACAGGCCGGCTGTGAGGTCAGGCACCCTGGACAAGCTTGGCTGTTCCATCATGGGATTGATCATAAAATGCGACAATCATGCCACCCAAGATGCATAGTGCAGGAATAGATTCCCGAACCTCCAGATTCATTTACCATTCGAACAATTGAACAAACAAACTACAATCAAACCATAGCAATGCCTTCCGCAGTTGTCACCGGGGCATCTCAGGGCATTGGCCGGGCAATCGCTCTCCGACTCGCCGATGATGGCTTTGACATTGTTGTGAATGATCTCGCTTCTCAAACCGCCCTTCTCGAAGATCTTGCATCCGAGGTTAAAGCGAAACAACGAGGCTGTTTTGTCGTCACCGGAGATGTCACTGTTGAGACGGACGTACAAGAGATCGTCCTGAAAGCCGTGTCCAGCTTTGGGGAGCTCAATGTTATGGTAGCCAATGCTGGAGTCATCAAGATGAAGAGCTTACTCGGTCTCACAGGAAACGAGTTCGACAAGGTCCATGCAGTTAATGTAAGAGGTGTATTCTTATGCTATCAAGCGGCGGCGAAGCAGATGATCGCCCAGGGCAAAAGTGGACGCATCGTGGGAGCATGCTCCATCGCTGGCTACAGGCCCCAGCCCGATGCTCTGGCATATGCAGTGAGCAAGTGGGGTGTGAGGGGGCTGACGCAGGCTTCCGCCATTGAGCTTGCACCCTATGGAATCAATGTGAACGCCTATTGCCCTGGGATGGTCAAAACAGCGATGTGGGATGAGATCGATGCTGCGATTACTAAGAAGCATGGGGTTCCCCTTGGGTCTGCGTGGGACAAAGGGTCTAAGGAGCGGCCTGCAATGGGCAAAACACCGACGGCGGAAGATATTGCGGGCTGCGTGAGCTTTTTGGTAGGCAAAGACTCTCGGTTGATCACTGGCCAAAGTATCATTATAGATGGAGGCATCCAATTTTCATAGACCGGAGAATGGGATCGCTCGTGAGTCTACGGGAGTGGCTCTCCTAGCCTAGAGTCATCGGAGACTTAGATCAGAATGAAATGGAATACATACTATTGTTTGAAAACCGTACTGTTTAAACTTAAGACCCATGCACCCTCCATATACCGAATTGTCTACTACACTATCCCCCGCGAATCTGTAAATTCTCCAATCCCGCAGATTCAATAGCAAAGTTTACTTGCGCATGAAAGGCACGTAGTAACTGACCACGTGGTACCTTGGTTTGGTGTTCTGTCGGTGAAATATCATATGTTTCACCAGTTCAAGCCAGCTCCATTGGAATTTCAAATGGTATACAGACTCGTAGTGTACATGATGCAGGTCAAGTATTCTCGGTACAGTGCCTCTGTGGACCGAGGACAATAGCAGGGATTTGACCTGAAGCAAAAACTATTCATAGCCTTCTGGCCATTCCGACCAGCACCTGAAGATCTGCGATTCGGTAGTCGGCAGACTAGACCGGCGCTCGGTAGTCGGGTCATGCACCTCTCCGTTGACTTACGGATCTATCAGCGGCGGCCCGCAAGTAAATCAGTGGCCGTTTGACCGAGCACATGCCCCATCCAAATCATGAGATGGTCGTCTGTCCGAGGCATCCAAGGTGCGAACCACGCCCTATATCATAGCCTGTCGACAGCACTCAAAATGAACTACATCAGCCCCCTAACCCCATCTTTTCACCCACCACTTCTACTCCATACGCTTGCTGCAATATGTCCGCGAGATTAAGTCAAATGAAAGGGCATATATCTGCTCCTGAAAAACCGGGGGATGGCGAGACCACCACTTACAATATTACGGAGGCACCACTTGGGTCTACTCGCCACCTGCGCATAGTGGGAATCGGAGCTGGAATGAGTGGAATCAACATGATTCGCACTTTACGTCTCAATGTCAAGGACTATGACCACGTAGTCTATGAGAAGAACCCCGAGATCGGGGGAACATGGTTCGAGAACCGATACCCTGGGTGCAAGTGCGATGTCCCGTCTCATAACTACCAGTTCTCTTGGCGGCATAATCCTGAGTGGTCTGGGTTCTTCTCCACGGCTTCGGAGATTCAGGATTATTTGTGTCGTGTGTGTGACGAGGAAGGAATGCGTAGCGTTATCAGGACAAGCCACCAAGTCACTCGGGCACAGTGGAATGAGGCGACTGGGATGTGGAATCTGGAGGTGCATGATTTGGAGAAAGACACCAAATTTCATGACTCCTGTCATTTTTTGTTGGATGGCTCTGGAATTTTGAAGTAAGCCAATCTCTTCACTAATGGAAGACTGGTGGAGTATAAAATGTGCTGACATTTTAGCCACTGGAAATGGCCGGAGATTCCAGGCCTTCACAGTTTCCAAGGCCAATTGGTTCATAGTGCAGACTGGCCGTCGCACTTTAACTATGCCGACTTGACTGTGGCGGTCATTGGAAATGGCTCGTCGGGGGTACAGATACTGCCGGAGATGCAACGAGGTGAGCGAGCGCAGATTCTGCGTGCGGCGCAATACAGCTAACCCGTGATCACAGATGTCAAGCACTTAGTTCATTTTGTGCGGGAGCCCACCTGGGTCGTTCCGTCAAGACTCCAATTGCTAGCCCAAGGCGCTGGTGGAGGCGTCTTGAGCGAGGTGAGCATGGATGAGAACTCGGACTTTACAAAGGCCCAGATCGAACGATTTAAGTCAGATCCCGTCTTCTACAAAAAGTTTGTCAAAGCCGTTGAAGAGGTCGTCAATGGGAATTTTCCTCTGGTCAGTTGTTCCCTGTCTTGTATTCGAGGGGGAAACCTAAACGCTGACATTGGGGTAATAGACACTCAAAGACACGGAATTTGCCGCGACCTTGCAACAGAGGTCAGCCGAATACATGACAGATGCCCTTGAGGATGATAAGCGCCTATGCGATGCTTTAATCCCGGGTTTCTCACTGGGATGCCGCCGTCTCACGCCAGGCATTGGGTACCTACAAGCCTTGAAGAAGCCCAATGTGAGAGTAGTGACAGATCCAATTACTAGGATTACGCCCAAGGGTCTCGAAACTAAATCCGGCGAGCTCATACAAGTCGATGCAATTATCTGTGCTACAGGGTTCAACGTGTCTTTCTGTCCACGCTTCCCAATTATTGGGCCACAAGGAAATCTGCAGGATACATGGACACAGCAACTACCAAAGTCGTATATGTCCTGTGCGGTTCCAAGCTTTCCAAATTACTTCAGTGAGTTCCCGAAGCAATCAGCATAGAGTTTCTGGCCCTAAAGCACCACTATTAACGCCTTCGTTCGTCACCAGCTTTCCTCGGCCCCAATGCCCCCATTGGGCATGGTAGCGTGTTCACAATCACCGAACATATTGCCAAGTACTTGACTCGCATCATCAAGAAGTGCCAGACAGAGGGAATCAAAGCGATATCCCCCTCGCATGCTGCCGTTGATGAGCTATATGAGCACACCCAGAGATTTATGCCTCGAACGGCCTGGTCATCGAATTGTGTCTCATGGTTCAAGAATGGTACAGTGGACGGTCCGGTCACGGCCCTACACCCGGGTAGCAGAATACATTTCTTCCATATGCTGGAAGGATTTCGAGGCGAAGATTGGGACTACGTGTACTTCAACAAGAAGAATCGCTTCCAGTATCTTGGAAACGGATTTTCCACGAAGGAGGAAGGCAAGGAAGATTCGACCTGGTACTTGGATGAACCAGATAAACTATAAACTTGAATTTTGTCTTGGGACGACTAGACTCCATAGGAATTTGGCTACATATAACCATGGATTTCCATGGAGCACATGGAGATTTCTGTAACTATATAAAAACATTGCTTGAATCTCTTTTTGTATACATTACTTAGTTCCATATTCTATCAATTTGAATTACTATCAATCCATGAGTAGTTGAAACTTTGATTTATACCGGGATTTCTCACCCATAACTCAAATCGATTCTAGCGACGTGGACTCGGAGTGCCAAATTCAATACTGCACCGGGATAGTTTACATGGTAAAAAAGATAACAAAATACATTCCTGGGTGCTGAAGATTGGAATTTGTTCTTCGAACTCCGTACCATGTATCTTTGCAGAAGAAACCTCAGCCGGGAATGGGACAAGGAACATACACTGGCACAAGTGACGGCGGTGAACTGCCCTTCGATCCGAGTGACATTGATGATGATGGCAATATAACTATACTTTCTGCCCCAAGTAAACTAACTCAAGTATATCAGACAGCAGTAATCGGAGTCATGGTTTGTCATGTGGCTAAATGTTCCAGGCTACTTATGGTTATGGAGAGTGTGTCTCCTCCCCAAGCAGAGCTTGCTTGAAGTCTGAAAGGAACTTCCACTTTGTCTTGACGTCCCAGCCCTGGCGTAAAAAGTCATTGGCATATTTTGGGAAGAAATCCACAGTTCCTTTCAGATGGGAATCATGTGCGATAACCACGAAGATGTTTCCCTTAGCATCAGCCTCCTGCAGCTTCTCAATGGTCTCTTCAGCAATATCAGGATTAGAAAATATCATGCCAGGCCGTTTTTGCCCATATATGGGGATTTTGCTATCACCATTTCGAAGCATATGTTCAAAGATGGAGCCAGGGCAAGGCCCAGGAGAATCTGGTTCCAATGGATGCGGGCTTATCTTCGAGGGCAGTGGGAGCCATCTAGAGGGTCGCATTTCGGCGGAATGGTGGCAAGCATCAGCCCCCATTAGGATGAAGGACTCTGGGTCCGCGGTTGTCCGGGCTAGGGCACAGAGATGTCCGATGGTATGACCTGGTGCATCCAAGATATAGAAGCTCCTATCACCGAAATAGTCGATGGCATTAAAATTTCCCACTGTCGTCCTGTTCTCATCATTGGCAAAGTCGACCTCCTTGAGTTCTCTCCCAGTATAGTCCGATTCCAAGATAGGCGATCCGGGATTCGATGGATAGCCTGGAACAAAGGTTTCGCGAAATCCTGGTCCCACAATCAATGCGGTATTCGATGGGAAAGTGGACGGGTCTCCAACATGATCGTAGTGCCAGTGGCTCCAGATGATTCCCTCTATCGAACTGGGGTCAACCCCATCCTCTGCCAGCAACTGGCTGACTCCTTTCTCAACTGAAACCTTCGCGTCGTTCTCACTGAAATATTTCTGGATAATAGGAGGCAGGTTCTGGTAATCTGGTCTCAAGCCGAGGTCGAACAGCAGTCGGCGTCCACTGGGATGTTCGATCAGGAAAGAGAATGCAGGGCAGTCGAGGAATTCTGCGCCCTTGATGGTGGATTCAGTGAAATCATTTGGGACAATAATACGACTTGTCGTGTCAATGATCCGCACAGTGACCGTGCTTCGAGATAGTGGCAACTCCATAAATGAACGGTCGTTCGGGGCAAGAAAATGAAAGAAATAATTCTTAACTGAAGGTAGGGAGAACCTGCTAAATTTTACGCTTAATTATGAGTGTTCGAAACCTTTTTAAGTCTTCCGAAGGATACCTCCCCACTCTGAATTGACTGATAGAATTCACGCAGGTCTTAATTGTCGGCTATCGGCTTCCGTGGCATAGTAATTATGGCAATCCATACACATCTCGTATTACCATCATACAGGCTATATTTCACAGGTAATTACCACTACCTAACCTGTCTGATCACGGTCCGCAATAGCGACTCTGATGCAAGCTAAATTCCTTTAGATTATGGCATTCGGTAGGTGCACATTCTTACACGAGCCAGAATATCCGATGCCCAAGTCCCTAACCGGATTGTGGCGGCTCTCTAATATGACCATGAGATCCCAAATCCGCACATACCGAGGCCGTCTCGCAAATGAACAGATATTGATTTCCAAGTCTCATCAACGTAGACAGAAAAGGCGAGGAAGATCGATATTGTTTTACCGTGGTCCATCTGTGCCGAGTTTAGCTCTGGAACTGCCGCCTCGATGGCACAGTACCGAAGATATCTGATCAGCCATGTCGAGGGCCTTAGCGACCCCTCAATTCGGCAATCGGCCCTTCGGTCGGTGATTGTTCATGAATACATTATTCTCGTCTGAAAGATAAATTATCCACAGTGGCTATTATGCCCTGCGCAATGTGCGGGGTTAGAAGAGCCTCGGCCACAAGGGCCTTCAGCCAAGGGGCAGCAACCAAATTCCTCCACGTTACCAGATACATATGTACTAGCCGATACTGGTGCTATTAGATCTGTTCCCTCTCTCGGCAGATACAAGTGAGCGGCATTGGACTGCAGCGATTTTGATGTCTATATACGCAAGTCCCCGAAAGACCCGTCCCAACACGATACAGAAATTTCTCATTACTACTGCGGAAGATGTAAATCCACTACTTTAACTTCGGTACATAAGACACAACAAGACACGATGAAGTATTTAATTTATACGGATCCGTTCAGGTCTCGGAGGACTAGCTCGGGTCCCTACTAAGACTCTAGGCCACCTGGCACAAGAATATGTTGATTCTACAGGTAAATAAGCTGGAATTCCTAAGAAAATCGTTTACGTCATAGTAGGAACTTATTTATTGTAGAACAACGTCCAAGGTTACTATATAGCTTGTGTGTAGTACCTAGTAACTGCTAATACTATACTATCGAACTCCAAGTGAACCAGGTCGAGGTCCAGGACTGAATGACTCAACACTCTTACGGTCTTGATTATATTTATTAACCGAGCTTCACTGTTTCTATAGACAGTTATTCAAGTTGTCTTTTATGCCGGGAAGTATCAAGAACTGCTAATGTCGGCTATTGTGGAATTCTGCGGTATCGCCAAAAATACCGAGTACCGACTCCCCGACATTCCGGTGCTAAGAAAAGAAAGAATACCGCAGTTTAGTAAATACGTTGTAATGACGAGAAAGTCTATTTACTACCTTAATACGCTATTGAGGGATCTGACTAATATGTGATATAAATCCGGTAATCCTGTGAAGATGTTTCTGCGTCGCCTTAACCATCAATACTAAGGATATTCCCGATCAAACTGTCAGCAACAATGGAGCCTTATAAAGACACCGGCCCGCTTGACTGTAATGGGGAAATCGATACTACATCAATCCAAGGGAAGACAGCTATTATCACGGGAGGTAGGAGTCAAATCACTCCGTTCCACGTCTTGTATTGCTGAAAATCTGGTGCAAATGGAATTGGAGAAGGTTATGTGCGAGCTTTGGTTGGAGCAGGGCAAGTTGCAAACCCCTTGAATCATCCTCCCCTGTTAATTTGAGTCAAGGGCTTTCGTCATCATTGCCGATATTAACGAGGCGGGCGGGGTTGAACTCGCTTCGAAATTGCAACGGTATATGAAATCCCACTCACGGAACCATATAGAGCTGATTTTCCCATAGCACAAAGTTCGTCAAGTGCAACGTCACTCAGTGGTCAGATCAATTGAAGATGTTCAAGGAAGCCATCGAATTTTCGCTTAAGAAGAGAGTGGATATTGTTGTTGCCAATGCTGGAATATCTGGGGTTGACTCGGTTTTTGCGTTTGAGGGTAAGAAATTGTCATCTCAATAATCCAGTTTTGCAATATTGACACAAACGGACCATAGATCAGGAAGAGCTCGAGGAGCCGGCTCTGAAGATTGTGAACATCAACTTAATTGGAGTATTTTACACTATTAAGCTAGCTTTGCATTGCTTCAGACGCCAGCATGCGGCGCAGTTACAACCTATGCAGGATACACTCTTAGTGCTACAGGGATCTATGGGTGGTTATCTCGAGGCAGCAGCGACATTGGAATATTGTGCATCCAAGTTTGCTCTCCGCGGTTTGATGCGATGCCTAAGAAGGACCTCTTGGATGCATGGAACTCGTGTCAACTACATTGCTCCAGGGTAAGACAGGCAATTTCTGGATTGGAGTTGATGGTTAACTGTGAATAGATTCATCAAAACAAACTTAATGATCGACGAAGTAGCCCATACTCTTGCGTCTTCCGAAATTTTTCTATTCATCCACCATTTACATTTCCAATAAGCTCACATTTATCCGAAGAACCTGGAGAACTACCCTGCACGATAGTGATGGGGTATTGACAATGCCTAGAACTTTAATCCAAGAAAAGGGTGAGCTGATCCTCAGTAGTCCTAATTATACAGGAAGCGTGTCCTGTACACCTAAGACGTAGATAGTAAGAAGCTAGAGTGAACCTAAGACTTGAAATACCAGGTCGTCTGGTGATATTTGTCCAAGAATGACTGCAGCGGTACTTGTTTTGGGAAGCTGGTTTATCGTCCCCTTAACCTTACAGAATCAAGGTCCGAGGCTCCCATTATATACTACCATGGAAGCACAGGCCTGGCTAAGTGGAGGGATAAGGTGAGTTTGACTCAGACAGCAAAGAATCTGTCAACCTTCTGCCATGAATCATCTGGGACTCTCCTAGTCCTGGTTCTTGACGGCACTTCCAGACGGATAACATTCGTTCGGGTATTGCAGTGCCTGAACGGCCAAGCCCGCAGATAGGACCTCTAGTGTTTTTGAAAGACTATTGACAATACTTAGGACGTAGAGGACTCCTTATTTGTAGACCCGATGCGTTTAAGTTGGATGTAAAAACAAGTCCTGGGAGAGCTACCTGTGATATATATAATGTGGTGCGCTGGTCATACCTCATGAAAAGACCAGAATGAATATAGTCAAGGGTAAGTCAAGATCACGGACCCACGAAGTGATGTGCATGGCTTATGACGTGCAGTTCTCCATGTAATACTTAAACGGTTGATTCTGGACCTCCTACTGTATTTGTGTCCATGGCTTGTGCCAAGACAAACAAACGAAAACCTCATCGTCCACCAATTAAACAGGGTTTAGATGACTACCAGGGAAGACCTAGGAGCGCACATCAATGCTTTCAGCTATCATGCAACTTGCATTTTAGTTTTTGGTTCTGTGGGGTGATCCGTTAAGAGCGTGGTTAGAGCGTATAGGTCGTTATTGTTAGTGCAGCAGGTCAAAGAGAGCTATGATTTATTCTTCGGGGTCGAAGTCTTCAATCAAAAATGATATAATATATCAAGTATTGCTAAGATAGTGAGTGATGTGTCTTTCATTTGATACCCAGATATGATTGAGTATACTTGACGATCCGCTTCAAACGGAGTACAATATGTCTTGTTTGATGAATATATTCAGGTTTTAGACATATAGCTCTAAAAAGCCCTTCCCGTCATGATTTACTCCGTAGTGAGAATAATTTGTTTCGAGCATGCAATATACTCCTTACACTGTCGGTATCTGCCTTTATCGAGTACCACTCAAGGGCTCATGCCCTCGGATGACCTACATACGTAGTGTCAGACGTGCCTCAACTCTTAGCGAAAACGAAGAATAGGAACAGTCTCTAAAACTCGCACCATGATCCGTGATATCCGATACGAAACACGGCCGAGAGAACCAAGAAGTCTAGAGCCCTCGACCCTCCCTCACTTCAGGCAAACACCTGGTCACCGCAGTCCAGAAAAACTCTAGCATTGCATCACCAAGATAAGAGCTTTATCCATCATGATTGGGTGCAGAGAGATGCCGTGCAAGGAGCACCTCATCATACCATGGTTTAGGAAGGAGCGTTAGAGCTAGGGCCCACCATGTGCCCCTTTTTTGGATTTTCCTTGGTTAATTCTGATTTATTTTGGGTGGTGGTCTGATGGAGTCATGGTCGGTTGGCGTCAGAGATTTCCCTGCCGAGTTCACCGCAGATCACGGAAGGGGCTTGGGTGGAGTGGGGCGTGTGAAAATTGAGATTTTGGTTCCGTCGAGGATTTTCTTGCTGCTGGTCTCCACTTGCCTGGGAGATCCCGTGTTCGGCATGCCGAGTATGAGGATTTGATACGGTCGGGTTCTGGCATTTGGGCATGGAATTGAGAGCGGAAAATTAGATTAAAGGCACGAGAGATGTTGTATCTATAGAACTAAAAATTGTATAAGATTATTGGGAATTGTCTTGCGCAAGAGCTATCTTCTACCTGCTACCCGGCATCGTACATGAGATCCCGAGTCGGCTCGGTGTCGGCATGGCAGCACACAGGACTCGGTGTGCCGATTTGGGACAAGAGTGGACCCCGTTCAAGGCTCAACCGATCGCAAATCTCTGCGCGGGAGACGCCCGAGGGCTTGATGGCTCACCGATAGTGGGCCTGTCCACTTTTGAGCTGAGCAGCATGTCCGACCGGAGCATGCATTTAGTTCACCTTCTTATCAGTACAGTCTGGACGCACACGCCATATGGAAACTGGCCCAAAGCTGGTATATAAACGGGGCACATTCCCATATGATTTAGAAAATGATGGCACTACGTTAGATATTGCCTTGGAAATCTGCTAGAAGAGAGTATCCCTTTGCAAGAACTCATCAAGCCAAGCTTTTGTTGCTCGGCGATCGTCATCGATGCTGAGACCGGCTCGGGCGCCAGCCTTTTTCCAGCAGAATCCACGCTGCCCCACCAGGCGTGCAGTAAACAGATTTTTTCTTCTGCAATATTCATTATGTACCAGAACCACTACGTTTCAGTAGTAGCAGCCTTGGATGGCAAAACGCAGAATCTGTTCAGTCTTAGAGTAAAACTCTTTCCTTGTTATTCTATGTCTCCTGCAAGGAGCTACTATATAGCGGAAGAAGAGCCCAGCAAGTATAAAGTACAAGTTACAGTTCTATAAAAAGTTAACAGCCTTACTAGGAAGTACCTGGGCTGAACTATAGAAACTATGGCTTGCTCTTATTCATCTATGACGCGCCGTCGCTCGGTTTAGTTGCCCGTCGTACCATACTTTCTAAACTCAACAGGGCCAGAGGTGATTTCTTTTTCCGTCATCGATTGTAGCCGATCCCAACGTATCCACGGAGTCCGTCCGTCCTCATCCAGACACGTCCTTCTCATTCGCTGGACCTGACCCAGTTCTTACTGAATCGCGCAGTTTTCTAGAAGGTGGCGAGGAAGCTCGGCTATACTGCCAGGATGCTGGACACATTCCAATGATCGCGGGTTCTCCCTTGGCTGGTGACTGGCATGTTGCCCCTGAGACATTTTATGTCCTAAATATGTAAATAGCATCCGAGTGCAAATGCCGTTCTCCAATACGTAGTACCAATCTCGTTATACTTCAATTTTCCATACCAACTTGCTCGCATCAGCGATCAAAACTATAATTCCATGAACTGACCTTCGGTGTACACCTTATACTTTGAACTATCTACGGATAAAGTATAATGTAGTAGACAATCTCGAATAATCATAGAAAGGCATCGACCCATTTTGACCCCTCTTCTCGTCTCACGTGGACACTCCCATTTCGGCTTCGCGCCCTGAAGAGCTTCGAATCTCTCTTCTCCACCCTTTTTCTCCACCCCAAGAAACCCCTCCAAACAGTACGGAGAATGCCCTCTGCACTTGCCCATGGAGATAAATGGAGTCAAGCGTGAAATTTCCTCCGCCCCATCCCGGTAACGTGGGACTCGAGATCCGGGCCCCCATTGTGCCTGCCATGGTACCCCAAGGGGGAAGCCGATTCTCCGTTGCGATGGTCGTATTTATTTGACATCACTCTTCCCTCCTCCTGGCTCGTCTTCTTTTTCTTTTCTTCTTCATTCCTCTCTTAGACACCTTTTTACCCGGTATCTTCCACTACCTGGTCCGGTCTATTCATAATGGGTGTTGGAAACCTCATGTCCCGGATCAAGCCCGGTGCTGAGTCTCAGTTCTCCTCGCAGGCCCCTACTCCTGCTCGGGCTGACTCGACCGTGGAGAAGGATGAGGGTATCATCGATGATAGCCCTGTCAAGTACTTGACCTGGCGTTCGTTCATCCTGGGTCTGTGTGTCTCCATGGGTGGTTTCATCTTCGGTTACTCTACTGGTAAGTCTTGCGCTACATACCCCTGCCTCATCCACGGCACTGGATATCCAATCCAATCGATGTATGGTAAACTGACTCGGCCGTAGGTCAAATCTCGGGTTTCACCACCATGACCGACTTCAAGCAACGCTTCGCCGAGTACAACGCTGCCACCGGTGAATATGCCTTCAGCAACGTTCGCAACGGTCTCATTGTCGGCCTGGTATGTTTCATCAATCTATAGTTCCTCTCAATGGAATACCAATGACTAACAAACTGTCTTCTATAGCTCTCTATCGGAACCATGATTGGCGCCCTGGTGGCTGCCCCTATGGCTGATCGCATCGGCCGCAAGCTCTCCATCTCCTTCTGGGCTCTGATCAACATGGTCGGTATTATCGTTCAGATCGCCACCACCGACAAGTGGTATCAGATCGCTCTCGGCCGTTGGGTCATGGGTCTCGGTGTCGGTGCTCTGTCCAGCGTTGTCCCCATGTACCAGTCTGAGTCTGCTCCTCGCCAGGTCCGCGGTGCCATGGTCAGCGCTTTCCAGCTGTTCGTCGCCTTCGGTATCTTCATCTCCTACATCATCAACTTCGGTACTGAGCGTATCAACTCCACTGCCTCTTGGCGTATTACCATGGGCATTGGCTTTGCCTGGCCCCTCATCCTCGGTGTTGGCACCCTGTTCCTGCCCGAGTCGCCTCGTTACGCTTACCGTCACGGCCGTGTCGAGGAGGCTCGCGAGGTCATGGCCAAGCTCTACGGTGTTCCCCTCAACCACCGCGTCGTTGCCCAGGAGATGTCTGATATGAAGAGCAAGCTCGACGAGGAGCGTGCCGTCGGCAAGGCTCCCTGGCACGAGGTTCTCACTGGCCCCCGCATGTTCTACCGTACCATGCTCGGCATTGGTCTGCAGTCCCTGCAGCAGCTGACCGGCGCTAACTTCATCTTCTACTACGGTACCTCCATCTTCCAGGGTGTCGGTCTTTCCAACTCCTACGTCACCCAGATCATCCTCGGCGCTGTCAACTTCGGTATGACTCTGCCCGGTCTGTACATTGTCGAGCACTACGGACGCCGCAAGTGTCTCATGGCCGGTGCCGCCTGGTGCTTCGTTTGCTTCATGATCTGGGCCTCCGTCGGCCACGAGGTCCTCCACAGCAACCCTTCTTCCCACCCCGCCGGTGTCGCCATGATCGTCTTCACCTGCTTCTTCATTGTCGGCTTCGCCACCACCTGGGGCCCCATCGTCTGGGCTATCTGCGGTGAGATGTACCCCTTCCGCTACCGTGCTACCTGCATGGGAATCGCCACCGCCGCCAACTGGACCTGGAACTTCCTCATTTCCTTCTTCACCCCCTTCATCTCCAGCTCCATCGACTTCAGCTACGGCTACGTCTTCGCTGCCTGCTGCTTCGCCGCTATCTGGGTTGTCTTCTTCTTCGTCAACGAGACCCAGGGTCGCACCCTCGAGGAGGTCGACACCATGTACGTCCTGCACGTCAAGCCCTGGAAATCTGCCAGCTGGGTTCCCCCCGAGGGTATCGTTGCCGACCTGCACGCCCCTGTTGAGGCCGAGCCCAAGGAGGGTGGCGAGGCTCACCAGCACCACGACGAGCCCACTGAGATCGCCGAGCAGCAGTAGATCTGTTGTGAGCGGGATTTGTGCGGGGTTCGTTTGGTTTTTACTGCCAGCTTTGTCAAGTAAAAGTTAGGCCAACTGGCTATGGCCTTTTATGTATTTTTTAGTCTATGATTTTATCATGTGTATATTTCACTCACCTCTTTGCTGTGACATCCTAATCGGAGTCCAGTCTCAATGAATATGGCTTTTGAACCATAATTGCAACAACCATTTTTCTCTCTCCAACATTTTCTCCCTCAAACACTTTAAATAATTCAACTGGTTTCTTCTGTCGCCTCCCATATACCATGACCTTTCAAATACCCACGAGCAGGTATGCATCCACAGGGTCAATTTACGGCGGGCTTTGGCGAGGCATATGATCAATTCCAGCACGTTGAGTCCCGTGCTTGTCTTCGAAATAATCAATGATTCTCATGATTTCTTTATAAATAGTTTATTTGTAACAATATGAACTGAAATCAATCAACAAGATACTATTCCTTTATATGAAGTAAACCCAATACCATCAAGGCATATGCTCCCATCTTCTAACCCAGTATGTACAAAAAGCCACCTTCTACAATCACTGATTCTCAAACTTCAAACCAGCAGCCTTCCTGGCCGCACCATAAACAGCAGCAATATCACCCTTCTCCCCCTTCTCAGCCTTAACCTCCTGCAAAAAGTGATCCGTCACCTCCACATTGCGCATACGCTGACCACCCTCCTTGGCAATATTAGACGCATGTCTCAAATCCTTGCGCGCAAGATCAACCGCAAACAACGGCTCCTCCCGCTGATAATAATCTCCACTAATCATCCGATCCGCATACTTGGCAAACGGCCCCGGGTTAAACAGCTCCAGCCACTGCCGGAACGGACCCGTTCCCAGACCCGTTGCGTCCGCGGCGGTGAGAGACTCGGCCAGCACGCCGACGGTGTTGAGGATGAATGTGTTGCCGAGGACTTTGAGGGTGGACGCGCGGCCGACGTCGATGTCTGCGCCTGTACCGGAAGACAGATCAATTGTGGCCTTTGCCACGACACCCTCGAAGAAGGGCTTGGCCTTGGCGATGGCGGATTGTTTGCCGGCCGGCACGACGATCATTTGACCAGCGTCGGCCATGTTGGGGGCGCCGAAGACGGGGCATGCGACGAAGGAGGCGCCGCGGGCTTCGTAGGCGGCTTCCGTGCGGCGGGAGGTATCCGGGTGAACGGTGGAGCAGTCGACGAAGGTCTTTGTTGAGAGGTCGGTTTCCTTGTCGGAGAGGATGGTCTCGGTGATGGAGTCGATGGCGGGGTCATCGCCGACGCAGGTGAAGATTAGATCGGAGGCTTTGACGGCTTCGGTGAGGGAGGTTGCGACGGTGACGTTGCCGCCGAGTTTCTCGGCGTGGGCGGTGGCGCGCGAGGTGGTGCGGTTGAAGAGGATGAGGCTGGATTGGGGTCCCTTTTGAGCGATGTTGCTGCTCATGCCCTGTGGTTTGGTCCGTCAGCTTGTGGTTGCGATTTGTTGATGGGGTGTGTATAACTCACCCGGCCGATGTTGCCGAGGCCAATCCATGCTACACGAATGCCAGCCATGATGTGAGTATCTTTCAAAGATGTTTCAAGAGGTGTTTAGATGTGAAGAAGAGAAATTCGGCGGGCAATGGTTCTTGAAGTCGGAGCTTCGTGGGGCAGTTGTGGTACAACGTGGGGTAAAGACGAGGATCAGCTCCGTGGGGCTCAGTTCTTATCCGCTTCCGGTCCGATGAGCTTGGGATTCTTGTTGTACGGCTTCAATTGACCGGGGGTCGCCTTATTTATACTTCCCGTGTACGAAAATTGAAGCTATTGACAAAGCTCGTAGCTTCGGCGTCATGTTTCGCTCTCGGGGTACAATTAGGGCGAAAGTGCTTTAGTCTCTAAGCCGTGAGTCACTAAGGCCGAAGGGCCGAGATTGCAAGGCTGCAGATTCCGATGGAGACGGTCTGGACTTGAATTGTATAGGCGAAGAGAATTATGAGCCGAAATAATACCTGAGTCATTGATTATTGCAACGATGCGACAAGAATGCAGTTTTCTATGAATTTGCCGCGGTCGCGCTTAGGGTCACTAATCGCAGGATGGCCGTTGACATGGATGTCCTTCGGACCTCTCGTTAGGGCGAGTCACATATAACCAGAAGATCCACTGTTGCGAAACGAAGTATTCGCCAGTTAACAATCCATTCTCCTAGTCCTTAGTATACATCAAGACCCGAATTCTACAACTTGGCCTTTTCAACTATGGTCACATCCTGGAACGGAATTCCCAAGTACTGCCACATAAACGCGAACCTGTATACCGTTTAGTACAAACCGCCAAGGCAATAAACACCTTAAACAAACTCACCGATCACTTCCAAAGAAAGGCTCTTCCTTGCCCTCCTTATTTCGTACCCAGAACCACGGCGCTCCATACGCGCCCTGATCAAGCGCCTTTTGCGTGTTAGCGGTCAGGGCTTCTTTGTACTCGGGGCTCTTGGCGGATTCCAGGATATCTTTGATTTCCTGGTCGGAATAGTTGTGAGACTTCAGGAGCTCTGCTAGCTTCTCGGGCTTGCTGATGTCGATATTTTTGTGGTACATCCATTCCCATAGCGAGAGGAAGGTGGTTTCATAGCGCTCTTGGGGGTAGTGGCGCTTGATGTAGATCATGCAGCGTTGTGGCTGGAATTGGTCAGTATGGAATCGACCAGAACAAAAGTGAATAGAAATGATGGCCGAGTCTAAGATACTGACCATAATTGACAAGATTGGGAAAAAGTCAGGCGTCTTGATCTGTGGAACGCCAAAGTACTTGCAAGCCCGTTCGGAGTCGAACTTGGAATAGGAAGCCTTGGCTGGCAGAGTCCATGGGGGCTTGTTTCCTAAATGTCACGTATAAGCGGTTTGTTCAACGAAAACTTCTCGCATATCGCTCAAAATCAGACGTACCAGAGCCAACATTGATACCGCCCAAGAAGACAGGGTGCAATCTATCTACAAGTTAGCACTCGCACCAAGATAATCTAAGGTCAACAGGCACACTTACTCAACCTCAACTCCATGCGACCGGAGCGCATCCCGATTCCGCCTCAAATACAGCGTCGCATAGTACGAATAAGGCGACACTGGCGTTTAATTAGCGAATGAACGACCCGTTAGATTCGGGATGCGCCTTGAAGTTAATTCCCACTTCTGTGGGGTTGGCTGGGGGAGGAAAGGGGGACCATACCGCAATCAATGTACGCGTCTATCTTGCCAGCCATGGTGATGATGTATGGTTAGAATATCAACAAAGATGTCGTGATGAGCTGATCACTTGCGCATCGTAGGAGGAAGAGCGTGGTTGTATATACACTGGAGGAGAAGCTGGGGAGAGCTGGTGGCCCGAGGTGGAGAGGGACCGAGGCTCTTGTGGGGTTGATGAGTGATCACGATTTTCGGGTGGTGATCAATGAACCTCCACTATTGGACTACTTTATTTGTATGGAATAAGAAGAACTCTTAGGTTACCTATAGTAATGCTAGTGTGTAAAGGAGGACCCAGGTTGTTCGTACGAAGCTGAAAAGCTCCTCAGTAATGAACAAAGTGCTATCCATATGACTGTTTATTCAAAGTTCCACTTAGAAAATGCAAATTTGCGAAGCGTTAGATGGTACTTCATTCAAAATCAGTGGAGATTTCTGGTAAGAGCACGCCCACTCGGGAGGATACACCTGGCATTCATGCATCCCAAGGTTTCACCATATTTATACATGTAATATATTACAGTGAGTGTATTTTTCAGGTCGAGTGGTAATTCAAGGTATCCGAACAGCGATATATGGTACATCTGCATCACTCGATGGAGGAGAAATTTCGATGTTTCACTTACTTTCTACCTTATAGCAAGCACTCACCATTTTCTGGAAGAAGAAATAATTTGCAAGTCAAAAATTGAGTAAAAATTGAAGTCGTTCTTTGCATTTTATCGTGTGTTTTGGGAGTGCCAGGAATGAATGCTGGCGGACTAAGGTATCACGTGATTCGCCGACTGTGTTGATCGCGCCCCACGAGTCCCGCCAACAGACCAATCCCGTCCTCCACATCTTGTCCCGACCCAGCCCTCACTCATCACCATGTTACCACTTTTCTTGCAGAGCAGCTATTCTTGCTACAAAGCTGATACCAAAATATTTGCGACATAGCTGCTGGAGACTGCCAACAAATGTGGTTATCAACCGCCTAGCCTGAGTTCCGCGGGCCCTCCAGCAAAGCAGGGCAAAAACAAGAGCAAAAACAAAAACAAAATGAAGAGCGGAGACGGAAAATAGGATGTCTCAGAGGAGGACACAGTCCAGTTTACTGTGACTGTCAAGGATCTTCAGAACCTTGCCGAGGTCGTCGCTGGCTCTGCTCTCACTGTGCCCCAGTCCATTCTCGCCATCGCGAAACGAGCGATCAAACTCAGAAAAACCGTCACTTCCTGGTTCTTGGGACACGGCGATTCTGAGAATAACAAACGGCACACTCATTTTATCACTGTTCTCGAGCAAATTTGCGAGACCTTGGAGTGGAAGACCAACGGAGCTTCGGAATCTGACGCCAAGCAATCAACTTCAACATCTGGAGCTGAACGTGACGATGCAGATACCTCCGAGTTCATGAATAGATTTGCTGTTCTCACCGTCGAGGAGCCACGGGAATTCGCGCAGACAGAGCCGACTTATGCCGGTACAAAGAAAATCGTGAAGGTAGACATCGATGAGGAAGATGACCAGGCGGAGTCGTATCCTGGTCAATCCTTCTTCAAGACGCTCTGCCTGTTCCGGGATCTACAGAACATGCGGAAATTCATCACCCAAACTTGGTCGGAGTATCGAGAGAGGAAAATAGATCTGATGAATGCCTCTATTGTGACTGACAGTGCCTTACAGCTCGCAAAGCATCTCGCGGACAAGGTGGAAGCTGAGTGGCATACATCCGGGTTATTGAAAAGCGATGACGTCCAGGTACTTACAATCCAAAAGCAAACAGAGAGCGGATGTCTGTTGCTCAGAAGCTCAACGAAGACAAAACTATCTTCCTTTCACTGTTACCTGAGTTCTGCACGGCCAATACCTTCCGAGTCGAGATTCCTGCCCAGGATATGGTTACCCGAGGGCTTGTTGAATTTGCCAAGACAAAAAAGGTTCCTCTATGGCTTTCCTTTGCCTCCCAGATCTTCCTCGACGTCCATCACACCATGCGATACGGTCCTTTAGGTGCATTAGAAGACCTTCGGATGTCTGGACTCCGCATAGAGAAGACTGTGAAAGATTACATGCAACTAACAAAGTCTCACCCTCAGCCTCAATTCTGGCCAAAAATGGGTGATGCCGAACTTCAAGCTATTGGAATGGTTGTCAAGTTATGGATCATAGAAGACGAGTTCCTCGAGATGCGAGCACGTTCTGCTAGCTTCGGGGGCCTCCCTGCCCCCGACAAGCATGCACTTTTCTCGGGGCATTCTATTTTCTGTGGCTTGATCCTATTTCACCTTCATATGCGGCTGCAGTCTATTGGCAAACAGCTTGTCACGCAAGGGTATGACGTCCAGCAGCTAGCTTTCTTACACAACCTTGTCATTCAATCTCCAATGTACAAGAACGTCAAATGGCCTGACATGGATACCTTCGTCAAGATCCACGGTGGGTCTCACATCTTTATTGGTTCGCGGCCAAAAAAACGCTAGCGAATCTTTGAACAGGCTTGAGTTGACCGCAGGATTCTCATCTGCTACCCGTTTTACCCGTGATTCACGGAAAAAAGTAGCTCACAAGCCCAGTGGCAAAACTACCCGATTGATCGAGTCTACCACCGAAGTCGCGAACCTGTTCTGGGCCTAATATGTGGATGGTGTTACGCAGGACGCCGGGATTGGAAACATTGACCGGGTCCTGGACGAGCTTTTCAAAAAGTCGAATCTGGAGAACTGCAGCAAGAAGCGCCATCGATCCAAGCGAAAATCTATCGCCTCTCGACAAGGGTTCAATTTCCACAACGTGAGTGCGTTGCAGCTTCTCGCGTTCTTGAAGACCAAGCTGTTTTAAGAGGAACCTGCCATTATGTTCAACTACATCGGCATGCACCAACGCTCCATCGAGTTACTCCGCCTGATCCGAGTGAAGGAGCACGACAGGTTTGTCCAATGCTTCGCCGCGGGGTATATGCCTAATGAAACATTAATACCCTATATTGTGGTCTTGATCCATCAGCTTGCGCAAGCGGCGGCTGAGAGTGCAAGCGAAATGCGACTATCTTCTGAAGGTGCTAGATCGTCGCGAGCGCTGGCGACGTCATGCGGGATTATTTGCGGAAGAACGGAGGTGTCGCATGCAAAGAGCTAAGGGTTTTCTGCAAAAACAAGAAGCCAATTCACGATGATCCTGATTACGACAAAGGTAAAGAGGGGGATGAGCCTTTTTATTCTTGGCCGAACGTTGAAGATATCCTCGACCCTAAGCTTGTGGCCTCGCTCCAGACCGGGATTCCGATAGCTTAGGCTACAAGACCGCGTGTTGGTTGCACTACGACAACTGTGCAGAAGGGTGAGGATTTCGCTCTAACTTTGACTTTAGTGGTCACAGCAATTTCGGAATTTCCCACGCCCTTGTGCAATTCTTTTAGTAGGCGGAGCAGAGGAATTCTCTGCGTAATACGTAAAAGCTAACAAATTATTATTCATAGAAAACTATCCTCGGGGAATCACTCATGACGATGACCGCTGATAGCAGACTGGCGAGTGTTCACCAAGTCCAGATCATATGGATTTTCCTCATATTGAGTCGCCGTAGCAGTCCGACGCAATGACCTTCCAGACTGGCGAGATGCCCGTGACGCAAACCGTCCCAGGGTAATGCGCGAGGGAACAGTTGACAAACTCTCAGTATCGCTGCTGTCATCCGAGATATCCTCAGAAACCTCGTTCTTCTCCGTCTCGTTCTGTGCAGTACTTTCCTCGCGGCGAATCTCGGCTTGGTTCTTCTCAGCAAGACGGCGCATGAAGGCGTCTGCCTCTGCGGCGTAAGTGCAGCGCTGACGAATCTGAGAACCGTATTTGTAGAAAATGAATGGGAATGGCACGCAGGCCAACGACAAGAACGCCGGAATAGACGATGCCCAGTGGATACCCAGGTTTTGGTACATGTAGGTGGTGAACAAGGGAAAGGCCATGCCGAATAGCGATCGAAGAGCCGAGTTCGCAGCGAGTACTGAGGCAGCATAAATCGTGTACGAGTCAATCAGATAGTTGAACACACTCAAGAAGACGAGCACCATGCCAAAGCCAAATGGAGCGCCGGCAGCGATGGACGCCATCCAGTGGATACTAGGATAGTTGGTCCAAGCGAACCAAAAGAGACCGATAGGGAGGGCGATACCACCGACCATACTCGGGGGCAATCGTACCTCTGGTGGGAGGCGGTCGGTGGTCTCACTGCACTTCTTTGCGTATCGCATGTTTTCGGGGAAGGTGTATGCCACAGCGATGACCATGCCGACGAGGATACCCAGGAAGGCGAGGCCACCGATACCTTCGCTCCAGCCGCGAACCTGTTGAAAGACAATGGGGTATGCGGCAAATAGCATATATAGCGTCCCGTAGATGATAGACATATAGATAGAGAACAGCAAGACGATAGGCTCCCGGAATAGCAAGACCCAAGGGCGAGAGAGAGCTGTTTTCAGGGTCTTGCCCATCGGAATAGGACCGCGCTCGATATCAAGCTTGCTGCGGTAGACTTTGCCCGTGATTTCAGACAACTTGGCTGCCCGGCGACGCAATAAGACCGGTGCGTATGTCTCTGGCAAGAGGAAGATGATGCACAGCCAGAGGACGCCGGAGAAGGCAGCAAGGAATCCTTCGACCCAGCGCCAGCCAGCTCCAGTAGCTAGGAAACCACCGATGATAGGACCGATGGTAGGACCTAAGAAGGGCGCTGCGGCGAAGAAGCTAATAGCAATACCACGCTGCGAGGCAGTGAACATATCGGCAATGGTACCACCGGCATTACCAAATGGAGACGAACCAAAACATCCGGCGAGGAATCGCAAGATGATCAAAGTCTGGATATTGGTCGCCCCAGCAGCGCCAGCGTTGAACGCTGTCAAGAAGGTGAAACTGATTGTGAAGATATGGCGACGACCGAAGATCTCACTGAGCGGTGCCCAAATCAATGGTCCAATCGCGAATCCAAGCACGAAGAGCGACACGCCCAGGATGGCGATCTCTTCTTCCACCTTGAAGTCGGCGACAATTTGGCCCAGACCTCCAGAGTATGCTGATGAAACGAGGGCAACAGCTAGTGTGACGAATGAGACGAGGAATGTAATAGCCCATTTCTTCACGGCTGAGAAGTTCATCGGGTTGCGAGGATCGCGCGGTAGCCAGGTAACGGCATAGGGATCCTCTTGTGTGCCAGATCCTGGATATGGAAACGAAGCCACTTCCTCCGTGATGACTTTCTGGTCAAAAACTAGACGCCAGAAGGGGATTTTAGAAGGCCGTGGGGTCTCGCCCCCAGCTTGGACGGTGGCCATTATCGAATAGGCTCTCGCGATGCTTTCCAGACGAGAAGAATTCACGTCAACGAATATAGTTAGATCAGCACTTTTCCATGAGTATATTGGCAATATCAATGCAGATCAGTCGATTCACGAAATGGAATGAAGAAAATTCCATCATGTCGATAGAATCATCATCAAAATCCAAGTGACCCACTTTGATACCCGGGAGCCTCGGCTCATTCCCAGTCGGGTTAATGCTATCCAGGCACAGATTTCCAAGCCACCCCTCTCATTGGCTTGTTTCTGGTTATTCGGCATCCAGTGCCGATTGCAAAGCGGAGTGGACCGTTATTGTCGCCGGCACAGAGTTTTTCAGTGGGCCATCGTTGGGCGTGCATTTATCCGACCCAAGGATTCGGCCCGAACGCCACTTGCGACCAGAAGCTTGAATGGACACGGCTTCCCGAGAAGACTATCTATGCGGAAATTTTAACATGACAGGGAATAGATGGTCCTTTAAAGTCAAGGCACTTTCGCTGTCGTAAATATTGAAGTTGAATGCTCGGCCGGGGTAATCGGCATGGCTGTGGATTCAAGCGGAGGCGTGGAGTACATGCAGCGAGAGCCGAACCCGATTTGTTGTTCCCAATTGGGTGGCTCACGTTGGCTCTGTTCTCTTTTAAACAACTATATGCGCTGTATAGAGCTTATCCAAGTGTTGTCTTGTTAATAGGTGTGGTTACAGTAGATTCTAGTTGCAGTGTAGGACCTAGGGCATAAGAGGACTGAGAGGGAAATCATTTAGTTAAAACTACGATGGCAAACATTTAGAGTGTAGAGGAGTTTTCATTATATTTTGAAGAGAATAGATTGAACGTGATCCTAAAATATGGGGGAAGACAGTATTCGATTTTGATTTGAATCGCCACACCCGAAGACCGAAAGTAGTGGAAGGTAAAAGACCATTCAACTTATCATTAGGTAGTGGGTTGAGTGATTGAGAGTTGGTTGGTCAATGGTCGGGCCATCGTGGGCTGAAGGTGTGGTTGTGGTTGGGTTGATGTCTTTCTTGTTCTTGTGACCTGGAAGATAACGTCAGTACTAGTTTCAGGAGATTCATTAGGGCGACGAACCTTTCCCGGTGGGTAGAACATTGAGAAGGCTGACAGTGATTGAAGGTCAATGTGTCAAGCAGTGAGTAGAATAGAAGAGCGAAGCTTTGTTGAATAACAATGATTGAAGATCAATGTGTCACAGAGTTGGAGGGAAGAATGATGAAGCTTCGTCGAATGGCAGTGATTGAAGGTCAATGTGCCAGTGTGGTTGGATTGATAGATTCTCCTTTGAATTTGTCCTGACACGCAAACTGGGGTTTTCCAGCTACGTGACGCCTATCCAAAAGAGAGTCGAGTCAATCTGCGGAAGGGTTCGATCGGAGTGTTCATCGGTAGGAGTGGTCATCGGTACGGCAAGGAGATCGAGTATTTGGTAGACTGGTTGAACTCCCTCTTGAATTTGTCCTGACACGCAAACTGGCTGTTCAGCTACGTGATGCCTGTTCAAGAAAGAGTCAAGTCAAATCACCGGAGGGTTTGAATCGGAAGGAGGATCATCGGTACGGCGAGGTGGTGGGTGTTGGTAGACTGGTTAAGCTCCCTCTTGGATTTGTCCTGACACGCAAACTGGAGTTTCCAGCTACGTGACGCCTGTCCAAAAGAGTGTTCAACCAAGTCACTGGGTGTGTTCGATCGAAGCGTTCATCGGTAGGAGCGGTCATCGGTACGGCAAGGGGGGTGGGTGGAAGTCGGTGGTCTGGTTCAATCCTCTCTTGGATTTGTCCTGACACGCAAACTGGGGGTTTCCAGCTACGTGATGCCTGTCCAAAAGAGAATCAATCTAGACCACATGTGGATGGTATGTCGAAGGAACGGGAACGAGATCGTCGAGAGAAGGCGAGCGAAATTTTGGTTGAAGGTAGTTGTAGGAAGTGGTACATTTAACCGAGAACCATTTGAATTTGTCCTGACATGCAAACTGGGAATCCAGCTACATGACGCCTGTTCAAATGGACTCGAGTCAAAGTCCAAACGAGTTTTTCTGAGGGTGGAAGGTATGGATGGAAGGGTAGGAGGTAGAGACTTGATCGAAATCTTCGTTGAATTTGTCCTGACACGCAACCCATTTTTGTTTTGTTTTGTTTTTGTTTCTTGATATTTTCGTGTTTTTGTTTGATTTGGTTTTTGTTGTCTTTTTGTGGTGATGCCCTTCTTTTTTTGGTTTGTGTTTGGTTTGTCTAGTTGCGTGATGCCTGTTCAACGGAGGAATTGAGTCAAGTCTTGGTATGAATGTGGCCAGAGGGGCAGAGGCCATGAAATTGTAGGTGTTGTCAAAATATTGACTGAGAGTCAAGTTGCAAATGGTTGAATGATTTTACCAAATTCTTTCTGAATTTGTCCTGGCATGCAAACTGGAAGTCCAGCTACATGATGCCTGTTCAGAGAGAAACAAAGCCAGACCACCAAGGAGAGTAGTTGGAGGACCTATGATATAAATGATTAAATAAACATGTAAGCCCGTAATGAAGTCAGCAAACATACCCTAAGTTAGAAGGCCCAGTGTTGGATGGCTCAATATTGGAGGGCCAAGAGATGGAAGATCATGAGGTAGACGATATATTTCATGGTTGACGAGACGCGTTAGAAAGATGAGTTGTGTTGAAGTATTGTGATGAAGAGGTGTTATAGTGTAGACATGTCATGATGGATGAGACATGTTGTGGTCAAGATATGTGGAGGTGGGTGTAGACGTGTTATGATTGACGAGACACGGTGAGTCAAGAGATTTCATGATGGATGAGACATGTCTTGATGAATAAGATAAGTCAAGAAAGATAGAAGGCCCCAAGGTAGATGAAGGTCCAAGTGGGGGAGGCAGGGTAAGGAAGAAAGTTGGAATAAGGTTGGAGACCAGTGGGGGATGGACGGCTGTGGTGTCTGGGGAAGAGAAGTTGGGGAGTTTACAAGAGAAGAAATTTTGGGGAGGAGGAGGTACTTATAGGTTATAGGGTTTGGGGGGTAATCAACCCTAACGTACACCCCCAACTAGGACGACGGCGACGGCGAGGTGCCTTCCGAAAATGGAGTACTAGACCTAGTATGGCCGGAGGTGGAATAGTGGCCAACCCTATTCTTTCCTAATCGAGTATGCCATGAGGTCTACATTTCGTGATGCGGGAAACCCCCCACGCCTACCGTATATTCAGGCTTAGGACCTCATGCTATGGCTTGAGATACACAAAGCAAGGGAAACAATGACTTTGAAATGCGCTGGGTAGTTCAAAAGACAGTAGACTATACAGTATTTCTTCATTTTATATACTTGAGGTACTTCATTGCTGTGAAACCCGTATGTAGGAGCCATATAACATTCATAGCAATAATATTGGAAACTACGAGCATTCCTCCACAATGATACATTCGTCCTGGCCTCGAAGACTGGCTGACTTGGGTATCCTCCATTTCCTCACCAAGTCCCCGCTGCAAAACTCACCCATGAACCCTGAGGGGATAAGGTACGGCCTGGCTGATTTTGATTTCCTGGGGCCATTCAGTTTTCCAAGACTGGAACAGCACGGCTGAGGATTTCTAGAGATGATGAGCACTTGACGACGTGTTGAGCCAGAGGAAAAATTACTAATTTTCGTTTTCATATCCCAGACTCATCTATGCTCCACTGTTGCCTTGTTCCATGGTATTGGCTACTTTGTATTGGGCGAGATATTGCTCCCATCCTGATAACAATCATGGTTGATAGAGGGTAGGGTGAAAGGGTTTTCGGTCTGACAGCTTGACGGATATGAGTATCTGGTCTTTATTTGGACTTAACTTTAATGGATAACTATATATCACCTTTGGTGAAACGGGCTTGAAGGCTCCTTTGTGCGTGGGGTTTAGTCTGTAGGTGGGCTAGTACGCGGACTCACTAGCTTCGCAATGTTTCTCCTGATATTGGTGTGAATCAGTGTATTATGGAAATGCTTATTACTTATTCGCTTGAGAATCTTAGCGGCCAAAGAGTGTTAGAAAGATCAGTAGCACGAAGGTAGAAAATAGGAGCAATTGCTCAAGGTTTATAACCTTATGATACTGAAGATCCCAGAAACCTAAATCATAAAGTCACGCTTTATGTAGACCGAACCCAAATTGCTCCTCCCGTTCACAAAAATAAATACCGCCAGATGATTAATTATCTCCTCGAAAGGCCGTAACTGGAACTGGCAGCCTGATGTGCTCAGTGTTTCGGCTGTTCATATCCTTTGCCTTTTCTATAGCCATGAGCAGGCGGGCGGCACAGACATGCAGTTCTCGAGAATAGTCAGCTCTCATTCAGCATTGCTTGTGAAGTTCTGTCTTACCAGAAACGTGAATCTCAAAGGCATCACGGATCCCAGTCTTCCGTGCTTCGATCAGAATTCTGATTGTGCCCTGGTGGTCCAGGGAGATAAGCTTGGAAGTCTCCTTCTCGAGCCAGTCCCGCTGGAGCCGAATGACCATTGTTCCTCCAATCTTTGTACCATCTGCGATGAATGCTCTTGCCAGGGTCAATACCACGGATAGATTGCCCGTGAATTGGACAAATTTTTCCGAGTTTTCGAAGGCCACCTCTCGTGCCAGAGACTCGCCTGCAATTCAACCATATTTGGTTAGTGTCAGCCTTTGTCTAGATCTGTCTTTGGATAAACAGTGCTCTTCTCGTACCTGCCGATCCTCCTTCAGGCATCTCCGCAGGCGAGTACGCTGTTGGATGGAACACGGCAACCGCATCTGCCAGTACTCGCGGGCCTGGTAGAGATGTATTGAGTCCTTTAATGCCCAAGTACTTGCACTTCAGACTTTCAAGGTAAGTATCCGGGGCTCCAAATTTGAAGAGCAAATTAAGGTCGGGAATATCGAAGGCACAAGGCATTCTAGTTCGGAGGACGTAGGCCGCAGCCTCCACGAAGGCATGGCATGTTCCCGCGATTCTGATCAAAGTCTCCGCGGGCAGATTGAAGAATATCATAGTGAGAATCGTGGAGCAGGTTAGCGGGGCTCGATTGGATGGACATGTCTACCTACCTCGAATGGAAGGTAGATGACGGCCTTGTGAGGACGTTGCCACGCGGGGCCGAGCTCCTGATCCGCAGATTCAGTGGATCCCATTGCGTTGTCAGTTGGTCTATTGGACATCTTGTCGATAGAATAATATTGTGGAGGACTCTGAGCACCGATTAGTGCTTAACCGACCTGGTAACAGTTGCAAGGCAGATACTGACATATGTGGGGATGAATGAAGGTGGAGGAGATTGGGGAAGGAAAGGTGCGAGGAAGTTCATATTGAATTTGAATCTACAAGTATCTGTCTAGCGATGCGGCCTTCCATATAATGCAAGCAGAGTGGGCAAACGCTCTATGTTGCCAACACTGTGAGTATTTGCAGAGAAGGAGGAATGAGACTCGAGATGCGGTCTTATCGGGTCTTATCACATCGATAAGCTCTGGTCGGAGTAAAAGCTGACGTCATCAGGTCAACAGTCCACACCAGTAAACAGTCCATCACAAGTTATGTCTAGCATACCCGGACTGCATAGCTTCCCTCTTGAGAGGTATATTATTACCAATTGATACCAAGAGTTCTTAAGGAACAGTCCCCACAAGTATGGCTGCACCCCGGCTGGCCCGAGCGCGGGATCCCGAAGCGATGCCTTTACGGCTCACCGAAAAAAGTGACATCTACCCCAAGATCTGGAGTGCTGATTGTATTACTTGATGTTCATGCTACTCACAGTGCTACTTTTATGCCAAATAAGATCTAAGGATAATCTCATACTTCTCAGGATTAATTTTATATAGATATCATGCTCTAATCTTTAATAAAATCCATTGTCCAGTGTGTTCTGCGTTATTTTCCGGAGACCCCGCGCCCCCGCCGGAGGCCCTGGTCACTGTACTCCGTTAAATTACCCGGCTGCCGACTTGGCGGGGTCATTTTGCGATTTGCGTCCCTCCCTTTTTTCTCCTGTTCATCCTCAAGGTACTCCTCGCAAACGGCCAATTCTTGCCTTTTAGCTCACAATGGAGAACGTACTGGACGACATTTCTCACCGCCGCTACAACCCTCTTCGAGGTTCGCACATTCTGGTGTCTCCCCACCGAACCAAGCGTCCCTGGCAGTGAGTTTTTGACCTTTCTACACGCTCAATTGAGAGACGAAGCTCCCTGCTAACCACTGGAAATTTTTTGCCTTGCATAGAGGACAGCAGGAGAGCCCTTCCAAGACCACTTTGCCCCACCATGATCCCGAGTGCTACCTGTGCCCTGGTAACAAGCGAGCCCAGGGTGACGTCAACCCCAAATACGAAAGCACCTTTGTCTTTGTCAACGACTACAGTGCTGTGAAGGAAGAGCAGGCTTCCTATGAGGGTGCAAGCGGCGATGGTGCGAATGCAACCAAAACATTCCTTTCTTCTGATCCGACGGTGTTCTAATCGCATCCAGACCTCGAGTCGCGCTTCCTCAAGGCCGAGCCCGTTACTGGCAAGTGCTACGTCCTGACCTTTTCCTCGGCCCATAACCTCACCCTCGCCGACCTATCCCCGGCCGAAATTGTACCGGTGATCAATGCTTGGACCGAGATCTACACTGCGCACTTGTCACCCAAGTCTCCACTCGCTCAGACCGCGCCCCCAACCCACATCCAGCCCGCTACCCCCCACACCAGCATTACCAAGCCCAAGGAGCAATACCGGTACATGCAGATCTTCGAGAACAAGGGTGCTGCCATGGGTTGCTCAAACCCCCACCCTCACGGCCAGGTCTGGACTACCAGCACACTGCCGGAGGAGCCTGCTGCGGAGCTGGAGCAGCTGCGCCGGTACCGCCAGGAGCACGGCGGTAGCCACATGCTAGAGGACTACGCGGCGCTCGAGAGCCGTAAGCAGGAGCGTGTTGTCTTTGAGAACGAGGGTTTCGTCGTCGTCTGCCCCTGGTGGGCAACTTGGCCGTTCGAGACTATGATTGTCAGCCGCACGCACAAGCGTGCCCTGGTTGATCTTTCCGATGCCGATAAGACGCTCCTCGCTGAGGCCATCGCCGAGATTACCCGTCGCTATGATAACCTCTTCGAGACTCACTTCCCTTACTCTATGGGTATCCACCAGGCTCCTCTGGACGGTACCGATGAGGAGGTGGAGGCCTCGTATCTGCACCTGCACTTCTACCCGCCTCTTCTGCGGAGCGCGACTGTTCGCAAGTTCTTGGTCGGTTATGAGTTGATGGCTGAGCCTCAGCGTGACATCACTCCTGAGCAGGCTGCGGCTCGTCTCCGTGGCTGCGGTGGTGAGCTCTACCGCAAGAAGCTGGAGTAAATACTAGTCCTGGGGGGTTAAGGAGCAGGCGAAGACAAGCGAACCAGTAGTTTAATCAGGATTCTTACATTCTATGTCTATAGTTGTTGGAAATATGCGGAAGTACAAATTTTTATCTTGTATTCACGGGCCATATCAAGCCTGGAGCTTTCATTCTTGATTGGCGTTCTTTGCATCGTCGGCCCGACACTCCGGGAATTACTCATAGCTACCTCGTATTCGGTCTTGGGAGCATCAACTGCTATTGATCCCCAGCTTCGTGACTAGACTTATCTTGAATCACCGTTTCATTCGATAGTAGCCTCAGGTTGTGCTTATGGCTAGTAGAACCGGGAGTCCTGTATATGATTTGAAATCAAAACATGATGCTACATGAACTTTGTGAGCCCTGGATATTTCGCTGGTGTGTGTGGGCTATTTAAACGAGATCTATTCCCAGGGAGATAATTTCTTGTATCATGCGAAAGCAGTCCTTCGTCTTCAACTTTATTAGATAAATCATTGCCTTGTCAAATCCTTCTTTCTACGAAAATGGACCCAGAACTCCCTCCTCTGCTACGAAATTCCAGAAACGAAACCAAAGTTTCCTATAAACGACTAGGAAGCAGTGGACTCTGGGTTTCAGTCCCTATTCTCGGTGGCATGAGTATAGGGTCTTCAGAATTCGGATCATGGATTCTCGAGGAAAACAAGGCACTCCCTCTGTTAAAGGCCGCATTCGATCGCGGAATCAATACTGTAAGATGGAAAATCCCAGATTAAGAACGTGTCACTAACGTTCAACAGTGGGACACCTCGAACAACTACTCTAACGGTAGATCCGAGGAGATCATCGGCAAAGCGATCAAGCATTACAATCTTCCTCGGCATAAACTTGTCATCCTCACCAAATGCTGGGCCCCTGTTAGCGAGCATGAAAATGTATACGTTGTCCCCTTTGCAGGAGAAATGTGGAAAGACAAGGAATATGTCAACCAATTCGGTAAGCCCTTGGCGTATCTGTACTATACCCAGACCTGCATTTCCCAAAACTAACATAGGCAGGCCTTTCTCGCCAAGCTATATTCAACTCGGTAGATGCCTCACTGCGACGCCTCGGCGTTGATTACATCGACGTCTTTCAAATCCACCGATTCGATCCAAATACCCCCATCGAAGAAACGATGGAAGCACTTCATGATCTCATCCGAAGTGGTAAAGTTCGCTACATCGGAGCGAGTTCGATGAGAACCTATCAATTCGTCATGATGCAGTTCTGTGCCGAGAAACATGGTTGGACCAAGTTCATCTCTATGCAGAACCAGTATAGTCTGACATATCGCGAGGAGGAGCGGGAGATGAATCGCTTCTGTAATGAAACAGGCGTCGGTCTTATACCGGTATGTTTCATGCCTGGATTTTTAATTACTTCGGGCTAACTCGTGTTATAGTGGAGTCCGCTCGACGCTGGTCGACTTGCCCGGCCTCTACTGCAAATTGGGGCAACTGATCGCTTAGGGACGACAGTCCCGAGCGATATTCCGAGTTCGGATGCAGAGATCATTAATCGAGTGGAAGAGGTAGCTAAGCAGAAGAGCTGGACTATGAGTCAGGTGGCACTGGCTTGGGTAAGCCGTCGTGTTGCAAGCCCTATCGTCGGGTTTAGTTCGGTGGAAAGGATCGATGGAGCTCTAGATTGTGGGGATAGGACTTTGACTCTGGAAGAGGAAGCTTACCTAGAGGAGCCCTATTTCTCTCGTCATGACTGTTGTACGCCCTAACATGTTGGCGCCCGTCCTGCCATCCGATAGAGTTCCCGGGGCTGGCTTATGACCTGTGGATGAAAGGGAAATCACTGTACATGAACCTTTTATCGTATTCTTACTTGAGGGAATCGTAATGAAATCTAACAAGGGTTAGTTAGCTGATATAGAAGACAAAATGCTCCCGCAAATACTCATGAGATGGATGAGGCTAACCGAATTACTTTATCCGTGCCTAACCCTTCTTCTAATATCACCGTTTGCTTCTAAATTCCCCCGCAGGAGACCACGGAAAGAACTTCATCTTATATCTATATACAACCCCACCTTCTTCAAAGCCCGAAAAAAACACCCTCCTCATGCCCGCTCAAAGCAAAACACCGTCGCATATACCTCAATCCCCGTTACTGGCGAATACCACGCTGACCGCTCGAACTTCTTAGTCAAGGACCACCCTGGTGGGGCGGATGTGCAGAAGGTCTTCTCCATCTGCTCGAGGTGGTTATACCCGATCATGTAGGAATGCGGGGGCCCGATTTCGATCAGCTTCGCCTCGTAATTCTCGGGGGTCTCATCGATGCAGACGGTGACGGATTTCTGCGCGAGCTGGAACGCGCGCACCATCACCAGGGAGAATTCCACCGGCGGGAGGAAGTAGAGGGCGGACATGCTGACGATGTGGTCGGGTTTGGGAAGGTCGAGGCTGCAGAGCAGCTCCTGCATGGGGCCGTGGTGAATTGTGTTGTAGGCGCCTGTGCGACTTCTCGACCATACCTTGTGACATTTCGATGGCAGTGAGGGAGAAGGGGCGGACAGGGGCCAGTTCGTTGTGAGAGGAGGAGGGGGTGGTACTGATGGAGGAGGAGAGCTCGGATGGGGGAGTCAATTGGAGCTTCTGGAGCAGGGCGCGGCCAAACAAGCCGGTTCCCGCCCCGAGGTCAAGAATCGTGCCATAGCCCAAATCGACCGTGGCCAGGACCTCGTCGTAGATATCCCCCATTCGAGTCATCTTTGCGACGTTGTCGTCGTAGTTGTTACTCACGTGGTCGTAGACTTCAGCCACGCGTTGCTGGGCCTGCTCGCGGGTCCGGCGGCCCATCAGATGCGTGGCGATGAGGGTATCTACTAGGGCGCGGTGATCGCCAGGGAAGCACTTTCGGACTGAGACATCCTCCCAATCCTGGGGCGGCGGGAGAAAGACGGCGGGCATGGGGTTGACTTCGATCGCGATGGGCTCGCCCTCCCCCGGTGGCGGCACGCGAATGTCGACATTGCACCAGCTCTGGCCCTGCATCTCGTTGGCATAGAAGGCCTCGACGGCCACCGCTTGCAGACGGTGGAAGAGCACCGGGTTCTCCTCGAAGTCGATGGGTGTGACCTTCGTCTCAGCATGGAACTTGATCCCAAAGGTCAGGAAGTCATCATAGGGCTGGAAGCCCTGAGGGTAGGTGTATCGTTCGGGGGCCAGCGGGACGGGGAACCCGCCCACTTCAATAACCATCACCGAGTAATCCCAGCCTCGGACGTATTCCTGCACCACCACGTCTGTGGGGATGGGAATAATACCGTCGATGATGGGAGCATCCGGGGTACACCGCCACCGTGCAGACCGTCGCGACCCGCTACGATTTCACGGGGACCGTCTTCGATCTCGCCTGCGGGACAGGGCTAGTCGGTCGGTTTCACGGCGAAGCTGCTCGCGCCTCTGCTTCCACGTCCCCTTCCCCTCCCGGGACCCGGTTCATCGGGATGGATGTCTCCGCCACGGGTGGTAGGAGGAGGTACTCGTGGGCCCGATGCAGCAGGCTCTGACTGCGTACTGCGAGCCCGTCGATCACCTCGTGTGCATGGGCGCGCTGCATTATCTGGACGGCTGTGAGTTGTCGCTAGTGTTGTCCCGCGCGTTTCTGTTGGCCCGGCGCTCGGTCACGGTCTCGGTCGATGAGATTCCCGATGCGTATAATCTTGCGCAGCGGAAGAGGGGGCGCGGGTACATGCATAGTTGGAATCATCTGAGGGAGGTGGAGGCGTATGGAGTGCCGAGGGGGTGGAAGATGAGCGATCGGTGGCGCAGGTTAGGGTGGCGGTCGCCGACGACGAGTAACGAGGTGTTTACGAATGTGTTGAGGTTTGAGCAGGTAGGTATAGAGTGATTCACAGCATTATCTGAGCTTTTTCCATCTCCGAATGGTTCGGGCAACCTGCTACGATAAGCGTTTCCCGCTGTATTGAAGATTTCCGCCGGACTTGTAAGTTTCTACTTGCTTCCAAGACCGCAGAGATTTGAGGATCGACTTACACCTTCACGATATGCTACATGGGCCAGGAAAGCTGTCCAATAAAGGCTTAATTTACGTCTCCAGTTTCCCCAACTTATGATTATTAGCAATTTCCTGCCATTTTCACATAAATACAAACTTGTATCGCATTCTAGTTAACAAACAGCGATGCCGAATGGTTTTATGATAATGATATTTATCCACTTCAAATCTTGAAACTGCTGTAACCAAACAACCAAAGTATCCTATCCAATTTCCCGAGCACTCTTAGTGGCTGGCACTTAAGACCTGCGGGGAAGTTTCCCGGCGGACCCGCTTACTTTCAAGATACCAGGACACTCGAAGCATCCCAATGACATTTCCGCCTCTCACCAAATACTTGCGGTCCTGCAAAATCAGCCATGCCATCCGCTCCACCAGCCTCACGCAGACCTTATCGATCCCACAAGACTCCAGCCTGTGATCGCTGCCGCCGGTTCAAGAGACGATGCACCGGCGGTGGACCAGGTGATCCCTGTGTGCTGTGTAAATTGCAAAACGTCCCCTGTCAACCATCAGATATTGCGAAAGCGCATACACCATCGCGCCGGTCCTCGAGGACGGGATATACACTACCCCGGCGCAACCAGGTCCAGGAACAGCATAACACTAGCAATCCCGCTCATAGATCACCCATTCACCCCAATGTGAGGAACGGTCTTGGCGATTCGGAATCGAATGATCACAATGCCATCCATTTAGGTGATGCCAGGGCAGATTCATCTATTGTGGTGAGCCCGGTTCTTACTGAAGACATCCAAGCGCTGGAACGTTACTTCTCTTCTGGGGCCCCTACGGGGGATCCCGCGCCCGCTGCGGATGGCTTGGAAAAGTCCTTGGTGTATATGAGGGTCCCTCGAAGACGGGAAGGTCTGGCCATGGCAAAGAATCCGGGGAAATACCAGCAGGAAGTTCTGTGGCAGATACTTAGGCCGTTTGCCAAAGAGCTTGTTCGATTGTGAGTTAATCCTCTGATACAATGCATGCCAGTCCTGGGCATAATTGACTGTAGGATACAGGTACTTTGAAAAATTTCATCCCGCATTCCCAATACTAGATCAAATGACCTTCCTCGAGATATACCAACGCAGTGATAAAATATCTCCGCCTCTGCTCTGCGAGTTTTTCGCTCTATCTTTGACACTTTGGGATCATTCGGATGTTCTAAGACAATATCCCAAGCCCGATCCCCATTTCATTTGGAATTTGGCTGTGGAGTCTTTACAACAAGACTTTCTAGCACCGGGACTTTCTACCATTTACTCCGTTCTTTTCGATATGACGGGAAGACCTATTTTCTCAATTCTAGGAAATACCATTAATAATGGACGAGCTGTGGCGCTTGCCAGGAGTCTAGGATTGAATCGTGACCCTACAAATTGGAAGCGTTCAGACAGTGAAAAGGTGCTTCGTGTCCGGCTTTGGTGGGCAATTTTGATTCATGACTACTGGTAAGTCCTCCTATACATATTTGTTCAAGCATTCAGTGTTGACATTTCCTCCAGGTCAAGCTTCGCCCATGGGGTTTCTCCGAATATCACCAATCGGCAGTATGATGTCCCAGTTCCGACTTTGACAGAGCTTACACACGACGGACAACCAGAAGAAGGGATTAAAGCCTCTGAATGCTTTATTCACCTCTGCACGCTTTCTGTAATCTTGGGAGAAGTCCTACCATTAGTATATGACCTCGAACAGAGGGATATCTGGAGGGACATTCGTCGCCGTGAAACCGAACTAGACATTTGGGAGCAAAATGTTTATCTTCCCATCAGTGGTCCAAACGAGAAATACCCTTACCCTATCTCAGGGCTGAGTAGCCTGTGTTTGAGTTACTTGTCCGTACGGTTACTTTTATGTCGTATCGCCTTTCGTGTGAGTGTGGCAGTCTTAACTTTGAGACTCTGAGCTAATGGTAACAGGCTGCGAATAAAACCAGCACTAATGACATGGACCGGGCCACTAATTTACGATACCACCTTGGAAGACTTCGCCGCTCGGCTCAAGATATCGTGGAATATGTCTGCTCTTTAGAGAGGGTGCATTTACAAGAGTTCTGGCTCGTTTGTGAGTGGGCTTCCTGTTCAATCAGAACTTCCAGAATGTGAACTTACCCATATCCTTATAGACACGGCACATCATCTTACATTTACATTTATTATCCTACTGCGCTGTACCATCGAGGCTTCCGATGCACCTGTCACCGAGTCATGCAAAACAAGTCTGATCCAATTCTGGGCCAAACTTCAAGATGCAGCAGAGAATGACAGTTGGGATCTTGCCGCAATGTGTATTACACGTTGTGGCGAGTCCATGTCCAAAGTAATGAGCTACTTGAATGCTCAAGGATATAAAAATGTTGCGTCCAACGATGGGGTCATGCAGGGGGCCGGCTCTGATCCCGAGGCAGTAGATCGACAGGGTACGATCGGAAACAACGAAATATCGGGTTTAGGGGAGTTGGCTTCAGATGCTTTGCCATTCTCCAATCTCGACTTGCTGTTCGAGAACTCGGCAGATACATTTTGGAGCGGGTTGGATTTTGCTCCACTGTATGAAGAGGTCGATACGGGGCAGGTGTATCTATAGGTTTATAGTAAGGGCAGACCGCAATCAATAAATAATAAATAAAATTGAGAGTGTATTGTGGTTTTTTATGTACAATCTGAAATTGTGAGGTATATTGTACTGCGTGTTGCCAGGGTAGCAATCGATAGTGTCTCGACCCCTTCCGAGTCCAAGTCCGTCAGCCATTCCGGCGGAGAACTTCTGTCCGCCGGAATCTGACCGCACCAACCATTCAAGTGAGTCAACTCACGATTCTCGTACCACCTCACCCTATTCTCCTCCGCTCTTTATATATTCCGGAACTGGAACCTCCTACTTCGAGGAATTATCTCGCCCAAGTCCTCCACAGTCGAGTAGCCTCGATCTCCAATATGTCAACGAACAACATTGTGGTTGTGGGGTAAGAGACAACGCTCCCCTCTCCTTCCGTCCATGGTTAACAAATGTCTATTAGTGCGGGAGTCACCGGCCTCACAACAGCTCTACTGCTCTCCAAGAATCCAGCCAACGAGGTCACTGTGATCGCGAAGCACATGCCCGGAGATTATGACATTGAATATGCATCTCCATGGGCCGGTGCTAGCTACATGCCGTAAGTACCGTGTCTTCAATGCCCTGCAGATGCATTATGGTTGACCAAAATAGCTTCGGTAAAAAGGGAAGCGACCATGCCGAGTGGGAGCGAGCTACCTGGCCGGCGCTGCGGGATTTGGCGGAGAATCAACCGGAATCGGGTATTCACTTTCAAGGTATGCCTTTCTATCCAAACATCCGATTCGTGGTCGTTCGATTCTGATGTTTCTAGATATTACAATTCAAAATCGCCTCAAGGATCAGGATACCGCTACCGGTCAGTGGTCTGCAGAGTTGACCTCGGCCAACCCCTGGTTCAAGGACTTTGTTCTAAACGTACGTGGTGTACTCGCTCTGCCCAGGTGACCCTATCTTGAATTTTCTAACATAGTCAAACAGTTCCAAAATCTGCCTAGCGATCAGCTACCACCAGGTATCGACAATGCTCAGAAATTTACTTCCGTCTGCATCAACACTGCAATCTACCTTCCATGGCTGGTCAGTCGGTGTATGAAGAACGGCTGTGTATTCAAAAGAGCTGCGTTGAAACACATCTCCGAGGCTGCCGAGGCACATCACACTGGTAGCAAGGCCGATGTCGTTGTCAATTGCACTGGTTTGGCCTCTCGTACTCTCGGTGGAGTGGTCGACGATCAAGTCTACCCTGTCCGTGGCCAGATCATGATCGTGCGGAATGATCCTGGCTCAATGACCTCTATTTCCGGCTCTGATGACGGCGGAGATGAGGTTTCTTATATCTTCCCCCGAGCGGCAGGTTTGTACACGTTCCCAACCAGGTATGCATAGCAGAACTAACATCATTCAGGTGGTGGCACTGTGATTGGCGGGACTTATCAGAAGAATAACTGGGATCCGTTGCCAGACCCGAACTTTGCAAACAGAATCATGCAGCGCGCCCTCAAGCTTGATCCGCGACTTGTGAAGGAGGGGCAGGGTGTTGAAGGCTTGGATATTGTAAGGCATGGAGTTGGCTTGCGTCCGGCTAGAACTGATGGCCCCCGGATCGAGAAAGATCAAGTGAACGGTGTCAAAGTCGTGCACAATTATGGCCATGGAGGGTTCGGATATCAGGTTTCTTTCAGCTGTGCTGAGAAGGCTGCCGGTCTGGTCAACGAGATTCTCCAGCAGAAAGACCGAGCCAAGCTATAGATTGGTCGTTAGTTAGAATGGTCTTTAGGATGATTACACCACAACGCCGGGTCATGGTAAATTGGCGCTGAAAACGGCAAAACTTGACGCCATTTTGAGCGCCCTTTTTACCAAAGGTTCCGCTCGTGGAAAAGCTCACGAGCTCATAGATTCTCCTGGTGACTATGAAGTGGAAATAAAGTTGATCATTAGAATGCCGACTTCTAAGAAACATTTAAACTATCTTCTATCATCTCCTCCTGTCTAAATAGGACCTGGTTATTTCATTTATTCAGTGGTTTTCGAATTCAGTTTGACCTCTCACTCTTTTGACTTGATTCCCGAAAAACTAAATCCAAAATACACAGGTCCCATTTAGGTTTCCCGCTGGATTAGTTAGGCAGAATTATACTTCCCCTCATTCTTCCTATTTGCAGCCCAGCCTTCCTATACACCCGCCTGTGATCCTATCGAAGGCTAGAGTTAGCCGGATAGAGCTAATCCTGGTAGAGAAGGACTGTTTACTTTATCTCCCTGGGTTTTTCATTTGCGGCGCATCTCATTTGTTGTCGAGTCGCGAATCGAACCTGGCTCGCCCCGTAAGCTAACACTATACTTTCTAAGGGTCTCAATTAGCTTTTAGGATGAATGGGCCCGAGTCACGCCGATCATGTATTTTCCAGAAGTGTTGCCGATTATTCCCCGAATGTATCCTTCAAAGTTTGAGCCTATCCAGTAAGATGTCAGATACACCGCCGTGTCCCGATTTTCTTGCGGTTTTCGTGCTAAATCATTGGGCACAATCTGACCAACCCAGTCACTATCGTAGATTCCCGAGTAATGACTTTGTTTCCGTGCTTCTAAGGTAACAGGGTGCGCTTCGACGCTATATATAAGAAGTATACGATATTTCCGGTAGTTACGACACTCAGGTCTCAATCTTCAAACAAAACACTTTTTTATTACTGTATATTGTGCCCTGCCCACATTTCACGATGACATCTGAAGACTCACAACTCCCTAAACTGCTGGCTGAGAGTATTGAAAATAGCAAAGCAGAGTACCGGCAACTCGGGAAAAGTGGATTGCGAGTCTCTGTTCCTATCTTCGGGGCTATGAGCATCGGCCACAAGGAGTGGATGCCCTGGCTTGTTGAAGAGCAAGAGGCGCTGCCTTTGCTTAAGGCTGCGTTCGACCGAGGGTTAAATACCTGGGATACGGCAAACGTCTACTCAAACGGTATCTCCGAGAAACTCATTGCCAATGCCATAAAGAAATACGATATTCCAAGACATAAGGTTGTCCTTTTGAGTAAATGCTGGGGTTATGTTGGAGAGTCCCCGGAGATCTGGGACGCCAAATACCCCGAGGAGATCAAGAAGAGCAAGGACTACATCAACCAGGCGGGTGAGTTTGTTTAAATATAATATAGGTATATACACCTGATTGTTAACCAAATCTACAGGACTCTCGAGGACTGCTATATTCAATGCCGTTGGTGCATCTCTTGCCCGACTTGAGATAGATTACCTGGACGTTCTCCAAATTCACCGCTTTGATCACACAGTCCCGATCGAAGAGACTATGAAGGCTTTGCATGATCTTGTCATCATGGGAAAGGTCCGGTACATAGGAGCCAGTAGTATGTGGACCTACCAGTTTGCAATGATGCAGCATTGCGCGGAGAAAAACGGCTGGACAAAGTTCATCAGCATGCAAAATCGCTATTCTCTTCTTTACCGTGAGGAGGAAAGAGAGATGAACAAATACTGCCATGAAACCGGTGTTGGTATAATTCCATGGCAGCCTCTACACCAGGGCTACCTTGCACGGCCACTGGGGTCAACTGGGTCGACACAGCGATCTCAAGGTGGAGGAGCTGAATTGACTGGGGCCGACATTGCTATTATCCAGAGAGTTGAAGAGCTAGCCAAAAATAAGGGGTGGACAATGGTTCAGGTATCAGTCGCATGGCTACTTCAGAAAGGGGCGGTCCCAATTATCGGCTTCAGCACGACCCAGCGGATCGATGAAGCATTAGGTGTGAGGGGAAAGACTTTGACGGAAGAGGAGGTCAAATACCTTGAGGACCCATACAAACCTAAGGCTATCAGTGGTCATCAGTAGACCAGGCAATATATGATCGAGGGGGGTTGAACGGATCACAAGGTTAAAATGCCTGCCCAGAAGGTTGGCAGTGGAAAAGTGTACAAAATCATTCCATACTTCAACCTTGCGTTCTTTCTCTTCTAATACACAAACTCAAGATAGATTTGACTTCTATTCTGAACACTTTCCTCTTCATTGTAGGCTAAACAAGGCAATCCTGTGTGCAAAATGACGAAACAAAAATTGCACGTATTACTTTGGCACTTCAGGAATATCCCCCAGTCACCTTATCATTTATCATATGAACACCAGCCTCTTTGTCGCTCATCAATTGTCTCAAAGCCTTAAGCAGCCTTGAAACCGCATCCTGTGATGTCTGATGATGGAACACCAACCTTCCATTCGGAAAAACTCCAAGCTCATTATCCGTGCAATACCCAACGAATGCAGCGGGAGGAATCCCCACTACTTCGAGGTCGAGAACGATCATGTTTGATTGTACCGGAAGCGCAAACTTGTATCCCACGGTCTCTAATTCTTTCGCTGCACTCGCAGTCATTGTGTGCACTGCAGAGAGTCGGGGAAGAGTATAATCCAGAGCGGCAGAGGCAGCAGCAGCCATCATACCGGGCTATAATCGTCAGATACTATCTCCTCGTGGGCCAAGGATTTTCAAAAGGAGCTATATTTACCTGACGAGTACCTCCACCAAACATCTTGCGATACCATTTTGCTCTCTCGATAAATCTCTTGGTTCCGACGATGACACTGCCCATGGGGGCACCGACACCTTTTGCCAGGCAAAAACTTATCGAGTCAAAGCAGGCACAATACTCTTTGAGATCCACTCCTTCTGCAGCTACGGCGTCAAAGAGTCGTGCCCCGTCCAGGTGCATGGCGATTGGCTTCTGATCAGCCGGAACAGGGAAGTTGCGTACGAACTCCGATATCTCCTTTGCATCTTTGAGGGGAAGAATAGTCCCACTGAGGGTATTCTCCAAGGAAACCACGCGAGTCGGTGGGAAGTGAACTAGAAATCTTTCTTAGTGGCTTCTAAATTGTTCATTCGTCTCGTGACTCACTATTTCCATCTGCTATCATGTTCCTTTTAACATCGTCAAGGGTGAGATGAACCCCATTCTTAGGGTGTACTTGGGTTACCGCCGCCTGAGAAAAGACAGGAAGTGCACCAGACTCCCAGCATTGGACATGGGCTCGATGATCAAGAAGCACCGTATGCGGAGGCTGGGTGAGATGGGTACGCAAGCATATCTGATTGCCCATAGTCCCAGAGAGTGTCCATAGAGCAGCTTCTTTGCCGCTCAGCTCGATGAGCTTGTCTTGCAGAGCATTTACAGAGGCGTCACCCTCTGGGTCATAGATATCATCTCCAACAGAAGCTTCTATGATTGCCTATTTATTTGTAAGTCACAACTTCTCAAGTAGAGTTTATCACGTCGGATCTCACCTGCATCATTCCTTCGGTTGGAACGGTGACCACATCGGACCGAAAATCACGGCTAGCTTTTTCAAGTGCCTTCTTTAACTTGGGAGTCTGGTTGTACCGGAATAATTGTTCTTTCTGCTCGAGTTCCAGCGGCTGAGCTAGACCTTGGGGATTCATATCGATGATTGAAGGAGCCATGTTGTACTTGATAGCGTAGACAGTGTTGTTTGGGATATAGCTTTCTTTTCAACAGTTATTAACGGTTTGAAAGGTCTTAATAAGGACAGTTCTCTTGTCAGATTGACCCCTCACGGCTGTATGATACTAATTGAGGGGTAGGAACTAGTTATCTCCATACTACAGGGATGTTTCCGCCGGAATTTGCCCAGAGCCGCCGGAACCCTGTCGCAGTGTCGAGCCCCCCTCGAGCGTATGATATGGGCGAGATTACTGCCCTATAATTACTCCAATGGCCAGTTACTTGAGATGGAATCCCAAAAAAAAATCTAGGGACTTTTTACAAGCTATGCTAGTAGAACATGTGCCTGTGCAGACCACCTTTTTGTATTAGGTATAATCCCCGAAATGTATGATATGTGAATCATTATTATAAGTGGTACATTTTCCATGGCCACTGACCATTTTCTGCCTCATTCCACCCCCATGTATACAAAGCCAAGTCAATTACCGTACCTTCACCCCCCTTTTATTCCAGCTCAAGCACCAAGATAGGCCTCCCGTTGAGTCAACATCCACGCCAGCGACGACGAAGCCACAATCAACGGGCTCAAGAAGCGGCCACGCAGAGAGGCATTACCAAAGATAAGCTCTCCCACAAAGTGTGTCAAGGCAATACCGTAGGTCCACAGGGCGAGATCGTACGCAACGGGCGAGTTGATGTTGTAGGCGGCAGTCATGCGAATGACCGCGGAGAGGAAGGTCCAAGTGCCAAAGACACGACCGGAGAGAGGCTCAACGGCAATAGCGCCATTGGTATAGAGCTTGGAGGTGTAATCGACGGAGCTGTAGGCCTGGAGACTGTTGACGGCGGAAACAACGGAGACCTATGAAGGTGTTATGAGCAAAGCTACTTCACTGTGGTCAAGGAGGCAAAAACATACGAAAACGAGCCACTTGGGGAGGAGACCCTCGAAGGGAGGCAGGTAAGACAGGACTTGCTCCATTTTGCCAGGGTCAAGGGGGGGGGGCTCAGCTTATCTCGAGGAAGGTTGAATGGATGGGGTTTGTCCTGTGAAGAAGCAAGCCGAGGATGTTTGGCTTGGCGTCGATCAACCGTCCCCAACAAGCTGCACGGTCATCTTTTTTTCCCATCCTTCCCCCTCCATTCCTTCCACAACCATTGAATCGCACATCATGGATTTGTCCAAATACACTCAATGCCTTTCGCAATGGCCCGAGTATCTCGCCCCGGGTCTGCCGACCATCGGCGCGCTGCTTCTGCTCGGAACTGGTGGGCTGGTCGTCGCGTGTAAGGTCTGGTCCTTCTTGCGCGTGCTTCTCAGCCTGTTTGTGCTTCCTGGAAAGCCGGTAAGTGTTCCCCTCTCGCGCAAAGATTGAAGGGAGATTAATCATCTCTGTCTGTATAGCTTCGCTCGTTCGGTCCCCCCGGTAGCTGGGCCGTCGTCACCGGCGCCTCGGACGGTCTCGGAAAGGAGTTTGCGCTGCAGCTGGCTCGTGCGAAGTTCAACATTGTCCTGGTGTCGCGAACGGAATCGAAGCTGGTCACGCTGGCGGAGGAGATCACAAAGCAATTCCCTAATGTCGAGACCAAGACTTTGGCGATGGATTTCGCGCGCAATGCGGACGCAGACTACCAGGCTCTGGGTGCCCTCGTCTCTGATCTGGACGTCTCCATCCTCGTCAACAACGTCGGCCAGAGCCACTCTATCCCTGTTCCGTTCGTGCAGACCTCCGCCGAGGAGATGACCAACATCATCACCATCAACTGCAACGGTACCCTGCGCGTCACCCAGCTTGTCGCCCCCGGCATGGTCCAGCGTCGCCGCGGTCTGATCTTGACTATGGGTTCTTTCGGCGGTCTCCTTCCCACCCCTCTGCTGGCTACCTACTCCGGTAGCAAGGCCTTCCTCCAGCAGTGGTCCACTGCTCTCGGCTACGAGCTTGCTCCCTACAACATCGAGGTTGAGCTCGTCCAGGCTTACCTGATTACCTCCGCCATGTCCAAGATCCGCCGCGCTTCTGCTACCATCCCCACCCCTCGCGCTTTCGTTCGCGCCGTGCTGTCCAAGATTGGACGTAGCGGTGGTACTTCTTCCTACGCCTACAGCTCGTCTCCTTACTGGAGCCACGGTATCATGGCTTGGTTCCTGACCACTGTTACTTCGCCTTTCAGCAAATTCGTCGTGTCTCAGAACGGTGCTATGCACGTGGCTATTCGCAAGCGTGCTCTGCGCAAGGCAGAGCGGGATGCTCAGAAGAAGAGCACTTGAGATTGCTCGAAGATGTGTCGATGATGATTTGCTGTAAGAGGGTTACATTGGTTTCACGGGTTGGCATTCTTTCTGGAATAGAACGAGATGTAGGACTACAAAGATATAGCTTATGAGCTTGATGATTTGGATGAGAAAGAGCTGAATATAATACTTGATGATTACCACTGGTGAATGAATAGAAGAACTAAGAGTAGACCCTGGTCTGTTTAAAATTGGTAATTTATCTTGGCAAGCTAATTCAATCCCATCTTTGACCGCCATCTTTTCGCTAGGGATTTCTGATGCACAGAGTACCGCGGATCTTCATAGTCGAAACTTCGAGGACCACTTAATCTAGACCTCCACCAAGGGTCCAAGCACACCTGCTACATTTTTCATACTGTATCCTAGTGCCAGGGCAAGACAATAGAGATATGGGCATCTTAAATTTGAGTCCCTGACCATCTCTAACCGCCAAATATTTCAGACGAGACCAAGTTCAAACAAGAACTTGCTGACCATCTTGCAGCAGACGTGCAAGGTCTGAAGTTTCACGGCCGGGAGCTTCGACCACGACTTGAGATGCATGGTTTCGTTAGTAGCCGTTTCTAACTTTCTAATTTGCAACGGTCTAACTTGTTAGTCTCCACAATTCCGCACGGACTCGAATAGCAGCTTTCTCGTAGCTCTTCCTGCCTAAATTCACAACCCGTGTAGTTAATATAGTATCGTTCCTCAATCTCGGCCCCAACCGTTCATATGATTTCCCGGTATAAGCCATGTACTAACATACGTCAGACTGACAGACAACCCTAGTAGAGACAACGCAATAACATGCCCAATGCATCCGCATCGGCAATCTAAAACAAGCCTCTGCAGCGGTGTGACACGCGGATGTAAGAGATATAGTGAAGTGGATCCCGTGTCAGAAGATGTTTAGCCTCTCCGAAGGCCCGCCAGTAGCCCCCCACTCAAAACGCCTGCCCGGATATTAATATTATTCTTATTTCTTCCAGAAAAACGCCCTCGGTCTTCCAATCAGCATCCATATTTCTTGCGGAAATGCAAATTAATTCGCTCGTTGTACGTGCGCCATGGCGATTTCATGACAACAAGCGTCGATCCAGCCGGCCTGCGTGCAAGGGCCTCCCTTGTTAAGAGGTGGTTAGCTTGCTTACTTTAATGCAAGGCCCCGCATTTCCCCCCTCTCTTCAGTCATCGTGGGCCCGAGGTCTCGATGGGGCGTTGATGGGATTTTAAGGCATGATATATGGGAGGTGATGCCCGATGCTTGAAGATTTTTGTGATTGTCGGATTTGGATTGTGAGATGTCGCCTCCTGTAGGGACACTCGTTCATGAGCTGGGCCGTAACTGGCTGGGCAAGGCGGATATTGCGGTGCAGACGATTCTGCTAGCATTTGGTTTTGTTGTGGTTGGGCTGCGGTTATGGTCTCGTCGATTACAGGGAACTTCCTGGCAAGGGAGTGACTGGATGATAGTTGCGGCGACGGTAAGAAAGTCCTTGAACACATACTGAATGGTCATTCTGGGAACGTACGCTGACATCGTCTTTCAGATCTTTATGGTCGGTCGCTATAGTGTGGAGCTTGTTTTGATCTTACTTTGTGGAATGGGCTTGCATACAGATGAGGTTGCGAGTATCGGGGGCCCAGATCTCTTCGTCCAGTTCGACCAGGTAAGTGGCCGGGCATGCCTGCCAAAAGATTGATAATCATTAGTCTAACGCTATCTAGCTCACATACGCCGGTGATATCCTCTGGATCACGATAGTTGCCTTGATTCAACTATCGATTCTACATTATTATCTCCGGAGATTCCCACATCGAATTATCATGTGGCCAACTTATATCACCATGGGCCTGTGTACGGCACTGTGGATTGCAAGCACATTTGCTACCGCATTCTTCTGCACTCCGCCGAAGAAGATATGGTTGTCCGATGTGCAAGGTCATTGCGGTAACCGCAAAATGCTACATTTGGGCTCTTCCGTTTCCGAGATGATTCTCCACGGAGTGATTCTTCTGCTTCCAATTCCCGTTACACGGGATATGATACTTTCTCGAGCCAGAAAGGTCGCGCTGGGTTGCATATACTTTCTAGGAATTGTGTAAGTTTCGTCGTTGTCCTGTCAATCGTCAGGCACGAGCTAAGATCATGCAGCATCATCGTAATCTCCGCAGTCCGAATCAAAGTCGAATTCGACCTGGACCCAGAAGATCCAACCTACGGTTCAGCGCGAAAATCCCTCTTCACAAGCGTTGTCCCTCTTTTAGGCATCATCGCCGCATGCCTACCAATACTACCGCCCGCAATTCAGAGAGTCTTTGGGGCTTCACTTTTCTCATCAACGGCGGACGGTATCGCTACTAGTCCAGTGTCTTCGGGGTACTGGAAGACTACAGTGTTGTCGAAACGACAAATGGAAGAACTCGAAATACCATTGGTCACTGTTACGATGCCTCCGATGGCGAAAAAGCTTAGTGAGCTGGCTCACGGGCAGATCAAAATTACTTCAGACTGGGAGATTCACTCGGCGCGGAATTCGGCGCGGCTGGAACGCGATTCCATACGTCGGGCGTGATCAAATATAGTCTTCATGATAACTTGAATACATAAGTGAATTATCGTTGAGAATGAAGAAATTTTCCCATCTCATCTATGAGTTATACGAAGTAGATTGGTGTTGTAATCAGACACTAACACTAACCAGATATACTTCGGACATGGGATGAAAATGAGATGAAATTAAGATAATTAGGTTCTGCATCATGACGCCAAGTTCGGGCGACTCAAATATCAAACCGGCCAACTGGCCTTAGTGGTAAGGCATCCGTTTCCGGTGCGGGAGATCGTAGGTTCGAATCCTGCGTTGGTCGTTTTTTGCAGTTCAGCAATACTCGATTTTTTTGGTGTTAAAAAAAAGTTTATCCGCGCGCAGCCTTGACTTTTTGCTCCACATTCGCACGAATGAATAAACAACAAAAAACGACCAACGCAGGATTCGAACCTACGATCTCCCGCACCGGAAACGGATGCCTTACCACTAGGCCAGTTGGCCGGTTGATGAAGAAAGTTGTCTAGTTTTGACATTATGAAGCTATTCATCTCTACCTGTATAGGGTATACTATATCACACACCTCAATTAATAGCCATCGTTATTGTCTTAGGTACTTATGTTCAACCCATTTTGAATAGGATTTTAACTCTGTAAATAAATCTAAAGGTATTTGTTTATCCTAAGTCTCTGCTTTCCGATACGGGTACACATTTTGAATACTAAGTTAGTAGGTGCCAAGTGCCTACCATCAATCATTTGGTGCGGTGGCGGTTATATATCTCAGCAGTCGACCCAACTGCCGACCTTGACTGAGAGCATATACAGGTAGGTACTAAGGTTGGAATTATATCTACGAGAAGGAGCAAAACACTGATCCACTCAAAGTAATATATCTGTATACCTACAGACTACCATCGAACCTATCGCGAATATCACATTTCGATACATCCATCTGATGTTTCCCGTCTCATCCATGGGAAGCCACGAGGACCCCGAGGTACGTCCTCTAAAATTCCACACTGAAACGGCTGAATTGACAATCCACAGTCCATTGCAATTAAAGGAAGACGGATAGGTTACCTTAGTACATGGAGTTGATCTACTCGGGCTCTATCGTTGCGTCTCAAGTAGGGATGCCATACTGCACAATGTCCTAATTTGATGCACTCTAGAACCTAAATGTGGAAGCGCTTCGCAAACTGAACATTAATCCAGTCCACGATGCTGATCAACGCTCGAATCCTCAACCGGAATGACAAACAAGGGCAAAAGAGGGCAAAGAAGAGGGGTGGTTAGCTTCATCCCCTTCATTTTCGGCTGACCATACTACTAGCACGCCATATATAGTCTCCACGGAAGAACAGACACACTGTATCCAAATTGCCTCATAACATACTGAAACCCAAAGACAGCTCTTATACAACCTTGCAAACCCACAAGAAAGGATTCAATTGATGGAAGTGGCTTCGCGCACGAATTCATTAGTGACCGTGTACAAAAGCTTCGCGCACGATCAGTGTTGATCCCCCTTGCATCAACACCCTGCAAGCTCGATCAACGGAGAAATTAAACCAAACAAGCATTGAAACATTCCTCCCGTAGGACCGAGTAACCAAATAACCCACTCCTAGACAGCGTGGAAGCCCACTACATTCCCTGGAAGGGTTGTTGACACTGCTGAATGGCCCACCTCAACCGTGAGGGAGACGCGAGTTACCCCCAGTCTTCCACCCCTGTCCTCCCAAGTTATCCTAGAATGCCACCAAGGCGATCCGTATAAAGCCAAGCCAAGCCACCATATCCCTCGATGTTTTGCATTCCGCAGTCCTCGTCCCTTTCCCCTGCTCCCTCTCAACCGACCTACCTCGTCGCTCGCCGGCGTTGACTCTCGTTTTATCATCTCGCAGGATATTCACCGGAACAGCTGACAAGATGGTTAAGACTACCTATGCGCTTACGGTCTTTGCTGCCGTGAGCATGGCGGCTCCTATGGCGCCGAATGGCAATGATTATACGGGCGTGGAGCCGATGCGTCGCGATGGTACTGGCAATCTCATCGGGGCCGGTGCTGACGGGTCTCTGAACCAGCTGGTTGGCCAAGCCTATTCCAACCTGAAGAAGCAGAATGCTGATCTAGCTCGGCAAAAGACTCCTAAGCAGAAGGGTGAAGTCGCTGAGGCGGCGAAGCACCAGAAGGCTGGTATTCTCCAGGGATTGCCCTTGATCGGTGGTCTTCTCGGCGGAGTAAGTGTAAACCCTGGAAACAGAAGGTAGATTGGCGGAAATATTTGAAACTAATTGGAGTGCAGAACCCGAAGCGCAGTGTCGAGGAGGAGGTGCACGCTCGCTCTTTCACTGGCGATCTGAGCAACTTCCCAATCTTGGGTGAACTGTTCGGTGGTGTACGTGACAAGAAGATACCGCTGCAATGTAAGCTCAAGCTGACTGTATCAATAGAACCAAGACAAGACCCAGAACAGCAACAAGCCTCTTGGTGACGGCGATGCCATGCCCGCCGTGGCTACTCGTTCATACCATGGCCAGAACTACGGCCAGAACTATGGCCAGAATGCCGGACAGAACGCTGGTCAAAATGCTGGTCAGAACGAAGGGCAAAACGAAGGTCAAAACTGGCTGCAGAACTACGCTCAGAACCACCGCCGCGATCTGACTAGCGAGCTGAGCAGTCTGCCTATCATTGGCAGCCTTCTTGGTGGAGTAAGTCCTTAACAGATCCAGGAATATGCCATTTGCTCACTGGATATAGACCCAGAAGAAGGATGCCACCAAGCGTGACAACGAGGCTAAGCCCGAGAGCCTCGGTCTGCTCTCTTTCGTGAAGCAGCTTACCTCCGGAGGCGTAAGATAACCCTCTAGCACAACCAAATTGTCCTTATAACTGACGCTTTCGTCCCAGTCCGAGACGATCAGCCACCGCCGCCGCGAGGTGGGTGGCACCGATGCTGGTATCGGCGACGTAAGTCTTCCCTTTCTCGCTAGAAATATTTAGTGGGGTGTAAACCAAATTCTTTAGATTGAGGATTTGCTCGATTTTTCCAATCTCCTCCCCGATGACCTCGACGGTTTGGTAGACGCTGCCGAGTCCGAGGGGTTGGGTGCTGTGACGCCGGTACGTTATCAACACTAACCCTGAACGACCCGTCCACATCTCAAAACCGAAATGACAATTAACACATCTCTCCTAGACTCGCCGTGACCTCTTCGACGTGCTCAAGACCCCGCAACAACCTGCCGAAGAGCAAAAGGGCGACAATGCCAAGGCCGACCAAAAGCCTGCCCAAGACGATAAGCAGGCCCTCGAGGCTCCGTTGAAGGAACTCTTCAGCGAGAGTGGACTGGGCGGACTGGTTGGAAAGGCGAACCACGGTGTTGGTATCCTCCCGGTATGTTCAGGTCTTATCTGCACTGATGTTAACGTGTAGCTAATTGTATGGCGTGATTAGATGAATGGCCGTCGTGATGTGACTGTCGAGCCTCGCGCTGAGCCTATTCAGGGTGCGACGCTGCCAGATGTTCTTCTTAAAGGCGGTGTTTTGGAGGATGTTACTTCGGCGTTGTCGCTCGGTGGGCTTGCGCCTGCCAGTCAGTAAGATGGCATAGAGTGAAGGGATGGTGCTTCGTTCCTTGAAGGATAGCTAGTACTGGAAGATTGTCCACATGATATGAGGAGTGTGGTTGGAGTCGATGTATTTATTGAACTTCAGTTACAATGTCATTTGTTTCGAATGAAAGAGGCTTTTTGATCGATTTGGTAATTCAGTCTGCTATCGTAAAAAGCCTTGGAATTATAGAAACTCCCCTGGTCTCAGCCAGTTTTGTGCGGGGCGTAAGAATGGAACGTAAGAGAGACAAAAACACCGGGATCGTAAAGTCGTCAAGCGCGTTCAGCCGGTTTAACCGGGACCAAATAACCAAGTTAACCAGCGCGGTTGGGGTATCGAGTCATGGGAAGCATGAAAAAAAGGAAACAGTCATGTCAAAACAACAAGGAAAAAAAGAAAAAGACAAAGAATAAAGCTCCAAGGAATGACGCCAATGCAATAGTCCAAATATTGCTCAGTCAAAGTCCATGTCCAGATCGTCCACCTCCACCGTCGAACCCAGAGCCTGCTTACCCTCTCGGATCATTGCTTGGAGTTGCCGGTTCAATCGCTTGATACTGGCGTCCTCTTCACGTTCCCTCCGGCGCATCTGCGCTGCATATCGTTGCATTTCAGCGGAGCCCGGTCCATCTCTCAACCGAGGTGAAGGCAAACCCTGATGTCTCGTAGGCGTGGAAGGCCGCATCGACGAACTAGGTCTTTTGTTCAATTTTGGCATAACCGCTGGCCGACGACGCGGGCTGGACGCCTGATGAATGCGACGAGGGCGTGCGGAGGGACTGCTAGCTGCATCGCCAACGAAAGGATCGATCGGATCGGAGGGTATCACGACCCAGCTGCGATCAATATCCTCGTCGGGATACTGGCCGGGGATCGGGGTTCGGAAGATACGTTCTTTCTCTGCCGAACTCGGCCCAGCCTCCCAGCTGGCGGTGAATGGTGCTGGTGAACCAGCTTGCATGTCGTAACCTTGTCCCCCGCCAGCATAAAAGCCTCGGAATGCACCCGACCAGCAGAGATCGAGGACCTTTCCTACAACGTTGATCACGGTTCGTCCCCAGCCGACGGCTCTGGTGTTGGGGCTGGCATCCTCAGCGCTTGGTGAGGTGAGGATGGAGTCGCGGCGAGTGCGTTTGCGACTTGTCCCGTGGAGGTCTCCATCTAAAGTATCAACGCTGTTGTCGAGCGAGGGTGGTAGGAATGACTCGCGGTAGCGGTTGGGACGATAGTCGAGATCGGCAGAGTGGAGGAACTGATCGTGACCATTTGTTTTGCTATAGTCGGCTTGGAGAAGTGGAGAAGCGGAGGCTACTCCGGTCGAGGCCTCGAATTTGGAGGATAGTTTTTCGGTATCGCGACGAGCTCGCTTACGACTGACGGATAGCGAGTAAAGAGATGACGAGGCCGATGTAGATGCAGGGACTTGGAAGAACTGCGAGTTGGCGCTGGCGAGGTCGAGTTTGGGTGGGGAGGCCGACTGGTGGAAGAGAGCCGGCATGTCCGGCATATTTGAAGGAGTTGAGGGGGTTGGGAGAGGAGATGAAAGGAGGGAGGTGAGAGAAGTATAGAGGATAGATACAGCAGGGAGTTTGAGAAGAAAGAAAAAGAATAAAATGGGAGAGAAAGTCGAGGAGAAGTAGAGGAAAGGAAAAAAAGTAACGAGGTTGGGGAACTCGGTCGGGTTAGTCCAACAAAGCGTCATTGGGTGAAGCTTACTCCAGTGCGACTCAACTAGTTTGAACGGATGATAATTCAAAAAGAAAGCCACTGGAAGTTGCTTAAAGCTCATTACTTTCTTCTCAGTAAATAATAATAATAATAGCAACAACAACTACAAGTATTGTATACTCGTAAATCCGAGACACCGTCGACTAGTTGCTGCCCCTAGCATTAACGAACATCCACTCAACAACCATCTCCAGATCAGATCAGATCTTATTCCTCCACTCTTCTAGTCTCTTTTCATTTGATTCCATCACAGTCTCTGACTGGTCCACTGGACTCCAGCAGCCTCTAATCCCTCATCACCATCAACCAGCACACACCATCCCTCGCCACCAGCTCCACCATCACCCGCAATCACCGCTTCAAAGTGTCCGTGGGCATACTCCAGCACGGCGTCGTCGAAAGTCCCCGGCTGCAGCCAGACAGCAGGAATTCCGACAGAATGCGCTTCTTGCAGCACCTGAAGGGTCACTGGGGGAGGTGTGACCACGGACAAGGAGGTCTGGGTGGGCGAGGGCAGCTTACTCGGCGAGGGGACGGTGTCGTACGCACGCGAGGGGAGGTTGATCTGCGGTGCTCGCGGGTTTAAGGGAGTTACCGGCAGCGAGTGTTGGTGATACCATGCGAGGACTGGAGAATGTGAGTTCTTTGATCCAAGAAAAGATAAGACGAGAGGGAAGACGCACTCTTAAAACCAAACTTGGCCGAGTCGTTGCTGGCCCCCGCCACGGCGAAGCGCGGGGAAGAGAAGAATCGCTTGACGGCCTCCATTTTTGGCGAGGAGATTCCAGGATAAAGAAGGTTGCTGGTTAATATCGTAGATTGTTGTAGAATCTGAGCTCTAATCAGAGATGGTGCAATCACTCAACGTAGAGAAGTCAAACAAGTCCAAGTTGTTTGCAGCTTGACCTCGGCATCCGCCGACAGCGTCATCCTCGCCCTCCTTTGGCCCATCGCCCATCTCCTTTCCCCGATCGGCGAAATCCCCAACCTTTCGACGCTTTTCCCCAAAAACTAACCTTACCCCCACTTTATCCTTTACCTCTCTCTCAAGCTACCCTTCGGCAATCACATTCATTTCCCGCGCATGCCGCCCTTCGTCCCCCGCAAGCGCGTCTCCTCCGCGGACCCGCCCCCAGCCAAGCGCCAGGCCCAGGCCAAGGCCGCGCCTGTCCCCATCATTGATGATTCCGACTCCGACTGTGACTTGTCATCGCTGAGCGATGCCCCCGAGGGCGATATAGAGACCCCGCAAGGACTACGTCCAGCCGATTCTGACGACGAGGAAGAAGAGGATGTCGACTGGGAGGATGCTATCGACCCTAATACGACCAGTGCAACCACGCCCGTCGTCGCCGGGCCCCAACCGGAGCTGCAAGATTTGGAGTTGACCCTGGACAAGAATGAAGTCCATGTATCAGACCTCTTGGATGGCAAGAAAGGGCCAAGCAAGATTGAACGCCAGATCCGCGTCCAGTCTCATTGCATGCACGTTCAGTGTCTGCTCTTCCACAATGCCATTCGCAACGCCTGGGTAAATGACAAGAAAGTCCACGAGACACTACGTCAGAAGCTGCCGGAGGGTATCCAAAAAGAAGTCAAGAAATGGCGAATAGCTTCGGGGTTGGAGCCCCCAGAACCAAAACCGCAGCCGCCAAAGGGTAAAAATAAAGGGAAGCAGGCACGCAAGAATAAGGACTGGAGTGAAGATTCCCAGCGACTGGAGCCCGGTCAGCCAGATATGAGCAGGGGAGACCCTTTGATTGGCTTGCTTAAGATTCTGGTGGCATATTGGAGGAAGCAGTTTCGCATCACTGCGCCCGGTCTGCGGAAACATGGCTATCGCCCGATTGCCTCGCTCGAGGCGGTTATAAATGATTTCCGGAATGAGGAAAATGGCCCCGAGCGGCAGGGAGAGCGTATTGCCAGTAGGGAGGAGTTCCAATCTGCTGCGGAGAATATGCAGGGCTCTCGAGATGTGGGTGCTCAGCTTTTCACGGCTCTTATTAGAGCTTTGAATATCGAGGCCAGGCTTGTGGCTAGTTTACAACCGCTGGGCTTTGGCTGGACCAAAGCGGAAACCTACACTCCATCCAAGACGGAGGCCAAGCCAGAGGCGTCTGGCTTGGGAAACGAGTCCGACGAGTCCGACGAGTCTGAAGGAGACACAACACCGGAGGAAGCACCGTCATCAAAAAAGGGTAAAGCCCAGTATGACAAGGATATGCCCTTCCCGATCTACTGGACCGAGGTGGCGTCCCCAATTACTCATGAGATCATCCCGGTCGATCCTCTCGTTCTCTCTAACCCAGTAGCAACAACGCCCGAGCTACAAGCAGCCTTTGAACCGCGCGGTGTCAAAGCTGACCGCGCCAAGCAGGTCATCTGCTATGTGATTGCATACTCAGCCGATGCCACTGCCAAAGACGTGACAACCCGATACCTCAAAAGACGAACCTGGCCTGGAAAAACAAAGGGTCTACGCATGCCGGTAGAGAAGATCCCGATGCCAGGTCATCGCCGGGGCCAATATTACGAGTTTGACTGGTTCAGGGTAACGCTCCGTCCCTATACAAGACCCACGAACCAACGGACCAAAGTGGACGAGATCGAAGATGCAAAAGATCTTCAACGAAAGCAACCCGAAAAGAAAAAGACAACCCAGACGACGGATACCTTGCAAAGTCTCCGCCAATCCACCGAATTCGTGCTAGAGCGATTCCTCCGCCGCGAGGAAGCCCTCATCCCCGGCGCGGAATCCGTCCGCATCTTCACCTCTGGAAAAGGCGACAAAGCCAAGCAGGAACCTGTATTCCGTAGGGCAGACGTTGTCAAATGCATGTCAGCGGAGAGCTGGCACAAGGAAGGCCGACAGATTCTGCCAGGCGCTGTCCCCCTTAAACGAGTCCCCATTCGATCCGTGACTCTTCGGCGCAAGCGCGAGGTCGACGAGTTACAGCGCGAGACGGGTGAAAAGCCCATGCAGGGACTGTACGCCCGCGACCAAACTGAGTTTATCATCCCCCCGCCCATCGTTGATGGTAGAATCCCGAAGAACGACTACGGGAATATCGACTGCTTCGTACCGAGTATGGTCCCCCGCGGTGCAGCACACGTCCCACTACCGGGTACAGTACGCATCTGCAAGAAACTCGGCATCGATTACGCTGAAGCAGTCACTGGCTTTGAATTCGGCTCCAAGATGGCAGTCCCCGTTATCCAGGGCGTAGTCATCGCAGCCGAGAACGAAGATTTACTCCGGGATGCGTGGCGAATTGACGCTGAAGAAAAGCGGAAACGCGAAGAACTCAAAGCCGAGAAACGCATATTGCAAACCTGGCGCAAGTTCTTGTTCGGATTGCGTATCATGGAGCGTGTGCAGGAGGAGTATGGAGGCTTTAATCATGCCGAGGATCGGGAGAGGGACTCTCATAATCCCTTTGCGGCGCGGAAAAAGCATAAAGAGCTGCATGAGGCGTCTGAGCCTGAGATCCAGCCTGAGTTTGTGGATGAGCATCATCATTTTGACGAAGCTTCTCATAACGCTCTTGACCATGGAGGTGGTTTCTTGTTACCCGGTGAAGCAGACGCAGACGCGGACGATGGCTTGGTCGTTGAGCAACATCATGATACCCGACGGCGCATGGCTGCTGCCACTCTTTCTGATGTAGAGGATGATGGTTCAGTAGTTGGAGATACGTGACTTGGCGATCTGGGAGGTCCTAGAAGCTTCGTGGCCCCTTGCAAAGCTGTGGGCCTCAAAAAAATGAGGTTAGTAGACTAGCATATCATGCTCTCGGTCATAGCAATCACAAACTGTAGTCTGGTGATATTCAGAAGTGTGCTTGAAATCGTTAGGAGTCAGTAGCCTCTTCGGGTGATAAAGTTAAAGCGGTTTATCTGGAACTTTTTGGCTGATGATCGTGCGCCTTGCTAAACCTGATAACTCTAGATCGGGTTGATCCGTTTCCCAGGAACGCCCTACCCCACATAGAAACATAATCAACAGATATTATCGGGGAAGCGGTATAGGTAGGCTAAAAGGCATAGATCTTAAGAAGCTCTGTCTGTAGGTAATAAAAAACTCAAAAAATGAAGTAGGAAAGCATCATTGTAATGAGCTGAAGCCCATGTCTGTTATGTTATTAATCTGGTGACCAGTCCAGTGTCCGCAGTCGTCACAGGTGTTGCCATTACAAGCATCACCTCTATCTTATTCATTTTTTCTTAGTATCTACAGATTATAGACTGAGCCCGCCGATTTCAGAAAAATGCGAGGCAATAGATAACAGAATAGTAATACATAGCTCGTGATGGTTTCACCGACACCAGCGTAAGGAAGCAAAAGGGGAAACTGAGTCAATTGGTCTATCTAGAGAGAGCATGAAGACGAAGATGGAAAATTAGAATGTAAGAAGAAGTACTTTAGTGTCTCGGAAGCATTAATCGCCCATTCGCCTTGGAATGCCGCAGCCGAACATCTTCTCTTTCTGCTGTTGTTTCCATGATACTGGAAGTTTTAATTTCGTTTCCCTCAAACTCCTCTAGTTCATGATAGAAAGGTGCCAATGCTGACGACTTCCATAAAGGCATCTTGGCTTTCTATTAGTAGCCGTTGTGCATATGAAAAATATGGCTTCGAGAACGACTAGCGCCGCTAGAGATAAGGTAATAGATTTTAGATTAACGAGGGCTATATATAGGGAGGAAGTCGAAGGTTAATTTAATTATATAAGAGATAGATTTATATATATCGAAGAGAGTACTATCGAAGTCGAAGATAGCGAGCGATATTATCTTAGGGTAGTTTATATAATTAAAGTCTAGGTAGTTTAACACGGTAGAAAAGATTTAAGTTACTAAGAAGTAACGGGACAATTAATTAAGAATTACTACACGTGATAGGGGACAAAATAATTTTGAATAGGGTCAGGGATCTTGCATTAGTACTATGACAAGATAGATAGGCTTAATTACGCGGCCCATGTAGCTTATCTTGGTGATGTTAAATTAAGATAACGTAGATGCCTCTAACTTTAACCTTTACTAATCATTTGACTTAACACACTATCAAATGCTCCAGAGTAGGGAGAAGGACAATTGACTCTTTAAGCAAGAGGCAGCGTGTGAGGAGAAACAATCTCCTCTCCAGACCATGACGCCACTTAATACTAATTGGGTATAGCCTCACTCGGGGCCGACACCTGCAAATCAGGGGATCGACGTACCCGAAACGATATTGTACAGGCAATATGTAGGCATATACCCCTACTTACATTTGCAATACCATCAACCCCTTCTCAAGCCCAAAGTGAGAAAGGTAAATATTTCTATATCTTTAGATCGGTTCCTCAGACATTTAACTCCTGTATCAACATCAGCACACTCGAAACAGCACTTATACGGCACTTATTGGCTAGATGATAGCCACCGGGCCCATCTTCGAGCTTCCTGAAACTCCAGCCCTCGTCAGTCTAGTGGCAACCACTTGCTCTCTGACTTCTACCTCAAAAATCATGCAAGATACTATCCACGCCTTAACCAACAAAATTATAGCCGTTCGAAAATCTCCTGATATGACCATGGTTCAATAACGTATCACAATGATCCATATTCTTCGTCCAACACTGCCCACGTTTGTCGCCGCGCAGTCTCAAGTCCCAGGGACGATGTTTATTTAAAGCTATCCCGCTGTACGACAAAAGGTATCCAGGATGTGGTGACTACGTCGAGTGGCTTGGTTGACGACCCTTTGCGCTAGAGTCTGATGAGGGAAAGCCGGTGATACTCGATACAATCAGTGCTACCGGGGACACAGCGGTGGGAGATGAGTGGGGAGTGCCAGGAAGCCAAGGTCTTCCTCCACTGGTGACCTTTTCTTGGTTCCATTCAAGGCAGTGGAGTGTGGGAGCCGGCAATTGACCGCTAGGACGAACTTGGCAAAACACCTAAAATCTTACTAGTCTTCAGCTGTCCGAATATAGTGTTTCAGTGGTTCCTTTTTTTAGGGCATTTGTAGTTCGACTCATTCTACCAGTCAGCAGCTGAACGACCAGAGAAGAGTATTTATATCACCGTTTCCTGCCAGTCGAGGTTCACATCTCCTACCTATCTTCTTGCTTGATTCACCTTGGATCTTCCTACTAGCCTTTCGTTTTCACCGACCAGTCACAAAATGCCGTGGCTTGAAACGGCACCTGGCCGCTATGAGCGTCCTTTTGATACCATCGAGCGCTTCTACCGCGGTATTGCGGCTTCTGGTGCTCATCTTGGAAAGCAGCACTGGCTTGTCTCCAGCGTTGTTCAATGCAAGCACCATATTTCCACAATAGATCTGCAGGATGCATGGAAATCTCTTCGTCACCAGCACCCACAGATTGCAGCAAGTGCTGACGACAACGGGCTCAACTTTGTTTACAACGTGCCTTCAACCGAGGCCCTTGACGTCTGGGTACAGGAAACCTTGGTCATCCACTCAGACAAAGAGAATCAAAATGTTGAGGAATTAGACTCTGCTCTCGCCCCCTCGGACCGATTCATGCTGTACTATCTTCCACACTCCCGACAGCTTCTCTTTCGCGCGCCACACTGGCGAACGGACGGCAGAGGCATGATTATTCTACAACACAGCTTCTTCACCCTTTTAGCCGCGGGTGCGGGTCGAACAATCTTGTTTGATGGATCGGAGGCCTCACAACTGCCTGCACCGTTTGACGAGGCAGCCGAACTATCTCTGGAGACAACGCCTGAAATGAGCCAATCTTCCGATGCACTTCTGTCTTCACTCTCCGGGTCTATACCAGCGACTCTGCGGGAGAGTTTGCCCAACACAATACCGACAATTTCACAACGTTCCACCATTCAGCTACCCCAGGAGTTGAGCGAGAAAATTATCAGGGCTAGCAAGGCCCGAGGCCAGACCGTCACAACAACTGCACATGCCGCTCTCTTTACGGCCCTGCGAGAATACGCAGATCCCATTGACGGTCGTTTCATCTGTTTCAACCCATTTGACCTCCGCCACCATCTTCCTCCACCCTGGAATGGCCTCGCGGGGGCGGCGTCGCTTTATCATACTGGCAAGCCCTGTAGCATCGAGCTCGCGCAGTGCCCTGACTTTAAATCGCTTGCGCACTTGCTATCTCCTTTCTACCGGAACGAGCTGAAGCCACTATTCGGTTTTTTGGTGGATTATATGAATAAGCTGGACAAAATTTTGGCTGCCCCGTTAGAGGTTGCTATCCAGGGGCCAGGTGCTGCACGCGCCGACCTCAGCTCTTTAGGGGTGATCGATAACTACCTACACACCCGGTATACAGGTGTTGCGGGAACATTTGAAATTGAGGATTGGTTTCTCGGCGTTCAAATCATCACTCGTCTCCTACAGATGTACCTATGGACAAGGGACGGTAAAATCCACCTTTCGTGTAATTATAATGCAGCATTTTATAAGGGGGAGTTTGTTCAGCAGCTTTTGGAGGGGTGGAAGGATGTGTTGGTCAAGGAACTCCTGCATATAGCGTGAGCGTATAGATAGATTGCTATGCATACTTCGCGGATGGTGTTTTGGATTAATTTTGACCATTATAAAAACCCTTAAAATGAAAGTAAACGAAAGACATCCCCATTGTACTTCCGGCCTGTGCGCATCCTAGTACCATTGTTCAGGTTCCATGTCTGGGCTCCGGCCAAGGCGACCCATTCGCATAAAGGATTGTGAGGCTGACCCGAGCAGGGCTCAGCATTGTCATGCTCATAAAAGAACTGGAGCAGATAGAAAAATCCAGTACCCATACTTTAATCTGCAACAAATCAGCTGACAGGCCATAGAACCCCATTCTTTGCATATAAATTCATGTCCCTTTTAGCAATTTCCCACTGTCTTTAGTTTTCCTCTCTGCTATTTGAATACCATGACAGGTACTGTCCTCATTACCGGGGCGAACGGCTCCCTTGCGATCCCCTTTATAAAATCCCTCTTGTCACAATATCCCTCATACACGCTCATCGGAACCGTCCGAAATCATGATGCCGACAGTGATCCTAACACGGCAAATTTGAGGAATCTGGTGTCGCAGTTTCCGCAATGCAGCGTTAGTATCTACAAACTAGACCTAAACTCCCTGTCCGAGGTGGACGATTTTGCGGAGAAGCTGGCCGTCATGATCCAAAACAAAAAGTTTCCCCCTTTGACTGCTATCATTTGCAATGCATTCAGCTGGTCACTCTCCGGAAGCCAGAAGTATTCCGTCGACGGCTACGAACGCACCTTCCAGGTTTCACATCTATCGCATCATCTCCTGGTACTGAAGTTATTGAACAGCATGAACCGCGAGATAGGCCGAGTAATCATGTTGGGATCTGTTACACATGACCCTGAAAAGCCCAACCCTCTTTGCAAGCTTGATGCCCAATTACCAAGCGAGATAGATGAGCTGGTCTATCCGACGCCGGATAAACCAGGGGAGGAACACGATAGGGGATTCCAGCGGTATGGAACTGCTAAATTGGCGAACGTGATGTTCATGCATGAACTCAATGAGAGACTCATAAAGGTGAGTCATTGGGAGAAAGCTGTAATCTACCAGGAAAGAAAGAGAGACACTGACAAGCTAAAGCATCCATTCCTCAACAACATCACGGTGACCGCAATGGACCCCGGTGGATTGGTCGATTCCCGTGCAAACAAGGAGCAGAAGCTCTTTGCCCAGTGTTTAATGTTTACCATGAAAATGTTTATTCCTTTTCTCAGAACATTCACAACAGCCGTTCGCTCATCGGAAGATTCTGGGACGGATCTCCTCCAGGTGGCTATGGGACCGGATTTCCACGGTAAAAGGGGGTACTTTGTGGGTCTAATGCAGGCGGAGTCGGCCATGGTAAGCAAATGTCCCGAAAATCGGGAGAGGCTTTGGAGGGCATGTGGGCGTTGGTTGGGACTGAATGAGGAATATGTGTGTTGGGAATCATGAATCTAATTGGCGAGGCGGAGCTGGATAGTTCGTGCAATCGTATTACAGATGTACGGTAATCATTTTTGAAGCTTAAGTGGAGTCAATAATGCAGAACTTTCCGATCGAATACTCAACGAGGAATGATGGTAGGATTCGAGTTAGGTAGGATCTTTGCCCCACTCGCTGTACTGACAAGGGCGTACAGTACAGTACATACTGCAGCAATTAAAGCCTAGCGGATTTACTTAGCGCCAAGCGAACCCGAAGTTGATAATTTTAGGGGCCCCGCCCGCTTCTTTCTTCGCAGTCGGTATTAAACCGCTAGTGCGATCCACAAAATACCGTCAGAATTAAGGCTGAAGCCACGGCCGAGCTCCACGCTAAAGGTAATTTTCACCATGAAGAGCCTCGATCAGAACAAAGCGCGTCTGGAAAGTTGTTCAACGAGGAAAATTATCTGTATTGGAAAAAAATCTAATATCAAAGCGAATGGAGACGATGTGTCTAAATGGGGAATCTTTAAGTATTCTCCTCAATTCCTAGCCTCTCTCTACGGCCCTTGCATTTGACTTCATTCCCGGGGCTCGGCAGGCACGTACTTGCTTTTGGACCGCAGATAGGGACCGTACCGAAAAAATATCAATGGTAGTGGAACGAGGAACAGGCTGATAAATCCAAGCAGACTCGTTGACCAATTGATATGCAGAGAGTTCATTGCCTGCACCCAGAACAACGGGGTTGCAGCTGAAAAAAGATACCGAAGCATCACCTCGCCTGCGAAAGCTGATGCACCGTAGTCAGCCCCATAGATATCATTTTTGTAGATTGTATATGTCATCTGAGGTAAGATTCAGTTATCACATAACTATGCAACTCAGGGGGGTTCATCTTTTGTCTGGCATGAAAGAAGGATCACTTACAGCTATAGTAGCATGACTGAGTCCAAACAGAACTCCGGACAACATGGGAACAATCCAATGAATTTGGGATTTCGCAGTCCAGGCAAGCCTTGATTGTGACAATGTCAGGATTTTGCGGGTACGAAATTTGCGATATCGAACGGCTTACCAAAAAATCGAAATGGGGGCAGTGATGCTTCCAACGCACGCCGGGTACAGTCTCAACTCAGGCTCAACTCGTGCACCTGTCTGCACGGCGATTTCACGGGTCTTCTGATACTTCAATTTATCGCAAATACCGATCGTGAAGACACCGAGGATGTTTCCACCTAAAATTGGGAGAAAAGCCAACCCCTGCTCTCTCTCGGAGAATCGATAGACCCGCTCAAAGATGACAGGGTAAGCAATATACCAGCAGAACAGAATGGCCTGGAGAATCGCACAGGCTAGGGATGTCAGAATGACGATTGGTTCGAGCATCATATGCAATGGACGTGCGAATGCTACTCGTAAGGTATGCTTGTAGCCCATTGGAGCAGTAGTCAGACCCGTGTCGTTCTTCTCTATGTCCCTCGTCGTGTTCTTCTTGGCAATAAATGGGTAGTATGTCTCTGGGACTGGGAAAGTCAATAAGACGATAAAAGCAAGAAGAATCGCATTGAGCCAGAAGGTCCATCGCCAATCGTCTGTTGTCGCAACGAGAGCAGCGCCCGTAGATGGTCCAATTGCAGCCGGAAGGAGGTTCATCAGCGCAATTACCAAGGCCAGCAAGGTGCCCGTTTTGGACAAGGCAACGTCCCACATATCATTCACGATCCCAACACTCACTGTGCCCGCCGGAGAGATGGCGAGGCTGGATAGGAATCGGCAGATAACTAGGGTTTCGAAGTTCTTGGCCGAACCCCCTATCGCGGTAAAAAGCAGTGCCGTTGGGATTGACACTCGCATGATCCATTTTCTCCCAAAGAATTCTGAAAGTGAGGCGGTGATTGGGGGCCCAAGAACCTGGCCTAGACAATAGAATGAGATGGGCGAGATGGCTAAAGTGGTTGAGACGCCGAATTTCTGGATGACACCCGGTATGCTCGGCACGTAGATGGAATTGCCGTATATACTAAAAGTTGAAAATGAGTACTAAAGAAAGCCTTCAAGTCTGGGGTTAACTCACACAGCAAATGGCGCGATACAGGCGCCTACTGAACATAGCAATCTTCTCGTTTGTGACCAGTTGCGGGGATTGTCAGGTAACCTTTTTTCTTTAGGTGATTCATTGAATTCGAAGTGACCATTTGCGGCAATGCTCGCCTGGACGTTGCCCAGAATGCTTTCGGGCGATAACTGATTCATCTCTGCAGTAGATGCACTTAACTTAATCTTAAGTTTTGTCAGAGGCAACGACGTATGATGGCTATTTATCCACAAAAGCTGCCTCTAACAGCTGATCTTGTTAATTATAGCATATGGTTTCCCTGCAGGGGCCTCCGCCACCAGCTACAGCAGGGCCACCGTTGAAGTCCCGAAAATTCATTTTGACTTTTTGCATTTACAATAGACATCCGTACCTCTTACTAGCCAATGAATTGAAGTGTGCCAAGGATTATGGGCAATTGGCCGGAGATGCTAGATTCGGCCATTTGGCTCAGCCGCACCACGACGAAGATAGGGCACAGCCGTTGACTTATTACTAAAACAGTATACACGGTGTCGAGCTTAATCCTAAAATGGGTTGACTTCCGACATGAACCATATTATATCCTCATAAGATCTGGTACTTATACTTGAAACTTTGTTAAGCCGCCTGGCGCTGAGGCTGAAGTCGGGCCAAGACCGCTAGGTACTGTGGAGCGTGGAGCGTGGAGTGTGGAACATTTTACCTCAGCCACGGTACATAAAAAGAATAGATACTAGCCGAGGCTTGGGCAATAGCAGCAAGGGCAACGTGATGCTAGAGAATTAGAGCAAAGAAAGATAAATATCTAGAATACTTATGGCCCTAGCTTTTGTAAGGGAGTTGGCAATTGCGCTCACGGCAACCAGACTTGGTGTTGTGCAACAAGGTGGTCAAATTTACATCTCGATACAGCAAACCTTTCATATTCTTATACGGTCACGATCAGAATGTATCTCAGGCTATCCCTGGTGTACAGCACATGCGCATTGATTATTTACGTTAGTTATGGACTCCCAATCTTTCCTACGCCATTGGCTGATGCATGAAGCGAAAAAAACAATAGCTCATCGCGCTATGTGCCTATCGATTATTCTTCCATCCCCTACGTCACCACCCTGGTCCCCAGCTGGCCAAATTAACAAACTGGTATGCCACATACCATGTCTGGAGGGGTGATATCCACCTGAAGTTGAAGGAATGGCATGATACGTATGGTAAGAAACATGCCTCTGTTGCTGAGAAAGAGCGGGAATTGTTGTGTCTAATCGCAAAATTTGGTTTATAACAGGGACTATCGTCCGATTCGGCCCTAACTCGATATCGATAAATTCCCATAGCGCAATGGCGCAGATATACTCAGTGCGAGCCAACGTACGCAAAGACGATGCATATTCTGTGATGAGTGCCAGCAGTCATACCCCTAGCACCATAAGCTGTCTTGACAACAAGCAGCACGCCTCCAAGCGCCGGATCCTAGCACAATTATTTACCGATTCCGCACTCAAAGGGGTGGAAGATCGCGTGTTGGCTCACATCAACACATTCTGCACCAGTCTCGGGGATGCAGAAAAAGGGAATTGGGGGAAAGTCAAGAATGTCGCTGCATTGTCCGATTATTTGACCTTTGACATTATAAGCGATCTTTGCTATGGGAAGGCATTCGATTTGCTGCAATCGGAGGCCCTACGATATATTCCGCGAGTTATCACGCATATAAGCCGTCGCAACGCAATTGTAAGTCTTACAATGCTATCCTATCACTTGAAATTCGCGGCTGATAAATATGCTAGTGCTTTGTGCAGCCAAAAGTGTGGAAGTACAAATTTGACCGAATTTTTTTGTCCACCATTTCTTCTCAAATCAGGACATTTGGAACTTGGATCAAAGAACAGACAAAGACGCGATCCTCGGTAGCTGAGAACGCGGGATTGCAAGACTTCTTTACCCACTTGTCCATAGCGAGGGATTCGAAGACAGAGAGATCTTTCAGTCAAAAAGAAATCTGGGTGGAACTTCTGCAACTAGTCATCGCGGGTTCCGATACAACCGCCGTTGCAATCAGCGGTGTCTTCTTCTATCTCGTTCAGAATCCATCGGCGCTATCCCGAGCTACAGCAGAGATTCTGGCTTCCTTCGACAATATCGATGAGATATGCTCTGGGGCAAGATTAAGTTCTTGTGTGTTCTTGCAGGCGTGCATCAATGAAGCCCTCCGCTTGTCTCCACCCGTCACGGGTTTGGCCCCCCGCAAAGTTCTCCCGGGCGGCATTCAAGTTGATGGGATAGATTTTCCTGAAGGGACTATCATTGGATCGCCCATTTACACTTTACATCGGAGCAAGGATTACTTTCATCATCCGGATTCCTATCTTCCTGAACGCTGGCTCATGGAGCCCGACGGAGGGAGTGAGAACGATTGTATCCGGTCGCCTCTCTACCCTTTTAGCCTGGGACCAAGGGCTTGTGTCGCAAAGAAGCTAGCCATGAGGGAGATTAGTTTGACCGTCGCGCGGGTGTTGTGGATGTATGAAATGCGAACGGATAAGGCCCTCTCAGGGGTCGCCGACTATCAGCTGAAAGGATGGATGACATCCGGGAGAGACGGTCCATTTGTTCAATTTAGACGCAGGTGGTAAGCTAAGTGGGAAACTTCCGATTACGATCATTGTTAAGCCTCGACCATACATAGAACTTTTCATAGCTAGTTGAACCTAATGTACATAAATTTTCCAGCTTGTTTGGCTCCCTGTATAATTAGAGGCCCTTATCGTCGCCAATATCCCGGTAAAAACGTGGCAAACATTGCTAATCCCACAGGGAAGTAAACCCCCTCAACTTCGGTCGGGCATGTTTGTACATTTGCGTGTTCCGGTAGTGGGGAATTAGGCGAGCGGCAAACACCATCAAGCGGAACCGACAACGAATGCCAAGGAGATGAACGTTTTGAGGCTAACGGAATATTCCCGACCGTTTTATTACTTACAGTAACAACGTCCGCCAGAGTGGTAATGGTTCAGCGCTTAGCTTCATTTAAGGTACTACCGGAAACACTAATGACAGAGACACGAGTGGTGTAGCGTCCAGTCGAATGGATCTAGAAGAATTACAAAAAGATTTTCGGCAAGGTATCAACACAATAAGCCAAGGTTCATTTTCGTCGAATTTATTTTCTTTTATAATATATATAGAGGGGAGTATGTGTTCAGGTTTAATCACTCTGAGGCTTTGCTCTCCTTCCCCCCACCTCTCGTTCTGTTTTCAGGACTCAGCATAACGCTTATTTCTTGTTGGGTTTATCCTCCCACATCAACCCAGAACACCCCCATTCTACCTACATATCTCGATCTCAAACAGAAACTATGGGGGTCGGAGTGAAATCGCTCTTGGTTTTCGGTGCCTCCAGTCCAACAGGACAACATATCGTTGAGGAGGCGCTCAACAATGGCTGGGAAGTCACAATCTATGGCCGCCGCACCCTCCAAAAGCACTCTGAAAACAGTCAAATTACGGTAAGAAACCTCTCTCCTAGATTATCTTACCCAGATCGTGAACATTGAATGGCAACGCTAAGCAACAAGGTATGAACTAGACCCTCGAAGGAACTTTGCAAGATGAGTCCAATATACGCCATGCCATTCGCAATGCAACCGTCATTGTTTCCGTTATTGGACCTTCAGGTACCACTATCAAGAATACCCCATTTCCTGGTTTCTATCGACGGATGTTCGACATCATGCGAGAGGAAGGTGTCAGGCGGATCATCGCTTTGAGTACATTCAGCGTACCTCACCCAAATGATCGATTCAACTTCACTTGCCATATGCTCGTGTCGATGCTTCGCCTTTTTGGCCATAGTGCCTGGAGGAATTTGATTGACGTGGCCGCCACCTTTGACCAACATGGAAGCGATCTGGACTGGACGCTATTCCGTGTCGGGTTTTTGAAAGATGGGGGCCCAGGCCAGGTTATCCAGGGATATGTAGGGGATGGCAAGCTTGGGATGGGGGTGAATCGGGTTGATGTAGCCAAGTGGGTGGTCCAGCAGGCTAGTATGAAGGACGCAGAGAACTTGGGGGATAAGCCTGGGATTTCATCCGCCTGAAATAAGGTGGTTTATACGTCTCAGTATTTTTTCATCTCGATGTTTAATTGTATACTAGTACCTTAAACCTTCGTTGCGAAGTGTCTTTTGAGGTGCTGCTTTGTCCGCCTAGGATAACTTCGTACGCTACTTATATCGGACTCAGACATGATAGGACATAATTTCTGTCAGATTTGGTCATTTTGATATGTTGAGTTGGTGCGCCCAGGCTCGAGTCGTGACTTGTTTTAGCGGCTCGTAACGCTTATAATTATAGAGATACTGTTGGAATCTAGCAGGATAGCATAGATTCGTGGTGGTAATGCACACAAGAAGATAGTGTATGCATAAGATTGGTAGGACTCAATGTAGTGTCTGAATACACAGTTATGAGTATAGAGGTCGTGCGCACTTCTAAGAAGAAGAAGCACCATGTAAAGATATCAGCCTGGGTCACCTGACATCCCACGTAGAACAAAAAGACCACTATATCCGCGGTTAGCGGATATGACCCAGGACCCAATATATATAGTATCGCACTGTAACATTGTTATATCATAACAAATGAGATATTAACGCCGTGGCTTTATATTATATGATAGTCTGAATATTAGTAATTACTATAGAGGAGAGTAATCTCCTCCTTATAAGGCTCGAGGTTAATTTAAGGGCGTGGCATTATAAAAATTGAGGTTATTCATGCGAGCCCAAAACAGTAGGAAATAGGAATTATACTAAGTTAAATCAACAGGAAGCATCGTCTGTTTCTGAAAACTACTATATCTAGTCATACGGTCTTATACACTAGCGTACGTAGTACTAAATTCCCGGTTCAGTAACGTAATCCATAGCCGAGTGAAGCAGCGAAAATACTATATTGAATACCAGATTTAAGTCCTCTATATCTGTCAGAAAACAGGGTGGATCCAGGTCCATGTCGGCCAAAAATGCACTATAGGCATCCTTAGCTTTCATAAACAAGGATATAAGGTACGTCAGGACTCTGATGTTCACCAAGGGGGCTAGTTTTCCAGGGCGGGGTTATGGCCCATATTACCTTACTAAGCATGCCAGTACCAGCAGGCTAACATGTCGGACTTTAGGCGGTGACCATAAAGTCGTGGTTGGTAAATACTCAATGTAGTGTCTGAATACACGGTTATGAGTCTATCGGTCGTGCGCACTTCTTAGAAAGAGAAGAAGTACCACGATTGTGGAAGAGTACCATCGATCTAGAAGAAAGATCAAAAGGGATGATAAACTTGATTCAATATAACTAGAGAACAGGGCAGTATTTATATCTTAGGAAACATGATAAAAGATCACATGAAATAATAAGAAAGTGGAGTGTTGAATAGTCTCCTGCCTAGGTAGGCAATTCAATGCGAGTATGCAATTCAATACAAGATCGTTGAAGATCAATCTGTTAGATCTTATAGAGAAGATCTAGAAGCGATGAGGGGTAGTGGGTCTTTGTCACATGACCCCACAACATCCATATGTTGACAGATTCTTTCGAATTAGGCATGTTTGGTGGTGGGAAATTGCGTGGTTGAAAGAGGGTGTTTAGTATGGGAAAACGCGATATCGTTTGGGTGGGTAATATCGTGTGGGTGGTAGACCCTCGCTACGCGAGGGTCCGTAATAAATGGTACTTTATGAAAGGGGCCGGTTAGATAGTGGATATCCACTATATATATCTCTATAGGTTCTCAAAGAAAACCTTCTAGGCTTCACAAGTCAGAATTACTATCTAGGTTATGCAAGCTCATTATTTTATCCGAAAGGGCTATGGCTTTTGACATATGTTGTTGTTTATCGCATTTAGCTTAGGATTTGGGGTATTTTACTCGCCCATGCATTACGTTATTCGGAACTGGAACTTGGTAAGCCTGTTCCACGCCATACTAGCGAACCTAATTTAGGCAAGGCGAACAGGATAAAATACGGGCGGAGAAGGAGGCGGTATATAGATTGGCCAATTATATTGGATTCTGGGTTATTGCACTCGTGATACTTAATAACCTCCGTAGGGGGCGCCAGCTCGGCTGGAGGACGGCGAGCCAATGCTGGATGAGCGGGGCCAGTGCCGGAACACGCGGACTCAATGTGTATGGTGTAAGTATCATGCCAGTTCGGCTCCTTTCCGACGCCTCAAGAGAGCGACTTTCAAAGGGGATATTGATTGCTGTTGCAGACTTTTCAAGATGCCCGCCAACCTGGTCCACGGAGCGAGGATGGAAGCAAAATTTCGCCGAAGGGATTAAGCAGCCCCAGATCGAAGCTTCGGATTGGTCAGTACCCCAATAGTGACTCCAGTTAAGCGCGGTAACTAACCCTCACAAGGACCCACTGTAGGATTCGGGGTATCCGCAAAGGTTGAAGATACCCATGATTCTGCCGACTCTGGTCCGAACAATACTTTATCGGACCGGTATCTCACACAAAAGATCTGCGGTGCTTCATGAATGCTTTGACTCAAGTTCATTGTGAACCGGAGTTGAGTTGGGCTGGTTTTGAACGATCGATGAGCCCAAATCAGACGTGTAACGACTTTGAGGAACTTGCCGTGAACATCTCATGTCTCCTGGGTGAGATAAACCCTTGGCAGCCCTCCAAAAATTGGTTCGGCTTACGGTCCCACTCAGGCAATTATTACTCTCAGCCTCATCCAATAATCGGTTTGCCTCTATCGAATACCAGTAACGTGGCTTCCCTCAGCCGTTTACATCGTCCCCTTTTTGGTAATTTTGGTCCGTTCTACACACATTTTCTCATCCTGAGCCTGGAATAGTTTAAGGGGCCACCCATACACAACACCGTCTATCCATGGCGCCGAGTCTCCCATATTCTGCCGCAAGAAAAATTTCTATTTAAAGGGCCCAAGTGACACGCAAACTCAGATGAAAATCATCACTGAAGCTGTTGACAAGATCAAAATGCGCTTAGACGTGTCGAAGGTTGAGGGATATACAGCAGAGTCGTGTTTTGGGTGCAAGACCAAGAAACGCAAATGCGACAAGCAAATACCAGCTTGTTCGAGATGCAAACGGTGAGAAAAGAACCTATCTCACTGTCTTCACACATGTTTAACTCAAACCTGATATTTGGTTCCTGTCGCTAGTGCGAGTACACCGTGTTTGTACGGAAGCAGTGCAATTGGTGCTTATGGAAGAATCGTACCCATCACTGATAAAGAGATGCTTCAAATTGGGTGCGGAATCCCCTCTCCCCCGTAATACTCAAGCTTTCTATGTCCTCGTCTCGACTCTGACCAATTTCACCCATGGCAGAACACCGTCACACCCTCCCTCATCTGGGGTGGAAATGCAGCTTCCACCAACACGGGTATCAAGGTCGTGTCGCACCTGCAAGAAACACAAGAAGTTCTGCGACAAAGGCTATCCTAGCTGTGGAAGATGCCAGAGGTCCGTCTGACAACCCGTTGAATATGCCAAAACTATTCAAATGCTGACCCACCCCAGGCTGGACTCTACCTGTACCTATCAGGAATTGGATAGAGCGCATCTACTGAGCTCACAGCATTTCTTTTCACAGGGCTCAATGACTATGACCATTGACTCCAGGCCCGATTACCCTGTTCAACCAAAACCCTACATTCCAATGCTGATCCGATTTTGTAAGTCGAGTTTTCCGTTGGTTGGGACACCCATTTTCTGACTGCAGGTCTTAGTCCAAGATCTCATGGGGCTGGCAGCACTGCAGGTTGACATGAAGAGCCCTGCATATTTCCTCCGGTCTTCATTCATCAGCAACGCCTTGACTGATCCCTGTTTATTCCACTCCACGTTATATTTAGCATCAGCGCATTTGGACACGATGCGCGGGACCCACAATAATCAGATCACGCTATATCATCACACGAAGACAGTCAGGCTTTTAAACACCCGTATCGCTTCTGGAGACGTCGTGGATGATGGAACAATTGCCTCGGTGCTCTTACTGCTGATGAGTGGGGTATGTTGCCCAGATACAGTTGATTCGGTGTACTGAAAGCTGACATTTGGCGTCTGCTAGACTGTAGAAAAGGAGAGTGGGGCCGCAGAAGCTCATAGAGAGGCGCTCCTCCGCATGGTAGATATGAGAGGAGGTTTTGACAAACTCGGATTCGACGGAGTCTTATCAGAAATGATTCAGATGTAGGTCAAGATCTAGGCTGCCTCCATCGGGCCATCTGGGAATTTTGCGCTTTGTGCGTGGATGAGCTGTTAATATTTTAATCAGGAAATTGGTCCATCCAGCTGTGATATTTGATTTGGCCGATGCCTTCCCCGCGCAGTGGGCATGTACACCCGTTGCTCCGACTGAACTAGTGAGACTTGTCCTTGACCGACTTGGCGCTTATACGACAGGAAATCCTTCCGTGAAGTCTTACTTAATGCGAATGTTTGAGCACGTATTGGAACTTCTGGAGGCAGTCAGTGACGACGTGGACGAACAGACTGGACTTCCGCGCCAGAGAAACGTATCAGTCGAGGATATGCTAGACAGGACACGGCCATGGATGGAAACTATCCTTTTGGATCATTCCCCGCAAGACTTTTCCCGCAGCGAATGGGCGATGCTACGCTCTTGCTTGGCGTCGGTGACAATCGTGCAGTCTCTCCTTGATTATCGTCTACCATTCCAGATGGAGATGATCATGGAGCTTCTGAAGGAAATGAAATCTGACCTCGCTGTGGCGGAGCCCATTGTCTGGGTTCGGCATTCGCCCGAAGCGAACCTATGGGTGGCAGTGGTTGGCATGGCTATGGCACCGGAGGTAGATGGAAGACTATGGTTTCTGATGAACGAAAAATGTGTGGTGTCATCGATCCAATGTACCGCGGGGAGATTGCACGAAAAGTCATGGTACTGTTTCCGCTTGTTGAGGTCATTTGCGAAAGCCCAGTACGAAAAATATGGACATGATCCTAGTCTGATATACGAATAGTGTTTGGCATGGAGCGTGTACGTTGAGTACAGCTGTGTTTCATAAGTCTTCCAATCAGCCTCTCGGTGATGAAATAATGTTCCGCCGATAAAGTAATTTGTCTATTTTTGGAACCAAAAACTCGAAAGTCATACTGTAAAGCTAGGACACGATATTTCGTGGATAATCCCGGTGTATTGACTCAAAAAATGCCCTCAAGGCTATCTTAATGATGAAATATAGTCAAGTAAAGCTCGCGCTGAAAGCAGAAGAATAGGCGGTAGAGCGAGTGTGGACTCCAATCCCATTAGGACAAGATTTGAACAACATACCTACTTCTGACGATAACCCTCCACGATATCCCTCGGCTAGCTCATCTCAGCGATCTCCTTCACCACCCTCAGAATTTCTGCCTTAGCTCCATCCCACTTCTTCCTTCTAGGACTATCAAACAGCCGATATTTGTGCGGGCTGTTTATTCCATACATCAGTGCATTGCAGAACGTTCTATCTTGAAGCCAGAACTTCCATCCTGCCACTCCGTATCCCAAGTTTTGATAGACCTTCGTTCCAGCAGCTTCATTAGCCCATACATACCAATCCGGTGTACGGACAAGGTCTGTAGACACACTGCCCAGCCTTGCCCGGGATAGAATCCACTGGTAGTGCTTCTCGACCTCGGCCCGCATTTCTTCCACGGGTGGTAAAGACACCGCGCCTTTCCAGACCTGGGCAAGTGCCATGGACGCCAGATCATAGACATGGAACACAGGCATTTGAAAACCCACACCACAGACATAAGCCAAAGAGTCAGGGTAGTCAAGTGAGAAAATGTTCTGGTAAAGCTTCGGAAGCTGCTTTGTATTCTCTTTTGGGTGTCTCGGTGAACGGTATGGCTGGGAAAACTCGGGCTCATAATCCCCCAATACAGAGAAACTGGGTTTGTAACCGGTGCAGAAAATGATGGCGTCGATTTCAGAGAGCTTGGTGCCGTCGCCTAAGAGCACAGCTTGTTGGTCAAGGACTGTTGTGATATTGGCGACGGGAACGATTTTCTCCTCATGCATGGCATCGACGATGTCATCGTTGAGCAAGGGTAGGCATTGTGTGAACGGGGGTAAATCGTTGTTTAGATTCCACTCCGGTCGGAGCTGATGACATTTGTTTTGCACTTGACGAATGGACCAATTATAAAAGCCAGGAACGTAATCCATGTACTTCTGCATGACCTGAAGCCTAAACCAAGAAATATCATGGTCAATGGTCTTGTTATTAAGCCATCGCTTGAGCTACAGAAGTAAAATTATGTTAGTCGATGCTGTTGTAATTCGTCTGGGCATCTTCTTTCCGTTCTTGAATGACATGGGTAAATGAGGATTGCTTACGAAAATCGCGCCCCCACGATGGCTTAGATATATCTTGTCTGCAATCCCAAGCAGGGCGGTAGCCGTATCACCAGCAGAGTTGTTCAATCCGACGACAAGTATCCGTTTTCCCTGAAAGTCACCTGGGCTATAATACACCTGGTTAAAGATACTTTGAAGCGGTATGTAGAAGGCATATGAGTGACTTACCTTTTGAATTGCTGCGAGTGGATCACCGCACCGCCAAACTTTTCGATCCCCTTGATGTCAGGGATTACTGGGAGATTGTTTAACCCGGTAGCAAGGACGACTTTATCAAACTCTCTAGTAACAGAAGCTGTAGGACTGACGTTACTGCGTAACTGTAGTTCCCAGATTTTCTTCCCGTGATTGCGTGTGATCCTTTCGATATCGGTACTGGTCTCTATCCTCGAATGTAGATTGAAATGCGATGCATAGTCCTCCAAGTACTGGTTGACCTGGGCGGCCTCCGGAAAGGCAGGGGTATCTAAGCAACGTGTCTCCAAGTTAATTGACAATCAGAAAGAACGATGCTAATTCCAGTATTTTTCATACCGGGACTGAATGGGAAGTCGGTGAAACAGAGCTGCCCGACAGAATTATTTCTTTTAGTAGGTGGGCCGACAAATCGGTAGAGTTATGGAAGTCATACCCTATACTTGGAACCATTCGCATATGTACCTGCGCCATTGTTAGCATTGTGATACCAAGGCCGCAGAAGGAAGAGACTATCGGCAGCGTACTTTTCAGTGCTGTTGTCCGTGTTGTTGATTCGTCGTAATTCCATACTCCTCCGATGGAGGTGCTGCGCTCGAAGCCTGTGACATCAAAGCCTTCTTCCGCAAGATTCTTCAGAGTCACCAGGCCCGACGCCCCGAGCCCTATCACCGCCACCCTCGGTCTGTCTAGCATTTTTACCACCAATCTGTAGGGATTTCCTATAGCACAAGAGATGCAAAGTCGAGTCGTGAAAAGGTAACCAGGAACATTCTCTCGTCCCTACGCGATATTTTTATAGTTTCAGCCTCTCGTAAACATAATCGCCATTGCTTTTGCACTAAGCCACTCCGCTCATTAATGACCCACTTCGGTCGCACGTTTTTCTTGATTCAAACTGGCTCCTTTGGGCTGACTATTCTGTTCCTGAGCGCAAGAGCAGCTGAGTATATTGAATAATTCTCCTTTTGGTGAATTCGGCAAAGATCCACTCCTGCCCCCCATCTTTCCATGTATTCTTTGCTGGAAAAGTGTGAACTACCGCTCAATACGCCGTATGCCAGGAGCGCTAGGGTGGGGTCCCTCGGTTTACAAAACCTTGGTACAGTACTCCGTACTGTTCCCTCAAACCTGTAAATATAATACTGTACAATAGCCCCGATCCCATTCCGTCGGTCCTTGCCCGCTAGCCTTTTTTCTTCGATTCGCCTTTTACCCGTTTAGTCGTAGGGTCCACGCTCGCCAATTATTGGCGTGTTTTGCTTTGGAAACAATGCAACAACGGCGTCACCGTCGGTGGTATGCCGCCAGTATCTGCAAGATGAGGGTGTCACAAATCCACAAGAGTTTGTCCCCGATTTCAATAATAATTACTCAAGGGGTTGATGTTACGCTACATAATTGCTCCGTCATTACCGACCATGCGGACACCAACCGAATCGCTTACACGGAAGCTCTTGCCCGACTAGTTAGTTAACCATAACTTACTGTACTACATGGACTAGGTAAACTTGACCGATTGATCGAAACCGCCTGAATACAATCGAAAGACATCCCCACCGTATATCGCGATATGTGACCGAATGTTCTGAGAACCAAATGGACATATCGGAGATTACGGTGTTAGGTATCAAGAAGAGCGACCTTTCACGGGGTTACGTGAAACAGAGTCAAACTTGGATGGCTCGTTCAGAACCATATAATATATAAATGCGCGTTAACACGGCACGAGTATTAGTTCAAAAATCACCTCTGTTGGGCCACTCCAATCTAAATAATTACGATGGCAAACCTGCAACTCATCTTCGGCGGAGCGACCTTCCTCGATGATATTGGCCGACCCTCTCTTGAAAGCGTGAAGAACATGCTCGACAAGCTGCAGGAACATGATGTCAAAAGCATCGACACTGCGACCATCTATGACAAGTCTGAGGAGCTTCTAGGCCAGGCGCATGCTGCACATCGCTTCGCCATCGGCACCAAGTACCCTGGTGGATTTCTTCCCCAGCCAGGTACCAAGGACACTCTTCTGGCTTCCGCGGCAGACAGTCTAGCCAAGCTCCAGACTGGCCAGGTACGCCCTCACAACATTCTTCACGCGTCGGCTTGAAATCTTATTGATCCAATCCACAGGTTGACATCTATTACATCCACGCACCTGACCGGAGGGCCTCCCTGGAAAATCTGCTTGATGGGATGAATGATCTGCACCGGGACGGGAAGATCAAGCGATTTGGCATCTCTAATTTTCTGGTGGCAGAAGTCGAAGAGGTGATGCGCATCTGTAAGGAGAAGGGCTATGTGCTTCCCTCGGCCTACCAAGGCAATTACTCTGCCCTTGCTAGGCACGCGGAGACCGAACTTCTCCCCACCCTTCGGAAGCATAATATAGCATTCTATGCATACTCGCCGATTGCCGGTGGATTTCTGACCAAGGATGTTGAGGAGTTGCGTGCAGGAGGTCAGGGACGCTGGGATCCCACCAGTGTATTTGGGGGCTTTTATAACGCTCTATACAACAAGCCTGTGATGCGGGAAGGGTTGAGCCTGTGGGCGGATATCTCAAGCAAATCGGGTATTCCCAAGGCAGAACTGGCGTATCGATGGGTGGTGTATAACTCGTCGCTAAGGGGTGAACTTGGAGATGCCATTATCTTCGGCCCACGCACCCCGGAGCAGCTCACACAGACTCTTGATGGGCTCAAGAATGGTCCCTTGAGCGCCGCTGTGGTGGCACAAGTCGAGGAAGTGTGGAAGCTTGTTGAGACCGTGTCTCCTCTGGACAATTATAACAATGAGGTGATGGGCATGGTATAATTAATGGGATTTGTAGGCGGGGAATAGTCACAATTTTAAGAGGTTTAATCAGTCCTGAATGAGGCCGTGCCGAAAACATTTAAACTTTTACTCCAAAGGTTCTATGTTACTCATTTTGATGCAAACTTCTCCGATTCGCGTCTGCGGCCAGTAAAAGCGCACAACTCTTAATTAAAGGAGATAGGAAAACACATGGGTACAATTAACATGCCCAGCTAGTGTATCATTTTTTCACAATGACTCTTGGTGGCGAAGTCAATAGCAGCATCGGAGTCCTAGTGGGCTACCGCTGGACAAATCGACTCCACGTGAGCGCACGGTGGTGAGAATGAGGTCCATACAGCGCATTATTGGCCGGTATGTTGATTCAGACAGTACAAATTTCTCACATGGAGGCAAATAGTTAATGGTAGCAGCCCCAACCGCTTGCTTTCCTTCTCTTCGGTGCACCCTTTTCCCCTTGTCCAACATGATGGCGGTTATTTCCTTACTTCTCCTACTTGTTGGAGTGCGCCCTGTTCGTTATTCGGCTCATTCAGCATCGTCGACGTTACTGAGATCTGGTTTGAGGCCCACTGAGAAGCCGCTCATATAATTCCATTTTGCTAATTCATTTCAAGCCCAAACCTCCACATAGCCTTATTTGGGGTCACCTGAAACTCTTTGGCGATGTTATAAAGCTATTAACAGATGGTATTGATTGCTCCAGATACTGCAGATCTGGTCAACGTTACAAAAAGCTATCCGCTCCACGACGAAGTTCCCCGATTTGTCGGCGCTCTGATGGTTGAAAAGTCTATAGAAGCAGCCGATGGAAAATTCTGGAAAAAAAAGCTACATCGCATTATTGCCCTAGGGTTCCGCCCATCGTCTGTCAAGTCAATGAGGTCGATTATCGCGGATCAGACAATGAAACTTTTCTATCTGGCCCTGACAGTCTATGCATTAAGCGGGGAATTATTTTCGATGCAGAAGGCAGCAGGAAAGCTTGCATTTAGTATCAACAGTATACTGATCCTGGATACATCCCTTTCCAAGAACAAAACTAGTGACCTGCTTCATGATACCTGTCAGATTTGGATTATGCGCAGTTACTATCACTCGTAAGCGGTACGAACCCGGTGAAAAAGTCAGCGACATGGTGGAGGAAGAGGAAAGCAACCTAACGGATCGATGAATTCTTGCGCCTGTTTATTGAGGAACGTCATTTGGCCGGTCATGATGGAAAGGTAGACAGCCCTAACGCTCCGGATAGGATGAGCATCTTGGATTAGATTATTTTGGAGAGCCAACAGAGGGAGATACATTCTCAAAGCTCGGGAAAACCGAGCTTAGCCTTTATGAACATCCTCGTTGACAAGTAAGTTCTGCAAAACAGCGTAGAGAAATAAAACGGATAATGAAGTTTGATCTTCCTCGAGAGTCTGCTAATATGCTCCTTCAGTGTTAAGGGTTTTCTCTTTGGTGGCTACGAAACAACGACTTACACACTTTACGTATATGCTTCCCATCGAATATCCTTTTTTTACCTTTCGGAAGGACTTGCTAACACCAGAAAGTTTGTTTTCATCATGCTCTCTTTACATCCTTATGTGACGGCGAAGCTCCGACATGAGCATAGCGAAGTTTTCGATGCCGATCTAGCTAATACGCAGGAGATACTCCGACGCACACCACACAAAACAAGCGAGTCGGTATATAGGGCTGCCATAATTAAAGAGATTTTTCGACGATTCCGCGTCGGTTTTGGAGCTAGGAAAGCAAAGCCTAGTAGATTCAACCCCCCCCCCCCCCCCCCTTTTTTTCTCTCTCCCCGCCTATACTCCCACAGGAGGATTTCAGTAATTAATCACAACTACCTAACCTAACCCTTAGAATCTACGCACTCTAGTGCAAAGGAAAATCCTATCCAACATCCAACCAGCTTATTATACCCTACCCACATACCATCCACTACGATCCCGAGGCATTCCCGCTACCCTCACGCTTCGATCCTGAGGGGTTTATGGAACCAACTTGCTAGAGAGGCGTGGCGCCCCTTTGAATGCGGTCCTCAGTCATTTACTGGGCGTGACTTGGCGATGGAATAGCTTCGGATTGCGCTCCTACTCACTGTCCGTGATTTTGACCTGGAGTGTGCATCTGTCGAGCCACAAAAGACCCTCAGGTCTCCGTTCACAGATTTGGATTTGCAGCTAGGCGACCTGACGTTCCAGGAGATGGCACTATCTGCCAAACCGCGGGGAGGCGCAATGATGAAAGCCAGCCCTCGCTGAATGATGATAGGTGTTGATGTGCCGATTCGGGTTTCATAATTCGATGTCCCTCATTCCAAAACAAGAGCTTATATTTTTAGATTCTTGGTTACAAAAGAAACTCAAAATAATATGAAATATGGTATAAAACACCAGGATGAATTGTTGCATAAGGACGGCTTGTGAAGTCGCTCCTTCCATCCCTTGAGTAATACAGATACCTCTGAACCAGACACAGAGAATAAGTTACATCCTTTATAGCTACATGGCTATACTTGACCCCAAAGAGTTACTGTCTCTCTGGCGGTATTCATTCCGGCTTGAAATCTTTCAAGGCATCCAAGTAGAGTACATCTGGGTTTTCTGCGGCCTCATGCCAAATTCTCCAAGCCATCTGGGCCATGCGAGGGCTGACTTCGGCTGCCTTTCCTGCCATCATACCGAGGGCAAGGTCCTTTATCATCAAATCAATCGGAAAGACATTACTGTTCGGATATGCTTTTTGAACAGTATGAAGAATATCACCCATAAAGGTCTGTCCGGACGAATTGTGGATGACTTCGTATAGCAGCTCCGGATCCAAGCCACCCCGGACCCCAATTGCCATGGCTTCCGCCACCAGAAGCAAGACACTGCAGGCAATGTAGTTATTACTGATCTTAGCCGTCAGACCAGCCCCAATCCTGCCGCACCAGAACAACTTCTGTGGGTCCCCCAACATCTCCAGGATATGCTGGATCCTACCGCCCATCGGGTCAGATTCCTCAGGTTTCGTGTGTCCAATCATAAAAGACAATTTCCCGCTTGCTGCTGCTTGAGGCCCACCCTATTCTCATTTAGTTTTCACCATCGAAGAAGTTATCCTAGCTCTACGTACCGACAGAGGTGTGTCCACGTAGTACCCAACCCCCGTCTCTGACACATTTTTAGCAAGCTCCCGGGCTGTAGACGGCTCGATGGTGCTAGTGTCAAGGATCAATCGCTCAAGGTTCCGGGTTGTGCGGATACAGCAGTCCGTATCACCCAGGTAGGCTTCACGAACAGCGTCGGCGCTTGGTAGGCTCGAGATGAGAACTTTGGCATTTCTCGCGGCCTCCTTGACGGATTTGGCGATTTCAATGGGACCAAACTGGTCGAACTTGGCCGTGAACCCTTCGCAGGCTTCTAAATTAATATCGAAGACGTATAGCGTGGCAGAAGCCTGCATTTTTTGACGGATGTTGCCTGCCATGCCAAATCCCATGGCACCTAGCCCTGTGAACATGGATTGGCTTAGTATCACTCGACTAACAGGGATCTTTCGCTGGACAGAAGCTTACCTATGAACGCAAAGCTATCCTCCATGGTTTCCTTCGTTTGATTCCTGATGATTTCTGAGGTCAATTGTGGATGAACGAGAGGATAAATGAAAAAAGGCGTTTTATTGACTCGCTACGTACTCCCAAGGTCACCTGAGATCTATAATCTGCATAGCTACACTACGCCCTCTTTTTTTAGGTGTAATTTTGTCAATTTTGGTCCCCAGGATCGTCACAGATATTTTAATCCCCACTGAGAACTGTTTTTCTCTCCCCTCTTTACTCCATTGCTCTGATAAGACAGCAATTCTTAGTTTATACAAGCAACTCCTGTTATCAAACCTCATTTGATAATCTACGGGGGTCCCCAACTTCCTCGGGAATTCGAGCTTCAACTTGCTTTATTTAATCCGTATAATAAAGTGGGAATACAAAATTACAATGTAGTACATTTGAGTCTCTCACACTCTAATAGCTCGATCTGATATTATTGCTAGTATGCATTATCCAATTACACAACACAATAAGCCGGTAAGAATGCCAAGACTGTCTAACACGTTAATTGGAATTTCTGCTCATTATATTACAAAAAAACGTCTTTACACTTAGGTGACTCACATCGAATTATAGAATCAAACAAAACCCCGTTGTTGACAATTCTCCACGCCGACAAACTATCAAATTAACAGACCACTACTATAACAATACTGATAAACAGCTCGTAAAGTTTCTTATCGGTTATTTGTTCATGGTAACGTGCATCGCCTGCAAGGGTAGAGACTGCCCGTAATACAGGTTGGGGCATTCTGAGCCTTGGCAGTCGGTGCTAGCCCGCTAGATCTAGCTGGCCGCGCCGCGGTTGGTAAGCCATGGAGGGTAGTAAGGAACCCTACACGCTTCCGAGTGCTTTTTGTCCCGATTTTTATTTGGGTTTAATGAATTTAAAGTTTACTAGCATACTACCATCTTTTCAGAGCATTATTGGGTAACATTGTCATATTTTCTGCCATTTCTGGAAGAAAGCTCGTGCTTCCATGTCAAATCCGTACCAGTACTAACCATGATTAGGCCTCGGCTCTCGCAAAATCACAGATCTTTAAAGGGCCGATCGTTCCTCAAGTTGCCATAACTCTTTTTTTATCCGTATTTCGCCCAAGATTAACTCGTCATCTTCAGTCTTCTACAATGACATCTATTTGCTCAAAGCCCGAGTTTCTGCCCGCTCTTTATGCTGGAAATGGAGTATGTGAACCCCCCAAGCACACGGAGATTACTCAAGTTAACACGGACTTACTTATAGTTGTGGTTCACAAGGTGGATATATCCAGATCAAATTAATCTGTATTACCTTTAAGACTAATTATTATCCATGCTGCGAGTAGTGCCATGATTCATTTTGGTTTCCGGCAGGAATGGGCGATGCGCCGGCTGTCTAGGAGGAGGAATTCAGAGGACATGTTAATTAGATCACTTCCAGCAGGGGACAAGTGGTAATTCTAGCGGCGAGTCATTTCCTGAACATATACTAAGTTTTATTCACAGGCACTATGATATCTTGACTTACCTCGGAGGAATGAACTCAGCACCTGCCCTACTCGCCTTCTTACGGCTTTGGGCTATCTGGAAATCCCCCCGTTTCCTATCTTCTGGTACCACACAAAGCGATTCAAGGATTGATATCCTCGCTCTCCTTGTCCTCGGTATAGCCAACGGCTCTCAGGCACTTGTAAATTTCACCACCTCACGAAGGAGCGGAAGATGGATTATGGGGAGAGGATTTGATCGCATTACTGTTCTTGATGCTTTGTTCACTGTTCTGGACTTGTTTACTGCAATTTCTAAGATTGACCTTCTATGAGGAGAAGGCAGATGCATTCGGTGCAGGACTCAAGGTCCACCACCATTTGTGCTATTTATCTTCGGAAATCACGTTTGTATTCATCACTGACAGTACAAACTAGAAAACATTCACTATCCAGTATAATATGTGCCACTTTGCAAGGTAGTTTACTGAGGGAACCGCAGACGGACATATAGTAGGCTGTTGGCATGGTGGTCTGTCTTGAATACCTAGAGCGTTTTGGGCTTGTCCGAATACTTTGTTCATAGTTTTTATTCTGTCCATGTTTCTTCTTTTGATCTGTTGATATGCCTTTTTGTCTATCCAAGAGAGTGCTTTGAGAGGCTTCGTCGAGAGAGAAGAGGGGCACAACATACGACTCTGATCAGTACTCATTAGGTAGAAAACATTTGCTCTTATTCTTTTTAGTCCCTCTTTTACGCTCACTTATGTAATATATGGACGCTGGTCTCTATAGGGTGGCTGTTTTTCTTACTACTTTCCATACTTGATGGTAGCTAGCATGTTATGTCTATTTTATCCGACTATCGTCGGCATATTACCCCCCTCTAGTAGGGTTAATTATGCTCTATGTTGTGATCGGGAAGGGTGTAAAATATTCTAGGATTCACTATAAATGTTATTTATTTCAATAATAACATATTAAAGCTTAATATATAGTATAGTAGGCGGGCGGTAGGTAGTATGGGTCTACCTTAGGAAATATACTACTATTTCTTTTTCTGAAATACCCTCGATACTAGCTAATCTAGAGCCTTTTCTTCGGAAAGGGGCTTAAAGTTAACTTTAAGCTAAGCCTACACGTTAATTTTATTTATTACTAATACGGTCCTCCTAGGAAAAGGGCTGTAGAAAATTAATATATTAACTATCTCTTAAGACTTATATAAGCGATAAGATATATTAAGTTTTATAAGCGTTATCAGGAAATATAGCATAATCTTCCCGAAACCTTGCATAGCGTTAATATTTAAATAGATTATTATGGTTCTAGCCAAAATTTATTATATATAGTCCTTTGACTTTCTATAAACATCTCGTCGAACATAAATATACGCAATACGGGCGATGATAGCTATTATTATCGTTCAGAGGAATATATATTCTAACTATCTCTCTACGTAATTATATATTCAGTAAGAAGGTCCCTTTTATGTTTAATAGACTTAATTCTCACGTTTCTAATCTAGTAACTTAATTCCTATACGCTAGGTATATCATAATAGCGCTCTTTTGATTTCTTCTTCCATAGTAGATGACGGTATCGAAATATCACCCTAGCGTAGGTTCACTTTTTCGGGACGGGTAATGCTCAAAGTCACCTATGTACAGTGATATTCTACATCACTACCTAAAAAAAGCCACTGACATGGTGTTTCACAGGTTCGTGACTTCATTGGCTCATGTGTGACTTTGCCTGCCGTAAATTCTGCGATGAAACCACATGCTATAAGCATGTATCGCGTATATATGCCTTCTTTGAACTTCTGGGCTTGATCACGTTCGTTTTGCGGGTTGTTTGAAATGTTCGTTTTTGGATTGAGACCAAGAAGCAAATACAGAAATAATGGAGAGGATAAGGTATCGAAGTCTTCAGACGAAGAGCTTTGAATAATTGACACAATAGAGCGTTATCACGACATGGTTTTCAAGTAATCTAGGATATATTCCGTGCTGTTACATTAATTCGCGCTTGTACCCACTTGACGTGACCGCTTCGTATCCTCCCTTTCCCACCTCTCGTCGTCGACTGTTTGAACAACTAGACAGATTTAGGTCAGCATGATCAAATCAAACGTCCGAATACATGAAACTATCTGGCTCACGGTACAGTACCAAGATAACAGGGTCAACTCACTTTCAGTAAACATGTCTCTCATCCTACGCTGGTACCACCATGCCATGAAGCCCACCACTACCATGAATATTATAGCTGTGACAGCGCATGGGACCCAATATTCTGCAGTCATTTCTGTTAGTATCCAATATCTTCAAAGATAGATTGTCAAACTGACGCCCAGGGCTTGGGGTAACATACGAAGGGCATTGCTGATCCTATCAGGCGAATTGACGGAGATCAAAACGAAAGGGCGTTGACTAAGGGGCGCGAACCAACTGCCTGTCGTGATTTTGCAGATGTTGGCAGTATACAGTCCAATTAGCTGCATCAATGTTCCTCCGAGTGCAGCGCCGACGGAAGTGATTAGGAGTATGAGAGCAGTTGAATACCAAATAACACACCACAACGTCTTCGCCCAGAAATGGCGGGCACGAACTCTTTCCTCCCAATTGACAGGTTCATTGTCCGGACCGCGGGCCGTAAAGTGCTTCAAAGAGGTAGGAGTGTAGAACCCATGCGACTCTAGCCAGCCCCCTTCGCGGAAGAAGTTCGTGAAGGCTGTACCATCCTCGACTTTGGCTGGTGAACCAGCATAGGCCCAGAGCCAGAGTAGTATTTGACCGAACTGGACGCAGGCGTAAATAGTGATGGTCAAAGATCGACATGATATCCCAACCTCGGGAGTGTAAAAGGCCGTCAGGAAAGCTAAAATCAAAGGGACACCGAGTAACAGGAAGGTTATTGTTAGAACCAAAGACCAGTCCAAGAGTGACAATATGGTCCTGTTTTGGAGCTCATCGATGTAAATGTCGATGATAACCCCACCACATTCTGAGTCCTTGACACTGCGGTACGTCGTAATTACCTGTTTGATCCACTTACGCTTTGTAGGGCCACGGAGCCATTGCCAGGCTACTTTGTAGCAACTCGGATACGCCAGCTCGAAACGGAGACCGAGGAAGCCTGGTGCACGGTCTTTTGGGTCTTCTCGCACGGTAGCAAAGACACCTTCGAGGATATTGGGGTTATTGCCTGCTAAAAGGAGGCCGGAGACTATCGCAATGTGTGGAATTGTCTATTTAAATCAGAAAGAAACTCAAAGAACCGTACCTTTTGCTGGAAAACATACCATGTACCATTGGCCGAAAGCGAGACCTGAGATTGAAGTCAGCACAAAATAACTCAGCACTCGCATAATTAAAAAGGTGGAGGACCTAGCGCTACGCTCTCATCCCCGATGATCGTTAAACTCTGGAGCAGTGCGAAAACAAACCCGCCCAAAAAGAATCTAGAGACGATTAGATACAGAGCACAGGAACGGGGGTTAACAATGTTAGGGCAGAGAGACAACACTTACATGACCGGTGCCCCTACAATGGAGCCAAACGAGTATTGACAGTGAAGCATAGTACGAAGTCTTGTTTTTGTCTTCCGGATCTGCTTCGTCATTTTCTCCGTTCTAGGTTGGGGGACCATGCTGTGGGTTTTATTGGTGCATGCTTTTTGCCGTGGTGAATACTCTTGTGCTAGATCAAAGGCTTCGTATAGGCGGATACCGTAAAGAAGTTTCTCCATGTGTCGCCAAGGTGAAGCCTGAAGATGATCTGTTGATCGTCGAACCATGTTTGTATTTGACTCCTCGCTCACGTGGTTTCTAACCTGCGGGGTTGTTGACGATTGTGTAGTTCTCGAAACGGACCGCTCTCTGATTGTTGGACTCTGGCTTTCCAATTTAACCGCTGTACTTGACTGCTCTGCACTTTCGTCGTTGTAGATGGACACGGGGGAGACGTAGGCTCTGTGGGAGCCAATCGGTCTTGCGAAGGAGATTGAATGCCTTTAGATTGAACCGTTGTTTTATCTTGAGATTCGTCCAAAGCTAAATCGAGATTACCGATGAGGACTATCATAAGTAGGCGGCATCGCATGTCCAATGTGAGATTTCTGTTGCGTATTTTCTCCTTCACAAAATCAAGTATCCTGTTGTCGAGAAGTGCCTCGTACAATCCGCTGAGCATCATAGGCCCTGCAAAAGCGAAGCAAGTGCAAAGCCAAATAATAGTATCAATAGAGACCATGATACCGGCAAGAATGGCACCGGGGAGCACAACCAGATAACTACCATTGCGGGCGAGTTCTGGACTGAACAAGGCTCGTGGAACTCCAAGTTTGCGGCGCCTGGGCACCGATAAACAGAAAATGACTGCGGGCAAGATGAATCCAGATAGTGGTTGGAGCCATGCATTCAGGTTTGTATTGTCGTTGAGCTGCCACCCTGGACAGACATCTGCAAACCATTTGTATGGCACTCGAACGATAGGAGTCCCCTTGTTGTTTCCTTTGACATAGGTGGCTGTGCACGGAAACAGCGAGCTATCGGTGTACTCGACAAGATCAGAAACGTTTCCGCTATCAAGAACGATCCAGTCGTCATAGCCAGGGCGAAACTCCAGGAGGCCGCTTTTCACCTCAAGAGCCTCCGCAACCGCCTTCACGCAACACCACGTGAAATTCTGGTAACCAAGATAAGGGCTACGGGTTGGACGATAGCGGTTGACGTCGCCGAGCTGCCAGATGAGATCGGAAGGCTGTTGCTGCCCATAAGCGACGGATAGGTATACAAACAGAGATAACAATGCACGAAGGCGAGCCATAAAGTCGGATCGTGGTGAGGCCACGATAGATCGTGGGGTTATTATGATTGGCTAAGTATGCTTGGATTGCCGTATTTGACGCACTTGTCGTGGAACATGCTGAAAGAAGCAAAAAATTGAGGGCTTGTGTGTGGTTAAAACAAAGGACGATGGTGTCCGTCAATGCAGAAGGTCAGCACCAACGAGTCGTGCCGCCACCTCCTCCCATTATGCCTCGCTTAATCAACTGGTCGGGGAAGGAGAATTAGACATGTTAACCCTTCCCACTCTCACAGCCTCATGATCAGCATGCCTCCTTCCTTTCTGATCATGTCGTGCAACCTGGAGAAGGACCTAAACCCCGACCCGCTTCTAGCGTCGATCCTGATAGGGTGCGCGCACACCCTTATCGCCTATTTTGAGATGTTTGCCCCTTTGTTAAATGCGGAAATAAGCCTGACATCTCCAGGGCCAGTGCAATAGTTTAATCACAGTATATAGTTACGAATGACTTTGTCAATTCAGCCAGAGTCAACGGTAGCCACGGCTGAATAAACCTGTGCGTAGTAATTCAACCGGACCAAATTAGCATAGCAGGTGCGCCTGTACTGTACATTATTCAGCAGTCTTCAGATAACTATCAGAACCCGGGTGCAGCTACAAACATATTGCATGCGTGCCAAAGTACTCGCGCCAATGAGAGCGAGGCCAGTTTAAAATTTCGCTGCGTTTCTCGCAGCGCCTGCTGGGCCTTCCTTTCAAGTCAGCCTTGAGGTAGCCTCGTACGAACTTAAGGTTTATAATCCCTCTAGATATGAGCTAGAGCCATGAGAACAGTAACTACGGCAGTGAGGAATGGAATATTTACAGCCCCAACTGCCGCGAAACCCGCTTACTTACAACCCCGCAGAATTTTAAGACTACCTATTGCTCCACATTCAGCCACAGTTGGTGTCACCAGGGTATCTTGCCACACTGAGCACTGCCGAATAGATGGGCTAGGACCTCTCTTAAGTTTGAAAGAGCTAACTTGAGTGTAATCTAACGCCTAACAGAATGACCTTTCCTATTTTGCGATTAGCGGCTATAATCGGGTATTTAACATAACGTGACACAACAAAACCCCTGTGTCTACCCTGAGTTGAAGAGTGAGCAGATCCATAAGCAACCATGAATGCTCACGGAGTAATCCATGACCCTTCGCGGTTTGTTGCGGTATATTCCTACGCAAAATTGGACTGGATCGAGAGACTGGGCTTAGGTTGTTCTAGCCTTCTATCCCTGGCCTGGTTCTCGCGCACCCGAAAAGGCTAGTAGCAGCTTGAGCCAGATTTATCAATCCCAAAATATCGAATCTTGGAAAATTACACAGTCCTATCAATACCCGCGCTATCTTTAAGTCTGTTCTTCTCCTGGCAATTGGTAGGTACGGGATTATCCTCTTCTGTGCGACGCCCAGTGCAAACTAAACCTTCACTCCCCAGAAATTACCCGTTGATAGGCGCTATCAATGACGGTTTGTATTGTATAGATTATTGAATGAAGGTCCCTCGAGAAACAGCTACTGGCGGTAGCTCCACCACGTCTTGAAAAGATCCGCCTTCAAGGGTGCGCCCCAAAACCGCCGCTTTGCTCCCCAGACGGTTATTATTCAACGCAATGTCATCAGTTATCAATACATTCGGGTCGTAAAGCAAAGGCAACCGGCCAGCCTCGATTTCGGAATGAATACCGACGAGCATCTGTCTAGTTTTCAAGTCGAATAGCAGAGGCTTGAAGCTTCCATAATGCTCAAGTCGTGGCAATATGATATCTAGAAGGTAGGAAGTGACGCGAATATCCGGGATGCAGACAGGAAGGACGTTCAAGATCCACAGGATGCCCTCATCGAAGGTGTAGTGCAGACTGTCTTCCGATGGGTCTAAGCTCTCGATGATAGACAAAATCAGTGTTGCTTCAGGGCCCAATGGCTCATTCGGAAGAGGTGGTCGACTGCGAGTTAGATAAGAGTCTAGGATATCGCGGGATGACAGGAAGCACCCGATTTGATATCGAAGAAATTGGATTGCAGCCCCGCATTCCTGGAATATGAAACGGGTAAGCTGAAGGACCGGTGCAGGATGTAAACGAGTGGGTCGAAGAGTATAGATAACTGAGGTTTGGAGCGGTGATGGGAGCGCTTTTGCGGGAAGAGCGGCGCGCCATTCTTCTAGCAGCCATCGTGTCGTAGAAAGTCTAAATAAGAGGTCTTCAAGGCTCAATGTGCTATGGACCTCTGTTTCTGGATACTCTTCGAAGGTGAAATCGAAAGCACGCGAGTACCAGGCCCTGCAGATTCGAAGAGTACTTTCACTATCAATACCGTTCAGGTTCATGCAGCTCTGCAATACCAAGCGGTTACGCAAACAATAAGCCTCGGTAAGAAGAAAAGAAAGACTGGGGATACTGTGGCCGGCGATCCGTTTTGAGAGTATCATTGTCTGTGTGGTTCGGTCACCGATGAGCTCCTCATCAAGGGGCCTAAATGGTAGCTTATGTCCATTTTTCTGCGTTCGCATCTCTGCCCAGCTGCCGAGGAGCCGTAAACCGGACGATGTCTTGCTGATTTGATCGTGTGAGGTGAGCGAAAGAGCATCAGCACCTGTTATGTGCATAAAGCATGCCTCCACGCTACCTGATTCCCATTCAAAGAGAGCCAGCAGCAAGGTCAGCGCTAGTTGGAGATCTAGATCTCCTCCGGAGAGCATTGTTGGCGTACGCAATATGCAGAGTGCTTCACCATAAAATGCCACGGCCGTTCTCAAATAGGACCTCGCTTCAGGCATATAGACAAGTTTGGCCCCGGTAGAGTCATGACATGGCCCGCTTCGAAAGAGATGAAAGTGAAAAAGACTCGAGGCTGATAGTGCCAGGATTGCAGGCTTGAGACATGGGTGAAGCCATAGATCTGAAAAGCCGTCTCGGATCACTGGTGATAATCGAGTCGAGACATGTGTATGGAAGTGGCTCAACAAGAACTCCTGGCTTGAGCTTCCTCTTAAGGACATGGGAACCGATAGAAGTGATCCATTAAGCCCGCAGATGGGAGTCTCTTTAGCACTATTAGGACAATCAGGTAGTGTAGAAGTTGTTGAAGATTGCACCCAGGAGTTGTGAAATTCTCGTGGTTGCAGCATGGCTATTGACCCTAAGTCCCTTCGATCTGCGCCGTGAGAAGATAACCCGCTTTTGAACACTCGCGCTTGATTAACCGGTACTCTGGATGGATCTTGATTATGTTTAGACGTGAATCCAACTGAGTTAATACGCCAGGTTAACTGGAGGGAATAGCCCTCGCATCGGAACCCCATTCGAATGCATTGATTACATTCCGGCTTCTTCTCATCACACTGGGAGCATAATTTCAGCACGGTCAACCGTGAGATATAGGATAAAATCCGTTAGAGATGGGGATTACCACACGTACTTTTCGGTGTCTCCGCCGGCAAGTGTGACAGCCGCTGCGTGTTCGAATGATCTGGGTTTTCTTAAATCGAGGCTGTACTGGGTCATACATGGTCGATAATTGTAAAGGACTAGAGAATGGATTTCCAGGCAGTCTCCTGGAGGGGAGCATTAAAAGCAAGAAGAGTGGAGAAAGAGTCGTGGTCGATTCTTATCGCCTCATTCCATTGGATTTGGCGTTCCCGACTACCGCATTGGGGATAGCTTCTACATCTGGACACTGTCTGGGGTGAACTATAAAAGACACTCGGACAAAACATCGAACAATTTTTTTTCTAAATGCAGTCAAATAAAATCTGTTATCATCAAATCTACTAGCAGTTTCAATCACAATGCAACTTGCAATTCGCCCCACGATTTGGCTTCGCCTTACGCCGCATTTCGACTCCCTAGGCGTGAGCGCCCTCTCGGTGCGTCTGGAGATCTTCCAAGAATTTCCTACTGGACAACCGATGTTTGTCTTCAACACCTTCTTGGACAATGTACCAGCCCCTCCTTTAGAAGAATCGGACGTCATCGCCATTGACGACCAAGGAGCACTTCCATTCAAGTTCGTCAACATCCCCACCAAGGGCCGCAATCGACAGCAGCACTGGTGTCCGGTTCGCGCAGTAAAGGGAACCCTTGTCATAGCTTACGATGTATCTGCTCGTAAAGTTGACAAGTTCACGCCGGTAGGAACCCGGATCGACCTCCGGCGAGACCAGGGTGGGCTTCAAGGTGTTGGCAAATGGTTCCTCCCACAGCTCATTTCGGACCTCACTTACACCAATGTTGTGGAATGGCGGCTGCCATCCAATGCTCCTCAAGAAACAAGATGTCTTTGGAGCTTTGGAGAGGGTCCCAAGGCTATTAAACGAGTCGGAAAGTCGGATGCAATCTGGGATTCCGTCTATATGGCTGGGCCGATCCGCAGCTACCCTGAGACCAAACCAGAGTTCTATAACTCCGAGGGATTCTCAGTATGCCATTGGTTTGGGTCCCTACCTGAAAACCTCGACCGGATCAAGGGTTACAATACCGAATTATTCCCGAGAATGATGGCTCATTTTAGATCTCACGATGAGACTTACCATGTTTTCATTCGCAAGGTGCCCTTTGGCTATGGAGGTACAGGCTTTCTCTCAAGTTACGTGTTGGAATACGACGAAACGATTCATGCAGCATCTGATGATGCCCTCACTCGTCTTTTCACACATGAAATGGTTCATAGCTTTTCGAAAATGGATCATGAAGACGGCGGCTACGACAATGCGTGGTTCACAGAAGGTCAGCTCGCTTATTTCTCCTCATATAATCATTATTTTTCTAATACCATGATACATAGGCATTGCTGAGTTCTACTCAGCGTTGTTACCGTATCGCTTCGGCCTTCGCCCAAGGGGGTACTGGGCCGACAGCATCAACTCCCACGTGCGCGGTTATTTTACCAGTCCGCGTATTAATATGGATATGCATTATGCCATGAAGGCATTCTTCGATGAGTGGTACGTAGATTGGATTGCATACAAACGTGGATGCTCCTATTTGGTTCTGCTCGATGCTATCTTGCGACGGGCGAGTGGCAAATTCGACATCACCACCCTTGGACCTTTAGATGACATAGTCATTGATATGGCTCAACGAACCAAACGCGGTGAAATGATCCGATCAAATGAGTGGTTTGGATATCTGCGACGATTTCTTGGTGAAGGTGACTTCCCATTCGAAGAGCATTTCTATGGGATGATCAGGGGAGAAACCCTGGACTTTAGCATGATTGCCGGTCATCCAACATATCGGTTCTTCCGTTGTGACAGAAGAATCCTGGAATATGGACTTGATCGAAGCAGTCTGCGGACTCGACACATCACCGGAGTGATTAAGGATTCTCCACCTGATCGTGCAGGCATAAAGGACGGCGATGTCATTGTGAAAGCGTCTAATCATAACCAATGCGCGGAGGACATTCACGCGAAAATGACATTGGTGTTGCAAAAGGGTGATAGAGAGGAGACAATAGTCTATCTTCCTCGATTGGATCAGACGACATTAAGCTACGAGCTGCCGCAAGAGGAAGCATGAAAAGGCATCTGTTCCATCATGCAAGCTAGGAGTTCCCTATATTGACAGAATGAGAATCGAACAAGTTAGAAAGTGAGCCAAGTGACTTCCAGGCTGCTCATTCCAAGGGATAACTTGTCCGAACGGAGAACATGTAGGCTAATTATGAATCGATGCGTCAAGAAATGAAGAAGTAGGTACACCATAGTTACGTCTACAAAGCCGCTGCCTTTGCTATTTTGGGTATTATATTCCTAGTGCCATGATTACTGAGTAAATCTTGCTTGTTCGATCCTTTCAATCACCATTCATTACGGGCTTTTGACCCTAATCACCCCCGAAACCGCGACGTAACCAAAGGCGAATCCATATCCCTCAAATCCGTCTCGTCATACTCCAACTCAAACCCCTCATCTTCATCCATCGACGGACTAACATGCACAGCCGGCGAAGAGATAGGACTATGAGCCACACGAGGCCGTGATTTAAAGACGCTCGCATAATCAGCGTCCTCTTCAAAGAGTTTATCCTGCGGCGTAGAGGAACGGGTGATTTTTGGTCGCGAGGATTTGCGAGGTGTTTCGAATTGGTTCACTGGGAATGAGGGGCGTGGACCTCGGCGTTTTGGTTGAGATTCGTGGGCTGGGAGGGGTGGGATGAGGGACATTGATTTGCGGGTGCGTTCGACGAGGGTGTAGCTTGATGTTGAGGGCTTGGGGGGTTCTGGGTTTTGTTCTTCGTATTCGTCGGATTCGGAGTGATGGTCCAGGGGAAGGTGGACAGTTGGAGGTGATGAATAAGTAGGCTCCGCTTGTGGTTCGATTGGTATTTCTGGCGAATTGCGTGTTGAAGGTATCGAAGGTTGGGTATCCTCTGATATCGATGGTCTTGTCGGTTGAGGGTTGTTCATCGCTGAGGTTGGTGGTGAGACTGTCTCCGAAAAGCTCACCGATGACTGAGTCTTTTCAATGCGAGAATTGCCATTTACTCTTGTGATGGCCTCGTTCACACTCGACATAAGAGAACGATCGGCTTCGTTTAGGGTTCTCCCACGGTCTGCTGATTCTCGAACCGCCTTGGATATACTTGCCACCGTCAATGACTGGTGGTCTCGGAAAACCAGACGGGATTCCTGAAAAGTGGAATTGGTTGCACCTTCGCCTCCATCGCGTTCTTTGCGAAGGGAATCGCTGAATTCATGCCATCTGCGCAGTCGACCTCGTAATCGCAGCACTCGAGCCTCTAGGTCCACCACGAGATCCGATTTGATTCCGCTGCCCAGACCTTCAACCGTCGACTCCGTAGCCTGCTTCCATGCTTTGGAAAATGGAAGCTCCAGAAAAGCGTCGGTGCTGCTTTGGGATCCGCCGTCCAGAAGAGCGGTAGCCCATTCCTCGCTGCCCAACCAATTCGTTTGAAGCTCTTGTGCCAATGCATCCGAATCCATCCGTGGCCGATCTTGATGTTGCGTGGAAACAGTGTTCGCCCGATCTGTAAGTTCGACTTTCTTATCATCAAGTAGCCGCGAGAACTGCTCATAAGTCTCCTGTACTCTCGAGCGGCGAGCTCCCGTCGCATTGAGAGAGACTTGGTGGGCAAGTATCAACGGTATCATGTTTTGATAGTCTGTCGGAGAAATGGACGAGACGGTAGATAGTGTCATTGCAGGATTCCATATCATCTCCGATGCCGATGCGGTCACCAACTTCCGTAAGACTGCCGTGGAAAAGACCGCAAGCAGTTCGTCGAATTTCTCCCCCTTACAGTCATCCAGCATCGTCTTGCGAAGGATCGTTTCTCGCCCGAGGTCACCATTCTTCTTCAATTCACTTAGAGCTCGGAATATAGCTGCACGGAGGTTGACGGATTGTAGGGGTTCTAGCGGTGGGAAAAAGGGACGTAATTTCTGTATTGAATTAGCAACTGGTCTAACATTCTTGGTCGAGTATAAGGTGTGAAATACATTTTGAGCACCTTCGGGATCCCAGATCGTAAACAGATAGTATAATGACCATTCTACCAGGCGAATTCGCTGGCGCTGGTTCTGCGACGACGGGGACAACGCGCGGATGGTGATACCGGGCCAGTTATCGCGCTGGTCTAATTGAAGAAGTTTCAGGTTGCGGATGAAGATAGCAAGTTGAGATGGGCCCGACCAGTCCAGGGGCTTTGGCCGTGCGGGCCTCGAGGCAGCCATGTTGCTGCTAGCGAATGGGGAGAGCGTGGTTTAGATCTTAGTAACTACTCCGTAAACGGCGGCGGAATGTCAACAATTGATAACGGGGGTTTGCACTGTTTGCTGCGCCTATCAGTCCCGCCCGCATCATAGGGTTTGTTTCTCTGGTTCTTCTTCCCCTTCTTCTCAGATCATTTTGCGCGCGCGCGTTCGAATCCTCTCCTCTCTCCCCTGTACTCCGCAGAAATGGGATCGAACCCTCCTCAATGGACCCCACAGACAGGCAAGTAGCTAGGGTCTCTTCGGCGTTTTGCGCTAGGACTAATCTCTTATCTTCTACAGTCCTGTCTACCCTCCCCCACCCTCCTGAGGAGAACACGACCTCTCCCATTCCCTTCTTCCACCTCCTTGAGCGCCTGAAGACCACCAAGCGCGAGGGTTGGCGCCGCTTCGGTATCAATGGCGAATCTATCTCCGACCACATGTATCGCATGTCGATCATGACGATGTTTGCCCCGCCCGAGCTGGCCTCCAAACTCAACATCCCGCACTGCACCAAAATGGCCCTGATTCACGACATGGCTGAATCGCTCGTCGGCGATATTACCCCGGTGGACAAAGACGTGACCAAGACCGAGAAGGCGCGTCGTGAAGCTGACGTTATGGACTATATCACCGAGACCTTGTTAGGCAAGATTCCCGGCGGTGCGTTGTCTGCCCAGGAGATCAAGCGTGTGTTCCAGGAATACGAGGACAATGTCACGCTTGAAGCTCAGTTTGTGCACGATATCGATAAGATGGAGCTGCTCCTTCAGATGGTGGAGTACGAGCGTGCTCACGAGGTTGACTTGTCCGAGTTTGAGCACGTCGCCAACCGCGTGCAACTACCGGAGATCAAGGTCTGGGCTCAGCAGGTCGTTGCCGAGCGTCCTAAGCGTGGTTGAATCCGCCTGACGGAGGTATAATGGCATTCGGGACTTCTACGATTTTAGTATCCTCAGTTTGTCTAGCGTTTTTTTTTTCTTGTTTTGGTCCATCATTTCGGGGGGTACCATAAATACCATAGAGTGGAACGAGTTGGGATGTGTTCCTTACGAAGACAGACGTGTGATGATGTACGACTGCATAGTTCTTTTTTGGGACTAAATGAGCAAATACACTTATTGAATTGCCCTATTCTGCTTGGTCATATCTTCGTATGTGTAGGTAGTTACATGATTGCCACCGAGGGCGCGCCGCAAGGGGACAGAATCAGATTGGAAATCCCCCTACACCTAGTCAAGGGACTCCTTCTCCATCTCGCGCTCCAGCATCTTCGCCTCGGCTTTCATTTCCTCCGCGGTACGAGGCTTGCGCTCCTCATTGTCAACGACGGGGAATCGCGGGCGGTTCTTGGCTCGCTCGGAGTCGGCAGGGAGACCCGTCTGCGCTTCGCGCTGTGCCTTGCCTACATCTCCTTCTTCTCCGTCTAGCATGTCATAAACAGCATCGATCGGGTCGAGATCCGCAGGCTTGCGGGGGATGATATGCGCATGGACGTGTGGCACGCTCTGACCAGCATGCACGCCGTCTTGCACTGCGATGTTGAGGCTTGTCGCGCCGTAGAGCCGCTCGACCATGCGGCCGACGCGCCGGACGGTCAAGAAGAGGTCGCTGGTTTCGGCGGGGGTGAGATCTGCGACTCGGGGGACGACTCGGCGAGGTGAGACAAGGACATGGCCGGGGAGGATAGGTTTCAGGTTGACGAGCGCAAAGGATAGTGGTGTTTGGTGGAAGACCTGTGTTGATACCTCGGTCAGTTTTTCATGTTTTGACGAGCGATTGGACAGGTGAGAAGGGGAATTTACTTGAGGAGTCACCAGGAACGAGCCAAAGTAGATCGGCGCCGAGGCGCTCTTGACCGAGGACATTCTTATCGAACGATTGGAAGTGATTTGTGATTTTGCCGGTGGTTGGAAGGCGGTGATGAGGAAGTTGGAGGATGACGGAGATGCGGAGATAAGGTGCTTATCAGTGCAGATCAGGTACCTGATCTGATATACAGAGAGATATCTACATTCGTCTCATGTGATACTCTCATACTTTGTAGTTTCAGGAGAATGGGTATCATTGGCATTGACCATAAATGGTATCCTGAGCTATATTACAAAATAATAATGACATGCATAACGCCTGGTACAGCATCGGCGTTGGGGATAAGACATTAGTGAGACAAGAAGAGACGGGAAATTACGAGAGTCTGATAGTCTTTATGACTCTGCTTTCTGCTCAGTTGCAGCCTCAGTTGCAGCTTCAGGCTCAGGTGTGGACCCCTGCTCAGCTTCTTTACTGTCATCAGCAACAGAAGTAGTGGTCACATCATCCGTAGGAGCGTTATCCTCAGTTTCCTGAGGTTTGGTTTCGCCTTGGCTGTCTTGGGCGTCAGCTTCCGCTTCCTCTGGCGTTTCATCCGTAGTCAGAGCTTCCTCTGCGGGCTGTCCAAGCTCAGATGCCTCAGCCGGCTCTGCAGCCGGGGTAGCATCTTCAGAAGTTTCTTCTGCAGCGGTTGGCACTGCAATTTCGACAGGGATCTCCTTTGTCTCCTCTGCCAATGTGCTCCCAGCTGGTTCAGGCTGATCTTCCTCCTGCAAGACTTCTCGTAGAGGTGCAGAAATTCGAGGGGAGTCATCATTGTCCTCGGCACTTTCCGTGATCGTGCTCACTCGTGATCCTGTAGATGGGCTGTGCTTGTGGCGGCGGGTAGTAGCACCGGTGCTGATTGCGGGATCCATGCCCTCCACACTAGATCCAAAGGGACCTTCATTCTCCTTGCGTAGAATTGTCAACCGCTTATTGTCAATAGCTTCATCCACCTGGGGCTGAATGGCATCCGGCCCTTCCGCCTCCTGGGGAATAGTGTAGTTGTCCTCCGGAATAAGGGCGAAGACATCACAGACAGTCTTGAAGAAGACATAAAGCCCATCATGTCCCTCCACAGTCCAGAAAACATCACGATGTTGGAACCAAGCGTGCGCAAAGATGCGGTAAAGCCGGCGGAAGATATTTGTCAAGTGTCGCATGCTGGCCTGCGGCCCAGCGGAGCCCTCGGTGCCTAACGTCAGGCGGCTGGGAAAGTACTTGGGGGAGGTAAGGGTATTGGTAGCCCAGTCGAGGGTATGGCAACAGTAGTCGATAGCACAGCATGATTTAGGTGGGTCGTGGACAGCGCAAAGGTATTGCCATTCCGAGGCTCGCATCTCCGGGCAGGTCTGCGCTGAGCAGGGCGGGTTCTCGGCGAAAAAGGCGATGATGAGATTATTCACTTTCATGGTCAAGAAGCGGCATAGTTCGTAGAGCCAGAGTGATCGGTCAACTCCATCGGGAGGGGTTGCGAGCTGACTTGCGACTTGGCGGGTAATTGGGACCACCGTGTCTGATCCTTCAGGCTTGGTGAAATGATGGTAGAGCGCCTTGAGGTGTTCCTGGAGCTGGAAAGGAGAATCAAGCTGGTAATGTTAGCAGGAGAATTCAATATGGAGCTTTAAAGATGCGCATACGAACCTGCGAAAGAGGAATCAGCGGCGGACCGAACGCCATGTCGGCGGCCTTGGTACCCGGGCGGATACGGCGCGTAGGGCCATCATCATCGTGGGCCGCACCTCCGAGAAGCTGCTCCGCATCCTTCCCAAATGTCTCGCCAATCGAAGGCGACTGAGGACCGATCTGGACCTCCGTGAACGGGGGCGGACTGGGAAGACGCGGGGAGCTAGACGGGGAGACTCCCGCGGCAGTCATGACGCGTGGCGGAAAGGTAGATTGTCGGGAAAAGAGGATACGAGCAGAAACGAGTGTGGTTGGCGACTATAAAAAGAGTGAAAGGGAGCTCTGCGACTAGGTGAGTCGATCAGAGAGACGATGGATTGACGAGCATACTCTGTTGTCCCGTTGGAGTTGTACTGGCAGATAAGCTCACGGGGGCAACAAAACAAATGACCGCTCAGTGCCCTAAGCCCTAATCGCCGCCTTGGGCGACAACGTCATGCGGCGTTTCGATGCGGGTTGCATCGGCCTGAAGGAACTTATAGCTGTTCTGGGCTACAACGAATATTTGATTTTGCAACAATGTCTACCAATTTTGAGGACGATGATGCGCCTCCAGAGCTGGTGGACGTATCCGCGATGCCGTCGGACCAGCCGGAGTCTATAGAGGAAGAGCAAACACCTCGAGTTCCTATCACCTTGGTCACAGGTATGATAAAACCCAGAGATAGTGGAATATAGATCTAATTTTGCTTGGTAGGATATCTTGGAGCTGGAAAAACAACTTTGTTGAACTATATCTTGACAGAGAAACATGGAAAGAAGATTGCTGTGATTATGAATGGTTTGTTTCAAGATCCTGAAGCCCAAAGAAGAATATATGCTAAACTATTCTAGAATTTGGTGACTGTAACGATACCTTTCAATATGAGACATGATCGCAGTCTAAGCTGACATGCATTCCGTATAGCCTCGGACATTGAGAAGCCTTTGACAGTCAACCAAGGTGGCCAGGAAGTCACCGAGTGGATGGAAGTTGGCAACGGCTGCATTTGCTGCTCAGTCAAGTACGCCTTCAAAAACGAATCTAAGCTTGGTTAATCACGCAAGTTTCGAAAAACTAACAATCAAGCCAGGGACACGGGTGTAATGGCCCTGGAATCCCTCATGGAACGCAGAGGCACATTCGACTACATCCTGCTAGAAACAACAGGACTTGCTGACCCGGGCAACATCGCCCCAGTATTCTGGATGGATGAGGGGCTAGGTAGCTCCATCTACCTCGACGGCATCGTCACACTCGTCGACGCAAAGAACATCCTCCATCTTCTAGACGAACCCGCACCAGAGGAAAAAGCAAGCTCTCACAATGAAGACCATGACCACGGTTCCGGGCCTGTACTATCCATGGCGCATATGCAGGTCTCACATGCAGACGTTATCATCCTCAACAAGGTTGATCTTGTTACGCCCGAAGAGCTGGAAGTCGTTCGGGACCGGATCTCGGCTATTAACAGTGTGGCGAAGATTCATGTTACGGATCATAGTCGGACGCCGCAGATTGAGGGTGTTGTGTTGGATTTGCATGCCTATGATCATCTTAATGATTTGGATTTTAGTAAAAAGGGGCATAGCCATATTGATCCGGTACGGTTCTCTAATTCACCGTGTTGTTTATGCTGGTGTTCATGTATTGACTCGTGATGACAGGCTATTTCAACTATTGCAGTTGTGGTACCTCCCATTCCCGCGGACAAGGTACCACAAGTCGACTCCTGGCTGCAATCTGTTCTGTGGGAATCAACGCTGCCTGTGCCGGCCAACTCATCATCTGATACCCACCCGACGAGTTTTGAGATTCATCGGCTAAAGGGTATTCTACGGCTTGAAGATGGGACGAGTAGGGTTATTCAAGCTGTTCGGGATGTCTTTGAAATCAGAGATGCCGAGCCGACTCAGTGGGACGAGGACAAGCCGTCTCCTGTCCAGTGCAAGATTGTATTGATCGGCCGAGGGTTAGGGCCGACTGTAGATCCCTGGAGCAATAGCTTCGAGTCATTTGTCCGCGGGAGGTAAAGAAAGAATGCGTTAAGACTTCTCAAAGTATACAGGGTGTTGTTACTTGCATGATAAGGGTGTCACATCGTACGACAATCTAGACATAACCGTATAAGATAGCGCGTGCGTTGGTGGCTGTATTCCCCATTGACAACTACACGAGGCCCTACTCGCCTCACTAAACTTCAAAAGGACCTTTTGAATTATGACGTCAAAGATAAGCCGAGTATTGACCTCTGAGGCTATCCAGACAGACGGGTCCAAAGTCCTCTAGGAAGACCTTTTTCAAAGACATGAAGTTAGAGCGTATCCAGCTAGACTTTTTCTACAGTCTCTAAATCCAGGCTCTTGATTACATGGCCCCTCCAGTGGGGCGAGCCAATCAAATTATCTAGCTTATCGCGATTAAGAAGATCCAATGTGCATTGCATTCAATCAACAGAAAAAATAATACAACCATATCAACAAAAGGAAAAAGAACGAATAATCCAAGTACATCAAGAGTATTCGCTACAACGCCAAATAAAGAATGGAAAAAAACCTCCGTATATAAGCCGAAGACGGAAATGTAGATAACATGGAAGAAACGAAACCAAATCAAAGAGAACAAAACCGCAAACAAAAAAATTGTATTAAATCAGAGTCATGAGAAGTGCAAGAAAAAAAAGAGAGAGAAAAAAAGGGACTTTTTTGACGCCAAAGTTCGCCGGCATGCGCCATCGGGGCATACTCCTTGATAAAGAGCTATGCTGAAAAGACATCCAGACAACGACGAAGGAGGGCAGGGCAACTATACAAGCGGAAAAGAGAAAGGAGAAAGAAACAAAGTGGGTATCGAGCACTGGGCCCCGTAAATAAAATGGTAGGGGCGAAAAGATTTCTGGTTTTGGTTCACGTGGTCGGAGCGTAGATTGCTGGGGATGTAGATCTGCGCTGAAAGAGGAGGGTAGGATGGAGGTTAAGAGAGGTTGGCGAGTTTTTCGCTGAAGGCGGGATTGATGGGGAGTTGGGATTCGGAGAGGAAGGTTATGAGCTTTTGACGGATTGACTCGGACTCTGCAGCGGCGGCGGTGGGTGTTTGTGGTTGAGTGTTGCGTGGTATAGCTGGGAGTGATCGGCGCTGAGAGAGTCCGAGAGCAGGATTGATGGGAAGCCGGGACTCGACGAGAGAAGAAACAGATCCAATGGGGACCCACTCATCAGAAGTTTGTGCCTCTTTCAGCACTGATGGGAGTGACCTACGTTTCGAGATGTGGGCAGGGTTTATTGGCAGGGCTGAACGTAGGAGGGAGCTCGTCGAGTGAGGATACTTTTCCGGTTCACTTTCGAAGCTGACATGTTTCCGAGTGGGTGAAGGTACATGTTCGTTAATGGGCAAAGGTTCCGAAGTCGACTGAACTGGAGGACTGGGCTTCGGATCATCATTCGTGTCTTGATCTTGAACAGCAACCGACGTGTTCTGACTGGTAGATGGCTCCAAGGGCGATAGCTCTTCCTCTGCGTTGGTGCCTGTTCCGTTTTCCATGTTGTTGGCCCAGAAGATTGGAACGGCATTTTGGACCTTCTGATCTGGAGTCGTTCCGGACTTTGAATCGTCGAGAGGGTACTGACTGCGATCACAATCCTGGGCAGTGCTGTTGGGATCATTATGGTTCAAAGTAGAAGCAGACGAGTGGCGAGGCGCAAAGTCGGCATCCCCAGTTGATTCTGCAAGAGTGATGGTTGATCGCTTTCCTTCATCATGATTATCTGCGAGCATAGACCGTGGTCGACTTTCAACCTGTGCTCTGGGCGCCTCCTGCTCGTAAGAGTCCTTCCAGCGATATTGGGGCTGTGGCTCTGCTGGGGGTAAAGGATAAAAACCGTTCCTCGTTGACATGACAGGTGTAGGCTCCATCTCGTGGGGGAGCATAATCCGACTGAGAGGTCGCGGTCGTCGTAAAAGCAGATCCGGTGGGAAGAAATGGAGAAGCTCTTTTGCTCCTAACCTGTGTCGGGGTATCGGGCTGAGACAAATGTCGACAAGACGTCGATAATACTCTGGTACGTCCACGTCGTATCCAAGGACCAGTGGACGGGGTTGTCGTTCGGGCTCATCCTCCCCCGTGGCCAGGGCCCACAGTGTCATGCCCAGCTGGTAGAGATCCGTCTTGACGCCAATGTACATGGAGATTCGCTGATTGCTCTCAATCTTTGCGGCAATCTCGGGGGGCTCCCAGCCAACCGGACAGCCCCTACGGTTGATATCGATGATATGCGCATCATCATCTGCATCTACTACGATGTTCGACAAGGTAAAGTCACCTTGGACGTAGCCTGATTCGTGGATCTCACAGAGACCCTGAACGATCTGTTTGGCCCATCGCTCTCGTCTGGCAAACGAGATCTGCCCACGCTGCTCATACAGCATGTCCACAAGTGCACCTTGCTCTGCATAGCTGATCAGCAGGCCTTTGACCACTTCTTGCTGGTCATCAACCACGATGCCCTCCACTCGAATCACGTTCGGGGCGCCGTTGAGAGCATGGAGGGCATTGATTTCATAGAGAAATTCATCCACCGTGTCAGGGCCCGGGATTTCTTTCTTGATATATGGGTGTCCACCCAGTTGAACCTTGTACACGAATCCAGAAAGATGAGAGTCAAAGTGCAAGAGGCGCTCAGGTACTCGTCGAGCGCCTCTTAGATGGCGAATACTGGCTATTGGCGGATAAGGTATCGTCTCGTTCACATCCTCCGTAACATGGACATGCAGACGGCCGTCGAGAGTCTCCACCTTGAGATTCGTCACCGTGTCGTAGAATTGAATCTCGGCAAGCGATTCCCGAATCGACTCGTATATCCGGGCACACTTGTCCCGCTGGTATCGCAATTCCTCCAAATCTCGCTCCAGAGAGTCGGGCGGGGCGCCGCGGTAATCCATCGAGATGGTCACTCGGCGCCATTTTGTGGGTGTTTCGGCATAGGTGACGAAGAATTTCTCCCGGCCTGAGTTGTCCCGGAAGTGCATACTCAGATTCAGGATCCATCGCTGCTCCAGCTCCATCTCGAGATCTTCCTGCAAGGGTGCCGATGCCGGCACTGGCGCCTGCGTCTCCGTTTCCGTCTCTGGTTCTAGGTCGGTCTCGATCTCCGAGGGGGTGATTGTCACGTCCGGGTACGAAGGATTCTCCCAGTCGGCGTGGAGATCACTTTCATCGTTCGTTTCGGCGGCGTCGTCGACCGTGGTTGAGGGTGTCGGGCCGAGCCACTGAACCTCTGGTGCGGAGAGTCGTGGGGCCACGGCTGGCGGTGGAGAACGGGTTCTGGTTCTTTGGATGCTCAACTGTTGGCGGTCGGCGGACTGGGCACGGCGGTGCTCAGGCTCGAGGGGGGCTAGACGATCTCGACGTTCGGAAATCTGGCGTTTGAAGGTGGTTGATCGGGGGAGACCGACGCCGACTTTGCGAGAGAGACGGCGGGTCAAGTTATCCTGCTTGGCGCGGGGGAAGTTGTCGGCAGAGGAGGCGCGGTGGTTGAGGTGGCCGTGGGAGTGGTGGTTGTGGGGGGATAAAGAAGATTGTCTCCTATCGGCCCTCTCGGGCGAAGCGTCTCGATCATCGCGGCCCAGCCATCGTCGCAGGCCCAGACGATGCCACATACTCTGCTTTTGTTGAGGCCCCTTTTCGTCCAAAGGGAAACCCAGCCGCGTCGGGCTATAGGAGTTATTGGCAAGCGAGATGGCCATTCGGCACGCTCAGTCGTGCAAGGAACGACTCGAACACGCCGGCCGGAAGGCCGATGGCCATAAGAATCGAGCCGATTTTGATCGGGCTCCTAGTTGGCGGGGGTTAAGGAGGAGAAAAAGAGGCAGAAGAGAAGGAAGAAAAAAGTTCGTTTGTACCTGCACTGGCCACACACTACGAGGGTTGTGTTGGTTGGCGTAGATTTTCCCTGGTCTCCCGGTCGTTCTCTAACTGAATGGTTCCCCCTTTTTTCTTGCTGGTCACTTGGAAATATCTCTTCCAAGAATCTCAGAGAGCTTCCGTGTAGGTCCGGGTCAAGATTCAATCTGGCGTGTCACACAACGTCGGGTTGCAATGGGCGCGGAGGCTGGGAGGCTGGTCCGTGACAAGACCAGGGAAAAAGGCGGTGCACAGAAAAAAAATAATAAGAAGAATAGAAGCTAGATGTCGGTGTAATCGACTTTGACCTTAGATAATTTTGATCTCGTTCATCCCAAATCTCCCAAGGTCAAGTCTTCGCCAGGAGAAAAAGTACCGAGAAAAAAAACCGTTGCTGGACGTGATGCGCTAATCCACTGCAAGGCTTCAATGTCTCACAGACGAGGAGGAAATCAATTATAGCGAATAAACACCGCAGCAAGATAACAAAAAAAAGGACTCTGCAGGGGATCAATCAGATCCTGCTGGCAACAACAGGAGGGAAATCAAGGGAGAAGCGAGAAAAAAAAAGCGCCAGGATATGATTCATCGCGCACAGATAAAATTGGGAAAGGAAGCGTTGCGGCCTGACAGCGTATGCCTGATTGGAAGGGACTCTACGAGGGGGATTGGCGAACGTTCTATAAATTCCATCTTGTCTAGGGCCCAGTACGATCGAGAACTTGCCCAACTCAGGATTGGCATCGGTGGAATTATCAGTGGCCCTGCATGGCGGTTATTTCGTTGGGCTCGAGAGTTGATCGACTTTTGTATACTCCGTCCACTCCACTGGCTCCACGGTTTAGTGGCCTAGGCCTGCCCCCTGTTCATGTGAATCTCGTCCGCGTTTATTTATTGACCGAATGAAAGGGAGAGAAAAGCAAAAAGCAAAAATAGAACCAAATAATATAGGCTGTGACTCACAAGTGGCTGATAGTTAACTAGTTAACTGGAGAAAATATCTACAATAGCGCTTCCTCTCAATATGGAGGAGCATGAGATCGCTCTTCATGCTCTGATCAGGTAGACCGTAAGTCAGTAGTAGCATCATGTAATGCAAACAAGGGTTTTAAATCCCATCTCTCAATAGATCCATGATGTTAACGAAGTCTTGGACCAAAAACGTACAAGAAGCAGAAGAATGCAGTGTGGAGAGTTCAAACACACGCAATATCTCGGTCTCCTCCATATAGACAGTAGAGATCGATACCTTCCTTATATCCTTCTTGCACTCTTTAAATCTATCTGAATGTTGCTGTACTCGGTCAATCTCTTCTTAGAAATCATTTACAGGGTCAGGTGGTCATCGCAGCACGCTACAACTTCAGACCGGCTACCTCGCCTAGAGAGAGTATACAATGCCAGAAAACGAAGACAATGTTAGATCACCCAACCAGGATCATCCACCAATCGTCTTTCTATTCAATTCAAAGAGTGGAGTGCGGGTTCCTTTTCTTTTCGGTGGGCTCCATACATAAGGGAAAAGCAAGAAACGTCTAACCACTAACAACTCCAATCCATGCATTCCGTGTCGGCAACGACACTGAAAAGACGCCATGTACAATGTACATCCCAAAGTCCACGTAACTATACAGGGTCAAATCACAAAAAAAAGATCGCAAGGCACGGGCATATATGTATACCACAGGCTTCTAGGCCCGGACATAACAAGAAAATCAGATCACATTTCATTCGTCATCCTCGCCGTCTCGCTCGCCCTTCTGGTTCGCGGGCTTGGCGAGGGCCTTCTGCCAGATGGTGCGGGCACCCTCGTGGTTCAGGTCGGCGAAGAGAATGTCGAAGACTTCAGAGTACCAGCTGACCGGGTGGCCTTCGATGCCCTTCTTGATGTTCTATTGGGTAGTGTTAGCGCTGATCGGCGGAGAAAAAGATCATAAAGCAAGACAAAGGAACTTACCTCGGGTAGCTCAAGCCAGTCAGAGAGGTTGTCAGCTGGGAAGATGACCTTGGTTGCGCCAGCCCGACGAGCAGCAACGGTCTTCTCCCGTAGACCACCAATACGCAGAACCTTACCGGTAACCGTCAATTCACCAGTCATGGCGATGGTGGGGTCGAGAGGGTGGTTCAGTGCCAAGGAAAGCAGTGAGCTGGCCATGGTGATACCAGCAGAGGGCCCTATTGAGGCGGTGTTAGCAATTGAACAACGGGAGGAGTCGTCATCAGGGGATGACGTTGAAAACATACCATCCTTTGGAACAGCGCCCTCAGGGCAGTGCAGGTGGATCTTGGCCTTCTCAAAGAAGAGGTTCTCAGAGAATTCGCGAGCCATGACGGACTTGGCGAACGAGTAGGCAATGTGCGACGATTCCTTCATGACGTTTTGCAGATTACCGGTGATCTCCAGACCGGGCCGAGAGGAGTACTTCAAAGCGTTCTCCAGAATACATTCGACATACAGCGCGGCTCCGCCCATGCTAGTCCAAGCCAGACCCATGGTGACACCAGGTGGGAACTTCTCGTACAGACGGTCAGCGGTGAAGACTGGGGGTCCAACGTAATCCTTCAAGGTCTCCTTGCCAATGCTGAGGTGGACACTCTCGGGAACCTTGAGGGCAAGACGAGGGGTCTCCGTGGTCGACTTCTCGGGCTCCAGTGGGGTCTCGGCAGGATCCGCAGACTCGTGCTCCTTGGCTTCTTCTTGAGCAGCCTTGCCCTCATCGGTCAAAGCAGCCTCTTCGGGCAGAGTCTCCTCGCCCAGGTCCTGAACGATCTTGAAGGCTGCCTTCCGGTACACCTTCTCAATCTGCTTCTTCAGGTTACGGACACCGCTCTCGCGGCAGTACGACTTGATCAACTCTTCAATGGCGTCCTGCTCGAGAGTTACGTCCACATCCTTCAACCCGGTCAACTCCCGAGCCGCTGGGGCCAGGTATCGCTGAGCAATTGCCATCTTCTCGTCCGCTACGTAACCGGAGAGCTCAATCAGCTCCATACGGTCCAGCAGAGGTCGAGGAATAGTGTCGGTGACGTTGGCGGTGCAAACAAAGAGGACCTTGGACAAGTCCACAGGAACATCCATGTAGTGGTCTAGGAACGAGGAGTTTTGCTCGGGATCAAGCAGCTCCAGCAGAGCGGAAGAAGGATCACCCTGGTGGCCTCGGCCAATCTTGTCGATCTCGTCAATCAAGATCAAAGGGTTCTCCGTCTGGCACTTCTTAAGAGCCTGAATGATGCGTCCGGGAAGAGCACCAACATAGGTTCGTCGGTGACCCTTGATCTCCGCAACGTCGGTCAAACCACCCACGGAGAAACGGTAGTATTGTCTGTTCAGAGCACGAGCGACTGACTTGCCAATACTGGTCTTACCCACACCGGGAGGGCCAACAAGGCAGATAATCTTACCCTCGACTGTGCCGCGCAGCTTGCCAACAGCAATAAACTCAAGAATACGATCCTTGACATCTTTGAGACCGTAGTGATCCTCATCCAGAACGCTGACCGCATTCTTAATGCCGAAGTTCTCCACACTCTTCTGGCCCCACGGAATCTGGGTCAACCAGTCCAGGTAGTTCCGGGTGACATTGAATTCTGAGGCGGCAGGTTCCAAGTGAGCTAGCTTGTTGATCTCTTCTTCAAAGACTTTCTTGACAGCCTCGGGCATAGCTAGATTCTCAGCCTTCTCCTTGAACTTCTCCACAAGCTTATCTTTACCGTCAGACTCAATACCAAGCTCTCGCTTGATACCCTTCATCTGCTCCATGAGCCAGTATTCACGCTGGCGCTTTTGGATCTTGGCCTCCACATCCTTGGTAATCTTGGACTGGAGCTGTGCATTCATCAACTCTTTCTTCAAAACAACAAGGGCCTTGGGAAGACGCTCTTCAATGTTCATAGTCTCGAGCACCTCCTGCATCTCATGCAGCTCACCGGCAGAGACTGCGGCAGCAAAATCGGCAAGCTTAGCGGGTTCATCGCTGAGGTTTCCGGGGAACTGATCCGTGTAGAAGGCGGAGATCTGATCACGGAACAAGGGGTTCAGGGTGGCGATCTCCTTGCACACGTTCACAATCTCACTCGTCACGGCACGAATGATTCCGTTCTTCTTATCATATGGTTCCTCTGCCAGATTCTCCACGTTGACCAAGCTGACAGGATATTTCCGTAGGAAGGAAGTGGGTTCATAGTGGTCCTTGGGAGCACTTTCGGGCGTTGTTTCTTCAAAGCTGGCAACCACGTCGCCCCGCTTCTCTGTAGTCTTTTCCTCCGTCGCAGTAGCATCTTTCTTCGGTTCGGCGGGTGGAAGTAGTGAGGAGATCTTGATACGTCGGTGAGGGTATAGGACAGCGGTCACACCGCTAGCCTCGCCGCGAAGAGGGTAAGCCGCAGTGATCTGAGCAAAGACACCGGTATCGTAGACATCTTCCAAATTCTCAATCACATCGCCATCGGCGTTGTCATCCTTGAAAAGGAACGCGCCAACATAGGGCTGACCCCTCTTCATCATATCCTGGATCGCATCGGCAACATTGGGGTCCCGGATAGTGATAGCTTTGTAGAATCCGGGGAAGAGGGGACGCTTGGCAATTGGAATGGCCATGACCTGAGGGTATACATCCGGAACAGCTGGCTTTTGTAGTGCCTTATCTCCGGATCCCTTCTTCCCCTTCTTGCTACCATCATCGTTGCCGCCGCTACCACCGCTGCTGGCCGAGCTTGGCTTGGAGTCGGCTGAGCCACCGGTTGGCGGGATAGGGGATGGCGTCTGGTTCGAGTCACCCTTCCCATCCGCTGCATTGGCATCTTTCTTTGATTCCTCCTCTAAGCTCCGTTGCTCTTTATCTCCGGAGGACCGATCCTTTCTCCGCGTGGTGCCTGTCTGGTCCACGGTCTTTCCCGAGTCGAAAGCTTTCCTTCGAGACTCAGGAGCTCGGTCTACCTCCTTGTCATTTCGCTGTGATTCTTCCTCCTCCTTCTGTTCTTGGTCGTCTTTCTGGTCCTCTGGTGGGGGTTTCTCTTTCCGATGGATAGAGCTCGATGTGAACGTGCGGGGGGCTGATGGAAGAGAGCGGGCGAGTCTGGCCGATGTCAATGCTGATCGAAAGGTCGCATTGTTCCTCGGCGAAATCAGGAACGGCCGACGAAGTAGAGGGCGAGGTGTTTGGTGGAGCGCAGCTCTCCAGGGGAGGGTCTGCCCGCGGAGCATGCTACTGGATCAAGTCGCGTGATTCGGGGGAGGTTGGGGTAGGCTCGAGTACGGTAGGGAATCGGGTATTAAACAGAGCCTAATAAAACCCGTGTAACAGCTCCGGGAGAGATGAAGTCGTGAGAATAATGGAAGAGAGATGGGGAGTGTAAGGAAACGCAAGTTCCGGCCTCGGAACACCGCTCTGTAAGCAGCTCCATCTTTCATCATCCCAGTACGGGCCGACTATTCTTCCGAGGAACCCTTCCACCGAGCCGCCTGGAAGCTTCTTCAGCGAACATGAGAAGCCGACTGGTTTACAGGGTATCGGGTTTGCGATTTTTTAGACCTTACCCGGGTTTCTGCTCGTCTTTCACTCCTTTTTATTCCCTTTTTCCTACTCTCATCGCTTGATCCCAATTCTGTCGACAATCAGCCAACCACCACTCGGCGATTACAACCCATGAACCCATCCGCAGCATTCCCGAAGGCCGCGGGCCTCCCCGTGCGCCTGCTGCGGGCACCGTCGACATGCTCGACACAAGCCGGACAACATGTCTGTTCTGCGAATCAGAACCGAGGATATCATGCGACAGCCACCGAGTCTCCTGCAAGACGATTGCGAGAGGGTGTTTATAAGAAGAAATCGTTCATGGCACCCTCGGTTAGAGTAGGTGACCCTTTTCGGACAACTATGGGCTGCTATATTGCGCCGTATTACAATTGATTGACCATATTTATAGATTTTCCACACTACATCCCCCCTCTCGGCGATTCCCGATCCCTATAAAGTCCTCGGCGTGGACAAAGGTGCCTCCGCCAGTGACATCAAGAAGGCATACTACGGCATGGCCAAGAAATACCACCCGGACACGAACAAAGATGCCAATGCCAAGGAAAAATTTAACGAAGCGCAATCTGCCTATGAACTGTTATCCGATGCGAAGAAGCGCGAGAACTACGATCGATTTGGCTCCGCAGCCTTCGACCAGAATGGTGGATTCGACCCTAATGCCGGCGGTAACCCCTTCGCTGGGGCTGGTGGATTCGGTGGATTCGGTGGCGGTGGATTTGGAGGCGGCCCATTCGGTGGAGGCTTTGCGCAAGATATCAATTTTGAGGATCTCTTCGGTGCTTTTGCCGGAGGTGCTCGCCGCGGTGCGCGTGGGCGGCGCAATCCCTTCCAAGAGCAAATTCTGGTCGGTGAGGATATCGAAGTACAGAACAACATCTCATTCATGGAGGCCGCCAAGGGAACGTCCAAAGAGATCAAAACCACTCCTCTGACCCAGTGCGGAACCTGCAAGGGCGATGGGCTGAAGTCTGGCGCGAAGCGATCCCAGTGCAAACAATGCAATGGCTCCGGAACCCGTGTTCACTTCATGCAGGGTGGTTTCCAGGTTGCTGCGACTTGCGACGCCTGTGGAGGCATTGGTATGATCGTTCCCCGTGGGTCTGAGTGTGGCGGATGTCATGGAAACGGTGTCGTTCGGGAGAGCAAGACGATCAAGGTGGATATCCCTGCTGGTGTCGAGGATGGTATGCGGATGCGAGTCAGCGGGGAGGGTGATGCGCCACCTACTGGAACGTCCGCTGCCGCCGGTGCTCGGACTCAACGGGGTGATCTCTATGTCACTATTCGGGTTGCTCCCGACTCTCGCTTCAGCCGCAACGGATCCGATATCCTTTACACCGCCACCCTCCCGCTTACCACCGCTCTTCTTGGTGGTGAGGTGACGATTCCCACCCTCGATAACGAAGTTAAGGTCAAGGTGGCCACTGGTACCGGCACTGGTGATCGAATCACCTTGTCCGGCATGGGTATGAAGAAGCTTGGTGGCCGGGGCGGCCGCTTCAGTCCCACGGGCGACCTAAAGGTTGAATTCAAGGTTGCCATGCCGAAGTACCTGACCGGCAACCAGCGGACTATCTTGGAGGTCCTTGCGGATGAGATGAACGACAAGACGGCTCGACGGACTATGAATTTCACCAAGGAGAGGTAAGTTGTTGTTCAGTTGCAAACTGCTTTGTACGTTTCTTGATGTATGCTGACCTCGCATTTCTCCAGCCCTCCATCATCTTCCGAATCCACCGGCAGCGAGCACAAGAACGAAGGATTCCTCAAATCTGTCTGGCAAAAACTGACGGAAAAGAACTGTGATTCTTCGAAGCCCGAGGCCAAGGATGCCAAGGATAGCAAGGATGCTGGCAAGACCGATGCCAGCAAGGACGACTCGAAGAAGTCGAGCTAAAAAAAAAAAAAGAAGAGCCATGTAAATCTCTGTGTATTTGTATACTATCTTGGGCTTGTATTTATTCCGTGTCCTTTCTTTTCATCTGTTCTATTTATTCACCATGTCATAGCGCCGGCGAGATCGGATGGCCTGGTTTCTGCCATTTTGGGGGGCGGGGCAGTCCACTTTGTATTACTATTGTCACTGAAGCTCTCTACTGTTTCCAAATTAAGATTATAGAGTTTATTCTTCTGCCTGCAATATATACCCGAGTAGATAGCTATACATAAGCCAGGACCGAGCCCCTGGAACTATATAATATGCAAAGGCTAAACTGGCGCGTGGTTGGTTGGCGCCCGTCTAGGCCATCACAACAGCCCGTCACTTTGCTGGAGATCACATCCCACCTGTCACCTTCCTCAACTCAACCTTCTCCCGTAAGCATCTCCTTTCCCCCGCCATTTACCTCTCTTCTTGCTCGCCATTCAATTCCATCCCGACTTTCTTCCCATCTGCTGGTGAAATACTTCGGACCGACGTCATTGACCGACCAGTGATCACCGTTAGGCCCCGACCTCCCGCCCTCCCTTTACCCCACAGCACTCGACTCCGTTCCCCTCAGGAGCACGGTCGAACTCGCGTTTTGCGCCCTCGCCAGCTCTTCGCTCTTTAAATTATCGCTAGTTTATGGGAGCGCCTTGCTCCTCATAACCAGCCGACCATGGTTCAGTCACCCATGCTTTCCTGCCCGTTGAAGCAGACCAACGAGATCGATTGGATCCAGCCCCTCAAGGATTACATCCGGCAGACCTATGGCGAGGACCCCGAGCGTTATGGCCAAGAATGCGCGACACTCAACCGGCTTCGACAGGATATGAGAGGCGCTGGCAAGGATAGTGCTACTGGACGTGACCTGCTCTATCGATACTACGGCCAGCTGGAGCTGTTGGACCTCCGCTTCCCCGTCGATGAGAACCACATCAAGATCTCCTTTACCTGGTATGCCCCCGTTACGCGTCGCATAAGTATTTTGGATCGACTGTTGACCCCCTCTTTCACTCTAGGTACGATGCATTCACTCATAAGCCGACCTCCCAATACTCCTTAGCCTACGAGAAAGCTTCCATCATCTTCAATATCTCGGCCGTCCTCTCCTGTCATGCCGCAAACCAAAACCGGGCGGAAGATCTCGGTGTCAAGACCGCGTACCACTCCTTCCAGGCATCCGCGGGGATGTTCACATACATCAACGAGAACTTCTTGCATGCGCCCTCGACCGATCTAAACCGAGATACCGTCAAGACCTTGATTCACATTACTCTTGCTCAAGCTCAAGAGGTGTTTTTAGAGAAGCAAATACAGGATAAGAAGAAGCCTGGATTCCTCGCGAAACTGGCTGGCCAGGCCGCCTACCTCTATACTCAAGCCGCGGAGACAATGCAAGACTTTGTGACCAAGAACGTCTTCGACAAAGTATGGTCAATCATGGTGCAGGCCAAGGCCGCACATCTGGGATCCACCGCATCCTACTTCCAGGCGATTGCGGACAGTGAAGGCAATTCGCATGGTATAGCCGTTGCTCGACTGCAGATGGCAGAGAAGCAAGCTACTACTGCACTCACCTGGGCCAAGTCCTTCCCCTCCTCGGCTTCTGCGACCTCAAATTTGCCGGTGGAGGCCGGAGCCAACTTGGTAGAACTTGTGAAGCACAACCTTGCAAATGTACAAGAGATGCTGGTTACGATCACCAAGGACAATGACTTTATTTATCACCAACCCGTTCCTAACGAAGCTGGCTTGTCTGCAGTTCCTAAACTGGCTGCAGCCAAGGCAATCCCTGTCAGCGAGCTGTATCAGGGACAAGATATCCAACGTATCATCGGACCGGATATTTTCCAGAAACTAATTCCCATCTCTGTCACGGAAACCGCCAGTCTCTACGATGAGGAGAAAGCCAAGTTGATTCGCGCTGAGACCGAGAAAGTTGATACCGCCGATGGCGAGATGGCAGCCAGTTTGGATTATTTGAAGCTTCCAGGCAGTCTCAACATTCTGAAGGGTGGCATGGACCAAGAAATGACCGTGGATGAAGAGTTCCGCCGTTGGTGCTCAGAACTCGCAGGCCACAAGCCGTTCCACAAGGCTCTCGACGAGCTCCAGGACCGTAAGGCAGATGTACAGACGCAATTGGATCATTGCTCTAAACAGTTAGACTTGGAGGAGAGCGTGTGCGAGAAGATGCGCTCAAAGTACGGGGCGGACTGGAGCCAGCAGCCCAGCAGCCGCTTGAACACAACTCTCCGTGGAGATGTTCGCACATACCGAGATACCATCAGCGAGGCCAGTGCTAGTGATACTCAATTGTCGGCCACGTTCCGACAATATGAAGCAGATTTCGATCAGATGCGGTCGGCAGGAGAAACGGACGAGGCTGATGTGCTCTTCCAGAAAGCAATGATCAAAGCTGGATCTAAGCATAACAAGGGAAAGAACGGTGTTAGTAGCCCGGCGGAAGGCAGTCTTTTGGATGATGTCTACGATGAGGGCAGTGCATCTGTCGCGGAACAGATCGCAAAGGTAGAGGGGATTTTGAATAAGCTGAGCCTCGTCAAGCAAGATCGGGCGACGACTTTGAAAGACCTGAAGGAGAAGGTATGCAATCACACACTCTCCCTTTATCGACTACTGTTTACCAGTTTTTAGGTCCGCAACGACGACATTTCAAACGTCCTTATATTGAACAAGAAGTCTATCGCTGGCCAAGAGAACCAACTATTCGAGACTGAGCTTGAAAAGTTCCGGCCGCATCAAACCCGCATCATGCAAGCGAACCACAGACAGTCTTCGTTGATGAAGGAACTCACGAAAATATACGCAGCCTTGCTTCAAGATAAGCGAGTCCAGTCTGAACAGTCCAAATACGAGTCCATCTCGAAACAGAGAAACTCCGTTATGGCTCGCTATAAGAAGGTCTATGAAGCATTCAATGGCCTCTCATCTGGTATCCTGCAAGCTCGTACATTCTACGCGGACATGACCGAGAACGTGGAAAGTCTACGGAAAAATGTCGAGACATTTATCAGCAATCGCCGGTCCGAGGGTGCACAGCTTTTGAGTCAGATCGAGCGTGACAAGGCTAGCGGCGTCTCGGAGCAGGAGGATCGTGAACGGGAGAAGCTCCGCCTGTTGATGGAGCGTCTCTCTACGGAACCCAAAGCAGCATCAACCTCCCCGTCGACCGGTTCTGCTGTGGCCCCTCCCTCCAAAGTCAAATCACCGCCACCTCCTGTCCAAACCCCATCTTATTCGATGACGGGGCCATCGCCGCAGATGTCACCTCGTTACCCTCCTAGCATGCCAGGTGCACCGCAACAGGCTGTCCCTCTTTCACACTCGCCAGCACCTTACGGACAATACAACGGTGGCAACCCTGGATATGTACCTGGGCAGCCTTTCCAACAGGGTGCTGCTGCTCCGCTCTCCGAGGGGTACAACCCCATGGCATACCCATACCAAACGCCTGTTTCCCCGCCCCCAAACCAGCAATTCTTCTCTCAGACGCCTACTCCGTACAGCGGCTATCCAAGTGCTAGTCCGGCACCCACCGCTGCTGCCGTGACCCCGAACTATATGACTCCTCAGGGATACATTCCCCCTCCACCTCCCCCACGCCCGCAACAAACCAACTACCCGCCCTCGGCTGGCGGAGCGTACCCCTCTGGACCCGGTGGATATGCGCAGACCAGGCCTTACGCACACTACAAGGCCCCGTCTCAGTCTCAACCTCAACAGCCGCCCAATGCCAGTGACCCCTGGGCTGGCCTAAACGCATGGAAATGAGCATGAAGTATGTGAATGAACATATGTCTACCAAAGATGTGGACAAAATCGTGGTAGGGCATGTTTCTCGGCGTTTCTTTTTTCTCTTTTACCTTTTGTGATGAGGGCTTGGTATTACCCTTGGGTCCGAATTAGTGTGTCTTGGCTTTTTGAGAATATCTTCTACATCGTCCGCTTTTTTGGGCCTAACTTTTTGCGCATTAAGGATGTGTGTGATTGTTTTCTCTCTTTATAGAGAGCTCATACTGTTATGTAAATGATTAATGCGAATAAATAGTAGCACTTGCGTCTTTAAAGCAAAGCCGTCACCTAGAGGATACTTCTCGATTGCTCCGAGCTAATCCGTAGAGTCACCATGATATGATTTTGGGACTATTATTGGCTACTGTCACTTAGATAGCTACAACCTTGGAGACGAGGTCGCTTGTCCCTCTCAAGTGGGCACAATGAGCGACGCAAACAAAGGTCTTCTTCGAATAAGCTGTACATGCAGATAGACACTATTCTTATAGACAAAGGGATCTCTTTCTGGGAACAAAGGCTTCCAAAAATTCCTAGCGAAAAAAATAATACAAAGCCACATCCTGAGGTATAAAATGAGGGAAATTCCCGTTACAACTAATCTCAATCACCAAGCCTCCTTGAGCAATCGTCACATCCATACTACCTAACATCACAATCTCCCCAACTACATTACACTAATCTAGGGGAGCATTCCAAGTATGTCCCAATCCAACACTCCAGGTTTCTATGCAGGCCCCATCGAATTCTTCTGGGTCCACCAAGCCTTCCTCCTCGCAGGCCTAAAAGCTCTCTCCAGCGCCACCCTCCGAGCAGACTTAAGCAACGCGCTCACAGGCACAAAACTACTAACTCACGTAGAGAAACTATCTGCAGGGATGGAGCACTTGAGAACTCTCGCTGGGGAGCTCCCTATCGGTCAGATTCGGGTTACGTATGATATGCTCGAAACAAAACTGATGGATGTTGATCGGGTGATTCAATCGGTACGAGACGGTCTGGGAGATTTGGTTGATCCTGTATTGCCCAATTCGTATCTTGCTGATAGATTTGATGAGGCGTTTAGCATTCTGGAGGGGATTTGGTTGGTTGAGGGTCAGAGGGGGGATTTGGGGCTTGGGCCTGTTAGGTGGATGGGGTATCAGGGGAGGATGTGGGATCGGGAGATTGTCGAGTCGCTGGGGCCGGCATATAAGTAACTGTGGTTGTAGCGTGGATTTGAAGTTCTCCTATTTTATGGGCCTATAGCTGAAACCATAGTCATGACAAGATGAGAATAAGTTAAGATCAGATGAATGGATATTTGGAACGAAGGAACAGTATCGACAGTAGGAGCTACCATACTTGTAGTCACCTTAGGTCTAGTCAAGATTAAATGTTCACCGCTACCCATCCAAATGAAGATCCCAAGGAATCTCAACCCCCAGTTCTACCTCGCTTACCCCCTTGGACACTAATTTGAACAATAAATGCTTAAGCAAGCCGTCGAGACCAAGAGTCCCAGGCCCCCCTTTCAATGCAACCATCTTAACAGCTCCTTCCATATGATGTTTCAGCATCATTATATCATGCACAAATAACTGACCCTGTTAGCAACCAAACACTACCTTCAACTTTAGGGTAGACTTTACCTCATCATAAGCCAGCATTATCGCTTTTGCAACTGTAGAGTCACTGAAACGGGGCGCCTCATTTGAGATTGCATCGCGCAGTATTCTCAAGCACGTGCCTTTATAATGAAACGCTCTTTGGGTATAGGCTGACTGCTGCTGTGACTGCGTATAGATCGCGGATAGGTGGCGAGATGATAGAAGAAATATTATATCTAGAAGACTTGCATCGGCGCGTGCGAGGGGTACCCATGTTCTCGTCATGCGTTCAGTAAACTCAAGGGTCGGCTCATTACAACGCGTAAGAGGGATGATAACAGTCACATCTATAGAGATATCAGTGATGAGTTATTGCGCGCCGACAAGTATATACATACAGTGGTCAAAGAGCATTTCTTCATTGGGCTTTAGCGGTATTGCAAAGCTCATGAAGGGATCCTTCCGATCAGCAGACAGAATGCTGATAAGCTGGGGGTTTGGACACTCTTTCGGGAATCCCTGCTCGACGCATTCCTCAGCTTGGCCGCTTTGCTTCCCGAATATTTTCTGGGCTTGGTATTGTATTGTTCGGAGGCGTCTTGCCTTGGCGTGTGCCGAGCGAGCAGCATGGGATTGGGCAAGTTTCCGTTGCTTTGTAGCTAACCTAGCAGCATCCTCGGGACTATTGGATGATACCATGATAAACTGTACTCTTGGTGGGCCCATAATGCCGTAAAGTATAGTTTCTTGGAGGTTTGGCGCGAATGATGTTATTAACAATAGCTGGCTGATTCGAATAGAAGACAGCGTGGGCGGACAGAAGGATGGTGGCTACTTGGGGATGTGCTAGAGCTAGGGGGCTTGACTGATGCGAAACCCTTTGAAATTTTCTGACAAAACTTGGTTATTACCAGCGAAGTCATAATAGCCTTAGACTCCTGCTTAACTCCGATGCGTGAGCCATACGGCAGCAAATCAGGGCCACTTAAATGATGCCAAGACTTGCGCCTTCCCGAGAGGGTTAAGCCTCAGATCTAAACAACAACGGGGGAGCATATCAGACCTCAGCCCCTCCTATAAATTTGCTTGAAGATCAAGAATGGAACTTGAAAATCAACTCGGGAATTTTACCATTGCCCTTGAGCTAATCATCTGTTGAGAAGTAATTACTAATCCCTCGCTAACCGCGCAAAGCTGGGCTATTAAACAAGACAGGAATTAGGGCCTTAAATCCGGCCGCATTTAGGGCTCGTTCAAAACCCGAATATCCACCACTCATAAAGCCAGCCGCGATCAGCAAGAGCTTTTAACAGTCATGGGTGATTAGTAATGTTAAACTATTATCTTTTGAGTAGCTATTTGTGGCACAATAGCCGCGCTAAATTAGGACATACCCTTTTTATCAATTTATGCTTAAGAACCCGTACCAACAGCCAAGACCTGCTCCTACCTCTTTCGAGATCTTCAGCGGAACTTGAGGATAAGTTTTGGTACCACTGCCTTCAAGAAAATAGCAATAATGGCCGGAGTTAGGAAAGGCGTCGGATCTGTAACCAGGGCCAGCTATCACATATAAAACCGATCATGGCATGACGCTCTCGGAGAAATCTAAGCAGATTCAAAAAATCCTTTACGAGTTCTCTTACTATGGCTGGGACAGTGGTTATTACAGGTGCCAACGGCTCTCTAGGACTAGGCTTCGTTGAGGCTCTTCTATCGCGGTATCCTGAGCATACGCTCATTGCTACTGTTCGGAATGCCTCACCAGAGAAGGATCCAAACACTGCAGAGCTTGTGAGGATTATCTCCAAGTACCCAAATTCTAAGGTCAACGTGGAAGTTCTCGACCTCGGTCAGCTTGCTAGTGTGCGCACCTTCGTGCAGAAACTATCTGGCCTGGTTCATTCGAAGAAAACACCGCGCATCTCAGCGATAGTTTGCAATGCTGCTACATTATCGCTAGAAGCAGGGCAGAAATTCACGTCTGATGGATACGAAGCAACCTTCCAAGTCTGTCACTTATCGCACTATCTCTTGATCTTGATGCTGCTTGAAAGCATGGACCCGGCATCAGGGCGTATCGTGATGCTGGGCTCAATTACCCATTATCCCGATAAGCCAAACCCAGTATCTTCACTTGGTCCGCGTTTCCCAGAGAATCTGGGAGAGCTTGTTAAGCCGATACCTGATCCACCATTGCTCGTCCACGATAGAGGTTTCCAAAGATATAGAACCGCAAAGCTCGCAAATGTGACCTTTGCTCTCGATCTCAACGAAAGGCTGAAGAGAGTATGTACTACTCTACACCGACGCAGGGATTCATTGGCTGACTCTATCTAGGATCCCAGACTTTCGAATGTGACTGTGACAGCCATGGATCCTGGTGGACTTCCGGCCTCGAGATCTCAAGCAGAACAGAAGAAATCCACGAAACGTATCATGGCAACCATCAATTTTTTCATGCCGGTTCTCAAGCATGTCACCACGGCGTTCCGAACAACCGAGGACGCTGGCCGGGAACTTGCTGCGGTTAGCGCTGATCCCAGCTTCCATGGCAAGAGGGGCTATTTTGTCGGTCAGAAAGAAGACGCTCCAGCGGCAGTTAGCAACGATGTCGACATGCAGGAAAGGCTTTGGGCGGCGTGCTGGAGATGGTCTGGGATGAAGCCGGAGGAAACGGCACTACAAGATTATTCTCGTGGGCTGCCATGAGTCAATGTTCGCATTTCTGACATGAAAGTGGGAAGGACAGTAATCTTCGCCCATTGAGGACTGATCATGCCTGGATGGTACAATTGTTAGCTGTAGATTATCTATCTAGATCCTTTAAACACATATATTCCTCTGAATCCATAATATCCCGTCTCATCGTGGTTTCACCGACCCGGAGCAAGATGATGTATACATGGGATACCACATTCCGAAATGCTCTGTTGTTATTGCAAATCACTGGTCGCTGGATCTTGATGATGATGTGTTTGAGAATGCCAACTCATTTAGTCCGGAGCGGTGGATCCATAACGCCAATTTACCACTAAGCGCCTTTGGGTTTGGGCGGAGAGTTTGTGTAGGCAAGTACCTTACTATGAACTCTCTTAACATCATTATTGCTAGGTTGCTGTGGGCGTATGACATTATACCCGAGAAAAGTGGTAATGGAATTGAGCCACTGGATCCGTTTAGGATGAAGCAAACTGGCCTGGTGTCGAGACCAATGCCATTCCGCGCGCTATTCCAAGTAAGGTCACCTGGCCGTGAGTTGTTGATACGAAGTATAGGACTGAGTTCCCTGGAAGCAACCGATGAGATTATGGATCGTATCCATGCCAGCATCGCTGGTGCCAAAGTTGTTTAGCAGCTGAGCCTGAATTACTGTATTAGAGGTGGCCGGGTTCGATAATGGGGTCGCTATATGCAAGTGCTTTAAGAGTAGATACCATTCGCGAGCCCATGGTGAAAAGGATTGAAAAGTGTATTTCAGTTTGGGTTAATTTGATTGCAAGTATCTCGCATAGGCAACTCCTACCCAAAAGACAAAGAATACTAACAAGGAACCAAGGGAAGAGAATTCAAAACAGAAGAAAAGAAAAAACATTTCTATGTGCAGTTGCCCTAACAAACTTTTGCTCGTAATCGAATCATGACAAGAAAGACAGGTCCAATCGGCTAGACCTGAATGTAAATCCGAGTCAACCCCCAAACGATTTCGCCAACGAGGGGGGTATTATGAGGAATATCGTCAACAACTTAAACATGAATGCGAGGAAACTTGAGAAGTCCGATAGTAGAAGAGTCGAAGAATGTCGGGGAAATTCACCGATATCGATTCTTCATACAGATCAGAAGAGAAGACAATCTTTACCATCGGCCACCTCCGCCACGACCACGGCCAGCACCACGGCCAGCGCCACGGCCAGCACCACGGCCAGCACCACGGCCAGCACCACGGGAAGAGAAACCACCACGACCGGGGCCACCGCCACGACCAGGACGGGGACCACCCCGGCCAGTCATACCGCCAGGGTTACGGCGCTTGTCGATGCGACCAGCACCGGAAGCACCGGGCGTCTTGGGGGCACCGAGGCCGCGACGACCCTGAGCTTGGGCCTTGGATCGGAGATCTTGGCCGATAGCAGCAGCATCGTCCTCATCGTCCACATCCATATCGTCACCGCCGCGCTTCTTGGCCTGACCCATCTTGACCTTGCCCTTCTGGCCTCGGCGGACAGCATCGGGGCCACTGACAGCAGCAAGGTAGGCATTGATGCCGCTACCACCCTCGGCAGTACCGCTCATTTCAGCGTCCGCAGTCTGGTCATCGCCAAGGAGAAGACGACCATCGGCGTCGAATTTGGCAGCATGCTTCTTCTTGGAGCCGGGGCCGGTGTTCAGGAAGCGCAAGCTGGGCTTGGTAGTGGAGATGTTGGCCAAGGCATCGGGAGCGAGCAGATCCAGCGGGTTATCTTCGGGAGACATCTCGCGGATGTACTGGTTACCCTGAGCAGACTTCTTCTTACCACCAGCACCGCGGCCCTTGATGCGAGCCTGTCCTTCGGTATCAACGTCAATAACGCTGGCGTCATCATCGTCATCGTCAGAGTCGGAGAAGTCAGAGCCGTACACAGCCTTGTCAAAGGCGTTGCTAGACTGCTGGCCCTGAGCCTTGTCGTCATCCTCCTCTTCATCGTCCTCGGCAGCACCCTCCTTCTTCTTGCGCTTGTTACGCTCACGCTGCTTGCGAATGTTCACGACAAGCTTGCGGTCCTCCTCGCCAACGAGGTTCTCCATGAGGGGAGCACCGAAGCGGCGAACCAGACGGTCAATGATACCCTTCACCTTGCTGCGCAGACGACCCTTGTGCTCCTTGTTCCAAGCCATGAGGTTGGGGACAAGGGCAGACAAGCGGGGGCGCAAGGCATCATCGGGAAGAATGACAACGGCGACCTTGACGAATCCAAGGACAGACCGGACAATCTCGCGGTTGTTGCTAGTGAGGAAGAGCTCGACAGTCTGAACAAGATCCGAGAGAATCTCAGAACGCAGGTCCTTGTAGAACTCGAAGAAGAGACGTGACAAGGCAGTGACTGACGCAGCGACCATGTGAGGCGATGAACCAGCCAGACCGGCGGAAACCATAGTGAAGAACTCCTCGATAGTGGCTGGGGCATCGGGCGAGTCATCGGGCATGTGAGGCACCAGGGAGTTGCGGATCACGGTGCCAGCTGGGTTGCGCTCAGAATCGATGGTGCGGCGAGCAAGATGAATCAGCAGGTCAAACGCAGCAGTACGGGCCTTCTCATTGCTCTCCTTGCAGCCGAGGACAACCTCTGACAGAATTGAGGGAATGAAATGCAGGTCGGATGTGGGCAGGTTCGTGACCAGCTCGTCGATAGCAAGCATACGGTCTCGGCGACCAGACGCAGGGGTCTTGTCAGAAGTAGCAAGCATAAGAGCCTGCAGCTCACCGCTGCGCTCCTCCAAAGCGGCACGGCCGGTCTCGGTGGAGGCAAGGCGAGGGATCAGCTTGTAAGCCTTCTTGATGAGCTGCTGGTCGGGGTTGGGGGAGGAGCTGTTGAGAATTGCCGCAGCCATAGCGAACAATCCGCTGAAGCTGGAGCGAGGCAGGTAGATAGACATGGCAATAACCAGGTCGATCAAGGTGTGAGAAGTGGGCGGCATCTTGTCAGATGAGGCTTGCTTGGCGGGCGCATTCTGCTCCTCAATCAGAGAGGACTCAAGCATCGTGGTAACACGAGTGAAGGTCTCGTTGAGCTCCTGTTATTTGAAGTGGTCAGTATGGTTCATGATTGGACGCTATATTCACTAGGTGCAGAATTCGACTAACCTTCTCGGGAGTGATGCTCAGATAGGCATTAATGCACTGCAGGATATAGCCACGGTGGTGAGGGAGGGTCTGACTGTAGACGTTGAACAGCACGGCCAGCAAGTTGCTGGCAAAGCCAGCCAGATGGGCAATGTTCTTCGTGGCAGCCACCTTGGTGATACGTCGCTGCAAGATCAAGTCATCCTCATCCTTCTCCACAGACAGAATGGCCTGGTTTGACTCGACGAGGTTCTGGAGGGCCCGGCAAATCTCGACGCGCAGCTCAGTCTGCTTGTAAAGGACATTGGACAAAAGCTCCGCGAAAGTCTGGTCGAAAGCCTCTGTAAGATCAAGTGGCAGCTCACAGTATCCGGGAAGAATGCCCCAGGTCTGCTGAACCAGGGTCTCGAAGATCTTCGTCTCCACAGGCTTCTCGGCGGACTTGTAGTCCATCATCTTCTGGTAAAGGGCCTCGCTAAGAGGCACCATTTCCGAGCGGAAGTGGGCCAGGTTGGTGTTGGTGACGTTATCACGGAGGATAGGCAGCATCCAAACACGACCGGGTTGGCCGTTCTTCTGTTGGATAATGTTAAGCGGAAGGAGCTCGAGAACAGCCTCGGGGCCCATAGCCTCAATGGCGCTGCCGAGAACGCTGTCAGCCTCCTTCTTGCCGTGGAAGGCCTCGTTGCTGCGTAGCTCGCCGATAGTGGTGACAATATCAACGAGGAAGGGGCTTGAGCGCCACTTGAAGCAGTCAAACATGGCGGAGCAAACGTTGAACACCTCTTGCCAAGCAGCCTGGTACTTCACAGAGAGGAGGTCAGCAGCCAATCGGGCGAGCTTCTCCAGAGTCTTCTCATCATAGACGGAAGCATCCAAGATAACATTTTCAGGGATGCAGTTGTGTAGGAATGAGATCAAGCACTCGGAAGCCGAGACGCGAATGTTGTGCGAAGGGGAGGCCAAGAATCCAGAAATGAGCTGGAACAGGTCGGGGAGCTTCTCAAAGGTATCCTCGGGGTTGATCTGAGCAGAAACATCGTAGCCACGAGACAGGACAGCGATCCAAGGAGGAAGAAGCTGAGAGTCGTTCTGTGCAGGCTTGAGCTCGGAGATAGCGTCCAACAGACGAGGAAGCTTGGAAGACGAGAACTCGTCGGCCATGCCTTCGAAAATGACCTCGAAGACCTCGAACGCACCCATGGTAATGTATTCGTTGGTGGAGCGGGAGGCGTTCATGAGCAGTTCGCAGAGAGCCTCGATCTTCTTGCTAGGCCAGCCGCCCGATGCGGTAGCAATGGTCTTGACAAGCTGCAGGGAGTGAATGATGAGGGGCTCGTGGCTGTCGCGGTTAGCGTCGTGTCGGCCCTTCTTTTGCTTGGAAGCGGCCTGGATGCTATCACCAAGAGTCTTCATGGCAGACTCAGCGCACATATCTGCGGCCGGGTGGTCGAGCGAGGGACTCGGGGGAGGCGTCTTGAGAACCTTGATGAGCGCTTCCTGTGCGCGCTTCCGAACCTTGGGTCGGTGGTCGACCGAAAGGCTCAGTAGGCCGGCCGTCGCACGGCGGGGGCCAATCTGAGTGTGAGGCAGATTCCAAGCAGCAGCATCTTGGGCAATGAGGAGCGACTCAAGGCAGCCAATTGATGGGCGCAGAAGGGGGGCTTCGACTTCGGGGAGAGAGAGGGCCGGCGCGAGGCTGGTGAGGATTTGGGAGAATTTTGAGCGAAGAATCGGAGCGGGCACGTAGCTGGTGGTGATATCGAGCAGGTAGACGACGGAGGTCGCTAGATCCTTGTTGACGATGCCCTGCTCGGCGGACAGGGACTGGGAGAGGAGCGCAAGAAGCGCAGCAAAGTATGCGGTCGCAGAAAAGTCGGCCTTTTGATCGCGAAGAGTATCCTCCACTGCAGATAGCACCACGGCAGTCTACAGTTGTATTGGTTAGCGGTCTGCCTGATGGCTTCGGTGCGATCGATACGAGGGGAGGAAAAACACATACATGGTGCTGGTTCTGCAGCTTGGGAGACTTGATCTTCTCAAGCTTCTCCGCCAGAGTCGCCATGGTGGTTGTTGACGACGAGGAGGAGAAAGACTAGAAAAGCGTGCGGGGAGGCTGTTCTGGCGGTGATGGAGAAAACTCGTGAGAAAAAAAAGGTACGGCGGGATCTTGGCGGGTTATCGATAAGCATCTACGGACCACCGCCTTTGATCTACAAACTGTTCATTCTCTACTTTAGCGTAATTTGGACAAGGGAATTATACGACATGGACCGTCAAATCGTGATTGTTACTATTGAACATGAGGAATTGAAAAAGAAAAAAAAAAGTGTATCCCATTTGGGATATGTTGGCGATCGTCACGCCCTTGTTCAGCGTCCCACCATCTTCCAAGTAGCCAATTGTATTTATGCGCAATCGACAATGCGACGAACATCATGCGCATCGAGTTCGAGTTCTGATGCCTTATACCCGACTTGAAAATGTATTCCCCCTCTACAGCCATCCGCAAGCCGGCGTGCGCAAAACTCATGATGCCTTGAAATTTTTTCAAAGCCGATAAGAAAGCAGGCTCTGACAAGGCAACCCCCAATCTTATCATCCGCATCTGAACCAAAAGGTCAGATCAAGCACTGGGGTTTGTATTCACCCCCAAAGCGAAATCATCTCGTAGAAGAATACCCGATCGTTCCAAATTATGCGGGAATTAGGTCGAGGCCGTCGGAACGGCGAGTTGGAGGATGGCACACCGCAAACATGCAACAGCTGCCTTAGAACAAAATCTCGCCGCTATGCTCAGGCTCAAATCCAAGTGCCTGGAGCTCAGCGTGTCGCTTCTTATCTCCGAGCTTGCGCTTGCTGTCTTCCTTCTTCTTCAATTCGAAAACCTCCTCAAATGGCGCCTTCGTGACGGAAGTGGGGATATCGTCCTCGCGGTCAAGATCCTACACAATTGTAGATTAGCATGCAAATTCAAAGCGATGCACTGGCTATCCCACGTGCGAATGCCAAGCGGTTATTCCACATACCACTTCGCCCAGAAGGAGGACGTTCTCGCCACGCACGAGGAAGATTCCACGCGGGACATCGGCGTAAAGGTTTCCAGCGTAGATTCGCTCAACCGTATCCTGAAGAACAAGGTTTGCTAAAAAGTTTGCGCCGACGGAAAGGGCTTATGGTAAGCCAATGCTTCTTTATGAGGCCTTTGCGATGTTCGTACCGAATTGGTCCCAGCTTCGCAATACACCGATCAATTTCCTGCCGTCGCGGAGGACCAGAACAAGTTTCTCTGTACGACGAAAACACGTCCGGGATTAGCATGAGGTTCTTCCTAAGCTAATACCCCGTCTAAACCAACGTACTATCTGTCAAATCCAACAGTTGTGCGGCGGTCGTGAACATCTGGGGGGTAGTTGTGGGGGACCGGACTGGGTCGTCGGGGCTGAGGGGCCAAGCGCATTCTGCTGTGGTTGCCTCTGTTGTTGCTGTTGCGATTGTGGCTGCTGTTGCTGGGTGTTGCCAGCGGCTTCGTTTAGAGATAGCCGCTCCATGTCGGCGGTTTGTGGAAGGTGGGGGTGGTGGGAAAACGGGTGAGGCGAGCGCGCGTACGATCAAGGGTTCGGAGCAAGGTGCTAATTTCAGATTTGGCTCACGAAGACCACGTTCTCATTCTGGTTGAAGCTGCGTACGTCGTATTCGAGAGAGCAGTCAAGTCTGCGACAGCCAGAGCGAGTTCTCCGAGCCGGAGATGGACATCAAGGGCGGTGAGTTTGTCTTGTTTGCTTGGACGCGAGCACTAGGCCTGGATTCTAACTATCACCAGCACACAGTCGGTTATATCATAGATGAATACTTGTTTAAATTTTATTCCAGCTATTACGCTTCGCTTTCTATTTTGAAAGTAACTGAGGTTATCTTATTCTTTTGCTATTTCATGGAAAATGGGGTTCCAAAAGTAGCTAAAACATAGCTCTAGGTAATTCAATCTGATCGATCGTCAGCTACATGTAAACCGAGTAACCCCTCTAATCTCCGATTGAATACCAAGATTAGCATAAAACCCCCAATGAGATGTATAACAAGGATCTTGTTACATCGAGTGTAGCGGTGAAGCAGATGTAGGGATTGATGTACACCTCCACCCCGCAACGACCATCCTCGGCATGGATTGTTTGCTTCAACCCTCTTACATATAAGCAACTAATAACTATACTTGACTTCATTGACAGTCACTCGTGAGGGAGCCAGTCTTTGATCTCCCTAGTACGGTCAATCGACAATCTGATCTATCGAAACAGGCATGTCATGTGACCTGGTATATGGTATCAGGTGACCTATCTCGACTTGTCATAGATCTCGAAGGGAGACAAAAAAGCCACTTAACCCGGCGATAAAAGGTCTCAATCAGTGTTGTCCAAACAGATCCTGAGGGCAAGTCCAGATCCGCTGTCTCGAGAGACCCGCTAACTCAACTATCAGGTCCAAACCAATACAAAGCCAGCATACATAGTGTTGAAGTGCAACCCACCACACAAAATACAACTATACAACAGAAGAAAAAGCGAAAAAAAAGGCTACCGACAAAGACGAAAGGGGGAATAATTCAAAACAAATCAGAACCAAAAAGGCAACGTCGAGTCCAATCGCAAAACGCTCAAGAGAATCCATCACAAACCCCATTTTTTATGTCAAACCATCAACCTCACCCTCACCCACACCTCATCATCTCCCCATCAACTCAACCTCCCATCACCTCCCCTCATAACACCACACTAACCCCCCTCTGTTGCCCACGCATCCTCTCCTCCCTCCGCCGACTATACGGCGCACAATACGGCTCATCCGCAGACCCAATGCTAGCACGCACGCCATCCTGCGAGCGGTGATATGCCGGACTCGACGGCGCAGGCGCAAGCTGCATCGCCTTGAACTGGGCATCCGAAATGATCCGTCGTCCGTACAGGTAGCGCATCAACTCGAAATTGGGTCTACTCCCGGCTAGCGTCTGGCCATGCTGGTAGTGGTCTGCGGCGACGTGGTTGAGTAGGCGGTCCCATGCGGAAGGGTGGTCTTGGGAGGAGACTTCCATTCTGGGTGGGGGGTTGAAAGTGTTCGTATCAGTTTGTGATGTCGGACTGGGTAGAGAGGATCGGTCTGAGCCTGGGTCTTGGTCGATGAACTCTGTGTCTGGGCAGAGGGGGCATCGTGCTGTTCGTGGTGGTGGGTGTGTGCGGAAATGACTTAGGACGTGAGTCCTCCACTGCATGGCATCGTCGAAGGTATCATGGCAGTCCAGCATGTGGAAAAGACATGCATAAATCCCAGATTCGACGGGCCTCGGATCTAGATCCAGATCCGTGCTCGGGTTCGCATTCAGATTTATATCTGAACCCGCCAACGACGGAACCGCAGAACTCACCGACGGCGCGGCTGTACTCCACGACGAAGACGATGCTTGTGAGCGGACACGCCCACCCGTCCTCCCCGTGATAACGGGCGCCATGCCACTCTCCTCTAGTCCAGAGTCCCGCTCACCTCTCGCCACAAAAGCAGGACCGAGGACCCGACCAGACATGGGAGCAAACATCACGACCGACCCGCCATCAGACCTCGTCTCCACCGACGAGATCGACGCAGACTCCGACCCGCTCGTCAGGCCCGGAACAGTCGGCGGGGAAGAAGATGGCATCCGGGTGGCACGGATGATCACCTCACTTTGCTTTTTGCGGATAGGGTTGCTGCCAGGCATCTGGGTAGGCGTCGCGGGGTGTGTGTATGTGAGAGCGCCGAATATGCAGAAACCTCGATCTAGGATCTTGCGAGTCTTGGTACTTCTGTTACGTTTCGGGGGAGCGGCACTGAGGCTGAGGTATGAAATAATCTGAGGCGGGGGTCCCTGTCAGTTTTTTCTTGATCTTGCTGATTTGCGCCCTGTCCTGCTCCGACATGCTCCGTGCGATGGCGCGGGGAATTCACGGGGCCCTGGGGCTCTGTTGGGTTGTTCGTTCACCGGAGGGCCGGAGATAGGGTACCATGAGTATTTACCACAGGGTATTGGGTATTGAGTATCGGGGGAAGACCTTGTACAGTACACCTCCCGATTGTACACGTTGGGGGAGGAGGAGGACAGAATAGCCCAGACATGGAGACGGAGAGAGACTTGATATACTTACATTTACCATCCAGCCCTACAACTATACCCGTCAACACTCGCCTCACCAGCCACGACGAAATCACAATACCGCAGGTCCAGTCCAGTCCAGTCCAGGTACCTATACCCTTCCCTACCCGACAGCCTGCAGACGCAGAGAACGGACGTACCCCTACCTTAGTCAACCACACCCGTCAGCAATGCACGACATCTATTCCCAGCACCAGCACCACCTTACCGGAGCCCGACCAGTCCAAGCCCGCGGACACGTACCGCAATGAAGTGGAGCCCCGCAACGCACAGCAAGCACCGATTCTAGCGCTGTAGAAGGCTCGAGGGTGCAGGCACGTTGTTGCCAGAGGGGATGGTGAAGAGTTGTGGGGTCGAGCTGGTGCGGTACACGCTGAGGATTGGGTGCATTAGGCTTTTCCTGACGGAATTGCCGTTGATGCGGTTGTCTTTTTTTTCGGCGCTAAGATGGAGGGGAGGCGGGGTGGAGGGGCTAATGTTTGAGGATGCGCTAATATAGTAGTAGTACTGTAGGAGATTATTGAGGACTTGGGATGGATGTAGTATTTGATTGATATTGTCTGGTGGAGGTGAGGTCGATTGATTTCTTTGTAGGAGATTAGACAATGGCAAGATGATATGGTAGTATCCTTATGCTGTCACTGTCACAGGTAAGATTCCCAGTCTAGCCAGGTGGCATCTCAACTCTTGGAGAGGGCTGAATCTCAGCCCTAAACTGATGAAATTGATACTCTGGAATACAAATTGCAGGATGATTTACAGATAGAATTGAGGTATTGAATATAGAAGATTTTCTTTCATATTTCCAAGCCGAAGCCAGGAGAGCTAATTAAGAGAGTTGAGGTAAGATAGGAAACATCATAGATGTATAAAATAGAGACCAGAGGCCTCGGAGAGGAGAATCACAAGAGAAAAGAATTTTGGACGCGAAGGAAGGGGAGAAAGAAAAGAAGTAGAGAAAAGGAAAAAAAAAACAGCCATGGAGAATTTCCCAGCCCATCTATTTGGTAAGAGACGCCTTGATCAAGCAAAGATAAGGAAAAGAGAAGAGAAAGAGGTACACCGATCCATCCAAAACCGACACCGTTGATGCCTGCAACCCAGAAAAATGCACAAGTCTATATCGTTTCGTAGCGCGCATAACAGCAAATTCAAAAGAAGACATAAGAATGTGGGACGCGAGGAGGGCAGTCACACGAGGAGAAGAGAAAGATCAGAAGCGGTCGGCCAGATCACCACCCGCAACGGAATTGTTCGTCGACGAAGACATCGAAGAGAATCCAGTAGGCGGGTTAAGCATGTCCTGTACCGCAACCTTGGGGACCTGCGGCACGGGCAGCTTGCGCTGCGTACCGTCCGGTTTTGACATGATGTCTGTGATGCTGGGACCCATGTGACCCTGGCCGGGGCTGTAGTAGTTGGGACCCTCGGGGGCGGGCTCCATGGGGGCGAGCGCGGGAGTGTGCTGGAGAGACAGGTGGCGGATGGAAGGCAGGTGTAGCTCATTAGCTCCAAGAGGGCGCAGACGAGGAGAGTGCGCGGGAGTAGCGAGAGGAGTGTGGTCAGGGGTAGGAGAGAGCGAGTCGTGAGAGAAGGTAGGAGACGAAGGAGCAGTAGAGTTGGGAGAGTTGGGACGCGAGCGCTTGACGCGGTGCCCGTATCCATCATCGTCATCGTTGGAGTGCGACCGAGTCATGTTCTGAGAGATCGCATAGGCGGAGAGCGAAGGCAGACCACGGCCGTGATGGCGCGATCCATACATGTGGTGTCGCGATCCGTGGAAGCCCAGGTGGTCATCTCGCTCAACTTGCGAGGCTGCAGTGGCCAACAGATTGATGTCCATACCGGAAGAAGCGCGCTCCGAGGTGCGCGAGTAAGGGCCCAGGTTGGAGCGCATGTGGTTGGCATAGTTGGAGAAAGAGTGAGGCGGAGAAACGTCCGGAGAGCCAATCTGAGAAACTGGCGCAGAACGAGTAATAGGCTTGCTAGGAGGGGGCATCATGTTGGCCGCATTAACCATGGCAGCATCCTGGCCAGCTGCAGCCGCTGCAGCCGCAGCGAGGTGCTGGGCCTTGTTGCTTCGACGGGAGTTGGGGTTGTTGTGAATGCGCGAGTGACGAGTCAACTCATCCGAGCGGCTGAAGCGCTTGGTGCAGCCGGGGAACTGGCAAGCATGGGGCTTTTCACCGGTATGCGTCCGAATGTGACGAGTCTGATGTTCCAGGCGGTGGAAGGCCCGGTCGCAAAGAGGACATTTGTAAGGCCGGGGAAGATCCTGACGGACCTCCTCGTTGGCAGGACGAGCACCCTTCATGAGAGGCGGCAACAAGCTGACGGAAGAAGCCATGGAAGGGTCTGACGAGGGAGACGAAGTAGGTTGGGCAGTGGTGGGCGAGGCCGAATCCGCTGCTTCTTGAGGGTTCAGTAGATTGGAGAAACCCACTGAGGCCGGGGGAGACATGTGAATTATCTCCTTGAGGGGGAAGGGAGGAATGTAGACCGGATATCTAGACCGGTGGATGATTCCTTTCTTTTTGCAGAGAGGGGGGCGAGGTTGTGCCGAGGCGGACAATTTATTGCAGGGGTGGTGGTCCAGAGCTGTAATCGTTCCGGGCGATCAGATCAGCGACGGGATGATCGTTATAGGGTGTTTGTAAACCTCGGACCAGGGACAGAGGAGTGGTGTAGTGCGAGAAGTAGTGCACAGGGGGAAAGTATGGGGATGCAGGAAAGACAGAAAGAAAAGAATCTGGAGACGGCGATCTGGGGAGCAGGAGATGATAAAGGAAGGGGGAAGGAGGGGAGTATGAGGAATGGAGGGGAAAAATGAGGAAGGGAGAAATCGGGGAGGGCTCGGAATCGGCGCGAGTTGGGTTTTTTGGGAGGAGGAAAAAAAAAAAAAAAACTCAGAAAATCAGAATGGAGAAAAAGGACGAGAAAAAAAAAAAAAAAAAGAAAAAAGGAAAAATCAGAGTCTCAAGGGGAGCAGAACTTATCGGATCGTAACAAGGTTGAGGACGGTGTGGGGGAACAGGGACTGGGGGGGGCGAAAAGGGAAAAAATCGGTGAAAAAAAATGGGAGAAACACCCGAATGGGGATAAGAAAAAAAAAGAAAAGCACAAAAAGGTAGGCAACGTGCACCGGGAAGATCGTCTTTGGACCAACTCCGGCTAAGAGAAAATTTATTCTCGATAGGAACATTAAGGTACTACGATAGTGCAACACTTAGAATATCCAAGTAGCCTCGATTCCTAATATTCTCCATGACTATAGAACTATACAACTATAGAGATATACGGTTAAAAGCGTTAGTATTAACATCGATTACGAACTGCGGTAGGGAGGACAGTTCGGCATAATCTGATGGCCGGCTTGGATGGCGTGTCGGGGAAGGGGGGCAAAGGGAAAAAAGAATTCAAAAAAAAACCGAACCCAAAAAGGTCTGGGCAACGTACTCCATACCGCAAGATGTGGGGACCAGGGCGACTTTCCGGACTACGACGACACCGAAGGTCCTCTTGATTATCTCATGCCCATTCCTGAAGAACCGTGGCCTGATCCCGCGGTGCGTGGCCCTTTCTACTTCCCCCCCTCCGTACTCTCCGTACTCCATACTCCATACTCCATTCTTGTACTCCGTACGGCCACTTCCGGCTATCGCGCGTCTGGAGAAAGCTGGGGCTTTTCCACCTCCCTTATCTTGGTATCTTTGGAGTAGAGGGGGGGGGGGGCATGACCATGGTGATTCTATCAACTATGATCATTGCTTTGTTTCCTTCCCCCACCCCCTCATTTTCCCGTCTCATAGTTACTCTTCTTTAGTGACTCTCACAGAGATAAATAGGCTTTCCTCATTTCCTTAACTTTGTAGAACCTCTCCGGAAGAAAGGATGGGTAAAATGGATGATAAACGATGATGGCATCACATGTGGCGATGACGAAGGACGTACACTAATAATCACTTCCCCCTCCTAGAAAGATCAGATCATGGAAGGACCGGAACAGTCCAGACCCAATGTATCTGTACATGATCTTGGAATCCCGGGGCAAACAAAGAACCTTAACGACCCTTTAGAGACGATCCCCTTCTCCGTATCGAGTAGTCTTTGCATTTAGTCTAAAACATACCAGAATCTACTGTAGAGATAAGGAGCTCTTCTTTGTCGCCGATCGGGCCACCCCCAACTTTCCTCCGCCTTCCCGCCCGTGACGAAGGGGAGGATCATCGATGATGTCGACTCATGATACATGATTTGGGCATGATTTAGTCATGGGGAAAGGTCGAGAGGTCATCCTGCTAATCCTCCCCGAGGCTCGCACGAAAACAAGTCGGGTCACATTGGAATTGTCTTGGAACCAGTCGATCTAATTATATGTTGTAGCTCAAATGGTACTGATATTCTATTTTGTGTTTGGATGCTACGATCGTGACTATAAGGTATCTGTTTCGGACACCCATTCGTTAATTCAATACGCGAATCAGGTTCGCCGATAAACCACCGACAAAGCTACGGCGAAGGTAGCGCACGTAGTATGAAATACCCCGGATTTTGTGGAGGACCGTGAGCACCCTTCCCCGTCCTTGAGACGGAGGATACGGAGAGCTACACCTGTGCTTCATACTTTAAACATCCTATCATGCTACGCAGAATGGTCACTGCGAGTCCAACCCCAGACAAAACAAGACCAACCTCAAAAGTACCAGACGTACATGCTCGAAGATGATCCAGCGATACGCTCACCTTGATACCAACTGATAGGCGCGGATCGTCCAATTATTGACGATTGGCGACGCACCCTGCAGCCGCAAAGCCGCATCTCGCGCCGGCCAAATGCGAATCTTTTCTGCGAATCGCATGCGCGCAGGCTGTCAGCTCAGCTCGGAAGAGCCAGGCTCGATCTCGTTCTGTCATTTTTATTGTTTCCTTTTTTTTCGCCCTGATGTACGGAGTACACTGGGCACGTTCCTATCCAGTAGTACTGTAGAGTGCACTGTAGAGTCTCTCAGGTTGCACCATGGCTGGCTACGGCTGAATCGGAAATTTGCAAGAGCCCTTTCTCAGCGCCCCCAGCGCCCACGGTGTCTCTCCCCGTCAGCCGTGCCCCGTAGGATATTATCCTTGTTGTCATCGAATTAAAATTCTCCTGTGGTAGCACAGGTTCATGCTCCCCCGGAAGGCAGCCACCAAAATTGCTCGAGTCTGGAGTATGGAGTCCGGAGTCCAGTACTGTACACCGGACAATGGACCGGAGATTTACCGGTCGGGATGATTTGCTATCTCACACGCCTATCGTAACTACCCCATACGGAATAAAAGCTACCATCATTAAGCGATAAACCCGGGCGCCTGACCAACCTGGTGGGGAAGAGTGTCCCATGTTTGATGTTTGGCGTGCCCACAAAGGGAGAAGGACCATCTCCAGTTTCCACCCCCAAGACGCGACCCCATGGGATGATAATAACCGCCCCATGGGCGTGGATAAAGAAAGATACGCCCACTCGGCAAGACCCTCCCCACAGCCGAGTTGGTCGGCCCAATTTCGGCGAGGCGATGAATTATCCCCCCATGTGCCGAGGATTGCGAATTTGGTTGGATCGTGACCAAGAGAGAAAATGAGGCGATCGATTGATGTCTAGGAAAGGTAATCCTAGCCCCTTCCCGACCATAATATTCCACACATACTTGATATAGAAAAACAATTATTCATTATTATTGTTCCAGCCTAGACATCTCATGAAAGGGGAAAAAAAGCCCCCAATTTCTCAAACACCTACGTAACAAGGAAGTCTACTCTATAACCCCGTGCGTGCACGTCTTCGCCCTGGTCTCTCCCGAATATACCCCCTTTCACCAAAATAAACCACCCCATGCTCTTAGAGCAGTTCGAGATCCAGGGCGGTGGGCGTGACCTGCATACGTGCAGCAGGGATGGAGCCATTTAGTCGCAGATCTTAAGCAGCCGCTGGTTCTAGCCAGTAGGTACTACTGCAGTGTCAACCAAGGTGTAGCTCTCTTCTTTCTTTGTCGATATTAATCTACACCTAACACCCCCGGACTAGCATCCTATAGGTCGAGCAGTGACCAAGATAGTGGCAACAATTTTTTTTTTGGCAGCTTTCAGATATCCCCCTTTGAGTCGGCGGATCTCCGCATCCATGGAGGTTTCTCCGTGGCGGGATAATTGAGGGGAGATTTTTCCTTTGGTCGGGGTCCCCGGATTAGCATCGTTTAATCGTCGTAGCTTACATTCGGTCGTATCTACTCCGGACTCCGTGGGTTATTGAGTGAACTAGTCATGGTTAGTTTTGTTCGTGGGGGGTATCCAAAGATTGGGATAAGGCCACATCTCCACATAATCCTGGACAGTAAGTACTATGGTAAGTTAACTACTACGGGCTGCCGGGTCGAATGCCGACGGGGGTAAAGTACTCTGTACGCACAACGGAGTCCTTTTGCCCGTCTATCAGGATGACCTATTCGGGTAACCCCACCGGACACTGCCACTGTCATACGTCCTCTTGACCTGTTCAAAAATGAACAAAAATAAAGTCTACACTTTTGTGCACTGTGTGACCTAAAGTAGGTTTAAACCCTCCGCTTTTCTCCACGGGGAATGGCGCCATCCTGGAGAACCTCCGGATTCGGCGCGGTCGATCTGCAAGAGAGGGGCAGTTTTTGCCCAGCCCCAAGCAGGTACAGTACAGAGTTCCCATATTTCCCATTCATCAGCCAATTACCCGTATTTTGCCGAGAAGGTACCCTGTACATACTCTGTAGCCCTGTCCGGAGAACTAAGGCCGTCTATCCAGACGTTCTTGTAGGCTGATCTCCTGAAACCGTCTTATTTCTTCTTACGCGTTACTGCAACCTGTCAACCTATCTTTGTTCGAGATGCGATAGCTGTTTCAGCTTACTGACGAATACCTCTCGATATCGCCATTCTTGCATTCTGCCCTCCGTATCTGTTGTAGAACTTGTCCACATGTCACAGAAATATATCTCCCGTTTGGCCCGTCAGCCGGAATCTAGCTTCCGTGGCTAAATGATATCTATATCCATAAACGAATGAAGAATGGATGTCTCCCAAAAAAAATCTGAATATTTTTCTCTCGTCTTACTTTCCCCCCAACGAACCGTGCAGAGATTTCTCTCCAGTCCTGGAGATCGTGCCCCGCGATCGCACGGATCGACATAATTATCCACCTGCTATAGCCAGTAGAGCGTGGGGAAGGCCAGGCTACACATTTTTGTGTCATTTGCCGACCGAAGGGGGCAGGACTCGCCGAATGCGTCGTTCTCGTTATCATTCACCATGAACGACGACTGGATGAAAGACAAGAAAGTTTGATTTTGATCCTTGAGTCTCTTTTTTCTTCTTCCTTCTTCTCTCTCTTTCCCTTTTAGTCATTATTTGCTGGACTCTCGCCCACTTCCCCCGCCAGTGTGGTTCCGGGGGAG